TCCCTTGGAAAATAAACCTCCAATAAGATGAAGATGAAGATTTATTATGAATAAATGTACTGAATTGATGAAACGACGAAGTTTTGAAACGACTGATCACCTTGGTGCAGTCTTTAAGAAAAGAAAAGCATACATTACATTACCGAACGTAGGTGACTGAGATGCAGAGCTATCGTGGAATAATTGTATCACAGTAATGCATGAAAATCTACAAATCAAAAGCACACGGGTGTGAGCCAAAGCCCAGGAATCACGATCGTAGTCGTAATTCTTTGTTTCATCTTGAGAAATGAACCAAAACGGTAAGAATGCACAAGAAACTGTGACATGCATAAATTATGACTGTGTCACTTACAATAAGAAACGGGCGACAACATGCACGTTTTCATCAAGTTACTATTCATATATTACTTTTTATCGTTAAAATAAATACAAGAAAACTATATCAATGGTGGATGTTGCAATTACTAATTTAGGCTTTGTAATGGCTTGCTGGACTTATGTATAATTCAATGGGACTATATAAATAAAGGGTGACCCGAAATTATGGTATCTCCCCCGCCCTATAGACAGACATATACCAATGTATCCATGGTATGTGTAATATATCATTTTTTAAACTCATATCCAAAGTTGTATTGTATTGAGTTGTATCATGGTTAAACTCATGACTTCATGACTTCATGTGACACGTTAGCATTTTGCACCGTGTCCTATCATGGTGGAATGTTATATCAATTGGACTAATTACATTTTCAAATGTTTTTAGAAATAGTAACTTATTCTTGGTATTACAGTACGGAACAATAAGCACCAGTCCAAGACTGGCCTTCACCCTTTATGCCTTTGCGGTAAAGCAGATAATAATCCAATGAAGGCATTGATTTGTTCAGTAGATTTGCAACATATCCACGCTTTAGTCCCCATACGATGCCATTCTGGGTATGTGGCTTATGTACGAAATAGATGGGTGCAAAATGGGTGTAAAACTGAACTTTAATTTTGGCCAAACACTACATTTTGAAATGCCTGTAACTTTGTCCAATTTGCTTGTTGAACCATGATTCTTGGCAAATCTATGCAACTTAGCATAAGATTTAAAATGATTTATAAGTGAGGAACCAAAGTGCATATATTAAATTGAAGATTGATGTATACTCACAAATATAATTGTATCCTCGACATCACTATATGCTCTCTCAAATTAAGCTATCCTCGTATTGTAATTTTTAAGAGTGAACACAGTTACATAATTTATTCATTTTGTTTTCACAAATAGTCCATTTGTATTGAAGAAAGCAGTTTTGAAATATCCCCATGTTACAACATATTTTGTTGACCTTGTTATATAAAGGTTAAATGTTGACAATGAATCTACATCTACATGCCTGCAAGGTGTGATAAATCATAATTCACATAATAACTAATGATAGAAAGTCACCATAAAACGCAAATAGTTCTGAAGTGTTATAGTATAATTGATAATTGATATTGAATCTATTGTTTCTACAGTTAAACAAAATTTCAAAACATTAAAACTTAAATCTATATTTTATTAAATACAAATATCCACGACTACATATATTGTATTTGATGTTTGAATTAAACCAGTTAAGAAATCGTTTTCGATAACAATAGTAGTGTTCCTGTGACAGCATATTAAAACATGATCACACGCTTAATCATAAAGATATACCATCGATGACTCATTAATTATTAAATCTTGATCTTAGATAAAAACCATTTTCTAAATTATTCCGTCTTAGTGTTCTGTGTGTTTTCTTCCTAATGGAGTAGGTGTACAGGGACCGTGTGCATGCACAGAAATTAACTGGTGAACGATCATAAATTGGAAAATTTTATCAATAATATGTATATCCGAGACGTCCTGATGGTTCCAATATGTAGAGTATTAGTAAAGTGTCAAAGGAAAAGAACCAAACATTGTTACAGAACCTGACAAGAAAAAGAAAACATCCCAGTGTACACCAGTCCAAAGGAAAACAAACTCGAACTATCACATACCATAATCCGACGTGAAAAGGAACAATGTCTAAAATCCCCTCCCCCTCTACCATTTCGAGTTTCATTATCACAATGCAGTATACCATAACACAGAGGGACATTTCATTCACACTGAAGCCATTAAATTATATGTTTGAGAATAAATATAAATCGATAAGTCAATTCTCATAATGATCAAAATAGTTGTAGATACTAGTTTTCATATAATCATATCCATTCAGTCTCAAATGATGCGTGACAGACAAAACACAGTGTTCAAGTTCATGTACATATCAGAAGATAATACTCATCGGCAAAGCCGACGTAATAATCCATAAAGCACAATATTTGACAATGGTCATCAGGAGAAAACGATGTCTGGTTTTGATCTCTATTTCTCAACCATTAATGCCATAGCCGGAAACCACCTAAAAAGGTGCAAAATAGAAAAAGTCACAGGGGGAACAGAATCGCACCCTTGAACAGAATACACTTTTCAGGATGGAAAATTCAAAATGGCCACCTGAACATTTACCCAGACTGCCTTAAAACTAATCAGCTCTAAACTTTCCATAGAAACATCTCTAAAAGTTTAGGATGAATCCATGAAACCTGTAAACAACCCTCAAGAGACACGTTTTAAGGTATTACTTCACAGTGTATCAGCTTTTTTTCTACAATTCAGATTTTCCTGAACAAAAATCCTGGTAAAAGATATACTGATGTATCACAAAATATGTGAAATTTGGAAAGATTGACCGTTTAGTTATTTCTGAAAAAAATGTTTTAATTTAACATTGCTCTCAATGGGAAATTATTTTTTATTTTTTAAAACTAGCCTTCACAGAGACGATTTTAGGACGGAAAATCCAAAATGGCCGCCTTGCCGCCTTGACATTTACCAAGAATGCCGAAACACTAATCAGTTCTAAACTTTTATAGGTAAAAACATCCCTGAGGATTTCAAATGAATCCCTCAAATGGTTTGGCTGGAAACCTGTAGACAAGCCTTGACATACAAGATTTTAGGACAGAAAATCCAAAATGGCTGTTTTAACATTTATCCAGAATGTCGAAAAACTAATCAGTTCTAAACTGTCATAGGTAGAAACATCCCTGAGAATTTCAAATGAATCCCTCAAACGGTTTGGCTGGAAACCTGTAGACAAGCCTTGACAGAGAAGATTTTAGGACGGAAAATCCAAAATGGCCGCCTTTACATTTACCCAGAATGCCGAAAAACTAATCAGTTCTAAACTTACATAGGTAGAAACATCCCTGAGAATTTCAAATGAATCCCTCAAACGGTTTGGCTGGAAACCTGTAGACAAGCCTTGACAGACAAGATTTTAGGACGGAAAATCCAAAATGGCCGCCTTTACATTTACCCAGAATGCCGAAAAACTAATCAGTTCTAAACTGTCATAGGTAGAAACATCCCTGAGAATTTCAAATGAATCCCTCAAACGGTTTGGCTGGAAACCTGTAGACAAGATTATTCGGGACGCCCGCCCGGCAAACTGATTACAATATAGCACCTTAGGGTGCGATAAAAATTGTGAGTTCGGTGCCAATCTTAAACGATTCCGATATTCCTAAGAATATTAAGTGGCAAAACTTGAAATTAATGATTTTGTATTTTACAGCAAAGTCAAGCAAGTATTTCTTGGGGTTTTTAGAATAGTTTAACCTTGGCCTAGTTAAGATTTTTTCACTAAAATAGTATGCTTTAACTTCTAGTATTTCTAAATATTTTGAGCTTTATCTAATAAGCTGGGATACATTCAGGTAAACACCATATTCGGGGTTCAATGGAATATTGTGACTGAATATTATTGTTCTCTATATACAGGGTGATCATTAAGTTCTGGGAATTGGTCTACCATTTCAAGATTTCTAAACCATTTGAGTTGAAATTTTCAGCAATGTAATATATACATATCACATCTACAATTTATTTTATTCTAATTACAAAAAAAGTAAAAGTGGTCCGCGGGTCAGCAAATTTTGACTGATGTTAATCTGAAAATTTCCCGCCAAAACATATTCATCTTGCCTAGATTGTTGCTTCAAACTACTTGTACTAGAGGCAGAACAGTACCCCTGAAGTCATTTAATCAGAAGTATTCTTCATTGCTGAGAGAATCATTTTATTTATAATTGTTTCCATTAGCCTGGACGCGCATGCGTTGATGACAAACTTAGTCCATAAAGATGTGTTCCAGTCCTCCCTTTGGTATCCCTTGAAGATTTGCTCAAGCCGTTGAAATCAGTCTCTTATCGGAATCAAGCTTATGACCTCTCATATAATGCTTTAGCACCCAAAATGTAGTGAAGCCTAGTGTTGGTTCATCTGGTGAATATTGTCTGGTGAATATGGGGCAGTAATAACTTGTGTGAACCCTAATTCTTCAAGAGTAGTATGGGCAGCTTGAGTAATGGGAAGGAGCATAGTCATAATGGAAGATAACTCCCTGCTATTTTGAGTCATGATTGTGACTTTGAGATGCTGATGAATGATACGAAAATAGAACAAAGAACACTCTTATATAACAATACAGATGTTACTTTAGAAACTAAAGTTAGAAGAATTTGAAAATATCGAAAATCACAGAAATATGTCCACCAAATAGGTATATCTTAACCATACTTTTGAATCAAGCAAAATTTGAATTCATTTTCATTTTACTTGACCCGCTACACCATTTGTCATGTTGCTATAGTAACAATAATTATCCATTGTGACATCAGATGACAATGAAACTGTTTTATCCAACCCAAAATTACATTCTCCATCTACCTTGAAAATTTCAAGTAAATTGGTTGAAAACATAATGAAATGACAGTTAAATTCCCAGAACTTATTATTTTATGACCTACACTGTATGATTATTTTTTCACATCAGCTTAATTGCATTGCTAACGTTTAGTATAGGACTACATGTCATGAAATAAACAATCATATAAAATAACTATAATCAATGTAAATGAATGCTGCCAGATCATTATTCATTTCACTTTACATAATAATTCAAACCATTATTATTTTCTAGACATGCCATTCTCCAAGAGGTTGAGTGGGAATCACGTTGCTCTCATACAATGCTAATATGGCGTCCATATCTGGGACAAAGTCACAGAGCACAAACTAAAATAAAATGTATACTATACACCATTTTGACTGAGAGGTTATGTACCTGGAATATAGTTACTGATAAAACGAGTATGACAATTCAATATTAATCTATGAAGTAAACGTTATCAAAAACGATCACGTTTTGGCACAATACGTGAATATTAAGTACTCAAACATTTTATGCCATATATGCCTTTTTATTTGAAAAGCGAATAGTAGATTACATTGACTACTTTACCTCGTCCAGTTCACCAATAAATCCGTCACCTAATCTTAACGGCTGTTTGCTACTAATGATGCGAAGAACTAATGGGTCACCGGGTATTGGAACATTATCTGCAAATTTAATGAAATTTTAGGACGTTAATATTTCATTGAAAAGTTGACTTAGAAACTTAAGCACCTTTATTGTTTTCTTACTTCGTTTGGCTCGGCTTGGTGTGTCGACGTTCTTTGCTCTTTCATCCTTCCGACTCTCATTTAAGTAATGTTCCTATAAAAAGACAATTTACATGAAGTTCTAGAGAACTGCCGCAAAAAATTTATAATAAAAGTTACGTCGTAAGGTTTACCAAAAACGTTCATGAACATTTTATAATAACCTAATTTATGAACATGGGATTTCTCGAATATTATCGGTGAACATGCAAAAGTCTGTTTTATAGAAGTTCCAAAAATTGCATCAGCACATTTCCGTTTCTATTTAGAGAGAGCGTTTGATGTCCCAAATACCAGACTAAATAGATACCGGAAACAAGTTGTCAAGTATCGACATAGTCAGATTGGAATTTCTTTTTAGCTCAATTTGAATTATAATTGAATATTAGAGTCCTAATATCTCAATATTGTGCTGACCATTACGTTTCAATTTGAGAACAATTAAGAAGCATTGACAATTTAGATATATATAAAAACTGTTGATTGATATAGCAGTATTTACATTTGTATGGGAGACTTCATCTTCAGGAATTACATATTTTAGCCATTCTCTCAAAGGGCGAGTTGTTACCAATACCCGCAAATAGTCCGGGTCAATTAGATCCACATCAATGCTTTTCGCTGTATCTACAATTTACCCAATAATTTAACACTTAATTACTTAATTCCTAACAAGGCAGAATCGTTCATTTTCTCAAAAGAAATGCAATTCAGGGTTTCAAATCATGATGCTTTCTTTGTAAAACATCTCTCATTGCTGCAAAACGTCACCCTATAGCGTAGCTCTTGGTTAAACGGCTAACAGTGGCCATCTTGAGCGATGTCTCTGTGTCCAAAAGGCACAAGCATATAAAACTAAAACTAAGTAAGTTAACGGGTATTCAAGTTATCACAGCTTATATTTTCATAAAAATGGTGAAATTTTAAAGTGAGCAGCCACATTTAACATGACTCCTTAAGCAGAGGTCCCATGTCAACAAGGCTTGTGTTTGATACTGTTAAAAGCATTATCATAGCTTAAATATCCTCTACAAAATTGTTATTTTTGCCCCACCCTATATTCTTTAGTCCTTACCTCGTTTTTTCCTGAAAGAGATACCCGTTAAATAACTGCCTATACTAACAGCTGAATCAACGGGACTATATTCAGTACCATCATCTTCATCAATCAGAATAGGATCCATCAGTTGAACCATATAACGCAATCTATCCAGTTTCTTTGCCACTAAGTCCGCCATCAACTGTGCCTCTGGTGAAATATCAACAGCTTTGGCAATTTCGATCACCTTGAGCATAGAAAGAACTATGTGTATCATATTTAAGAACTATGAATGTCCATTTTTGTCATAACAATATATACACGACGAGTCTCCAGCAATTGTAAGTGTAACACAAGGCATTAACATGACAAATTGTCAAAACCTTCAGTTGCTCACAATATTATAAGTTCAATTTAAGTCTTAATAAATATTCAAGATTTGTTGAATTTACTTGCAGCAATTGCCCCCCCCCCCCCCCTCCGTTCATTCTGTCCGATCATCTTTTTACCGTTTTCACCGTTTCTGCATATAATATAATACTTCATTTTAATCCCTATTCCATCAAGATATAAGACATAAGATCAGCCTAAAATTGTCTGGATTTATAATAGGATCTAAATAAAGCATCCGATGCTGCCTTCCTTGACAAGGTTGACACAGTGGCATTAAGCGGTGTAAGTGCGCTTTGATGAGTCTTTTTCGTGATACTTAGGGGGAAACTTATTCTCCAAATCACTTGCTCCTCGGTCATACAACAATACACCCCAAGTCAAACAATCCAGTTGCGAAAACGATTCCCAATATAATACTATGTTATATAATAAAACTTAAAATAATAAAAAGAAAAAACTCAACAGCCGCTTACCCCCCTATCACACCAAACTAGTTCTTACCCGTTCTTGCCAGTCCTAAGAAAACGTTGTAAAACGGGCTCAGTCTGGCTGTAGTCGGGAAATATGTCTAAAATAATTATCTACTTCGTTCATAAACAGTCTTCAATACGTCCATCTCATTCGCACTTCGTTCAGGTCGTATACGTCGTATAACGCGTCCCTTAGTCTAGAAGGTCATCATGACCTGATTACAGAACGGTATGGTCGCCATCGAATTTTGAATCGATTCAAAATTCTAAATCACATTCGCCGTCCGGGAAAGTCCATGAATTTCGTAAACAGACCGTAGAACGTTGTAGCTACGTTCATTCAGTTCGCACACAGTTTAAAACCGATTGGCAACGTTTTGACGATCACCAGAATATTTTGAGCATGCTCTAAGTTCTGGAGGACCTACTCGTTCTAGTAGTTTCATGAAGTTTGTAAACAGATCCCAAACGGTTCTTAGTGGGTTCTTAGTACGTCAAATCCGTTCGTGCACAGTTTAAGCCTGTTTTCGAGAGCGTAGTGAGAACTAGTTTGGTGTGATAGTAGGGTTATACCTCAACACGCTTGTCATGTACCTAGTGAGGGACCATATCAAAATGCACAAGGGAATGCTGGACTACAGCCAATACGCAAGCATCCGTATGTAGATACTGCACCCAGACACACATAGAACCAAAAATGAAACAGCATCCAATTTCAGCAAGGAGAAATTCTCTCGCTATTAAAACTAGTCAGAGAACACTGGCGGATCAAGAAGCTAACAAGGGGCGGGGCCTAAATTTTGAATCATAATAAGATTTCCGCCCCTAAAACCAAAAACTTGACCTTATTTTGAAAAGTAAAGGCCCATTTTGATAATTAACAAAGGCCAATTTTTTGTCGCCCTACAAAATTTTATGCCCCAACAATTTGTGGGGCCCTAATTTTTTTTCTGGGCCTACAAAGGGAGGGCGGGCCCCATGCATACGAATACAATATAATAAAATAAAACAAAGGCGTAAATAAATCTGCATTCGTCGAGGCCAAAATAAGAACGGAGCATTTCAGTGGACCTTGTTCTGGAAACATCCTTTCAATCACAACAAATAGTCGGCAAGTATGTAGTCCGGTTTCAAAATATGATTACAACTAGAAATTAACTCTGCCATTTCTGGCCATGGGATATTCACAAATCAATTCCCTCGATTAGGAAACGAGAAAAAATTTAATATGTACTTTCCTGCATATAGTTTCTTTCTTTGAGAAACCTTCCTCCCCAGTGGTGTTTACGTCATTTAAAAGTTAAAGTTCCAGTATAGGTTCGGCTGAAAACTTATATCGAAAGCTCTCCTTATAACAGAGCTAACACTAACTATAAAGAGGTTTACAAGACACCGAACGTAACGATAGCATAAACGATATATTTTTGTTCATCAAGAACAGGGAGAGATGAATATGGATATGTACATTGCAAACATTGATGGCATTATGATGGTTCTTACAAGCAAACAAATCTAAGATTAACATAGCATTAGTGTTAACAACCAGGCTGGACTCAAATGGATTCATGATCACATTGCTTAGTGCATAAACGATGGACCAGACGACCGAGTGATTGTAAAAAATCAACATGTGTAGAACCAAATTTTTACTTCGTACGGTAGCTTTGTAACTATTCATTCTGGTGTTAACATTTGCAAAAACGTGAAAAGTTGTCATAACTTTTTTTAACGTAACCTAATCAAACCGATTTCTCGTGCAGATGGCGGACACTTTAGTCCTTCACGAACCGTGTCAGTCAATTTGGTTCGTTCTATCTTCAAATGAACGATTTCAACATCCAAAAAACTCACTTTTTCACGTTTTTGCGAATGTAAACAAAGGAGGTTGGGACCCCTGGGCTTTTTATTTTTCTATCAACAAAGATGTATTTGGTAGATAGAAAGCAGAATCAATAGTTCCCTTGAGCATGTGCTATAGTATCTCCGTCCGAATTTGCTATGAAAGATAATCTCCATTCCCGTAAGATAGGGTCACGATTTTTTATAAAATTGTGTTTTATTCCGTATAAATGTAACAAAACCAATAAGGCGGAATGATATTGACACCCGAGTATATTGTTATTAGAGTAATATGTACAATGGAATAGAATGCAAATATATAATTGGTTAAAGACGCCGTGTCCTCATATGACCGATTTATAGACATTCTCAGATTGTATTTTTTGACAAGTTGAACATGCCTTAAACGGCAACCTTTATTTTGATAAATAGTACCGTAGGTACTGGGCTCACATGGTGTTGCTCATAAGTGAATGATGGCTAAAATGGCAGAAAATCAAAAAAACTTTTTACGATGCGGGAAACCTGAAAATATTTGTAAAGCTAGGAAATTGGCAAAAAGTGAATTTCGCAAAAATGGCGACCATTTTGAAAATAGGCGAGCCTTTGAACCAAGAGTCATATGGGAGTTTTGTGTATTGATGTTGAACAAAAATAACTTAAAACAGGAATCCTATCGACAGAGGTTTTAAGGCAAATTGTCAAAAAGTGGAGTTCGCGAGACAGATTAACAAATCCATGTTAACTTAATAATAAATGGCTGATGTTTTGCCGATTTTTTGTTACAAAATTATTTTATTCAACTACTCTTTACAATAACATGGCTTTTTACAAAGCAGGACACCTGACATTATTTGTAAAGCTAGGAAATGGGTCAAAAGGGAATTTCACAAGACAAAAATGGCAACCATTTTACGAATAGGCGAGCTTTTGAGCCAGGAGTCATACGAGAGTTCCCTGTATTGATGTCGAACAAAATTAAGTTAAAGCGGAAATCAAATCGACAGAGGTTTTAAAGCAAATTGTCCAAAAGTGAATTTCGCGAGAGAAAAAATGGCGGCCATTTTGAAACTAGGCGAGCTTTTGAACCAGGAGTCATAGGGGGTTTTCTATACTGATGTTGAACAAAAATAACTTAAAACGGGAATCCTATTGACAGTGAGAGGTTTTAAAACGGGTCAATTGTTGACAGACGGACGGACGGACAGACAGACGGTCAAGTGAATAATTGCAATAGCTCACCACGTGGGCTAATAATAACACTCAGAATTTAATAATCAAAGCGAGTGTGTCATTTTTGGAATTCACAAAAACCCTATTGGAACCTTATCCAAACTTTACTCTAGTGGTTATCACACAATTTGACCATCTTAAATTAAGTGATGTACTTTTTTATATATTAAGATTATATATAAAACTATATATCAGTTTTCAGTTTCACATTTTGCTATTTTAACCTTATCAGACTTCATTACATGATTTATTGCACAAATTACATCTATATAATACAGAGTGTTTCATAAGTATGCACCCCGTCCTATAAACCCATACATGTAGTACTGCCACCTTATCATGTTATATACGGTTTTGTTTCTTATGGAATGTTCATAAGATTACAAAGTTCCAGAATCCAGAGGTGTCCCTCAAAAAAGATACAACGTATCAAAGTATGTGGGTACTGGTCATTTCGAGGGGAATTTCTGGTTATTTCGAGGGCAATTTAAAGGAAAAATTGGTATCTATATTGCAGATTTCTAGCAGTTGTCATCATGGCACAGTTCAGTCCATACGTGTGTGACAGTAATGTACAAAGATATATAGATATGATTCATGCAGTGGTTTATAAGGAGACCGGGTACCCTGGTGTGACCTCTATCACTAAAGATGGGTATAGGACAAAGTGAATAGATCACCAGACTGTGTCCAAAAAGGACCGGGAATTGCCCTCTCAATGAGTCGATCCCATACCCACAAACTTTGATACATTGCATCTTTTTTCGGGGACACCCGTGGATTATGAAACTTTGCGATCTTATGTAACTTTCCATTGGGAACAAAATCATATACAAGGATATGGCGGCAATGCTACATGTATGAGTTTATGGGGGTGCATTCATATGAAACACCCTGTATATGAAATAAGAAAGAAAGAAATATGACCCTCGTAGAAACTGGGACAGTAGAAGTCATTAGTCTCTGTTTCCCTAATAGCTCGTTCATTCCTCAATAATTTTTAATTGAATTTTACGGGATAAACTTCCAGGCAATTTTACGGGCAAATATATTCAACTTATCATAATCAATTGTCATTATACTTACAGCTATTTGAAAATGATGGCCAACTTCTGCTAAGATACCAATTGAGAGTCGTTTGTCTGAAAATGATAAATCATCTCAATTTCCTGGAATAAGTACTGCTCAAATATTTTCAATTGTTATTTTTGTTTAACATATTGTCTACAAGGTAACATTCTAAAGCGTGACGAGAATTATAACAATCAAAAACTGGAATGAACCTCAATTTTTAAAATGAAATTTAAAAGTTGTCACCCAACAGAAGTTTGGCATCATTTCTAAAATGCTGTAAGTATAGTGAAAATTTATTATGAGTTGAACGAATTGTTCTGTCTAAGAATGCGTTGAGGTTAATTGAAATAATTATATCGAGTATTAGTTAAACAACACATGTTGTTGTTAGGAATACGTTTGACTTTACCTTATCAAAATTTCAGGTAACGTTATTTAGAATTGAAAAAAGTATCAAGAAAAATAGAGGCATAACTTGGCCTGGCTACTATAGGAGGATGACACTGAGTTTGATAGTTAAACTCCTGGCGCATGGACCTACCAGTTGTCTCCGGTCAGTGAGGTCTTGGATTACAAACTGTGTTTCTTGTCTGAGCTCTGAAAAGGGGCCAAAGACTTGTGCAAGTTCTTCAATTGTTCTGTCTTTCGAATGAAGGTTTGTTATCCATTTTACTATTTTCCTTACTGTTTCGTCGTAAAAGAATATCCAGTCCACTGAAAACCATGCAGATCACGATTTCATCGAAATGTTATTTTATCAGGTAAACTAGAATGATAAACTAATGTGAATGACAATGGGTTATACACACCAAAGATAACAATAATATTTGAAAAATATGTTGTGAATTTATAATACAATTAGTGTAAATCTAGACAATCGCTTAAAAAGTAAGAAATTGAGAAATCGTATGGAGTCGTGCCTTTACCTTTACAAAAATGTAAGTCATTGTGTTACCTACAGGGTGTTCCAAAAGTAACAGGACTGGTGCTGGCATTTTGTCAATTTTGCACTGAGTATCTTCAAATTTTCACAAATTGTACTTTGAAGTATTGCAACTTAAATTATAAAGTTTCAGAAAAAATGATGAAATGCGGTTAGAGCTGTGGTTACTATAGTAACATGCCATTCCAATACCCGGGGCAACTTTTTTCCTGAAAATGTGATATCTAACATTTTTGTATTACTGAATAAAGTATCTAATTCACCTATTATAATACAAAATATCTTGTTTATTTTATTAAGTCCTTTATTGTAAAGGTGTTGCTATACAACTCAGATTCAAGTATAATTTCATAATGATAATAACATTTATTCAATTTCCTGGAATATCACAGTACAGTCTAAATAAAGACCCAATTTGAAGCCAGTCATCTACCTTGATAGCGCGCCTGCCTGCAGGTCGGCATTAAAGACCATGCAGCTATAGAGGAACTTATAGGTCTTGAGGGTCTAAAACCATGCACCATACTCCTCTGATCATGCAATATCTAATTTTTACTTATATTGAGAACGGAATGCTAATCAGTGCTGTACGACCTTTAAAGATGAGAATGGCCTTCTCCAAATTGTCCAATCGACCCTGCGTGACATGCTCTCAAATGGGTTCACTCATGTGTTTGGGTCATGGGTACAGAGTACTACTCTTGTACTGACCAAAGAGGAGCCTATTTTTCAAAGTAGAGGATACATAGGAATATCAAATGACATAAAACAAATGTAATTCCCACCAGTTGTTGCATTTCAACTTTGATATAGCATGTACAAAATGATATGGCATGTACAAAATGCTTAATGTCTCTGTAACTTTTTGCGTGGAATGTTGCCCCGGGTATTGTGATGTCATGTTACTATAGCAACCATAACTCAACCCGAGTTTCATATATTTTGTAGAAACTTTGCAGTCTTAGTAACGATACATGAAAGTACATTATGTAGAATTTTGAAGATAATTGGTGCATATTTAACAAAATGCCAGCACCAGTCCTGTTACTTTTGGAACACCCTGTATGCTTTGTCAAGTGCATGTTGTGGAACAAACTAGGGTGATATGAATGACCACCTCTGAAGTAAGGTTCCAATACACCATTGAAAAGCTGAAAGAGTCAGCTTTAAGAATCTAACCTCAATTTGAATTTTTAATGAATGCAAAATGAGAAAGTGACCCTTTCATCTCAAATGGTTCATTTATTAATTTCATGAAAATCAATTTCAAAATGACAAGTACCCCATATCGCCAGAATGGATTATTTGTAGGTTTACAATAACTTTAAGAGAGAATCAGATCTAGTGAGCAGCCTAACAAAAAATTCTTTCAATTTTAGAATATTTCTGGCTTATGTCATTCCTTTTCATGTCTATTTTCTAAAAATCCAAAAGTGCACACTTTATTTCAGGAAAACTAAAGATTTTTATAATAATGTATTATTTTTCTATAAGAATGGTAACCATTCTTATTATTTTGGACAATTTAAAACATTTTCATCCATTTTTCTTAAGGACAGTCGAGCAACGTGTGTGTATTTAGAAATATATAAGCACAAGTGCCAAAGGGAAAAAAGGGTAGGGTGCTTCCTCTGGTGTGTCTGGGCGTTAACATCAGCTGCCTCTAGTCAGATCGACAAACAAAACAACCTTTTTTTGGGTTGTCGAGTTGGCCGAGAGGACTTGATGCTAGCACGTTTAGGCTAGGCGATTGGGGCCGTAACCACGAGGTTGCGAGTTCGAGACGCGTATGCTCCTTGCGTTTATTCATTTGCTCTTTGAATCCATTATAACTTCACCAATTTATAACATGTCGTGAATCTTTTGGGAGATATTGTGTTTGAGATTGTAAGGAATAGATTGGTAGGTCAATTGTACATGTTGCTTGTAATTTTGTCACCCCCATAGATCTGATTCTGCCTTTAATCAATGTCAAATTATACTTTTGAGAATATCTAAGAGTTTGAACCCAGATAGGCTGAGATAGAGATCATTAAGTGAAGTGGCCCCATAATGCGCCAGCATTTTTGTTTTCAGTAGAAATGAAATTTGAAAGGACGATTCTCGGTTTGGAGAACGAAGTTCATCAATCTAAATGAGCATTATCCCTGCTTCGGACAAATCTGATTTTTTTTACATAATATAGATTTGAATGTCCTCTTTTGAATAGTCATAATTTAATTTGGGTAATATTTCTAGATTTTTCGCAAAAAAATATTAGCGCAGTACACTGATGAACTTCTTTCCCCAAATCGAGACTTGTATTTTATTGAATCGGTCTAATTGAGCGTTATCCCTGCTTCAGACCAATTTGTTATTTTTACATCTTGTAGATTTGAATGTCCTGTTTTGAATATTCATAGTTTAATTTGGGTAATATTTCTATATTTTTCATGAAAAAAATTATTAGCCCAGGAGACTGTTCTCCAAACCGAGAATCGTCCTTTGAAAATAAAAAATTACTTTCATGTGTAAATTGGGTATTTAGGAGGAATGTACAATGCAAATTACTAATTTTCTCTTGAGATTGTGTACTGGCTTAACATGGGAATATGCAAATATGACTTAACACTGGGTATCAACATATACCTTTAACCCGACATATTTTTAAATATACCCTTATTAGTTTACTAATCAATGATATAATTAATTCAAAAGGAGAAATACACACACTCTAAACAAGTGCCATGGTGATTCACTACATATCAAGGTTAAGTGGAATCCATCAAGTCAAATGTTTGACCTCTATTGCCACATTTATCTACTTATATAGCATCTTTTTATTTCACTCAAATGTAGAATTCCATCTCAAGCATGCATACTTTCTATAATATGAAGTGATTCCGATGAATAGTTTCATACACCCCAGTCACATTTGTCGTTCGGAGGCCATGCGTCGACCGCAGATCAATTAAATCAGTGTATTTCTGCGGCGAATTTCCTACGCTCGCCTTGCGGCCTCCGTACGGCGTATCCAGTTTTTTACAGGCCGCAGGGTCGCCGTAATAATTATAACTCGGAGTTATAATATTTGTTCATTTCTGAGGTCCCCGTAGAAATCAACTGGCTCAACAAGATTGAATCATTATTTGTCAATGTTTCACGATCACTTTTCATTTGATATTACATCCTAGCACTTATGAATAATATTTATAAATTGTCAAGATGTAAATAAAATGAAAAAAGTATTATTTATCAACAGAAATTCAAAGTTCACCGTGCGGCTGCCGTGGGAAATGTGACTGCAAAAGTATGAGAGCGCAGAAATTCCACGGCGAGCGTAGAAATGTTACTGGCCGCAGAAATGATAGACCGCAAGGTCGCCGTTGGAAATGTGACTGGGGTGTTAGACATAACAGTCCATATTCTGAAACCATACATTTCCACATACAACCACCCACCCATCCTCATATAAACTAAGGAGAGAAGCAAAGTCACACGACTGATCATATAGAATGGCACAAATATATCCTTTATACAATAAAAGTACATTCACCAGTTTTATATGAAAAACCAATGAAACATTATAATGTAAAAAAACAAACTTGGCATTGTTTTCATAGATATTTGGATGGTAATTTCAAAGAGAAAATATAATCATACCACAGAGTGTAAACATCATAATTATATACTGTTGTACAGCCTAGACCACATACTTATTAAACTTATGGACATTTAGAATGAAAATAGAAACCGATTGTCAAAAAATATTTTGATTGAAAAATCATGATTGATTTCTTAATTTTACCACTTGGTGATGAAAGGGTTAATACCTAATTTTGCATTTAGCGAAAATTCGAATGGAGGTTAGGTACTTAAAACTCACACCCTCAGCTTTCCAATTGTGTATTGGAACCTTAGTGCAGAAGAGGTAATTTAAAAATCACTAAGGAGCGCACTTTGAGGCTCTATTTTGCTCAAGTATGCTCACTTTGTGTGCTGTTCCTGTTGATTCATTATTATTTTCATCATTTTACATCAATTTGAACAAAACAAATTTAACTGAATAAAATTCTTGGAATTATATTCATTGATTCTTAAGCTTAATTAAACAACTTAATATCCATTAATGGGCATGTTTTTGAAACGAATTCATTAACACAATATTAATTCCATTGTCTAAGGTATTGACATTTTCTTTAAAAATCTCTCAAAATCGTAGCATACGTTTTCTTTCATACCATCATCTTTTCTATTTTTCACTCATGTGCGTTTTACTGAAAAGTAACTGTTTAATGACTGGCTGCACTCATATATGATTCATAATTTCATCTGTTTTAACACTTTAAGTCATTTTCATTTGGCTAATGCATCAATATTTCTCAACTTTGAAATATCTCTACTTTTACCCCTAAAACTAAAACACTTACGAAAAACGCCACCGGCAAGGTTTTTGAATATATTCATATCCTCTACCACAACATTGTTCATGATGTCATTCAGATCAGAATCGCCATAATCTGCTGATGCCAAAAGTTCAATGTCGTTCATAACTGCTCGCATTATTTCCTCGAAATCAATTTCAGCTAATCTTTCTGAAACATAATAATAAATAATAACATTTTGATTCTGAACAAGACTTAAAGGCCCCATATAAAGTTTAAACCACTTTGGCTTATATTGTAGTCTTACCCAATGTTATCAAAGTGTGATATGTGAAACTTTTTTTTTTAATTTCAAAAAGTGGTTTTTGATAGGCTTTTTGTTCCAAAATTTGTGAATTTATTTAAAACCAACTTTTAGAGGTCACTCATATCTTTTGATTGGCCACAATTCATACCAATGCATAGCATTTATCCTCCCATGTTTTTTGCCGAAAAAATTTAAAAAATCGTTTCATAAATAAGCGAGAAATGAACTTATCAGTGCATGAAAATGGTTCTGAGAAAAATGCATTTCAGAATTTTAGTTCGCTTGGAAACCAATGGTACAATGATATCTAAAACATAATTTATTCTTCCTTTTAACCGGGTTAACCAATCAACATTGGTTTTTTATGAAAGTCTAGCACATTTAGAAAAGATTGACATCGAAAAAAAAATTTCAATTTTTTGAAAAAGTTTTTGCTACCTTAGTGACATCACTAATGTTTCAAAATATTTTTAATATGCTAAAACATTGAAGTGGCCCATTAAATATGGCATTTTATTATTGAAATAGTGTCTCCTTTTTAAATCTTTGCATTGGTGTTAAAAGGATAATCTTTTTTGGAAATGCATTAAGAAATATTTGATGATTAAGAAATTTCAACTTTTTTAAAAAATGGCGGGAAATTTGAATATTTGAGAAATGAAATGCTCACAACTTTTTTTCAAAAATATTTTTTTTCAAAATGTCTAAAATCACTTTTTAAGTCCTGACAAATAGTAAATGAATGATAAAAAAATATTTTCAAACTTTAGATGGGGACTTTAAGGTTAATTGTTCTGGAAAATGTTGAATCGTTTGGTGCTGCTTCGTGATTGGGTCAAGTTCAATAGATATTATTTGACTTCGTTCGTTTCTACTGCTAAATAGGTAAACAGATTCAAAGGTGATTCTCAGAGGATTCTTGATCTCAAATCAGAAATTGAAATGACTTATAATATTAAACGTCGTGACCTTATTTGGAAACTATCGTGTTTAAAGAGTAGAGTGCTGTATCTGATTGTTGAGGTTTGTCTCAGAAAAAGTTCCAAAATACCAAGTGTATTAGGATCACATGGTGTAAGTGCTTTTAAGGGACCACCTTTGAACCTTTGAACACCATGTTAACACTAAAATGAGGTAGATAAAATGTCAAGCTGATTGGTGGAACATTTTTAGACCAATCATTAAGGGGCAAAACATGACTATTTAACCTAAAAAATAGTGGCAATTTTATGATATATTTTGCCGAAACTAACATATTTGTTTAACTATATGTACATTGATTTCAAGTGAAACCATTTGATATGTCTTTTAGGATTTGAAATGCGCCACCAATGAACTGATGGGCGAATGGGTGCATGGGTGCACGGACGAAAGTAAGGAAGCATCGAGGGAACGAATGGATGGGTCTAGAATGAAGAAAAGAACAGACAAATCGATGATAAACATAGCTCACAGAGCTTACAATTTCCAAATTATGTGTTAGTCCTACATACATTTCACATTAAAGTGGATCCACGATTATTTGTAATTGTACGTTAAATCATTTTTACTATATCTTAAAATACCTCTCTCCAATATCGAGAACGGCCTTCCATTAAGAACAACGTTCACGAAACCAGTTCTGTTCAAACTAAGGCAAAAGTGTCTCCATGATCCAGCCAAGTCCTTAAAATGTTAATTTAATATTTATAATTGATAATTTTATATAATATACTGGGTGGCCGAAAGGACTCTTGAAATGGGCAATATATCCTTGAATAGACAAGTGACACCAATGACATTTTGCACACTTTATTACCGTTCTATGGGCATTCGTTCCCGAGACTTTAAATGAAATTGAGCCTAACTCAGAGCTGGATTTCCATGGCAAAAGTACCCTAACACATTCAGACCTTGTTATGGTATTATTAGCAAATTAGGCAGTGATTGTCTTCCCTAGGTCAGCAAATGTGCGCGGATTGTTTTGACATACAATTGTTTTCATTTTTTCAGAAGAGAAAGAATATTGCAGTTAGTTAATCAAAAATATAATGTCATAGACATCTGCTCAAAAGCCAATCGCGATAGAAAACTACTAGAAAACGCAGCTGTCAGGGGTAATTTCCATCGCGACGAAACCTAATAACATCCTAACCATAATGTGTTGTTACCCCAAATGAGGAGGGAAAGCATCGCAACATATTTTTGACAGTCATATGTTGGATTTGGGCTATTTTCTAAATATTTATAAAGGTGCATATGTTAGGACAATACATTATCTCCAGGAAAAGCACTTAAAGGGATGATAAAATAATTTCGATTTTGAAACAGGTGAGATGCAAACAACCCACCCACATGTTTTTCTGAAATGTTGTCCTGATTCTCAACCCCTTCCACCCATGCATTTTCAAATTTTGCATTAATATGTTGCGTTTTAAGACACAGCTAACCTTTTAAGGAAAGAGTGATCCCTTTTCGATAAAGTGAAAAACAATATTCCCCATGTCATTTTCTCATGCGATCCATTGCTTTCAGTTAATTTCGGTCACCCATAAAGGATATTTTTAAACCCCTGAGGGAATTTGTCGAAATGCCTACATCAATCTGTCTGAACCAGGACGACTGCGATTTGAAGTATTTATCTCTTACGAATGTATTTTGAGCAGGTAATTAAGGCATATTTTTTGTCAACTAACTACAAGAGCTTATCGTCACTTCTTTCCTCTCTCTGACAGACTGACTAATAAAACAACCTGGTACTTTAAATTGAGGCATGACTCGTACCAGTGTACACTTTTTGCTCCGAATAACATTCTCAATTCTGATCAAAAATAAAAAAAATGTGAAAGTCAAATGAAACTGACGCACCTTCGTGTTAAAATACAATGTCCTTTGCACGGTCGATGATGTAATGCTACCACAGTTACCATTATCCAAAAAAGTATCATGGATGTGTATTAGTACTATATCTAGTAATTCTCGTAACACGACCAATACAATCTTAACGAAAAGGGAGCATCAGTCCTGTTTCTTTTTTACTCTCAAGAAATATTTCAAATTAATGCTTACATCAGGATTGACTAGTAGAACGATATCTTCAACTCTGTCACATGCGCTCACCCCACCAACAATCAACCAATCACCTAGGTCTGTCGTAATAAGTTCTAACATAACAGTTGCTTCAGCACCCTCGTCGAGACCATTGTGGAAAATTATTCCGGGTTTTAGGTTCACGTCAAATTTAACCCATATACACGCAAAAAATGTGTACTGATTTATTGCAGTGTATGCGTCTATGGTAATAGTAGAATCGTGTTCATAGAGTCCTATGCTATTTCCAAAGTTACCTTCTTGATTAGGAGTTGTACGTACTCCCTTTGAGATAAGTCCACGATTGTTTATAATTTTACGATCATCGAAAGAATAATAGAGGCACTCTTGTTCAGTCACTACAACAGATCATGGTATTTGTTATAATTGTTATTTTTTGTCTATTCATAACAGGAAAAACGTATTGAGCAGGACAGAGAGCAAGCTTGTATTTGCGAATGCAGCTAACGGCTACCGGATTAACCTACTATTTTATGACCAACTCATTAAGGTATGAATTGAATATATTGTACAATTCATTGTAGGTTTATCTGGTGGCCGACTGTCGTTAGTTGCATTCGGGAATACAAGCTAAGACAAATAAGACAAAGAAATTACCTGCGCAATCTTTGATACTTCGTGGTTAACTACATGCGATCTTACACGCGTAATACCATGTGGAGGATTACATGTGTAAAGATGCTTGCCAATTAAGACATGTGCTTAAGGTAAAAGTTCACTTCAAATCGAAAAAAAATTATCATCATCCGGAAGTCCAACCATGTTGTGTAATATTTGTACCTGTAGGTATTCCTTCGCAGCAACATGCATCGAGATAAAAGATCTGACCTTCTGGACAACCCTGTATGTCTCCTCTGAACTCGTAGTGTGTGTCATTGATGCGTTTATATATTTGGGAGTTCTCGAAGGATAATACTTGATGAATGTCTAATTGTTCCAAACAGCACTCATCTATGTAAAAAAGCAAAGTGCTAACTGTACTTATTGATAATGATTGAGAATCTCCGAGTCCAACCCCGTTTGGCATTTAACATTAGCAAACCGTCAACGGATATCAAAATTAAATACTGACCTTCGTCCAAAAATTCCCCACATGTTCCGTCTGTGTCTCGGAATGCTGGAGCATAAATTATTAAAGTTTTTCAATAACTTAACTGTTTTACGTCTTGTGAGGACTGTGACAACTTTTTAGATTTATATTCATTGATAATATTACAACATTCAATTATTCATCGGTATATTTCATGGAAATGTTGGATTTCAAGCTCCTTGTCAGTTCTTGTATGATCGAAGATTTTACTTGTTAGAATGTATTTGTTTAAATGTAAATTGAGTTATGAAATTGCTATTCAATCGTTTTTTCATTGGCAACTACTTGGTTTTGAATATTGAAATCTGAATTATTTCCAAAGATTGTGTTTGAATACCATACTTACCGCATGTATCAATGGGACAGGCGAAGTTATACTCATCCCTACTGACACATAGACAGAGTACGGGATGCCATATACTACTTGCAGGGCAGTCCATCTTGATTCCGTATACTCCATTATAAAAATATGGAGAGCCCAAATACCCACTGACGCATCGTACATAACCACAGCAGTTATCAAGATCGCTAATGTAATTATTCTGCCTTTCACATTGTTCTGAAGCGACATATGGTTGTATTAATATTGCATTATTGGGCCATAAATGTGCATCATATCTATTTTAGTACTTGATGTCATTCCCTTGCACGAAGCAAGATCGGTCATAATTTGTAGTACGATGTTATTTTTAGGGAGTTAAAGCCGGCATATAAAATCGAAACGCTAACCTATACGTATGACCAATCGCCCAAACAAATGCATTGCTTTTTCCGTTCACGTTTAAGTTGTGAAAAACATTGCAAGCTTAATCACTCCATTGTATACGAGTGTGAACGTGCAGTCTTTTCGATGTTTTGGGTTTTGAAAATGTACAACACAATATTTTGACCCACAACTTTTTCTCGAGCAAAATGCTTGTAAAAAAGGTTTACGTGATCAGGGTATGTTATATTTACCTATACGTTCAGGAATCAACAGCTCAATTTTCCCTTTAAATAGAAATATCAAAAAGCATTATGTACAATTAAATATTGAATGATGCATTGATAAAACCATTACAAATGACTAGCATACTTTTTACCAGACCAAATCATGTGTATTTGTCCTCGCCATATTTGGCCTTTTGCCCATTTCTGGTAAGGATTTTGTCATTATGTATAATAAGAGAGCAAGTATATATAATGATACTGTTTACAATTATTTTTAATAAATTATTTTTACGTTTTTATTATGCAAGTAATGTTTTATTTTGAGATCTTATCTATGTGCAGCCTGTATTTTGATGCAATTGTTCATTCATCCAGGAAACTAGTTTCTCGTTTATAAAAACTGATAATTTAACGTTATGTCAAAGCCTTCATGGCATCCATTTGACTTTTACTTTAGTTATTTTGATGAGTTGCTAAATACACTGTTAAAAACTTAGAACTTCAAATCATAATCTTCCTATAGAAACAGGGAGATACATAAAAAGACCAATGTTAGAGAGAGTGTGTACCAAATGTAGCAGACTAGGAGATGAGTACCATTATATTTTAGAATTTAAACTTTTTGAAGATTACAGAAAAATACTTCTAGATAACTACTTCATTAGACAACCAAATATGTTAAAATTTAAAAGTTTGTTGTCAAATATTAAATATTCTGTGCAATTAAGTAAATTGATGAAGATTATTGGTGGTAGTGAATTAAACTAAACTGTATTATCATTGTATGTATATGTACTATTTTATACTCACAAGTGTGGGTAGAAATAAAAAATAAAAAAATAAAAAGAAAAAAAAAGGTTACCAAACAATTACAAATGAAAAGCATATTATTATCAAACAGGATTTGAGATATGAAAATGTTGTTTAGTCCATGCACTACACACGATCGCAAGACTGTTAGCACAAAAAAAATATTTTAGGACCTGTGAGAACAGATGAAACAAATATTTTGGATCTCAAATGTATTCGTTATGTTCTAGTCTGCTAAAACTGACACCTTCTTCTTTAGACCGCAAAGGCTTTTTGAATTGTTATTTCCAGCCATGCGGTGTATATAAGGTAAAAATTAATGTTACCAGGGGAAATGGAAGCTTAAGCATCTATGACATTTCTACAAATGTATTGAAATGGTCTAAATGTTTTATTGTTATTTTATTATTTATATTTTGTTTTAGTAAAACCACGCATTGACTCTCTCACATTTTTATCTTTCCAACAGTATAGTTTATCGAATTACTAAAGTTACTCAAATTGCTTTCAATTGACAACTGCCTACTGGTGTTTTGATGCTTCCAAATAACAAAGGATCCTCAGTAACCTTTATTGATATAGACAAAAAGAAATATTTAAAAATAACGTTTGGAATACATTTGAAATCACAAAAAAATTGTAGCACCAATTCTCACAGATTCTTGCATTTTGGCCTTATGTGTAGAGGGTAAGTGAAAATACCAAAAAATTATCTATATGTAAAATATAGTCTAATAAATATACAGTATATTGAAAATAAAATACCTCTTATCCTGTGCGAATTACATCAATAGGGTACCATATATATGCAATAAGTCCATTTTAAGTTAAGTTGATTTAAGTTTGAGAAAGTTGTTGAGCATGTATTGCGTTGGATAAAGACTTTACACCCGAGGGTAGTTGCATTAATAAGCTAATTAAATAACAGTTAAAAGTATACTTTACCAAACGTAGGTGAAGGAGCAAAGACAGTGTGAAATAATCCTATCACAGCAATGCATGTACATCTACAAATCAAAATTAGTCAAATATTATAAATCAATTGTTCCGTATATTCTGCTTAAACGATACATGTACAAAGTGGGTCAAAAACAATAAACAAATTAAAACATGAATATGATGACATATGATACATATTAAATTAGCCATGTATTAAAAAAATCGTTTCAAAGATAACATATTTCTTATCAATATGGCACCATCCTATTGAAAACCCGATGTTTTCTTGTGGAGTTATAGGCTTCAATTGACACCAGGGTTGTCATGAGCTACCAGACAATTAATAACTGCAGATTTCCAAATTCTGGAAAATGGAGAGAAGTTTGAACGTAGGCATCTTCGAAAGAGTTACATGTATACAAATTTAGTGCAAAATTCACCAGTTATACTTATAAATTTCAATCAACTATCAGTTGTGTGTTATTGAGTCCAGCTGTGACGACAATACGAAGGGAAATTCGGAAATTTAGATTTTTTGTCGCTCACTACAGGGGTGTCAGTTTTAGCCTCTAACTCCACATTGAAACATAGGTCTTTCAATCCGATGTATTCATATTATTAGGAAATAGATTATCTTTAAAATGATAATTATATAATAAATGACATGGTTTAAGATATATAATATGAATCATTCCTCTTTAAAATTGGGAATTGTTTTTAGTCCATCTTGTGTATATCGTTACAACTCTCAAAAGTATGGACAAATGGTTCCATCGAGTCGAAAATAACCAAAAATAATTTTCCTTATCCAGAGGTTAGTATAATTTAAATTACCAAATACATATATTTGGTTTTACAATTAAAATAAAGTAGATCACTGTATTTGCACTATACACCTCTGATAAGAGACTTGTGGAAACACATGCTGCTTGTACTGAATGGTACATCTTTTAGATGTACCATACCCATTTCAAGCACTCGGAAACCAATATCACAATTAATAAAACACAAGAGCATGGGCCATTCCAACTCAAGTTATTTCAATAAATGTTGAAGAGTATACTGAAAACGGGGGTCCCGATTATCTTGTTATAGACGATCGTTGTATATTATAGTATCAAGAAACAAACATTCAACTAAAGTCCCCTCTGTATGCCTTTAAGTGATAATTCTGAACTGTCGTCGAAAGAAAACTGGTTTCGATCCCTTTTCCTCAAACTGAATCCCCCTCTCCTTATGTCCTACAACAGGACAATAAGGGATCATAATTGTGTAGATGGCTTTATGGACTGGACTACATTGTGTGAAGAAAAAAGGCAAGACGTGTACTTATACGATTCGTTCAAAAAACATTGAATTTTCTTTTCAGGTTCCCTTGTACATGATGCGAATCGGCATGCGATCATGCTAATTGACCAGGAAAACTCAATTATGTTCTTAAATGATGATCATTTCAGCACCCTTTAAAGTATTGTTCTATAGATAAAGACTAATAAATACATTCGATGTATACTCACAAATACAGTCGTGCTTTCGACATCACTAGAATGTTCCTCTTAGAACAAGCAACGGCTATCCTCAATTTAATTATTCAGTATAAATGCAAATAAATGTACTCATTATCCTTTCCAAAATATTCGTATCAGGGAGAAGCACACAAAATGCTCCCCTGTTACAATGTTTTATTTTTGAACTTGTTTTATAAGTGTTAAATGCATACAATCAATACCTACACCTGCATGCCTTTAAGGTAACATAAATCATAATTTTCAAAATTCGATGTCATATTCCCTACTTACTGAGCAGATCCTCATCAAAGGCATACATGGATTATGATTTTAAAGCCTGGGTATAGTATAAATGATATTTAATATGCATTGACTACAACTTTTGCGTCAATATTTTTTTTGTTAAGATTATTTATTCGTCATGTTTTTTATTACATGGTCTTACAGTTACTAATTCACATTAAATGGACTAGAAAGATTAGAAACGAGTTGGGAGCAAGGTTTGAAAATATTGTCACAATTTCAAAACATTTCGAGCACATTTTTCCTTATTTCAGGAAAAAATGGACTTTCCTTTTTGATGCTGATGAATGTGGACATTTCTTCATAAATTGCTTTTATATTTGCTCGGATATCTCATAGGATTGTACGAAGGATATAACCATCTCTATAAATCATAGATAAAACTATTTGACACAGTCAAACTAATTGTATTATACATGTATGTATCTAATATTTGGGCAACAGAAACCGTTAAGTTACAAATTAAATCCTTAGAGGATATTCTTTCATTTGAATAATTGCATTAATGTTGATGTTTATGTTTCTTTATTTCCTCCGTTTTATTGGAGAGCAAAACAATTGACACTGTGCAAAATGTGCGGTATCTCTAGTTTTATTTCAAGAGATTTGGACAAATAGTTTGTATATATCTCTAGAATCCCCCAAAATATAGTTAGATATGATATCTCTGATACGGACAAATTTGCGTATCAAACCAGTTCTACTTAACTATTTGATGGTATGCCACAGAATAGGTCCCATATTATACCCGTGGTAATCAGGAGATTTGCTAACTATATCATACATCTTCTATCTATACTCTTAAAACACTGACTATACTTTACTATTCATAAATATCGGACATGACGAACAAGAGATACGCTGCCTATTCTGTGCTAAAAACAGCAGATATCAGCTTATATCAGGAGATACTCTCATATCAGACTTCCCAAAACAGGAGATACGGTAACTATACGAAATGACGTCATCGAGTCTTATTATTTGCAACGCTAATTAGGTAACATCGCTTATCTGGCTTATTATCAATTACTCCGGTAGTTAAGTCATTAAATAAACAAATAGGGAGAATCTGAACCATATTCTAAATCTCTTGTTTATCAATAAAGTTTAATGTTAATAAAATAAAGAACTGTAATTTTAGCACTTAGGTTTTAAGTAATGTACAGCATTCTTCGGTACATACTGTACCGTTAATAATAATTTATCATTCAATAATTAATCCGTATGTTAGGGTGAATAGATTAATCTCTACAGCTGATGGCTCTTTTTTCCACAAAAATTATTAGCAAAATAAGTTTTTCATATATATTTGATTGTATAATGTACCTCATGTTATGATTAACATTGTGTTAAATTTTTGATTCAATCAATTAAATCATTGTAAAGTTAATTTTTGAATTTTTGAATAATTGGTTTTCCTCACATTTTTATTCCATTGTTTCTCTGTCACATTAAGTTTATAGCAAACAACATTTAAATCCCCCTCTAACACAGGTACAAACAACCATTCACTTTGCCAACCAAAACAACAGTCATGACACAGAACTGCTCAATATTCAATAAACACATTATGCATTTTATACAGACCCTTACCTAAGGACCCCCCTCCCCGTGGCCAACAATTCTTTCAAAACCATGTAGTTTTTCACCATTCACATACATGTATTGACATTCCAGAGCAATATAATAAGTCAAACTTCAATCCCTAATTATTCAATTTCTATGATTTGAGTTTTGTTCACACTGATAGATAATCTGTTTGTTAGTGTTAATGGATTAATTTCTACAGCCGATGGTTCTAATTTCAACCGAAAAATAATTTGCAAATTAAGTTTTTCATAATTATTTGATTGTATAATGTCCCTTATGTTATGATTTACATTGTGTTAAAATTTGGATTTAATTGATTGACTCAAAGGAAAGTTAATTTTAAACAATGGGGTTCCTCACATTTTTACTTCATTGGGTTTCCTCACAATTTAACTCAATTGTTTCTCTGTCAAAATCCTACATAGTTTTACCAATCTGAGCATTGTTAGGTGATTTTGGGCCAAAATTATCAATTGTGACCCGTTGGTATGTTTTGAAAATTGATCCCCTGGGCTAAAACTTATTACGAGCCTGTAATATATCGGATGTATTGCTCCGATTTCTTCTGACAAATCTCTGATAATAAATTAGGAAACATGCATAAAGTTTGCATGATACAAGTGGTGTTAAGCCATGCTAAAACAAAATTAAAACTTGAATTCTCTCACATTTCACAATTTATTTTTTCTGTTATCAATGTAATATCTGAGATATAAACCAGGGATATAAACAACAGATTAGTCTATGATGTAATACATTTGTTTCTACTACAATTAGACCATTTCGTTTTATTACAGCTAGTTTTATTAACCTTTCTTTGTTTTCCATTTCCAAATATATATATTCAAAAGGTGCGAGATTCGGTATGTTTAGTTGTTTGATAATGAAAATAAAGAAGCGGGTACATTGTACATTAATTCCTTATGTTTCATCTGACAAAGCGATGATTACACTTTGAGCAAATTAGAGCATGGTAGAACAAACTGATGTAAATAACATATTGACATACAGTATGTCAGAGCAATATGATAAGTAAAACTTTAATCCCCAATTATTCAATTTCTTTAATATGAGTTTCGTTAACACTGATGGCTAATCCATTTGTTAGTGGTAATGGATTAATTTCCTACAGCCAAAAAGTTCTAAGTTCAACAAAAATAATTTGAAAACTAAGTTTTTCATAATTATTTGATTACATAATGTCCCTAATGTTATGATTAACATTGTGTTAAAATTTGGATTTAATTGATTGACTCAACGGAAAGCTAATTTTTAATCAATGGGTAATTCCTGACATTTTTACTACTTTGTTTCTCTGCCACATTAAGTTTACAACTTAAACATTTAAGGCCCCCTCTTACACAGGCACAAACAACCATCTGTATTCACTTTGCAAACCACAAAAATAGTCTTGACACAGAACTGCTCAAATTTTAGCTAAATACATTACGCATTTTAAACAGGCCTGTACCTACAGCAACAAGTAGCGATTCCCTCCCCTTGGCCAACAATTCTTTCAAAATCATGTAGATTTTTACCATTCACATACATGTATTGATGCCAGAGCAATATAAGTAATACTTTAATCCCTAAGTTATTTTCAATTTCTATGAAATGAGTTTTGTTCACTGATAATTAATCCGTTTGTTAGAGTTAATGGATTAATATCTAGAGCCGATTGTTCTAATTTCCACAAAAATAATAATTTGCAAATTAAGTTTTTCATATTTATTTAATTGTATATTGTCCCTCATTCTATGATTAACATTGTGTTAAAATTTGGATTGGATTGAAATAATGTGTATAAAGTGAATCTATCAGTTTTATTTTGTTTGTTTAACTACTTAGCGCTGACAGTGCATTGTCAATCATTAATAAGCCAGATAAGTTAAAGAAATAAGAAACGATGACGTCATTTCGTATAGTTAGCGTATCTCCTGTTTTTAGAGCTCTGATTTAATAGTATATCCTGAAATAGGTCAGAAGAAGCTGTTTTCCATAGAATCGGCGGGTATGTCTGGTTCTATAGGTCCAATAGAGTGGTAGACAAACTATTTGTTAGCCTAGAAATATAACGCAGCCTATATTAGCTCATATTTCGTAGAGTTGAAAATAGTACTAACTATACTTGGTTGTCCGCCAAATCTCTTGGTATAGGTTGTGTCTCTACAACACAGGAGATACGGGAGATATTTCACACTATGACAGTTGATATTAGAGCATAGTTAACAGGAGATTCTATTACTATATAGCCTTTTTGGCACAGTGTGATACATGCATATTACATTACAAACATATATTGCAGAAGAGTAAATGGGTTATTGATATTTACACATTTACAAGTTCAACGACTCTAAATACGTTTTAACATTACAATTCAAGCGTGCCTATTTGGAAAATAAATTTATATTGTAAAATGTATTTGCACATTCGATAACGAACATTTCATAAATGGTGTCATTGGCTACATCAAAATCTATTCTGCTACCCAGAACAGTCTGTAAGAAAATATCATCATCGAGGTTGAAAAGCGTAACACTATCATGAACCGGTAAGATATCAATGAGTCGCTCAAAAAAATGCGTCTCGATCAGACAAAAAATGATTGCAATGCAGAAAATGAAATATTATACAATTACACGATGAGTTGCATTTCTTACAAGTGAATATTTTATATGAAGGCATTGCAGAAAACTGCACCGGGTTGGCTAATTGCCATAGATATGATGGGTGTCGTCTTCCAACGACCCAGGCGAAGCTTGGTTCCAGTTTACAATGAATGTTTCTAATAAATTGCAGATTATCATTGGCTTCCATTCTTGAAAGCCACTTATTTTCCTCTCTGTTGAAAATTCGGAAATGCGATGCTTTTTATAAACAAAACTGTTTTCATAATTGAGCCGGTATGCAAGGTTTCTGCATCACTCTGTGCAATATCACAGTCGATGCTCATGGCGTCTTTAGCTAAACCAAAGTGATTGTTTCCCGTGTTTGTGAGTAGGGATGAGAATCTAAACAGGAATATGCATTTTGTAACTTCATGAGTGCATCGACATAATCTTGAAAAACAGTTTAATTTCAATTTCTCAATGAAGCTCGATACAGATATTGCACCAAGAGTGGCCAGAACAACGTCTGATGCCGTTCTCGCTTCAAAACCTTGAACTCCTTTGAATATATGTTTTTGAGCAGTGTTCAGTATATCTTCATCATGCGGTGACAAGTTATACCATGACTCACAACCATATAATGCAGAGGGTAATATAATAGAATACCATAGTCTAATGAACACAAGTGGATTAGCGCCAAATTTATGTAAACGTAAGGTGTTTTTGATGGAATAAAACTGTGAATACATTTTCTTTTTGAGTTGTTAACCAGATTTCCAGTTTAAAAGTTAGTCGTGATGAGGTTACCTACATAGCTTGTGCTTTGAGTTTCAGGTACTATATCAGTCCCTAGTAGCCACTGACGACTACCTCTGCTTCGAAAAAACTGTTGCTTTGTTCCATTAAATGTCAAAATTGAGCTTTTAGTGTTATCACCAGCGTGGTAAACCATACGCCATTTTGAACTGTAGCGAAATACAATGTCTAACAGAACTTGCAGCGCAGAGGAAGCTAGAAGGGTAGTATCGTCTGCCACCAAAATGCACGGAATATCATACGAAGCTATCTTAAGACCTGAATGCGCTTCCTTAAGCTCAGTTATGAGTGCGCCAATATAGATCAAAATATAAATCGAACTAGTCTGGAAGTCTTCCTTGTCCAACTCCCTGATAAATACTAAATTCCCGGGAAAATAAACCATTGTACAGGGTGTTCCGAAAGTATGCCCCCCCCGCCTAGGTAGACATATTCCAGTGTCCTCATAGTATGTGTCATATATCATTTTAAAGCTTATTTAAAGTAACATTGATTTGCCAAGTATCATGGTTTAACTCCCAAATGGGAAAAAGTAACAGTCATTTTAAAAGTTAGTGTTTTGTCAAAATAAAGTTCAATTTTACACCACATTACTAGTCAATGAGTCCCCCCTTGGCCATGCTAAATAGCATCCTCCTAAGCAGGTGTCCAGAATCCGTACGTCCTTCTTCCCCCTGCTATAACCAATTTGGACGCGCCCAATTTAACTGAATCACGTGATCTAATTATGCGCAATGGCTTATACACGATTTCTGTCGCAGTGTTGCGACAGCCAATCAGATTGCGAGTTCTTAATCGGGGAAATGGTAACTGCTTATCGCAGGGGGTAAAAATAAAGAAGTATTCTGGATTTTAAAGCCAAGTGATCGGAGGATGTTCAAATAGGGGTGTGGAATTTTATAACCCTCTTAAAACCTGTAAAGGCACTTTAGAAGAGTTTCCCTAGAGTTTCTACCATCACCGTTCTCTTTTTCCAACTCAATATCTATCCGACCCCAAAAGAATTGCTACTGTTAAGATGGTCCGGGAGGACACATTGGCGAGTGATTTGGTGTAAAATTGAACATTTTCTAGCTTTACAAATAATTTCGGGTGTCCTGCATTGCAAAAAGCCATGTCACTGTAAAGAGTAGTTGTATGAAATAATTTTGTTTCAAATAATTGGCAAAAAATTATATCCGTTTTTTCAGCCATTTTTCTTAAGATCAATTTGTCCATCTGTCTCTCAGTCAGTCCAAGATAGTGGCAAGTGGCTCGAAATAATTTTGTCACAAAAAATCAGCAAAAAATATATCCGTTTTTTATTTTCTGTAATTTTAGCCATCATTCACTTTTGAGCAACACCATGTGAGCGCAGTACCCACGGTACTATTTTTACAAATGAAAGAAAACAACCGCTGGTCTTCGGATTTCGGGGAATATTACTTGGGAAAGATTATAATGGCATATTTGATAAGCCACAAAAGCTGAGAAAAATTTGATGGTTCGGTCCATTGCGTTTTTTCGATTAAAGAGGGAAATTCGGTATAAATAATAGGGAGATTAATGGAACAACCGAAATAACAATATTTCGCTATTTTCAAAAATATTTTATGAAAAAACACATAATTGATAACATTTATGTAAACTTTGGAAATACTCCTTTACGTCAAAATATAGGAATACCAATGGACACAGATTGTGCTCCTCTTTTGGCAGACCTTTTTCTATTCTCATATGAATATAAGTTTTTGCAAAAGATGATGAAAGATGAGAAAAAATTCCACATAGCTAAACTTTTTAATAAAACAGCTATGACCTGTCGAGTTTGGACAACCCTGGATTTGAAGATTTTGTAAATGAGATATACCCTTCCGAGTTAGAATTTAAAAGAACAATGAATCGAATATGAATGCGCCTTATCTTGACCTTCTCATTAACATTGAACAAGACAATGGTATATACGTATTGTAAGTTGTATGATAAATTTTCCATTAAATTAATATTCCATTAAACCCAGCATATGGGATCTATGTATCCCAGCTTATTAGATATGGCAGGGCATGCTCTAAACATTTAGATTTTAAGTCAAGACACAATACTTTTTAGTGATCAAACTATTAGGTCAAGGTTAGACTTGTATAAAGCTTAAGAAATACTTTCTGGGCTTTGCTGAAAATACAAATCATTAATTTTGAAGTTTCAAGTTTTACCACTTGAGATGCTGAAGGATGTAGGAATTTTTAAGACATTGGCGCTCACAATATTTTCACTTGGCACCTTTTGAGGCGGATCCCGGCTATGGCATTAATGGTTGAGAAATAGGGATCGAAACCAGCCAGTTTTCTCCTGATGACCATTGTGAATTATTGTGTTTTATGGATTATGGCAACGGCTTTTGTGAATGGATGTTGATCCTTTGAAATGCCTATGGATTTGGAGACTGGATTTTATCTATCCCACATCATTTGAGACTGAATGCTCTATCTTGTATGAGTATTTGTATCTACAAATATTTTTGATGTTATGAGTATTGGATATCAATTTCTAATTTTTTCTTCAACATGTATTGTAATGACTTCAGTATGAATGAAATGTCCCTTGGTGTTCTGGTCTTGGTGGGGGGAAAGGGGGTATTAGACATTGTTTCTTTTCACGTTAGATCATGGTTTTGGGATATATGGGGTTTGTTTTTCTTGACTGGTATGCACCTAGGGTTTGCTTTTTCTTGCTAAGTTCCATTACAACTTTTGGTCCTTTCCCTTTGGCACTTGTGCTTAGATATTCATATTGTTTGAGATTTATTGCTTCAAACTTTGCAATATGTATCCTTCAATGTTTTAATGTCCACATTCTGAAATAAGATCTCAGCTTTATCAGTTTGTTTGGTTGTATTAGAACATTTAAAACAGTTATACTATTTTTCAAATTTAAAAGTCGTCAACTAAGCAAACCAAAATTGAGAATTTAGCACTGTTGTTAATTGAACTTACAAATCGTGACTTTTTGTAACAGGTTAAAAAGGGATGTTCCTGATATTTTAAAGGAAGTTGCTAGCAAGTTACCAAGTGTGAAAACTGTTTACTAATTAATTTAATAATGCAGCGGTACTCTGTTATTTGTGTTTTGTGAAAATGATTTACGGAAAAGACAACAGACATATTAATGCTAATAAATTATGATTTCTGATTGTCAAATATTTTATTAATAAGATCCCAACAATTAATTCTAGACATGCCATTCCCCAAGGGGCTGCTCAGGAATGATGTTGTTCTCATACAAGTTCTGCAATTCTTCCATATCAGGTATGAAGTCACAGAGCACAAACTGAAATTTATAGACGTCTACATTACGGAATAAATAGTTTTGGTTACATTTGTTGTCGACTAAAATTTCGTTAGTCTCGAGATATTACTGACGGTAATGAGCCGCTCAATCTGTGTAGGACTAGAATACCCATTGTCGACAAGTGGAAATAAGTATTTAAGAAAAAATGACTTTGCTGTGAAACACAATCTTCATTTCTGTACAATGTTATCATGATCATGCGCATTTTCATACATCAAATTCCTCATGTATGTAAACAAACAGGGTGTCACGGAATGATACTAATGGGTGTATTACCTCATCGATGACTCCCACAAATCCCTCTCCTAATCGCAATGGCTGTTTGCTGCCTAGAATCCGAAGGAGAACTGGATCTCCCGGAATCGGAATATTATCTGCAAAATAAAGATAAAGGCGCTAACGACAACAGCACAGTTACACGAGGATATATATATATATCAACTTTTTATTACATGATAAGGGTCAATCTCAAACAGCAAATGACATGTACACACATTGGAAGTATCATTATTAGTCCTTTGGGGAATACAAACTCCTGTAAGGTATTTTATTTTTGGGCTTAGCCCAAGATTTTAACATAATTTCATGTTTGAGAGGTGACGTTTATTGTATTTTACTTACTCCTTATATTGTTTATAAGGTATCCTTATAGTACATACAGTTCTATTTATATTGTATATATGTTCTCCTAAGTTCTGGAGTATACGTTAACCTTTTATATGATTCATTATATCATATTCATTACATATAACGTATAGAGTATATTCTATCCTTATCATGAGGAGAAATTATATTGTCTTCACCTCGCAAACGGGTTCGACCGTAGCTAATACCCTGATGGATGTATCCCTTTACATGTTTATTTGTAGGTTATTTGTGTGTTTTCGAATAAAGTTTGTAAAAAATTGTAATGTTGTAAACGTTATGGTGTGTAGTTCTTTGTCAATATAAATCGAGTTCTACATGTGTACAAAGAACAACATAATTCTTCGAAGTGTAGACTTACACGAGACATACATGTTTTCATGTACCATTTTAAAGATAATATATCAAATTTTTGATTTTGAGATTACAAACAAACTTATCCTCCACTGGGCTCAAAAACTGTGTGAATTATTATAAAAACACTTACTCCTCTTTGTTCTCGAGTGTTGGCCGGAGTTTTGCTTCAAAAATCGTTTCTGCAAAATAAGATAAGCAAATGCTTAAGCATTGTTATGTGTTAAAGTGGTACAATCTCGTACATGTCTAGATAAAATGCGCGACATCTTTTGTTTAGCTCTATTAAACGATTGATAGTCACTTTCTTACTTTTCAGAAGAAACATGATTGTGGAATGATATAATATAACTAAATGTCAATTTTACCAAATCTACGTCAACTTCTCCCATTTCGAATACATATTTGAACCATTCTTCCTTAGGTCGTGTCTTCAGTAATATTTTCAAATCTTCTGCATTAATTGAAGGTATATCGCCAATTTCTTGAAACAAAAATTGTAAATATTATATTAAATGTTTCAACGCTGATGAGACAAAGGGACATTGAATGTAGAATCAGATTTAGCTAGTACCATGCAAAAAAAGTATTCTTGACAAAAAGGTTTTTCAATTTTAAGATACTTTTGGCTCATATTAGTGCTTCTCATGTCAATTTTTGCAAAATCCCCGAAAGTGTACATACTAAACCTAAGATTTTTACAATAATGCATTAATTTTTTTTAATGGTTCAACATTTCCTTACATTACTTTGGAAGTCATTTTATTTGAAATTGTCGTTAAAAGGTGGCCCGTGTCGTTTAGCAAATCGAACACTCGTTTGTGGTGTTGCTCACCGTTTAGTATAAAAGGCCTGATCCCGGATTAATACTGAGGGATTCACAGCTCGAGGTCGTTGTGCCAACACTTCTCACTGTTATATAGCATTGGTAGATTATAGATCGTCACACATTTATAAAAGGGGAGATTTTTATTTTGACAAATCAATTTCACATTTATGGGTTAAGTTTCAGGATCCTCTATTTGTGTATAATAAAGAAAATTGACATATACATTTCCTCATAGCGTATTAGTACACAGCTTGGCATATGAAATATTCTCCAAATGAAACAAAGCAGTTTTAATACAAGGATTTATAATAGCTGTTGAACATGTATTCTTTGGACAATCACTCGTCTCTCAATAATGTTTTCAGAATCATTATAAATGGATTACTTTATCTCCAAGACAATTTTAATAAACTGGATTTTACAAAACTCCCCTTATTTCTTAAAAATGGACTGATCCAGTTGACTCGCCTGGAGCCGCCATATTGTTTTTATACGGGAAGCTTATCGGAACCCTTTAAACGTTACTTGCAATTTTGTCACTCTCTGTAGATCTGAGAAATCTGATCCTGCCTTCAAACAATTTAAAAACATTTCACTATGATTGAGGAATGTGATTAGAATCGACAAACCACTCGACTGTACTTTGCAGATAAAGAAACGTTAATTTAGTGATTGTGATCAACCGTTTACATGACAGTGCCTTGGAGTAAACATTGCGCACGACGGGCAGATGAAAAATATCCAAAATCTACAGAAATTAGTGCTCAAATCTCGATTGGATTATAAAATATATATTCTATAACTTTGCTCGACCATTATTTATTCAAAGTATTTCAAAAACCATCAATTATTAGGAGAAATCTCCGCGGAAGGAATTTTGAGTTTTGCTGATAATAGTGGTTATATATTATCAATTATTACGCACGATTAAACCAATCAAATTGTCTCAATTTTCAAATTACGTGGCACGATCATGGAACAATGACCAATCATATACCCTCCGTAAAGAAAAAAGGTGCACGGTCCTTTAACAGTCATAACATTTTCAAAATTTGTATGATCATACTTAACTCTTGGAGGCACGTGGCGTAAATATTGTGAATAACTCTAAAAATTAGATGAAAATTAAAAAAAGTTAGCAATGGTTAATGCCTCACAAACTCACTAATGTGACTTTTTCCTGTAAATTACGTCATAAAATACAATTGTTGTTAATACATTTTCCTCTAAGCCTGGGATATCATTTTCTATATGTTATGTTCTTTTGGAATAAACATTGACACACTGAGAGAAAATTATGGAAGTGTCGAAACTCGCATTAAACATGAATATTATACAATTTTATGCATCAAATAGCAGTGAAATTCGGTAAGCATATGATGTATAACATAGTTCTGCGTCATTGAAAAAGATTAAGGGTTTTAATTATCTTACAATTTCCAGTTTATTGTAATATACATCACCCCTACCCCTAATTTTAAACTGAGAGAGACCTCTGAATCTGTAGGATATTACCTCAAATTTTATCACAAAATGGTTGTTATTTATCGGACTTTCATTATATAACTGATATTTTTCACAACGTTTTATTTGGTTGAAAACTTTTTAAAATGGTGTATTCCTCTAAACGTAACTAACAATTTAACTTTTTTTTGTTTATGATTTATTTATTTTATAATACTTATCAATATTACATATAATTACAGGGCCTACGCCGAAGAATTTTTAACAATTTAACTTCATGTCTCAGAAGTTTCCCTTCTTGAGCACATGCTGGGTATAGGATTTCTCATATTTATAACGCCAATTTATGATAAAAGTCACACTCACGATTTGGAAGTCGTTCTATTCAATCCTTTCAATTTAATTTTTACCACATTTACGAAATTCTTTGGAATTTTCTCAATTATACATACATTTAAACCTCTTAATGTTTGGTATGAAAATAACGAAAAAGATATGATTGGTGAAGGACAATGAACCTTTTTCTTTACAGGGGGTAAATTAATTATGTGGCACCTAATACTCCCTGTTGGGAATCATATATAGCCACTATAACATGTAAATATGTAACATTGTTTTAAATAAATAAGAAATAAAATAAACCCACCTCTTCGTTTTTTGCCATTTGCCCTAATAGATAAAACATAATCCCAGAAAGCAACGAGGTCTAATCCTATTTCCAAGGTATCGGTGACAGGACTGTATGAACGCCCATCTGTATCCGCATCAACAAGTATCGGATCCACCAACTCAAACATGTATCTAATTCTCTTCACCTTTTTTACAAACGCGTTCAACAGCAGTTCTTGCTCGGTTGAAAGATCTAGCGTTCTCGCTATGTTCTTTATCTAAAAAAAGAAACACTTCCTAGTTTTCACATTGTTAGATTATAATATCAATGTTTTATATATACCGATGTGTTCCTAAAACTAAAACTTAAAACTGATGCTGGCATTTTCTTAATTTTTCACAATTTTTCACATTCTGCTGACCACACTTTGGAATTTCATGTATGGAGCACAATGTTCAAAATGGTGCTTGTTTATATTTTCCTAAAGGGCCAGCTGCAGATTATGGAGCCACACTACACTACAATATCCTACTGGATAATTTGATATTAGTTCCCTTATTATTTTTATTACAACCGTTTAATATTCTTCCGGCTTTTAGGCTTAATTAGGCCTGTCATTAGCAGAGGTCAAAAAATACCAAAAACCAAAATCCCCTTTCACTACTTGGAGTACACAATGCGACAGAAAGTTGTTTGCAAAATTTTGCAAAATATTTCTAAATATTATATGATTTTGGTTTCTAAGCTATTATGTTTTATAAAATTGAATAATAATTTGTGTTTGACCCCTTGCGATAATATGGATAAATTCTGGTAATAAAATGTTTTAAATGGTAAGAAAACTTATACGTTCGCAATCATAAATTACCTAAATATTCCACATAGTTTATTTGAATCTGTTTGATTCGAATTTAAAAAATAAAACAAAATTGGAAAAGCACACTTGTATAATTACACTAATTAAACACCGATATTTACGGTAAAATTATAGTAAAATTTTATAGTATGATAATCCATTTCTTGTGCGTATTCTAGAAATAACGGCCTGTGTCTTATAAAATGTGTAAATGTAAGAATCAAAATATTTACTTTTTTGACCCCTTGTGATGAAAGATATTTTCGACCCGAAAGCCGGAAGTTTTTCCGGCAAATGGTATTCAAAAAGAATCAAGGCATATACATCTCCTTAAACATTGCATCAAATGTTGTTGCGCTAATATGCTACGGATCCTTCATATTCGTAAGTCATATCATGGACTATTACTTGATTGACGAATATTACGTGTACTCTCATGGTTCGGGAAATACTAACTGAGCCACCCATCCTTCCAACCATTTACCAATATGTGTCCCTTTCTTCATTCGATTTATAATTTTAATTACAGTTATTTGTAATACATTTTGATTTTTACGTTCACATAACTTGTTACTACCTTGAGAATGCTCAAACATCGTACGGTGCCCGCCAACAAATTGATACACCGTACGATGATCGAAAGATAATCGTACGATTTCCGAACGGCACCCGTATGAACATCGACAGATCTACCCCTTAGCTATCGATATAGCTAGCTTTGTCTGACAGTGAGGCATTTTTATGGCAAGTTTGTATAGAGAATTACAATCATGAAATAAATGATGAGTTTGATTGAGAGAAAAATAAAATCGTTGATATATCGGCAACTTTCATGTCAGAGATGAAATTCACCAGGCGCCCGTAAGATGTCTAAAAATCGGCCGATTGTTGCGGCGATAGGCCGACGCCCATACGATGCCAGTACAATGTTCGGTCGATTTTGAAAAATATTAATCAGCCAGCACCTGTACCTGCACCCGGATGAATCTGCACATGTGTGAGCGAGGCATTAATGAGTCTATCATTTTGTAATTGACAGTATACATTACACATATGTCCCCCCATCTTTCCTAATCTATACCATCACTTACTTCCTTTTCAATATCACTAAGGTCATTCATGATTTCAGTTGTAAAGGGTCTAATTTCCTGAAAATCTCCAGACAGCTGTTCAAGTATTGACTGCAGGTCATCGCGTTTGCCCTTATGTAGGATCCAGTCTATAATTCTTATAAGTAGCACATCATACGTCTCAATCCAAAAACCTGATAAGTAAGTAAGTTTAATAAGATATGCCAAATTATTTGCCAAATCGCAATTAGGTAGGGATAGTAATCACATCATAAGCTATTGTATATGCTAGTTCCGTTTTAAGTATATCGAACAATATTGCTAAAATCATGGGTTTTGCTGAACGCCGCTTATTTGCATGTTGTTTCAGCATAACCATTTTTACAAACAACACTCATTGAAGTTCGTTCGTTTGTTTACTGAATGCAGTACATTACTTTATCTCCAAGACAATTTTAATACAATCATCATTCTACAGCACACCGCGGTTCTAAAATCTTTCAGTTTTGCACAAAGAGTACAGTCACAAATTTACCTTCATTATCTGATGCTGTGGGTTAATCAATGCAATAAAACAAATAACTGTAGTTAGAAATGTAACTGAAAAAGCCTGTATTTAAAGCCATATAAAACATACGAAATATTACTAAGGTCTGAGATATCAGCTCCTAATTAAAGGCAACACAATGTATAATAGCAGGAGTTTGAATAATCTGCGCTGTGCAATAGTCTACAAGACAGTCGACGGGCTTCGACTTCACAGAAGAAAAATGTTCTGATTTCTCAAGTTTAAGTTTGATTCTCCATCATAAGTCACGTGATCTATATTCAGAATGGGACTTTGACCTTGACCTCTCCATGTAAAGAATGAAGGGATTATACACAATTTTAATGACGCCATCAAGATCAGTTCGCAATCCCATTTTTGGATTTAATCATTACGTAGAAAAGTAATTGGCTAAAAACTGAGAAATCGGCAGTGTCCTACAGATAGTAATATGAGTTGAGACCTATAAATAAGACAATTTGCAACCGTATCACAGTATTAAGGTTATATATTGATCTTGACGATTATAGTTCTTAAGATTTTTACAAAATTACCTTATATTTGTTCTAAATGTCTTAAGGACTTTTTTCTTGTTATTGCAAAATCGGAAATTTTATCGTAGATCGGTCACCTTACCTTTTAGTTCGTAGATTTTTTTATTTATGTCACAAAAATGATAACATGCAATACCTTCATAGATGCATTTTTAATTGGTGGTATTTTTGCATAGAGAGCATTCATTTAAGGTGTGATGACAATATTGTATATGTATTTCCCCTTCACTAATCAACGATTATATGGAACCGACAGGAATATCAAAGAACTAGATAATATTCCTGACGCAGTTGTTTCAAGTCAAATATAATATATAATTAGATAACACTCTCGTATCTGAATATTTGGCTTGATATATTCTATAGACTCTCAGAATAGCTACATTCCGCATGGTATATCTGTTCCCTCGATGTATAGAAATACTTTCAATAAACAAAATTCAGAAAAAATGAAACTGAATGGCATACATGTATAAGTCACATGTAAGTCATACATGTTGGGCAATGCAACACAATTTGGTGTAAGATATACATACGTACCTAAAAGATTTCCAACAAAAGAGCTTATATCATCTAAGATAATGTCAGCGATACCAACGAATTCCTGAATATCTGCATTCATCCAATCCTCATTTGCGAGAAATCGTGCATCGTCTATTTGAATTAGCATCAACTCAACCAAGTCAAATTCCTCCAATCTGTCTAAATCATTCAACATATACACACGTAATATTTGTAATAACCTGAAGTTATTTATTGTACAAATTTTATTTCATAATCAAAATCAATATATTATATATATTTAGAAATCGCATTTGGTACCCCTTGATGAAAAGTTCACTTTATCATTTCATCTGATGATTTTTGAAAAAAAGAAGATGGTATTTTTCCAATAATCGAATAATCCATTTTAAAATTACATAAGTATGATTTATTCAAAACATTTCAGGGGCACTAGATACATCAAAAAGAACTTTAAAAACTTTAAAATGCATTTCTAAACCAATCGTGCGTTACATTTAAGAATGAGAAAAAAATACAGGGTGGGCAATAAAAATGGGCTTTGAGTATTTTGGATCAAACAGAAAAAACGTTTACCAAAAGACGAGGAGTTCAATTAGCTTTAATAAAATATTATACTATTATGTGACTTATCTGATTTTGATTTGGAAAGTGTGATAGTTTTTGATTGTGATGTCACAATGCACAAGGAAACAGATTTTACAATCTATCATAAAGAAAATTGCTAGGTTACAAATAATTTTGGCGAGATATGAACAAAATGATGGGAAAGGAGGAGCAAAAAAGATTTGGGCCTGAAATTATAGAAATTATTTTTCAAAAGCTGATTCACATTTTTCCTTATAGAAAAAGTTAATAAAAACTTGCATTATTTGATTTGAAATTTTACATAAAGTTCATTTAGAGAAATGTTCAAGCTTTATATATTCCCCAATTGCTATGACATTTTGTTCATATTTGATCTTTAAGATAGATTCGAACATGACTGTATTCACACCTTCTATAAACTGTGAACAAAGTCAATACTTCAGCTGGGTTGTATTCGAGATCAATGCCCCAGCACTGTGAACAAAGTCAATGCTTCAGCTGGGCTGTATTCGAGATCAATGCCCCAGCTCTGTACTAGTGTTTCGTTCAGTGCACTCAATGGTCAGTTCAGGTCGTTCGCAAAATTTTATTTTTATATGGATATCCGTTGTGATTTTCTTGTTTCTGGGCAATATATAATTAATTTCATAAAATAGGCCGAAATGTCAATAAAATAGGCCGAAATGTCAATAAAAAAGTCGGGGTCAAGAGGTAAGTAAACAAATTGGAACAGCCAAACGCTCAACCGGAAGTAGAAATGAAAAAAGTGGAAATGAACATCGAAATTGACGATTTTGCAATATTCTGGTGAGTTTTCATGTTCGAATCGTAATATAGACCTCAGAGCAGGGCTAGCAAAATACAATTATAACATTTACATATAATGTCATATTTGTGGTCCGGTAGCTAAGTATTTTATAGATTAAAGACCATGTTCTTCAGTAAAGGGAGTAACCTTTAACCTTTCGTTTTTATACAGAACCTCTTGAAATGTTTGGTATTGAAAGTGGCAACCCTTTATGTTTTCTTTATTTTACATGTAGGTATGATTAGTTTCTGATTTTTTATCAAATCTTTCAAATAGATGTACCTCGCTCTAATATCGCATTCGCAAAGCCATTGATTGTCAAGCTCACGAATCCAGTTTCGTTCAGAGAGAGACATAGGTGCTTCCACACCCCGGCGTAATCCTAAAGTAAGAAAATACAGCTCTAAAGATACATGGTGAAATTGCAATAAGATATTTTTGTTTCAACTGATATTATTCATACATATCAAAATTACATATTCTGAGAAAAGGCATCTATGTTGAATATGTATTTGCCAAAGGGAAAGGACTGAAAGTGTAACAATGAGAGCAAAAAAAAGAAATATATTGAATACTAGTCCGAAGAAAAATAGACGCCACATATAATCAAAGGGAAAGCTTCACTAAATACTTTAACGGCTAATGTTCCAAGTGAAAACCTGGTGGGTTCAATTCAAATCTTATAATAATCCAACATCCAGGAGCATGTCAAGAGGTTAAACTTGGAAATTTAACGATTTGTGTTCCTCAAAGGTTTCAAAACTTAAAAAGTCTTGCTTTAGTTTTATTTGCAAAACCTGAAGACTTTAAAGTTTTTTAATAACATATAGTGACTTACTTTTTGAGAGAAAATAGGAATACTTTGAAGCATTAATGTACATAAAATTTCGTTATTAAGTAGTTCATAAGAAATATCAAGAAAACACCCACTGCTTTAACAATGTAACAATGTACGAAAGCTAGATGTTTCGATTGTTGGAAGTTTCCTTATTGTACAATTAATGGTCATTTTCTGAATAATGGAAATGAATAAGAATTTTTTAGAAAACCAGTCGCAAAAGATATTCAGTTTAAATATCCCAATCGTCCATTTTATAACCATCTCAACTATAGAAACATATGACAGCTTATTCAATGGCCATGCCTTGTATTATAGTTCCTTTTGAATATAGTACACACTGTAGTCGTAAAAGCTACAAATTAATTTGAAATAAAATAATATGGCCAATAAAATCAAGTGGCGACCCTCGAATATGACAGCTTTCGGGGATTCAATGGTAAACATACTCACATTATGAAAAATGCATATGGCACAAGCCTATATAAGCCATCTTTAAATGTCCCATATTTTACATTACATTAATTGTTAGATGACTGAACATATTATAACAGAGGTATATGTTACCCCAATTACACCATTGAGTTAATGGGAGACCCTAATCCATTTCTTCAAGTCAATGTCTAAATGTATAATTATACACTCCCCTCCATAAGTTTGGCAACATTTTTCCCCCATTGAACTACGTGTAAAAGCCTCTTTACCTTGGAATTTTTATTTACTTAACCTGTGATAAAAATACTTATACTATTAATGGAAACGTAATTTGACTTTAATTCCAATACCTCCAAATTTTCTCAATTTTTTCCTCAATTACAATAGGTCGAAAATTTATGATAAATTTGATGAATTTTTGAAAATCGACATTCCCATGTTAACCAATGGGAAATGGTAGGTTTGCCGCAAGTCATATGACTGAATATCCATCCATCCGAGTCCTTACAAAAAATACGAGTTAGGCAGGCAATTGAATTTGCTAACTTTATTTAACAAAAAATTTATATGTTTTTTCAGGTTCGACAAAGTTATAGGGCTTTGAAGTCAAAATTGTTTTTAAAAAAAACTCTCCCATTGAAATAACACAGGAGGCGAAAAATTATTTTCAAAAATGACTTTGAAGCGCTGTAACTTTAATATTCATCAAATAAACTAAACACTTAGTGTTCAAAAAAGTTAGACAATTAAATTTTCTATATGAAAATATTTTTTGCTGAATCTTTTACTGAAAAGATAACCTGATATCTGATTTGCCCCGAACCCTCCATTTCCCATTGGATTACATGGGAATGACGATTTTCAAAAATTCATCAAATTTATCATCAATTTTCGATCTATTGTAATAGAGGAAAAAAATTAAAAAAATTTTGAGGTATTGGAAATAAAGTCAAGTTACGTTTCCATCAATATTATAAGTTATGTCATCGCCGGTTAAGTAAATAAAAATTCAAACATAAAGAGGCTTTAACACGTAGTTCAATGAGGAAAAAAGGTTGCCAAACTTATGGAGGGGAGTGTAGCATATAAATTACAAAGATAATTGGCGGTATGAAAGGTTATTCTTTACATATTAGTTTACACCTTTCAAAAACGTCAAGAAGGAAACACTTAATAACTAGCTTAACTTGAAAGTATACTTACATCAGGATTAATGAATAGAACGAGATCTTCAACTCTATCACACGCACTCACACCTCCAACGAGCAACCTGTCACCATTTCCTGCCACAACGAGTTCCAGCATGACAGTTGCTCCATATCCGCCATCTTCACCATTGTGGAAAATAATCCCAGGTTCCATCTCTTCACTAAACTTAACCCACAGACACGCAAAGAATGTATAACTATTAATCCAGGTATACTCATCGATTTTGAGACTAGAGTCTCGTTGAAATCCGATGCCATCTCCAAATACGCCTTCTTGTCCTGGTAATGTATGAACTCCCATTGCACGTATACCACGGTTATTTACAATATTACGCTCATCGAATGAATAGTGTAAGCACTGCTGTGGAGGCACTGCGAAAAGGAAGGTACATAATACAAGACATAAGTAATATGCAAAAGTATTATGAAAACGATATAAGTGTAAGCCAAAAAAGCAATACACATTAAAATAGTCAAAAATGTTGCATCGTTTTAAAAACAATAAATTTTCAGATGACATATTGTAAACATAAACATATTCCAAAAACATAAAACAATCCAAAACACATATTAATGGTCCCATTGATGAAATGACATATTGAAAGTTTTACATCAAATCCTTTTGAAATCCACAATCGTGCACATGTATCATATGCTGCATTTCAATTTAAAGATACTGGCTTTTCTGGCCCAAACTGCGTTTAGGCACAACTATGATTATTGACAAATTCACAGCACAATCATTAACACGATGATGTTGAATAACTTTCTGTCAAGAATACAGCTAAAATCTGCAGAATGCATATGAATATACTAGTAAGAATTATACAAAATATTAAAAACACAGGTTTTTTACCCTCCGGTACACCTTCACAGCAACATACATCAAGGTAGAACAATTGACCTTTAGGACACCCCTGTATGGTTCCCTTGAACTCGTAGTGAGTGTCGTTGATCTGTTTGTATGTCTGTGCGTTATCGAAGGGTGAGTGTCCTCTGATGTCAATTTGTTCCAAACAGCATTCATCTGCGGATACAATCAATTACAAATCGAGTGGTAACGTTATTGCAAATGTAGTCTTAGCTCAGTAAATCTACAGAATGGCCAAAAACGTACTAAATATTGTTTGATTTTATATACCTTTTTTGCAAAGGCGTGAATTTTGATAAAAATGATGAGATCACTTTTGCAAATGTTTCTGAAATTCGATAGATAATTTTTGGGGGTCTGAATAATAAAGGTAAACGGACTCAAGGGTCTGTATGCTTCCAAATAGACCCCTTGAGTCCGTTTAAAGATTAATGTTTCATATATTAACAATACTATGTATTATATATCATTTAACGATAAATCATTTCCTAAAAAAATGACACAATCCAATTGAAAAACCATAGTTTTCTTTTGGAGATAAAGACTAAAATAAGATAATGATATTTATAATTCTATACTTTGCTAACCTTCCTTGCCAAACAAGAGAACGCCATTTTTACCCGGAATTCGGCCTTCAAGTTCAGTTTTGTTGAATAAAATCACACTTTCTTATTCATTGGTCTTAATACATTCCTAATGCGTCTTTCTTTATCAGAAGTATAGATTTATATAGTGTATGCATCATATATAACATGTCTCTACTGACTTACCCTTTGAGATGCGAATCCATTACTGCTATTTGGGGCATGACCGGTATATATGTGAACTTGTTGCTGTGAATACTAACCCTGACAATCAACATTTTCAATTAGACCCCTAGTGTCTACATAGTTTTACATAGAAAATGCAATTAGGTATGCAATTGCAAGCAGTTCCAAAATCAATCATTTTTTTGAATTTATCATTTAAAATCTTAGACATAACGCGTGCCTTGATGGTTCTCCTTTACTTTAAAACAGGAAAATTGAGACTATTTATATTAGCTTGAGTTTCAATTCCTTATTTATTGTTACATTCTGATAATAATTGTTGCCATTCCAAAATCAGATATGAACCAAATGCACGGCATAAAATATTGATAAAGCCCCATCAAATCGCCGTTGGTGTGAACTTAGCTTAAGCTATTGGTTTGTAACTTTTAATTGATTTGTAACTATTGTAACTTACCATCGCCGAGAAACTCTCCACAATAGCCGTCTATTTCCCGAATTGCTAAAACATATAACACCTGGTTTAATTAATTACTTTTTGCAACAATACAAAATGATACTGATTAAACATTCAAAATGGGCCAAGAATCATGGAATATTTTTAAATTGATTATGACTTCTTTGAAATTGTTCTGGACTATTGAAACGCTGGTAGCCAAAGAAGACAAGTGTAATGTTAGATAACAGTGGCAATATTTTAAAAAACAGTGGAAATATTTGTCGAGAATATAGAGTGAGGTTTGATTCTTAAAGAGGGACATGGGGAATACATCTGAGGCAGACTAATGGAACAGCCAAAATAACTGGATTTTTGCAATTTTCTCAAAGCTGGTCAATTTTCTCAAAGGATAGGTATCAATATGGAGAACTGAATTCAACAATGTTTTTCTCTTAAACCAATCATTGAAAACATTCTGTAAAAAACATGGTATTTTATGTAATGTTGACTGAATGACAACAATTTAATGCGAACATTTTTTAGAAATATTTTATATAACTGTTTTTGTTAACATTTTTTGTTTTTTTTGGTGCAATTGTTTTTGCTCCTTTCTACCAATTCTTGAGAATGAAATAAAATGTCTTTCCGAACCTTGTTAGAACAAAATAGCATATATCGTACAACATGTTTTTGGACCTCTCAATATTAAAGTTATACAAAGGAATTTTTGGTTGATTTTAAAAAAGTATTCAAAAGATTAAAACAAAATCCCCCCAAAATATATAAAAATCAAAAAAGATACTTTTTTAAAATGAACCAAAATTTCCTTTGTACAATTACAATATTGAGAGACCTAAATATGTTGTGTTTATGTCGTTTTGTTCCAATGAGGTTCGGAAAGATGTTTCATTTCACTCTGGAAACATGATACCAAGAACAAAACAAGTGTTTGATGTGTTTTTAAAACAATATAGATGAAAGTATGTATATCTATTTCAAATTATATTGTTACCATTCAAAAGATGGCCATTTAATTGGCAATTTGTAAATTTTTGATGACTGGTTTAAGAGAAACGTGTGTTCAAAAAGTTCGCCATATCGATACCCATTCTTTCATATTGATTGAGAAAATGTATTGCTTCAGATTTTATTTTTATGTGTATCTTTCGAAGTGTATCTTTCGATGTTTTGATGTTCATATTCTGAAGATAGATTTTAACTTCATCATTTTGTTGGGTTGTGATATGACATTTAAAAACAGAAATAAAATTATTTTTCAAATTTAAAAGTCCTCATGCTTAGCCAATCAAAATCAAGTATTAAGCAATGCTGTTAATTAAACTCACTAATCCTGACTTTCTGTACCATGTTAAAGTGTGGATGGAACCTGATATTTTAATGGGAGTTGCTAGCAACTTTAAAACCGGCCTTTAAGATAATAAACCGGATAATAAAGTAATGTCTTAATTTAGTAAGTAGTTATTGATGTCATGACATATGAATATAGCCCGGTTAAAATACTAAACTCTATTATAAACAGTATGTGTGCACCTACTACATGTATCTGCGGGGCATGCAAAGTCATATAAGTTTACATCTACACACATACATCTTTCAGGATGCCAAATACTCGAGCTTGGGCAATCCATGCGAATACCATAAACCCCATTGATATTCAAAGGTGGCCCACTAAAGCCATTGATACATCGTATGAAGCCACAGCAATTAGCAGGGTCCTCTATGAAGTTCGCTTGTACAGCACATTTTTCTGAAATAATGTTGCAACAATATAGTGTTGTTCTTATTTTAGAAAAATTAGGAACTTAGCCGAATTGTATCCATCTAATCATATTTAGAAAAAATAATTGAAATTGACAATTTGACCAGATGGCTTGAGACAGATATGAGCAACATATAAAAAGTATAAAGCAGTCTACTTTCAAAAAATAACCAGAAAAGTTCCAACAAACTGTTATAGTGTTCTAGTAATTTGAAATGATGCAACCAACGTTTACTTTAACTGCACCATGACGTAGCACAATGATTGTTTTGTTCTAAATGTTTTCATCATTCATTTACTATTTTTCATGACTTTAAAAGTTATTCTAGAGACTTTTTGAAAAAGCAAATTTTGAAAAAAAAGTTTCATTTCACAAATATTCAAATTTCCAGCACTTTTTTAAAAAAAGTTGAAATCTTTTAATCATCAAATATTCCACCATACATTTCAAATATATTATATTTTTAACACCTATGCAAAGATTGAACAAAGGACACATGCACTATTTCAATAATGCCATATCCAATGTGCCACACTAATGTTTTGGTATATCAAAAATATTTTGCAACCTAAGTGATGTCATCGATGACTCACTCGGGTGGTAAAAAATCAATCTTTTCTAAATATGCTAAACTTCAAAATTAAATCAATGCTGATTGTCTAACCCGGTTAAAAGGAAGAATATATATAGGAAGAATCCATTGTCATGGATTGATGAGTTCATTTCTTTTTATTTATGAACCGATTTTCTTAATTTTTCGGCAAAAAGCACGTGAGGATGAATGCTACGCATTGGTTGAATTGTCGCTTATTAAAATACACGTGTAACCTCTAAAAGTTAGTTTTAAAGAAATTCACGATTTCTTGAACAAAAAGTCCTTCGAAAACCACTTTTTGAAATTAAAATAAAAAGTTTCACATATCAGACTTTGATAACATTGCGTAAGCCTACAATATACGCCAAAGTGGTTTAAACTTTATATGGGGACTTTTTTAAGGAGGGTTTTTCAAACGTCGGGAATCATATGTTATGTGATGGGAACGACAAGTCTTCATTCTAAATAAGAAACATGGATTCCCTAAAGGTTCTACATGCAATGTGTCAAGTTCAATCCTATTCCATATGGTGTGAAAATCAAGAAAAAGAAAATGAATACCTTGTTGGTCGTCATTCAGCTCGATGAGAGTTCCTAAGGAATAAAAACAATGTACATTAACTTGTACAAACAAGGTTATGGTTAATGTTTCATGCTTGCATTCCAGATGGAGTAACTTTTATGTATGTTGACTATGTATAACCATTGTTGTCGTGTTTTATCATTATTCAATCAATGTGCATGATGAATGTTCACGTTAAGCCACATGGTAAAATTAATTACTAAAAGTTAAGTATGCAAATATACATAATCCCCCTAGAACATTTTATTAAAGACAACAAATGTGATACTTGAACAGATCAGACGTTACCCTAATAAAATGACATATGATAGGTCATTGAAAATGTCGATTGGTGTTAATCACAAATTATTTGTTGAAGGTGTTTCATAACGAACACAAACCACCCAACAGACTCCTAGCTGAGTCATGACCTTCGAATTAAAATGGCATTTACAATAGTTAACTTGGTTTGTCCATTATCAATCTCGATTCAATGATGGATTGATACGACGTTCATTTCCGCCCATGGAAAACATAATCATCTTTGTTTTAAATACAATCGAATATTTACCTTCAAAATGTATGAAAACTTAATTTTGAAAATATGATATAGAATCATGTATGAATTGGGAGTGGGTATTATGAAAGACCAAAGAATAAGCCTACTTAAAGGTTAAAGTAAAAAAGAAGATATTTACCAAATGATTGTGATTGGCTGCAGACAGTGTCAAGTAATCCTAAAAGAATAATTCCAGCGATGGATCTACAAATCAAGACAAATCATGGCGTTGCTTCTTTATCAAGTCGAACAGATGTTAATGAGAAAATCCTTTTTGATAAATTACGTTTCCGTCTACTTACAATTTCATTTTCACTTTAGCCATATTTCCGGGTGTTAACTTTACTGGTATCATAAGCAAGTCATTTTATTTCGATTTTCTTTGTGTAACATATAACCTATGTAATATATTATGGACAGATACACTTTCATGAAGCAATGATCTTTAGTTATTGTATGTTAGTGAATTGCCACAGGTGTTAAACTATATTATATGAACAATGCATAAATCACACATTGTCATACTATCCTTGCACAATGAGACAAACATATGTATGGCATCAAGTGCGAGGTCAAATATATAAAAACAATATAAACGCATTTTATTTGACCCGTCATCTCCGAGATTTGATACAGACAAGATGTGAAACTCACAATCATCTGAGCAGAATAATATCGTCTTGAGCAATAAGCACCTTTTATAAAAAAAACAATGTATGTAATATCTATATGATATCCCAATCTGATTGTTGTGATATATAGTAAGGCATAAATGTAGTATTGTGACTCTCTTTTACCTTACTCAAACATAGGTTTGCTCCAAGCGTATCTATTTACTCAGTGATTGGTCAAGTATGGTAACCCAGTTTAGTGAGAAGAAGGTCCGAACAGAAGTTAAAAATCCCATTCATGATCATCACATCGTTTCATCTCGTAACTTGTCAATGAGCCTGTTCGGGGAAACAATTCCAAGTGTTCAATTTAAAGAGTCTTGTCCAGCTTGCCAATACAAGATAATGATACTGTAACCACATGGATTTTGAGATAAATGATCCTGAATAGAGTTACCACCGAAAAGATCAGCTACCAGAAAACATTTCTGCTATACATAGTCTCATAGTTTATACAAGAATCGATTCTTAGAATCTTAATAATTCCGTTCTTAGTTCCTCCAGCCAAATTGACCCTGGCCCAATATTGTTACAATATTTCTTAGGTCTTGACACTATGGGCAATTTTGCTACGATTACAAAGGTACCTGTAGCTCTTCAACTTCGACAAAGACTTTTGTGACCCGCTTTTTTGAAAAATGTTGATCAAGCCTAATATCCCCTGACTCCTCTCATACAATATTATTTTATCACCAGTGATACACCCGATTAAAATGACCCTGCAAAATCGGCATTAAATCTTGAGATTTGATAAAATCTTGTTGATGTATACAATGTACATGTATATCAAAAATATTCGTGATTGCAAAAGCTTTCATTAAAAAACACAAACTGCGTTAGTTTCACTGAAACCATCTAAAAAAAATTTTGATCCAATCCATAGTCAAGCACTTGATCTAGCAAAAGTGACAAGGGGAGTGGATAAAAAAAGAAACCTAGCAAGATAAGCAAACTCTGAGTGTAAACCTGTCATAAGAATATACCCTAAATATCCAAAATCATGATCTAACGTGAAGGGAATTACTGTCTAATACCCCTTCCCCTCCAAATCGTGAGCTAATATCACAATCCAGGTCCAGAACACCAAGGGACATTTCATTCATACTGAAGTCATTACAATATTCAGTCTCAAATGATGTGGGATAGACGAAATCCAGTCTCGAAGTCCATGTGCAATCCAAAGGGTCAACAACATCCATTCGCAAAGCTGTCACCATAATCCACAAATCATAATCATTTACAATGGTCATCAGAAGAAAACAGTGGCTGGTTTCGATCCCTGTTTCCGAATCATTAATGCCATAGCCGAGATTCAACTTTAAAGGATATCATTGAGCATCTCAAGAGGTAAAACATGAAACTTTGTAATTAAAGACTTATATTTTTCAGCAAAGCCCAGAAGGGATTCCTTAAGCCTTTTAAAAGCGTTCAGTCTCAATTGATGCGGGATAGAGTAAATCCAGTCTCGAAGTCCATAGGCAATTCGAAGGGTCAACAACCATTCGTAAAGCCGTCGTAAAAGGGTAGGAGCTCCTATTATTTATCGTCCTACACTCCATTGATTTATATGATGGCCTCTTTCCCTTATTATCTCATACACAATCAGGGCTAGTAAGGGCCTTTAAAAAGGGGAAACATAATCCCTGTGGGACCATAATTTATCATCAAAAGTTATCATCCCATTTGATTCTAATGTTATTTATAAAGATAATGTTAATATTAAAATGACAAAATGGAACTTTTGCCATTTTGTTACACTTTAGTTGAAGATGCCCATCAAGGGTTAATTGGAATAGTTAGTTATGTTATACAACCAATTAAAGTCTTGCAAATTAGATTTGCACATGAACATCCAGGTAAGAACACAAGACAAATCGACTACCTGTCAGTTCCATACGGTTATATATTTGGCTTGTTTTTTTACCTAAGTAATACAGTATCTTGACACATGTTAACAATACCCCGGTCAATTATGTTTTATGTTTAAATTATATGGTCCCTCTGGCGATTACCGTTAATATAGTCCAGAAAAGATTAAATTGCTTGTTAAGCAGATGAATCAAAATGGCACATTTATATCGGATTATCTATCAACACTGCTTATATGTAGTTGAAGGTCTACAAATCATGTTAATGTTTTACTGAGGTGTTTTCTATTCATCTAATGTGTTAAACCCCCTAGCTACAACAATGGCATGAACGAATACGAAACTGTCTTTACCCATAGGTTGTTAAATATAAAATATTACATCGGAAATCGCAATAAGGTACTTATTTATCGTGATTTATTTTAAGTACAAGTGTATATATATATACGATAGACATTAGACTCTATAGTGCTAGGATCAAATTGTATAATTGGAGATAGTAGATCGCAAACACTAATAAACTTAAACTAAATGAATACTGAAGGAGGCGTGTTTATGGTGCGCGATTCCAGTGTCATTGATGCGTGTATGTGCGAGATGGGATGGCGTTTACTAAAAAGGATACATTATTGAACTCAAGTTTAAATTGAATGTAAACACTTAACGAAAGTATTCTTACATTAATAGTCGAGAAAAGCATCATTAATCATCATTCAAGCCTCTACTTTGACTTTGTTTGTTTTGACATACACTTTAGTGTACAACAAAGAAAGTCAGATAAGATACCCGGGAATAGAGGGATGGTACATTTGCAGGTGAACAAGTAATCTATTATACACATCAATATATTTTATAGGGCCATGTTGCTGGTTTTATTTGCATGGGTGCTCATTTTCGGAAGTACATTGTGCCAAGAAGTTGTTGACACTGATAGCGACAGTACCACCGAAGTTACCGGATTCATCGACCATGAAGAAGTCAAATGTAAGAACATGAAATTATCATATTTGATTTTAGAGTTTTTGTATCAACATCTGTATTTACCTTCATTTGCATTTTCTCCGCTATTTATGCAATGATACATTTTTATGTTTCAGTGGAGTCATTCCTGTTGACAGATGAACAGGCAAGTGAGTGACATAGTGCAGCAGACTAGTGTGAATAAAGTATCAAGACATAGCAATATTTGGAAAGGTCTTAACATTTGAATACATGTAACTATTCAAAAGAGACTTGTTTTATCGAGACATATGCCGGCAGTGCAAATCCTCCTTTTAATGACAGTGTATAATAATATATGCTTCATTTGCAGAACTATGCGGATCTACAGGCTACTTTGCTGACCCCGATGATTGCTGTCACTACATTCAGTGCGACGGTGATGAGTGGGAAGGATGGAGACAATTCTGTATGGGGGGAACTGTGTGGGATCCAAGACTTTGCGCTTGCGTTCATCAGGATGATTACCCAGCATGCAATGCTCAAGAATGCAATGGTTCGTTAACTTTAAACTATCGTTTACAACTTTTGAACAAAGTTGGATGGAAAAATGTATGCTTCATATCAATGTCGTTGTCCTAATCATGTGATTTATTTATTATATGTCGTCGTATTTGTACACCTACACATAAATAAACCAATATTGTTAGTTAGATTCGGTTTATTTGTATAGTTGCCGGGAATGCCACTTTTCCGGAGTGTCCAGAAGATTTAGATGAAGAAAGTGAGTAAATATGTTTAATACGTTATGGATGATGTATTTATATCAGAGAGCTATTCGAGTTATTCAGAGAATGGGTTAAGCAAGCAATACTTAGGCTATCGTGTACCCTTTGCATATTCGATTGTAGCATTCCTCAAAATAAGTAACCAATTCAAGTAATCTTGCTGATGTGTTAAATATCAAGTAACGCCTGAGGTGAGGTAGTATCAAATATTGCCCTTTGTTGCGGAATTACTTGCTGTTACTCAGCTGGTGGTACCATTCCAAAAGATTGCATGAATTCACGAATCGTTTTACTTTCGAATTTGGCATGAGTTCGCTATTTTGTTTAATGAGATTTTGTTTAATGAGATATACGAGTGGATGCTTAATATCAATTGCCTGTTGTTAAGATCAGTGTTGCCTCAAGTACGATCGTGGTCAAGTGTATACTAGGAATGGATCAGACCCGACAATGTATAAAATAAATGATGGTCCATGGCAGACATGTCCGTTTGGAGGAAAGTTTATATTGGACTCGGAGGAAGTGGACTCGTGCTACTGTGAAAACGATAAAAGAGGTTAGTTATGACTTATACATATCCGATAAATTGTAGCACTCTCTTAAATCAAAATACTAACATGATTGGAATATGTTTTGCTGAGAATTCATAATATGTCTAGTTCCAATTTTTATTCCAGACGTTCCCTGTCCCTGTCTACGTTTTAGTTTTGATAATCCTCTGGATGATTTTCACCCATTGTACGATGATCAAGGAATCTATTCAGAAATCGGAGAAGTCATATGGATGTTTCCAGGAGCGCCACCTAGTCCAGGAATTGGGGCCATGTTCATGGGTCCAAATTCATGGTTCAGTGTGCCAAGATACGCTAATGTTGATTTTCAATCAAACTTAACTGTGACGTTTTTCATCGCTCCACAATCTGGTTTCTTCAATGGTCCCTTATTTCATAATGGTGCTCCTGGAGGAGAAGATGCTACAATTTCTTTAGAATACTACATTGTAAATGGCCAAGCCTGGTTAGTAGCAGGGGTTCAGGCTGAAGATGGAACAGACGATATCATATTTAAAGGGGTGTCTGTAAGTATATCATCTAATTGAAATGAAGGGAATGGAATGTTACTCAGCATTGGACAGTAAACTGTATGATCAGTTGCACACTCTTAGTACATCATGTAAAATCTACCATGATCAGTTGCACATTCTTAGTACATCATGTAAAATCTGCCATGATCAGTTGCACACTCTTAGTACATCATGTAAAGTCTGCCATGATCAGTTGCACACTCTCAGTATATCATTTTCCTTCAATCGTATGAAATAATTAGAGAAATATTTCAAATGGAAGTAGTTTGTGACTTTCACGTGTTGGCTTGTAGTTGGTAATGCTGCTGTATGAGTGGTTTATCACTTAGTAAGTAATGTTTATTGATTTGTTCTAGTTCCCCCCGTCACAGTACACATTTATCGCGTTGGTGTATGATATGGGTGAACTATCCTTATATGTTGGTGACAATCCACCCATTGCAGTTCTTGAAGCAGGTACTTCAGATCAGATTCAGAATCAGATTTTAATCAGTTTTTATCACTGCTTGCAATGACTTATTGCCTTACAGCCTTTCTATAGTTATATGGTTCTTTATGTATACACTCCCCTCCATAAGTTTGGCAACCTTTTTTCTCCATTGAACTACGTGTTAAAGCCTCTTTACGTTTGAATTTTTATTTACTTAACCGGCGATGAAATAACTTATAATATTGATGGAAACGTAACTTGACTTTATTTCCAATATCTCCAAATTTTTTCAATTTTTTTCCTCAATTACAATAGGTCGAAAATTCATGATAAATTTGATGAATTTTTGAAAATCGTCATTCCCATGTAATCCAATGGGAAATGGAGGGTTCGGGGCAAATCAGAAATCAGGATATCTTTTCAGTAAACGATTCAGCAAAAAATATTTTTATATAGAAAATTGAATTGTCTAACTTTTTTGAACACTAAATGTTTAGTTTATTTGATGAATACTAAAGTTACAGCGCTTCAAAGTCATTTTTGAAAAGAATTTTTCGCCTCCTGTGTTATTTCAATGGGAGAGGTTTTTTGAAAAACAATTTTGACTTTAAAGCCCTATAACTTTGTTGAACCTGAAGAAACATATCAATTTTTTGTTAAATAAAGTTAGCAAATTCAATTACCTGCCTAACTCGTATTTTTTGCAAGGACTCGAATGGATGGATATTCTGTCATATGACTTGCGGCAAACCTACCATTTCCCATTGGTTAACATGGGAATGTCGATTTTCAAAAATTCATCAAATTCATCATCAATTTTCGACCTACTGTAATTGAGGAAAAAAATTGAGAAAATTTGGAGGTATTGGAATTAAAGTCAAATAACGTTTCCATCAATAGTATAAGTCTTTTCATCGCAGGTTAAGTAAATAAAAATTCAAAGGTAAAGAGGCTTTAACACGTAGTTCAATGGGGGAAAAAAGGTTGCCAAACTTATGGAGGGGAGTGTATATAAGCGTCTAGGTATGATATACGAAATTATGAAATAAATAAATTGAGTTGAAAATTGAAGACATTGATATGTAGTGGCAATAACGACAAAGAAGCTTATCATTCATTCTATTGTGAATTTTTACGATATTATCTCATTGAAGACTCCATAGACGAGGCAGACAGAAAGGCACTACTAAGTCAAGTCGCAACTGATGTTTTCACAAAGGCTGTTGGGTTGAGGAGCAGTGAGAATGATGCTGAAAGAAAAGAAGTTATTCGAGAGGTAGAAGACGCATCAGACGAAGTTGGTTTCTACGTCGAGACTGAACTAGAAACGTATCTTACCGGTAGTAAATTGTTCAAAAAGGCATTCGAGGAGTACAGTAGGTCTTCTAATCGTGAAGAATTAAGTCAGGAGCTTGAGAAAATGGCAAATGACGTTCAGGAAGCGCTAGAACAATTGGAATCTTTGGTTGTACAATTGAAGGATGTCAAGCAAAAGGTATAATTATCATCAATATCATACACTCTTAATATTACACTCGCATTTCAGAAAATCTTAAAATACAACGAATATGAGGATATATGCTTATTTTTTCTTTATTCAAGATTACTAGTGAATGTTTATTGTTAATTATCTGTGACAAGTAGACCCCCCCCTTGACAAATCCTGGCTAGGTCATTGGTTATGGCAACTTTATCCCAAATAAGGATATTTCTTCACTTCATTTTATAACCATTTGATTCAAAGAACACGTTATTGGAAATACCATGTGTGAAACGTATAAGCATATCTTGATTAGATGCCATTCAGCTTGCAGAAATAGACCCAGAGCAAGAGAGTGGAGACTTGAATGATTTAAAGTGGAAATTTGGTCGAATGAAAACAAAGATTCTTGACTTGGTCTCTCGTGTTGGTGGATTCGGAGAAGCGGGTGGTGAATCCAAACTCGGAATGCTCATACAGCAGGCTTTCGATTTACTTGAAAAAGATGGCTTCATTACCAAGAGGAAAAAGCGATCATCACCCGGTAATCAACTCTACATACGATGTATGCATATTCAAGTCTTACTAAAAATAGTCAAAGCATATCGATAACTGTAATTGTGTACAATTATTTGACTTTCAGCTGAGAGAGAGGGACCAAATACTTGCATAATGCCATCTAAATTCCCGATTACATTCGGATCAAACTTCTTTGGATTCATGGATGAGGTAGGACAACATTTACTTCTGGGAAAACGTGTACTTCCTCAAACGGATCATGGTATCATTGAGGTACACAAAAACCAGAACCGTCCAAAAGATAAATCTCTTTTCATTATTCATGTTGCTTTGGAAAATCCGAATGAACCTACTCTTTTACAAATAGATACCGTTTGGATACTTGGTCTGTTCGCCCTATCATATTATAATATTTCTTTAGCTGAGACATATTTGAGAAAATGTTTTTGAGAAAGTGATCCATCTGAAAATGTTATGACATCCATCCAAGCCTCTCTGGATGGGTAAACCTGTCATCTCTCATTCCTTTTGGTGTTTTATAATAATGTTGGAATATACCCCTTGTTATGACTCTGCTACCTGGATGATTTATCTAGACCTTACCATATGTAACTTCGCACAATACTTTGGGGGTATCCTTGATGTCAATCAAGGTCACATAGGATGTTATTTATCTGTTATATGCATACTGAATATTCGTTTGCGAAGCCCCTGATCAAGGTTTATGCCATAGATATCAAAATTGTTCATACAATAATGGGCTGTTTTGTGTTTTGCACTAGTCGGTAAATATAGGTTCACATATGTAGGATAAATGGCGAAAGATATAGAAAGGGTGGATATGGTTATTCGATATGTGGCGAGTCGTTCGGTTTATGTATTAGAATCTCCCACGTATATGTACAAAAGGCCATCTGTTCTTTTGAGAGAGCCTTAAAAATGCGTTCCTTTATTCTAGGTTTAACGATAAAATCTTTATTTTTAGATGACTGTTTGCAATTTTGCTGCAACTTTTGAACAAATAGAGCTCCACAAGACTGGTGATCAAAGGCAATTTGAGGGTCTGACTTATCCATAACGATAAAATTGGTTAATGTGCTGAGTTGAACGCCATCTAACTAATTGAACCCATGAAATAGTGAAACTATGTAAAAGAAAATACTGCTATTAATAAATCAAATCTTGCATTGAGACAAAGTACACATCCTCTCCCCACTCAAGGCCTCTGTGATGGAGAAGGACGAGGTACGGATAGTATCCTAATGCAAGACTAAATGAATCATAAACTTGACTTTCGTTGATTGAAGTTAGTCTGAGAAGTAGTATTTGACTTATCTAAAAACAAATATGTGAATCTCAGTTTTATAAATTGCTTGAGTTATTTTGCCCGTTGTGGAAGGTGTACGTTCCCCTCCTCCTCCGCCACCCACACCTCCACCCCCCCCCCCACACCTCCACCCCCCCCCCCCCACTCCCCCCCCCCCCCAATCACTGATAAATAATCAAAATTGCTCTGACGTGTACATGCATAACATATATGTATAACAGCACTTAATTATGATAAACCTGACTTCTTGCAATACTGCTTGGGATAGAAAAGAGTTTGCATCTTTGTCACTATTTTGGGTATCGGATCCATGATTCTGGAAACTTTGGGTACGAAATCTTTTCGTTATTTTGGGTTTCGTAGTCATCATTCTGGACATTTTGATTACGAAAATAAGTAATTAACTTTTGAAGAGAGATATCAGAGTTCGTCAAAAGTCATTAAACTGTTTTTACTTTTCCCAACAGAATATACTCTCATAAAACAAATTTTCGTCTGTCACGTTCCCCTTATTCCCTATTTTGACTAGATTAGATCGAATTAGATTAGACCTTTACTACAACGACTTATCTATGAAGATCAATGAGAATGCGTAGTTGAAGGTCTACAAATCATGTTAATGTACAACTGAGGTGTTTTCTATTCATCTAATGTGATAAACCCCCTAGCTACAACAATGCCATGAACGAATGACGTAACTTTTGCAACCCGTTAGGTTGTTAAATATAAAATATTACATCGGAAATCACAATAAGGTAATTAATTTAGTTGATTTCTAGTGTAAAGCATGTACGCATTGTGTGTGTACAGGGGTTTGGTTATAAAGTACCATGGAGACAAGAGCACGGATGCAACGACAGTCTCTACAAAATCAAATAATTTAGATATAATGATGGCTGAAGACCGAAATGTGTGATGTGAACATAAAGCATGAAATAGGAGAGAGCGTTATAAGATTAAAACTATAAGATGAAAGAAATATAAATGTGGAACAACACAAAAAATATTTGTATACTTTCTAACACCAACACTCACTGATCAGAATTATGACTTGATAACGTTAACTTTCTTTCAAAATGGCGGGCGGTAAGTGTCGATTTAGATGTTTCTAGTTTTCATCAAAATACACCATTTAGCCGTGGACATTTGGCTTTGACATTATTGGGCAATCTCCGCCCCAACAAATGTTCTATGGTAGCCCTGTGATAACATATTGAGGAATGGATATTGAAACACTCAAATAAGCACAAAAAGCAATAGGTAATTAGCGTATTTAATGCCTACCCAAATTGTCGGATAACGCATTAATAATTGTTACCGAGCCTCTCGATTGGTTGATCGAGTTTCGAATTTAAAATTGTAAGAGACAAAATGATGTTGTCCTTAAAGGAATATTCCTTGCCAAACCATCTCTCTCCTCATATGGTAGCTATAACCATATATATGCTTGCCATGTTTAGCAAAACACGCAAAAATGTTTTGATATGGTCAAATCTGATCACTTAGAAATGTGATTCTCAATTCCAGTAAGCTGCCATCTTTTAAAATTTCACACAGGAAGTGATGTCATCGACTCTCAACTTTGCATATAGCATTAGGTGAGGAGCTATTAAGAATTACAAAACCAGCTAAATATTCTTTTTCCACTTTGTATCTTATTTAATATTTCTGAAAATCTCTGCTTTTATTCTAAGTTGACAAGCTCTGAAAATATTTTTGCACAGAAAGTAATGATCACTTGTCTAGAAGTGATTTTGTGCTACTTTCCTATACTGTTATGGGCAAGGTTATAGAAGTTGAGAGTTGATGACATCACTTCCTGCAAGAAATCTTAAAAGATGGCAGCTCACTGGAAATAAGCACTAGATTTTTAAATGATCAATATTGACCATATTAAAACATTTTCCCATGTTTTGCTAAATATGGAAACTATATATATGATTATAGCTACCATATCAAGAGAGAAAGGGTCTGGCAAGGAATATTCCTTTAATGCTAATGAAATAACCTATCAAAATATTTATAAGCGAATTCTCAATTTAGAGCATCATATAGAAATTGATGTTGTATCACCTATTTATACTCTTGAATACTCTGACAGGGCTCATACATACAAGATAGATGGATACAACAAGAAAATACTAACCCTTAATTGGTTAGGGGGCAGATCTGCCCCCACTTCTTGTGGTTTTTTTATTACTTTTTTGAAGTTTCTGTTTTAACCTAAAACTTTCTTGCTTTTCTTAGAATTGAATAAAGAACTATCACCAGTAGCCTAGGAGGAAAGTTAGAGCTGGTTAAAGTTAATGACATGCCCCAAATTGTAGTTGAAACGCTATTTATTAGAATGTGAATTGTTTCATTTATAATGGTTCGGTAAAAGTTAAAAGTATGCTCAAAATACTGGAAAGTGAATAACCGTACCAGTGATACCTGATACATTCTCGTATCCCCCGCCCCTCCAACCGTTGGTATAATTATTTGTAGCTTAACCGTTTAAGGGTTAAAAACTAAATTACTTTTAAATCAGAGTGGTAAAAATTAGCATAAGAAAGGGTAAGTTAGTTTTCGATTAATTTAATGATCAACTGCACTTTGAAAAGTGCGAAACATTTGTTTGTCCGTATGTTCCAATTATCTAATGGGTAGTTGGGTACTGTTCAACAAATACCATGATGTTGTACATGCATGTATTTTAACAAATCAAACGTTAAATGCTCACATTTCGCCAGATCAGATGACACTTTCCAACAGCCCAATCTTAATGAAACTGGGGGAAAGTGGTAGAATATGAGGAATACGAGTAGATAATCATTGTCTGTGGGGTACTATGTAGTCATACTTTATTAGAGGAAATGACTACTTAGCTATTGCGAACAATTTGTGACAGATTTATTTTTGACATATACCATATTATTTTTCCATAAGGAAAATTCCATGCGGTCCATTGTTTTCAGGATTATTTTGGTCACCAAAATTTGATATCTTCAAAATTAGGATTGCTATACAATACCCCTTTCAGATTTTACTGACACAGTGCAGGAGAAACTTTTCAAATGGTTAAAATAAGCACTTTTCGGCACAAACATGTGTAAGCATTATATGTTTCTGAAAATCCAAATTATTTTGCCCGAAAAAGTTGTTGGGATGTCAGAATCGTCCATATAATTCCTTACATTTGCACTTTTTCCCCATTCTGTTATAATCTGTTTACTTAACAATAGTGAGGTATGAAATTGACGATTCTGTTGCCGTCTGGACTATTTTGTTTGTAATCGTGTGGGTGTTCTTAAACATATAGTACTGAAACACGTTTGTGATAAAAATGTCTTGGGAAATCTGCCTACAAAGAGTAAAATGAGATAAAAATAAAATCGTACTCTTGAGGTCCGAGATTTAGTATGAAGAGTCCAGTTCAGTGTACAGGATGGGCCAATAAAATTGTAACATTTTTCTATTTATTCGATTGTCTTTATTTTTGCAGTTCAATCCACTGAAATTCAGATAATGGTAAAATGATTATTTGTGAAAATGTTAAAGATTATGTATGATTATTTTTGGCTTGTCATCGTCAGGATTTGTATACTGCGTGCGTCGTGAAAAAATTCCAAATTTTCTCTGCTTGAGGCATCACTGCTGAAAACACAGTATTTTTCATACCATACAATATGTACCCTTCATATGGTCTCAACACAATTTCCATTAATTAAAACATATGTAGTTTATGTATAAACATTTGAGTAATATAGCTTAACTGGCCTCAGCTTTTTTCAAAACTGGCGCAATATGTCTCAAAACCTGTCATTTAAGCCATGTATGACTGTCAAATACAGCCCAGACTGATTGTTCAGGTTGGCGGAGGACATGTTCAGTAAACCCTTGCGTTGAGTAAAGAATGGAACATTTTCTATCGATTGTAACTTTTTTGTTTGTCTTGTATTATCTTCAATACTTTAGGAAATTTTAAACAATTCATTGTCAACAGCTTGTGTAAATATGAATAAACAAGCTCAACATTTAATTACTGAGCATGCCCCCACCCACATGAACAATCAGTCTGAGCTGTATTTGACAGTCATGCATGGCTTAAATGATAAGTTTGAGATATATTGTGCCAGTTTTGAAAAAAGCTGAGGTCAGTTAAGCTATATTATACGAGGGAGACATGTCTAGCTTCCCATAGAGATACTTACAAATGTTTTGATTGATGGACATTGTGTTGAGACCATTTGAAGGGTTATATATTGTATGGTATGAGATACTGTATTTTCAGAAATGATGTCTCAAGCAGAGAAAATTTGGAAATTTTTCATGACGCACCCAGTATTCAGATCATGACCATGACAAGCCAAAAATAATCATACAGATGTACATACATATTTTTATCTTAAACATTTTCACAAATAATCATTTTACCATTATCCGAATTTTTGTCGACTTAATTGCAATAATAAAGAAAATTGAATGAATAGAAAAATATTCCAATTTTTATTGGCCCACCCTTTATATGAAACGTACGTATACCAGTATCTGTATGACTCATTTCAGGGAAATGCCACTGTTTATTTTGGCATGCTTATTCATGCAGAGTGTTTTGTGCCAAGATGTTGATGACGGTACCCCAACAGTAGCTGAATTCATTGACTATGAAATCGTTGAATGTAAGACCAGTTTGACATTAATCAGCACGTTTTCAGGTTTTCGTTTCATGTAGACGCAAGGCATACTTTGAATGAAGACTCCGTAAAAACAATACCAACACCTTATCCAAACTATCTATCTAAAATGTAAAAGTGAATAAGTATATGACACGAATCCAACGATCATCAAGACAAATTGTCACAACTAATGAAAAATTGATTGTACTACTACTTTGTCTTCTCTTGAGTTGCAAAAATAAGCAACAATGAATAAAACTTCCAAATATGTAGTTGACAAAATGGTAAAGGAAAATATGAGATGGTGTAATCTTTGTTATTTGTTAATCCGACTCTCATTTAAGATTACGTTGCAAAATGCTGGAGTTTTTCAGGGGTTAGTAGCATCCCTGCTAATCTCCTCGTAAGTTTTTCAGGATATTTCTATGAAGCAAAAGAGCAGAGCATTGCATACTGTTTAAGTTTACATAAAAGTACAACAGTTACTTGCCTTTCATATGTGAATAAATTAAAAAACACCCAAACTAGGCAATAAGGAGGTTGCCATGATGTTTCGGAAAGTCAGAACAAGTAATATGTGGTTTTTAAACACTTTTTCAATATGTTTGACCATATTTTCATCTTATCTTCTTTCTATTTTTCAGTGGAGTCATTTCTGTTGACAGATGAACAGGCAAGTGAGTGAAACAGTGTATGATTTTGGAAAGCTACACAACTTTGGACGGGACTAATATTTAATATACGAGCTGGTCTATTTTCCTCACATTTTATCAATGTACTGAATCTATTAGAGTGACACATTTAGATTAGAACCTACAATCTGACAGATTGGTCTTCTAATACTGTTGTCTATTTGATCAACATTTACTTTCTTACGTTATAAACTTATAGCACATAATTAGGGCATTCTTATGTGTAAGTAAGGAGGGGCTACGTCTGAACTTTAAAGCAATATCACGGTGTTATAGCATGACGGTTACGTCAAGGCGATTTGCAAAGTTTTGCGGTAACGATAACAAAAAATGGCGGATGGGAAAGACAGCATGTCCTCTTTCTCGCCTATAGGCAAGATTAACAGATAAGATTTCCTTTTCAACTAGTTCCATTCGGTGACGTATATATGGATGGTTATAAAGACTGGGTCAAATCTGCCAGGTGGTTTACTAGAAGCGGAATATAAGCTCTAAACTTACCGACTGAGATGTCCAAGTTCATATTTTTTAGTCCATTCTCGTGATTTCTCAGTATATGTGCCTCAGAGCCACTCAAACTATTAACAGTAAGTAAACTGTGTATAAACAAGCCATAAAATGACAAATCCAGAACAGGAACGTGGTCATATTGTAAATAATAAGGTTTCAAACGCAATGTCGTTAGACGACTACGAATGAATTCTATGGACGGTAACGTATTGTATTAGATGTACATTAGATATTTAGCGGACGGTTACGTGCATGTACATCTTTCAAGTTAAGGTTGCTAGTTCTGATAGCCTCTTTCCATGTAATTGTTATAATGGGTAAGAAATTGAATATTGAATTGCTCATGTTTGTTTTCAGGACTCGCAAGAAACGCTCTTGTTTGAGCCTCTATAGGGCAAGGAAAAAATTGTGTCTTGCTTTATTTATGAAGCCAATTTAAGTAAAAAATAGCAATGAAGAGGCAAAAGAAGAATTAGCATCAAGTATTGATGAATATGACAAAATTAATAACAATGAATCTGGGATACATATTTGAACGAGGTTCGCGTAACAGTCAATCAATTTATTGCGTAACCGCAAATTAAAAATACAATATTATGGCTTCAGTAGAACATATTAGGTGGTTTCCAATGCTCAACTGGCTTTTTACGATCGTATGTAGGTTACATCTATATAACCCGAGGTCGTTAGGCAATGTAGACCATGCCCTAACGACAAAAAATTACTAAATGTGTAGTTTTGAATTTCTAACTCAACAGTTTTTCGCTTATTTCATGTTATCCCCGGGCATCAATTTGCAAAGAATACGTTCAAAATATACATTACTAAATGCATCACCGAATGCGATGCCTACAAAAATCGTTCATCTTTTCATTGATACACAGTAGAAGAAAATAATGCACCAACCTTAGTTATCTGTTCCACCGCGGCCATTTTATTGGATAAATCAGTGATCGTAGTCGTCTAAGCTCGTTTTCAGAGGTGTCGTAACCGTCATGCTATAACACCGTGAATATGAACTAGTCAAATGATTAGATGTATGAATACAGTGATTGAAGTATGTGTACGATTCATTATAGAGCTGTGTGGGACAACGGGTTACTTTGCTGATCCCGATGATTGTTGTCACTATATTCAGTGCGACGGTGATGAGTGGGAAGGATGGAGACAATTCTGTATGGGAGGAACTGTGTGGGATCCAACGTTATGCGCATGCGTGCATCATGAAGATTATCCAGCATGCGATCCTAAGACATGCAATAGTTTGTAGAAATCTGATATCTTTCATAACAGTAACAACATATTCAGATAAATGCTCATATAAATATACATTTGCCCGCCGTGATAATATGTTGAAGTCGACTTACACTCCGGGGAGTTGGTCTTCTCTTTCGAATAGTATGTTCACTCTCTGGAAAATAGCGACTATGATCAACGAATGATTATGTTAACCAACTACGCCATTACCCTCTCAAGTTTTTAAATACAGAGTGATTCGAAAACTGAAACATTCGTTTTTTGTACGCAAAACATTTTTTTGATTGCATAACCCACAAAACGATTGTTTACAGGCAAATTTGACATACACCAGATATTTATAAAGCTTAAGAGATCAACTTATTAGATCCCCCAAGGGAAGCATAGTGGAGGTTAGGCCAGGTTGATGTTTTAATCAGATTGGCTTGTTTTACCCATTAACTTGATAACTTCATAACTTTTATAACTCCACGTCCAAAGTACTTTAGGAAGAACTATGCTCAGTAATATTTGGTGTGGTGAAATAAATGTTTTACATTCATTTAATAAATAATGTTCCAATCTTTGGACTACTTTGTAAATTGTGTTACACGGTAAATACGATACAAGTATATGTCATATTCCGCAACGAATATGGCATATTGACTTGCGGTGTATAATAGATACACCTGTTGTATATGGCATACACATTAACCAATGAGAACGCGATACGGAAGTGCGCAATTGTCAAAAACATCGATTCAACGAAAGTGTTAACATTATAAACGGCTATAAATTATTATAATGATTACTGAATCAACAGGTCAGTGCATTGAATATTTAGAGGTTATGTCACTATGACGTGAAATATGCCTGAGTTCTCCCAATATAGGCCGACCTTGGGAGGCTCTATATTTGGGCAAGAACGAAGGCATATTTCACGTCATAGTGACATAACTGATGTATTACATGCCTTTGTTCCCATGGTTACTTTGTATCAATGACGTGACGTCATGATATTATCATGGTTATTAAATAAATCTAATATCAAAACGAGGTAAGCGGGCTATATCGGGGTAATCGGGCAATATCGGTGGATATAGCTCGCTAACTTTCCCATTGACTTCCATACAAATGCTTCGCTAGGTATGTAATACATGAACTGATACAATTGAATAACATACGCCAGTGGTACCTGTATTGTTTGATGTTGTTTTATATATTGTTACACGCAAAAACGCACTTCGAGGGAAACATTAAATAAATATACATAAACGAACCCACGTTCGTGAAGCTTTTGAGTGACTTTTACAACCAAATTATCAGTTTACAAAAATCAGATAAAACCTGAAAAACACGAGTATTTGATCACGGTTTATACGTCACTGATACTTTCAGAAGTATCATTTACCGATCACACGTAATAAACTTACTCAATCACTCCAGGATTCATAGTTAAGTGCTCGAAAGTAATCGAGGCAATTTTGTATGGCGTTCACTGCGCAGTAAATGCCATACTCCGCAACGTGTATGTCATATTCTCAGAGTGAATATGTCATATTACGCAGGTGAATATAAGGTATTCACTATATCATATTTCAATGCGGAATATGCCATACTCACTTGCGGAATATGTCAGATACCGCAGTTGAGTATGCCATATTCACTTGTATCACAAATACCGCGCAACCATAAATGTATGCCATATACCGCGTAACAAATTGTACTTTTTTAGCTGGTGGAAATGCTTCGTTTCCTGAATGTCCAGAAAACTTAGCAGAAAGTGAGTAAATGATGCTTGACTACCTTATTACTCAAGTTGATATGAATGATTTATTGCTCAAAATCAATTGTTTTAGCTACTCATCAATGTGAATAATCAAAAATGATCCATGAATGATCTTTTACTCATCAATGTGAATAATCACAAATGATTCATGAATGATTTATTGCTCAAAATCAATTGTTTTAGCTACTCATCAATGTGAATAATCAAAAATGATTCGTGAATGATTTATTGCTCAAGATCAATTGTTTTAGCTACTCATCAATGTGAATAATCAAAAATGATTCATGAATGATTTATTCCTCAAAACCATGGAATGTTTCTATAAGCAATACGACTTTCACAAAATTCGATAAATTCTAACCCTTTAATCTTAATTCCTGTAGCACTATGGACTATTTTTCAGTCACATTTTCAGAGGCCAGATATACTTATTTCAGTATGTTAAGTTTTATAAATGGCATGTCTATTTTGACCATGCGAATGTAGAAAAAATAAAATTGCTTTGGAGTTAAAATCATGTATCCTATTACATTATTCGTCACGGTAAGGTCCGACCATCTTGTTTGTTTCACCATATACCTGTTTTGTTCTCATTTCTGTACAATATAGATTAGACCTGATATCTCTTTCATCTTTAATTTAAATACAAGAGAAATGCCATTCTTACGAAACCATAGGCTCTCGATCTAAATCTACTAGAATAGTACCTATTACATTTGAGAAATACTCTCGCATATTCAGATCAGTGTTGCCTCAAGTACGATCGTGGTCAAGTGTATACTAGAAACATCTCGGACCCGACTATGTATAAGGTAAATGATGGTCCATGGCAGACATGTCCGTTTGGAGGAAAATTTTTATTGGACTCGGAGGAGACAGACTCGTGTTACTGTGAATACGATACAAGAAGTGAGTATGTGTATTTTTTTTTATTACTGTGAGATTACAAATAAGAAGTGATTATATAGGCCCAATCGATCGAGTTTGAAAATATTGGGATAGAGGACATTATACTTTACGTGTGGCATTCAACAATATTGTAAATGACTTTTCGTTTCAGATGCACCCTGTCCTTGTCTTCGTTTTAGTTTTGATAATCCTTTTGACGATTTCCACCCATTGTACGATGATCAAGGAATCTATTCAGAAATCGGAGAAGTCATATGGATGTTTCCAGGAGCGCCACCTAGTCCAGGGATCGGGGCCATGTTCATGGGATCAAATTCATGGTTCAGTGTGCCAAGATACGCTAATGTTGATTTCCAATCAAACTTAACCGTGACGTTTTTCATACGCCCCGATTCTGGCTTTTTCAATGGCCCTTTCTTTCATAACGGTGGTCCAGGTGGCGAAGATGCAACAATTTCTTTAGAATATTACATTGTTAATGGTCAAGCCTGGTTGGTAGCTGGTGTACAGGCAGAAGATGGAACAGACGACATTATCTTAAAAGGAATTCGAGTAAGTCTAAGTTATAAATGTACATTGGTTTCTTCTAGGAAATTATGAGTCTTGATAAGTTGTCATTTATAAAAGACAACATAAACTCGCATAATTGTATAATATACTATATATTGTTATATAACTAAAACATAAACGTAACGAGGTGCCTCGGAATTAGAGCTGTTCTAAGGCCGAGGACCAGAAAGAATAGAACGTTACATTGCTGTACACAGAGCTAACACAGTAAGTCAGCAGAGCCATAACTCACGATGATGGGCGGAGTCAACTGTCTTTCATAAACCGCACTTATTCCATAAGATGCTATTTCTAAAAATAAATACCTGGATTCTACTTATGGTTTTCATATGAAGTGTGTTTCCGAAAAAAAGGTCAATGTAACCTTGTTGTGCTTATCCTTCCTTGAATTGTCGAAAGAAATGCATCGAAAAAGGTTCCACGGGGATTTTTAGAATAACTGGATAGGTGCGACTAAACAGAAGAATTCATTTAGTATTACAAAAAAAATACAAAACGATTATCTTACAGTTCCCCGTAAAGGAGTATACCTTTATTGCGTTGGTGTATGATATGGGTGAGGTCTCCCTCTATGTGGGTGATAATCCACCAATTGCAGTAATGGAGTCAGGTATACTACAGTATGTTTACCTAAAAGTTACTCTTTCTTATGTCTCCCTCATTGGGTCCAAAAACTTTCTGTTTGCCCCGACATACCAATTCAAATAACTCATCATTTTCAATAACAGAACTTATTAACACTTGCATTGCATTTTAGGATCATTATGTACATCAGCGTATAGTATTTGTATTCTCCTAAATGTTGGTGATGCAGACATTAGAACATCACCATTGGCCAAGGTTTCAATCTGTAATCTTAAACATGTTTCATTCAATTCAATTGTATTTTTCAATTAAGCCTCCATAGACAACGAAGATAAAAAGTTATTGTTAAGACAAGTCATAACAGACACGTTTACAAAAGCAGTCAGCCTGAAGAGAAATCAAACTGATAATATACGGAAGACGACCATTAAAGAGGTAGAAGATGTTTCGGACGAACTGGGTTTCTATGTTGACAATACCCTTTCAACATATCTCACGGGTAGTACCTTATTCCGAGAGGCTTTAAATGAGTACATTAAGAGTCCTTCAAAGCGTGAAGAATTAAGTATCGAACTAAAAACAATGGCTAGCGAGGTCCAAGAAGCATTGGCAGAACTGGAGAAGCTTGTCGTTGAATTAAAGAATGTCAAGAAAAAGGTTTTTATTTGATAATATTATTTTAAAACGAAAACGAAAAAAAAATTACTAACACCCCAGTCACACAGGCCGTGCGTCGACCGCAGATCAATTAAATCAGTGTATTTCTGCGGCGAGCGTAGGAAAACTACGCTCGCAATGCGGCCTCCGTACGGCGTATCCAGTTTTTTACAGGCCGCAGGGTCGCCGTAGAAATTATAACTCGGAGCTATAATATTTGTTCATTTCTGAGGTCCCCGTAGAAATGAACTGCCTCAACAAGATTGAATCATTATTTATCAATGTTTCACTATCACTTTTCATTTGATATTACATCCTAGCACTATGAATAACATTTATAAATTGTCCCGATGTAAATAAAATGAAAAAAGTATTATTTATCAACAGAAATTTAAAATTCAACGTGCGGCTGCCGTGGGAAATGTGACTGCAAAAGTATGAGAGCGCAGAAATTCCACGGCGAGGGTAGAAATGTTACTGGCCGCAGAAATGATAGACCGCAAGGTCGCCGTAGGAAATGTGACTGGGGTGTAACACCCCAGTCACATTTGTCGCACGGCGGCCGCAAGTCGACCGCAGATCAATTAAATCGAATTTCTGCGGCGAGCGTAGAAAAACTACGCTCGCCTTGCGGCCTCCGTACGGCGAATGCAGATTTTTACAGGCCGCAGGGAAGGCGTAGAAATTATAACTCGGAGTTATAATATTTGTTCATTTCTGAGGTCCCCATAGAAATCAACTGGCTCAACAAGATTGAATCATTATTTGTCAATGTTTCACGATCACTTTTCATTTGATATTTCATCCTAGCACTATGAATAATATTTATAAATTGTCTTGATGTAAATAAAATGAAAAAAGTATTATTTATCAACGAAAATTTAAAATTCACCGTGCGGCTGCCGTGGGAAATGTGCCGGACTGCAAAAGTATGAGTGCGCAGAAATTCTGCGGCGAGCGTAGAAATGTTACTGGCCGCAGAAATGATAGACCGCAAGGTCGCCGTAGGAAATGTGACTGTGAATGTAAGGCAAGCAATATTTCCGATGCGGATTTAAATTGGTTGATGTTCATAATAAAATCAATTCTAGCTTGCAGAAATTGACCCGGAGGAAGAAGATATCAGTATTAGTGATTTGAAATGGAAATTTGGACGAATGAAGACAAGAATTTTTGATCTGGTTGGCGGTTTTGGAGAAGCGGATGTGGAATCTGGACTTGGAAGGTCCATACAAATGGCTTTTGAGTTGCTTGAAAATGATGGTTTTATTAGCAAACGAAAGAAACGAGCACCAACTTGTAAGAAATTAATACCTTTGAAAAATGGATGATCCTTTCCTTTAAACTGCTACAGCTGCAAATATTTTTGTCTATGATAGTTTATAGCATTTTTAATCAAATGTACGGAAATTCAAAGAATCAGTTCTCCTTCCCCGTGTCTACCCTAAAATGATAGACTCGTCCTTTAATATTTAGCTGGAGCAGAGGGACCAAACATATGCATAAAGCCATCTAAGTTCCCGATTACATTCGGAGAAAATTTCAATGGATTCATGGATGAGGTAAGATGACATTCACGAAACTTTTATTTACAGATATTAGAATCACCCTGTGACTGTTCTATACGAAAACAAGCGGTGTGGATATAATGTGAGCATGGTGCGGATATTAACGGTCATTTTTGAATTTGAATTTGTGATATTTCACAAACTAAGGCATGTTGGGTACTCAACTATATTCATACATATGTACAGGATCTCTTATAAAAATGAATTCGTGTAAATAGTTTTACACTTGATTCTATAGAAAAACACCAAGCATCAATAACATTCTCTCAAAAGCATATAATTTGAAATTGCGGCTGTTACACAGCATTAACAGCATTCATTCCATATTGCTTGGTGATCGAGATAATTAATTGATATATTAATACAAATTGTTTTTGCATTTTGAAAGTTGAAATTTTTCTATTTGATTTCATACAAAATAGGAAACATTAAACGAAAATGTGCTACCTCTAAACAAGCGGTGTGGATATCCGTAAAGTCATGATATCCACAAAGCTTATTTACAGGTAGCACATATCCGATAAATGTTTTCAAGTTTATTTAATTCATAGAGAAAGTTAATGACTTTCAAAATGCAAAAATGATTTATATCGATGGGTCATCTCGATCACCAATACTGAATGAAGGCTGTAAGCGGTGTATGTAAGCGGCAATTTCAAATTCGTAGCTTTTGAGAAAGGATGAATGCTTAATGCGTCGTTAAAGAGTGAAGAACACAAATATAGACAAAATCTCCCTTTTATTAGGTATCCTCTACAAATGAATGAATATAAGGAAGTACCCAACATGCCTTATTAGTTCTGAAATATCACAAATTCAAAAAAAATAACCTTTAATATCCGCACCTTGAGCACATTATATCCACACCGCTTGTTTTCGTATAGCAAAGTCTGTATATGGTGAGAATGAAACAACATTACACTGACATTGTTATGTTTAAAATGGTTCTACGATGCTTTTCCCAACGAACGAGGTTCATGGACGATATAGGAATTCTCTCCGTCCGTTTTTCCAATATTTAACAGCTATAAATGCAAAATTGTGCCAAGATCTGAATAGGTTTTTGGCATACTGGATAAATCATATAGTGGCCATTTTAAAATGTTCAATAAATGTGCGATGCTTATCAGTGTGCGCTTTGTTTAACAAATATGAATCACAAAGCAAATATTTGTCTGATGGTATCTAATGTATATCCTGCCTTCAGATGACGGTATGCAATTTTGCTGCAACTATGGAGCAAATTGAACTCCACAAGAGTGGCATTGGCGAGGGAAGATTTGAAAGTTTGGCTTATCCATAAAAAAATCAGACTGGGAACTTTGAAATTAATCTAATGTAATATTTGCTATTGTAGTAAATCTTACTTGAAAACATCAATAAACCACAACAGATAAACGAATAATTTCCATTTTTTCCATGTTTCTTCCACTGGATATCATCGCCTAATTTTGTCAATGGGGAAGAGCAGTTCATTTTCAAAATTGCCACACAATCTATTTTTAGCGCGATCAAATGCTGCTTATTCGAAGACAAAATGGACCAGCACATACAATTACAATATCAATCATATTTCTGCACGAAATTACGTCATAAACTCGGAATGATCGTTTTCCATAGTAACTTTTTAACTTATTTTAACGAAGGCTTCTAATTTTTCCCGTTTCCCGAATGGTCTAAATGGTGATTTGAATATTTTTACTTAAAAAAATATACATTTTCCTTTGTTTAGATTTTTAAGAAATATTGAAAATAACTCGTGTTAAAGGGGAGGAACAGTCAAGTGGGTCTAACTGAATATTAGAAAAATGCAAAATAAGTCATTTTTGATCGATTATTCTTACATTTTGTGAAGGCAAGGAGAACAATAGTTATTATTAAACGTTCTTATTTGAAGTAACAAATATTTTAATCGTTATTTGGACTATCCAGGATAATCATTAGAAGCATTTGTCAAAATATATTAAAAAGTTAAAATGGAAAAACGTTTGTCCCGAGTGTAGGATGTTTGCGCCTTCGTATTAGATCGAAATAGGCTTCAGACGAATTTCGTGCAAAAGCATGATTGGCATTGTCATTCCATGAGCTGGTTCATTTTGTCGTATGAGATTGAGAGCTATTTTCACAGAGAGACAAACATATTGGATACTGTATAAGATAATGGGTATTTATTGCTTATTTGCCTGCTTGTTTGTATATATCTGACTGACCGACACATGCATTGACAACAAAGTCACATACAACTGACCACTAATTTAATTGTTACCACTCCCTACATAAAACAAGAAAGCATTATTTGTTACAATATATTTTATTTTCTCATACATCTAAAAATGCATATGCTGAAAGGACGATTATTATGGTGTCGTTTCGTCTGATTCTGGTACTACAAGGTCGCTAAGTACTCCATCGAAGCAAAATTGGGTCTACAAAAGAGGAATTCAAAAATCCATAACAATATACACAATACACCCGAAATTCCTGAATTCCTGGGGCTCTTGCTAACACACTTTCATTATAAAAAGAAACAGCTGGGAACAACCTCCTTTTCTGAAATATCAACAAACCCAAGGCTTGAAACGAACCACACAGTTAGAAACCGTTCCCGTCGTGCAACTCCCCCCCCCCACACGATAAAACAAACCCCAAGCCGGGGGAAAAATATACCCCCTCCCTTGGTAAAACCTGGCTAAACCCCGGCAGAAGCTTCAGGGAGTTGACACAAGAGATACGAAGGATGATTAGAGCCATTACACAAGATATATGTGAGCATGTAGTCAGAACAACTTCACCCAGTGCGTTCAAAATATCCTCCAGGGACGAGCCATGCATTTTCAGAATGTTTTGTAAATAGCCAGAAAATCATGGACATTTGAAATTGACCAATGAAACTTATAACAACGAAAGAACATTGAACAGGGTTCCATTGTACTAGATATAATGCTAAACCAATACTGGATGATCGAGTTATTAACATTTGTTTGGGTTACCTTTTTTGGTTCACCCTAAAGATATGGATTTTGATCTCACATTTTATACTATTTTTCAAATACATCAAAGACGCCGTTAAGAGCACGGATGTGAAAAATCATTGGTTTGGATTCGTGCAGTTTTGTTTCCAGTTTTGAATTAATCACGTGGATATTCTTGGTATAACTTACGTGGTCCAACTGTCCAACGAATCCTTGTCCAATCATAATAGGGTGTTTGCTACTTTTAATTGATGGTATTCCTTCTTCCACATCTACAATACACATGTTTAACCATATGTTCAAGGCATATCAATTAGAATTTTGTGCTGCTCTGTAATTTTCGTCTGTGTACTTTGGTAGCGGGTCATTTCTTAATAGTTATGAAATAATGAATACAATATGATATATACAGGGTGGTCCAAAAAAATGGGACACTCATATTTCAAAAATAAATATTGATTTTATTGATGAAAACATGTCATATTATATACCAATGGATAGGGAATTTACTCTGACGTCATTTTCGTTTCAAAACAGCTTTTCAAAAACTTGTAAAACCAAGTTTTATTGTCAACTTTATTTACATAAACAGATATTCAATATGTCCACCGTTTTGATCAATTGTAGCCCTCAATTTTGGCCTAAACTAGTCAATAACATCATTGATGTGCTGTTGAGCCAATGAATTTCATTTCTCAATAATTCTGTCCTTTAAGAGACTGAATAGATGTAAAGGATTTATGGTACACTAATTCTGTTAGTTCTCCCCATACGTGGTAGTCGCAGACGGTGGGTGATCGGGTGATCTTGGGAGGCAGTGATTAAGCGGGGATGAATCTAAGCACATTTTCTTTTAAACATTTGACACTCTTGTGGGATCTATTGCTTAGAGCTTCATCTTGTTGGAAAATGTAATGATTCGAAAATGAGCTCATATCAGGATGGTTCAAAAACAACATAATTGGATCATCCGATAGCAACGTCTGCGATGACCACATATTGGGAGAACTAACAGGATTGGTTTATCATGAACCTCTTACATCTACTCAGTCCCTTATTAAGGATAGAATTGTTGGGAAGTGAAATTCATTGTCTCAACAGCATATCAATGATACTATTGACCAGTTTAGGCCAAAATTGAGGACTACAATTGATCAAAACGGTGGACATATTGAATATCTGTTTATGTAAATAAAGTTGACAAAATACTTGGCTTTTGCAAGTTTTGGAAACCCCGTTTCGAAATGAAAATGACATCATTTATACTTTGAACGCTGGTTGACAGACATTATAATTAATTTGTACTTATGATATATCAAATCAGTGAATTCCCTATCCAATGGTATATAATATGACATGTTTTCATCAAGAAAATCAATATTTATTTTTGAAATACGAGTGTCCCATTTTTTGGACCACCCTGTAATATGATAAACCATTTGAGATTAACCACATCTAGATACTGCAAGATGATCATTTTAAAGAGCATGTTAAAATGCATATTACCTTTACCAAACACGTTTTATATCAAATACTTGTGTTCAATGTCAGGCGCCTTACCTCTCTTCTTTCTTCTACCCAGCTTAGACTGGCAGTCCTGTGCCTCCTCCAACAAGATGTCGTATTTTCCTTCATTGTTGCCACCGGTATGTCCTGGATTCTCCTTGTCGATAGCGTCTGCAGCCTAATATAGTCACATTAAACACAAATTTATTGTTGAATACACTCTCAGAAATATATACAGATATCCAACCCCACATTATTCATTCTTTGTATAGCATCTGTAAATTATGAGCAGAGTAACGACGGTCTAAGTCTAAGTAAGGATAGTTCAATCTGACATTAAATCTGACAATCTGACATGTTATATATATGTATTTGCAAAAACTAGTGTGGAAAATAAATGGGATATTATTGTTTCATGATTGATCCCATGGGCTTTTAGTAAATCTTTTAGTGAATTTGTTTGTGTTTCTCATTAACGATGAAAATTATTAGAAACTAGGGTTACTTTAAAATAAGTATGTTTAGTATTTGTAAACATGTATCTTTAAAATCAGTTCTATTTTTTATAGATCATTAAATATATTTCATAAAATGTATCGGTTAGATTTAAACTTACTCTTCTCAGTTTTCTCTTGAGTACATTCAGTTCCTTTCTCTGTTTATCTCCTAAGATATCTCTCCACAAAGGTTTATCTTCCTTCAGTTCGCACAATTTAACGAGACCACCTTTCACATCGTTTATCACCATGTTGACTCTATATCATATTTCAGTCAAGATATCATAAGGTGATAGTATGGATAACTGACTCATTATATCATTATATGAAAGTGTGTCTATTTGCTGTGATCGTGAAAGATCTAATTACAATATGATTTGTAAATAGAGGTAATTTAATGGGAGAGATGAAATATGAACGTTATTCCCAGGAATACACAATATGATATTGGCCAAGGAAAATATCGTATTGACAGGGGGCTATATGATATTTCCTGAGACCAATGTCATATTTTAACGAGAAAAAATTCATATTCCATCACGACCATGAATAACCTATTTATTCTATAATATTTTTTCTGAAACTCATTCATTTTCAAATTTGATTTGTCACCACCCAATGATGGTAACATAAAAGGATACAGTCTGATTCATCACATTACATTTTTATTAACAAGTTTTAGGAACGAAAAATGCAAAAACCAAGAGAAATCCCCGGGAATAGTTTTGATACGGGATCCGAAATGAGATTATTTGAATATCAATTCTATTCCCTGTTTATTTCACACCGGGAAAATATGTTATAATGGAATAAGACATATTATACAATACCTTTGGACTGTTTGACTGAATACATCAACCAAGCTATCCAAATCTTCTGTGCTGATAGATTTACCCTTCTTACACCGTCGAACAAGTGGTTTCAGTTCTTTAGTAGTTTTTCTAAGATCAGTCAATCCAATTGAACCCTCTGGGTCGTTTGTGAAATCTCCAAGTGCATCAACGAAACCATTAATTTGGTTCAGACAATCCTAGATGTAAATCCGAAATTTATACAAATAGTAATATCACATTCTGTCTTGATTTACCTCTTGGTATATTTGAGAAATATGACAATATGTGAACATTGAAAAACGTTGCTGGTCCTGTATTTAAGCGCATTACTTTTTTTAAAACATCAAATATAACGCGGTACACTTGCAATTTGTAGAAATTGTTTACTTTTTATTCAGATTCTCTTTGTTTTAGTGTTTCAGAGATGCTTTTGCCATTTATTGATATGTTTGTACTCCCAAAAAGCTTAACATATTCATTCAGTATCAACAATTCTTAAAGTTTCTTTTAACAATATCAATCAAATACACAGGATTGTTTAAAAATAATATTTACTTCATATCTTAAATTTCATTGGTTTCTATGGAGTACGTTTTTGTCAATATTTTATCTAATAGGTTTAGAAATAGGTTTGAAGAAATGTGTATTCAAAATGTATTTCTTGCTAATATTCGTATAGGGACATAATGAGAGCTCTTGTGCAGGCTAAAGTTTAACTTCAAAAATCTTCACTCCTTATATTTTATTGAGTAGGGTCTAAAACAAAGTGCAACAAGTAATTTATTTTTACCATAAATGTGTATTGATTATATCTAATGACAAATGAATGCCATCTGACATAGACTGTTAAAAACACAAAACTAGTATTCATAACTTAATATTTATGGTGAATATTGTGCAAATTTTGCAAAATAAAAAGATTAGCAATATTGACTTAGCATACTGCTTAACTGCTATTTTCAAAGTATATATATACCAAAGTTAAAATGTCAAAATATCGCAGAAACGACCCGTTCGTGGTATATAGTGAGGGTTGTCTCTATGGGTGAATAACATACTGATGACTGGTTTAAATGAGTTGGAACAGTTACATTTTACCATATATTACTTATATTAGTTTACTGCTGACTTTTTAAGTTAAGCTTACTTGAGCTTGTGAAAGTTTAGCTCTTCTCTCTGTGTCGACGGGTTGTGGAATTTCAGATACTGCATCATTAGCCCTCGAAAGACTTCGTCGAGCTCCTTCGTTTGTACAGTCCATGAAACGCACAATTTCGTCAGTTGGCAAAGGATCTAAAGAAATGATTTCAAAAAACATCTGCACTTTTGAAAACCTTTGCCAACCTCGCATTTTACCACAAAAAGTTTGCGGTTATTCCAACTAGAATCTAAACGATTCACATATTTCACAAGAGTAGTTATATTAGCTCATAATGATTAGCGTTAACCATTATAGGTAATTGCTTTTGTCTCGGAGCTCATTACCTGGTTCAAACCTGCTCACGGAATCAATGACACTGCCGTCCTCACCACCATATCCTATTGTCATCTCTCCTTCGTTGAAGGTAAAGAATGCTCTGTACCAAGTGTCTGGGTTAATCTTCAAGATCACAAATGTTGTTATTAGATATATTAAAATAGCTTATGTTTTCACCATTACGGGTTATAAATGATTGAGTGTTAGCTTCGTCTTCCCATGAACAAGAACTTCCGTTGAAACGTAGTTCATATATCTCTATCTTTATAGTAACACCTCATCTTAAACTATCGACAATTGAAATATTTGATATACCCCCTGATGAGTCAAAAATACTGAATGTAGTGGCTGAATATATCAAAATGAAATTTTGCTAGTCTCATAACGCTACCCTCATAACCATACATTACCTGATATAACTGACATTGTTCGACATTGACAGAATTTGTAATTTAAGCACATGGCAGCAACGGTCAAGGAAAATTACAAAAGGGACATTTTAGAGTACATTGTACTTTATTTGCCGTAAACGGAAACTACGCATTTATTTCTATTATTCATGAATCATTCATACGTACATTCAACTGGAGAACAACATCTTCTGTTCTATCACAAGCATCTACACCAGCTACGAGATATTGATTGCCATTGCAAGTCATGATCTCGATCTTTACTGTAGCTTTTGCGCCTCCTTCTTCACCATTGTGTAACAAGAGGCCATCACTGTCCTCGCTGAAACTGGCAGCATTAAAATACGTAGCAGCAGCAAATCGAATGCCCATGTATGCATTGCTGAAGTAGGGAATCTCCAGCTCATTGCCAGATCCAAATTTGGCTGCGCCATCACCGAAAAGACCAGGTCTGCTTATGGATACACCTGATGGAGCACCGTGTACATTTTGTCTGATATCAACGAAACCTGTATCGTACTCGTATTCAATACATGGTTTAGGTGCCCCTAAAATAAAATAAAACACAGATGTTTAAATAGTGTAGCATACATTCATGTATCGCGTGTGACTTGATTGATGCAAAACATAAACAGCCGAAAAGGGACATCTGGTTACCAAATTGTCTAGTGTTGGGTAAATCCATATATATATCATACCATACATGGATGGGTGGGTGTAGGGTCAGCATTGGTAATGATACACACGTAGGATGTAACTGTATTCGTCATTAAAACAAGGATATTTTCAAAACTCATGTGTGTACCTTCAATATTTCCTTCACAGCAACAAGACTCCAAAAAGAATTCCTGTCCAGGTGGGCAAACCTGGAACTCTGGCTCAGTACCGAAAAAGTATCTACTTGAGTTTCCTGGGAATCTTGAGAATACTTGACCAGTTCCCTCCAGACAACATTCCTCTAGAATGATACATCATACATACATCGATGAGAAAGCAAATGGATGTTATGCCCGTAAAGTTGCGAAATAAATCTAGGAAGTGTACAGTAATTGGGTTAACTCTGGAACATCAGATCGGAATGTGAGGCGAATCGGTCAAATAAAGGGAAATGTTAATTCTGTTTGCGGTATTAACAGTGCTAGAGGTAACAGCTAAGTACGTTGGAGCATGATTTGAGTCAAAAGAGAATTGATCAAAGGAAAGAGCCTTATCAATGGTAACTAACTTGGAGTGAATGTACATACCTGTTCCAAGTTCGGTTGAGCATGGAGCGATAGTTCCGGGAGTGGGGGATGCTAGAATACAATGAAATGTACTTTTATTGTAAACTAAAATAATTTTAATTGGATGTAAATAATGAAAACATATATTACAAATACGATCGTAGCGTATAAAATAAAGATTTCTTACGTGGACAGGCTGTTCTATTACATTCACGGAACGTTTTTTCAGGAACGCATGAACACAAAATTGGATTCCATACAGTTTTTCCGAGACATGGGAACTGCCAGCCAACCTTTTGGTTCAAATCACACTTGATAAAGTGGCAGCAACTGTCATCAGCGGAAATGAGTCCAGTCAGTTCACAGGCAGCTTAAAGTACAATTAATCCCTTTGCTCCTAAATCTTGGATGAATGAAATCAAAAGTATCGAAAAATGAACATCTACCCCATTGTTTTAGCATTTTGGCAATATAAAGATTTAACCATTTGGTAATTACTAGGAAAATGTAATGTATCAGCTGATACTTCTCGCCCGTTAATTCTTTATCAAATGATCGAAAATCTGATTTATAATATGTTCAAAGATATTTATCTGTTTTATGCCAAGGTTCTTCTCTCTCTCTCTTTCTTCTTTTTATCAATATATATCTTAATTTCGACAAATATTCTCTATTATTGTAATGAAGAACGAATGTTCACTGGAGTAGCAAGCAAGTAAACACCAAATGCACGATTAGCGTATATGTGAGCATTTTCGGTTCTAGATATTCAATTATCTATGAGGGATTGGGGTAAAGGATAAATTGTCTAGGAGTTGCGTTGTCTAGGGATGACTTGTCTAGGGGTTGAGTTCGTCCGGTTACCATAACAGGTAGATACTATAAATTCTTTTTGTGTATGTGACAAGCCCGATATTTTTCAGGGGGTTCACTTTTCAGGCAATGATTTCCGGGTCGGTCACAAAAAATTGTAACATTTCATGTCTGACTTTTTAATTCGTGGTAAAAGCTAATTTAGCTAAAGTATTTTTCAATCAATTACAATTGAAGCTTTTGCTTAATTTTAAACAACAATAATTTTGTACTGGATGAATTTGTAAATAAACATGTTTTCGTCTTCTATAAATATTTAAGAAAATGGAAAACAAAAAACAATAAGAATTTGATATGCACTGAAGTCAGAATTATGCAAATGAAGTATGTTTAATCCATTACATTTTACTCACAATTGGGCAATAGCAAAAATACTCACACCTAATCAGACGAAATATACTTCATAGAATAAAATATATGACAAGGAGCACAGTTTCTAAATTTTTAATTTTTCTCATTTTTGAACTATTTACAATGACTATTTATAGAATGTATGGGATATGCAATACTGAAAAGGCAAATTGCTGCACACATTAAGTGAAACCCTCTCTTCATATTATTTGTGATTATTTTCCTTATAGACAAAGTAGGAATTCAGAAATAAATATATTTTTGACCACAATCGAAATTATGGTATCATTGGAAAGCCCCAATACCATACTTTAGGAATTCGAGGAAAAATAGAATTTTCACTCTGGCCGTTGCTGTGGAAACGGACGTTATGAATAACGACCATTTTTAACAAGCATTAATAACCAAAAGCATTATTTGCATGTATTAGGTCTCTATGTAGCACCAAATTTAAGTTAAAACTATACAAAATACACAAAAAATGAACAAAAAATGAGCCCAGCTTTGGGCAGAAAGTACATGTAAATCAAATAACAATAAAAATCTTAAATATATGTGCATAGATTTAGATTTAGATCGCTATTTCTCGAAAAAAAAATATTTTTCAGAAATGAATTAGATTACCATTATTTTATTGTAAATTCCATATTGTAAAATTTATCTGGTGATGTATTTGATACATTGTAAAGACAATGGCATAAAAAGAACTTACCAAGCTGGGCGTCGGTTAGTTCGGGTATCTTTTCAGCTGAAACATAGAAATAACGATTTATAACAATCTAGCGTAACAATGTAAAATAATTCAGGTTTAATGTGTAAAAGATCGGATATCTTCTGTTTTTTATATGATATAAATAAACCAAATCTAACTCTAAACTAGAAATCAGAGCCATTAGGAAACGAATGTGTACTATTCCAAGCGTCATATTTCAAAACATCCATGATTCAAAAGTTCAAAACTATTAAAGAATGTCGGCTCATCGAGATCAGTTGAAAATTCAAAGGGATTCGGTTAAGCATTGCATTTTTCTTACGTTTGACGAATCCCTGACCAACAGCCAGTCCTATTAAGGACAGAAAAATTAGTTGCCACATCTCCCACCTATAAATAAAAAACATTCTTCCTTATACGAACTTGATATATCATAGAGATTATTGTTGAAATGTTCATGGAATCAAATTGAATGAAATCCGAATCGAGATGAGCACATAACGATTTTTGGAAAGCAATAGCAATGCATTGTACTTTATATTTCCAGTTTTACATTATGGCATTCTGTGAGAGAAGACATTTTGTAATGATGTAATAAATCAGGTGTGGTCCTAAACCTATTTTTGGGTTGATATTTTTCTCAAAGACAACCTTTCAATTCATCCCGAGTACGTTTCGAAACGGTCTGGTTCTCTTTTCCAGTCTCAATTCTGAATTGAGTTATAAAAACAACCAGGTGATTTCAATGCGTACTCAGAAGGCTTGCGAAGAATAAAAACTTTTTAAATCATGTTATTTAAAATCATGTCAACGTTACTTAATAGTTTTTGAACAGCGATGTACAAAGTATAATATCCTATATAAAATATATGTAAATAAAAAAAGAAATTTTAAAAACAAATATGTACACTTACTATTACTCGACCAAATGGATATATAAATATCCGTGTGATGTCTTAATGTCTGCCACGAACTAACATAAGAAAAAACATAAACCATCAATCATAACCTACTTCGTTTTATGACTTGATTTATGGAACATATAAGAGTCATCCACCTTTAGGGCTATTAGCTTGGTTATGAATATAAAAATGAAAATTCAACTCAGCGACTTGCTTTTCACTATAGTCTGTTCTGCAAGATCTGTTTAAATGTCATGGTTGGCATTCGTTTCTTTGAATTTGATGAACAAACATGTTTTATACTTTGTTATTACCTATATTACATTGGAGGACTTTATACATATATGAAGTTAATTTATTCGAAACGATCATATCAAAACATCATTCATAGAGATGTTATAAATGATGTGCTGAAATCTCTAATATTCCTAAAACCGGGTATGAACTTTTTGGACTTCTAGAGAATAAGTAAACGTGGATTAAAAGTTTTAAAATTGAGAAAATTATTTTGTTCAATTAAAGTTGCTTGCTCTTTCTTGTATTTCCTTGCGTTGGATGTCGTGAAAAGTTTCGTCCAATACTTTCTTCGAAGTGCAGTAGACCACAAGTTTAACTAGACTCTGCACGCAGGGTACCATATCCTCGAGAATCAAATCAATCAACCGAGATCTGCACCATTGGTATGAATTATATAATGTGAAAGACTGACAAAAGAAACCAGAAATAAATACGTTTTGTTTGATTAATCATTACTTTAAATAAATCTATGTGTCTGTTACAGTTATTTGGGAACACCAACTTAGATTATTTTTTGTGTGAACGTATAAATTATCTGATACGCTTGGTAATTTTTGGGGTGTGCTTGATCTGTTGCGAGTAGCCGATCACACCACGATCCTCGGGTAATCTGTTTGAAATAAAATAATTAAGGGGTAGGGCTGAACTTAGTTCGAAAATAGCAATACAACAAATACATGTCATTACAGTTATTCTAGACATTCAAAATTCCCTTTTGTTCATGTTTGGGAATTTATAATTACCACCCACGCGTCTTTCACCGCCCATCTTACACTAATATGTCTGCAAATCAGTTGTCACGAAAACAATCCTAACATGTCAGTCTAACTGATATAACGTAATGTGAGACAATTAGCTTAATTACATAAATAAGATGTCATGTAAGCTATCACCCCAAGGAAAATATGCAGATGAAGTGCACCTTCGCTAGTATATATTGGATATTGAATGTTTTCATTTAAAAATAAACAAATACAATGTTTTCATGTCTGAAAGTATGAAAGGTAAAATGTTAATGTAAAATTAGTAATATATAATTTTCTACATTATATTATTTTGTGTAAGTTTACCATTGATATGTGTCTTAAGTTTTGCATATACATATTATATGTCATTTAGAAACGAAACTTTTAAGATGAGCAGTTCAATTCTAAACCTTTAATGTCCCCTCCTATGAGGAGAGTAGTATGAATGGTGTGCTATATTTCACCTATCACATTCCTTAATACAACGCACCTTACCCGTGTACCAAGGGAAAGATCAATACCCGGTGATTTCAGCGGGAAGTGGCGTTTCGTTCAGTGGATGAGCTGCGCGCGCACGCATAAATGTGATTATCCAATATAATTAGGGGAGGGCTATTTGAAGTAGTTTTTGGTCTCAGGCGCGACCCAGGGCTGTTGTCTTAAGGACATTTCGTTGAAAATGAGCCATTCGGCTGATAATTGGTAAGAGTTTGCGATCTTATAATGTATAACTGTTACTCAGACACATATTTTGACACGATTCTGTTGGAAATAAGCTTTGAACCGAGAGATATTCACGATTGATATGCACATTTTTGATTGTGCCATTGCTTTTCTATTGCACAATCCATGTATTGGTAGAAGAAACATTAATAATGCAGATTGGTTTACCTTCAATACATGGCAGACACTACATATCGGTCTATTAATACCAGTTTGTGCCTTAAATAGTTTTATATTTCCATCCACGGCCTGGAGCCTGGGTGTGTTTGTCTCTTATGTGTATGCTTGTGCATGGACTTCTAATCACTAGCAGAATTTAACATGATGCAAACTCGACATTATAACTCATGCTGTAACATTTTGACTTCGCTGGAAAACAATAGGAATTAATTTTCTTGCCAATCAATCATGAATCACAATCAAAATTTCAGAATGATCAATCAGGCAATTGTCCAAATCAAGTTATAACATTATATGATATTCAGCAAGAAGTCCGGTAGAAATACAGAATATATAAACATCAAAGCTGAAAGTTAAAAGCTAATCTGTCAATTTTCTGTCTGCAAAAGAGCGTTTACATTTGACACAATAACAGACTGAGGCTTTGAAATCTAGGATTCCCCAGGAAAATATGACGTCATACTAATTAGCATAAGGATTTCCCTATTGGTATGGGTCGAGCCTTGTTCGAAAACACAATCCATAAATACATGCTAATTTCTAAGGAGATAGGAAGTGTATAACGTGTTTATCGATTTTGTTTAAAGATTTAATCAATTATCAAATTGTTTAAGTGGATAAAGTGGTCACACTTGCTTCAATTCATAGCGAAATCGACGGATAGAAACTGACCGAATTCCGATATCCTACCCCGTATTACTGTAGGCTATAAGCACAGTGACCTACAGAGGGCGCTATCACAAACAAGTACTGCACGAACCGATAATTTCCCGGGTATTGTAACGCCCTTGTGTACCGTAGTTTGGACAGTGAGCCCCATTCACGTCGCCATATTATGTGAAAATATAAGTTTACTCTAATAGAAAGAACAACATGTAACAATGTGACTGTTGGCTTAAATTTATTTTTATCAATTTATCACAAATATATTTTGTGTAAGTTTACCATTGATATGTGATATTGATATAACGCACCTTACCCGTGTACCGTAGTTTGGACAGTGAGCCCCATTCACGTCGCCATATTATGTGAAAATATAAGTTTACTCTAAATAGAAAGAACAACATGTAACAATGTGATTTTTTGACTCAAATTAATTTTTATCAATTTATCACAAATATTAAAAATAATTGCATGTACGTACATTACAAAATACATGTATATATTTAAATATAAGAAACAATATTATGTAATATGGGGCAAACGCCAACCATCGCAAAGCGAGCCACATCCACAACAGCAGCAAACTTCAAACGATTACTATATAAATATATTTGAAAATACATTTTCAAACCATATCTAGTGTTACAATGCTCTGACGACGCGGCTATTTTGATAAATGACTCTGGTGAGCTATCTGGGTAACCTGTGGTTCAACTAGCCCATTCATTACTTCACCACCTCCCCACATGAACAACGAGACCTGTAAATAACACATAGGGTAGGTAAACGTTATTTCCGTCAATATATTATGGACTAGGATTAAATTTGAGGTGAGAATTTCATTTTGAACTATCTTTCTTATTTTGAATATTAAATTATGCCACTATAAATGAGGGGAATTCTCAACTTTGAATAGAAATACGAAACTACAATTTACAGTACCAGGCTATAACTATGACTCTTGATTACTCGGATATCTTCAAGGAAAGAGGAGAGCCCATCTGATCCACTATTAATAAATACAGAGAAACATTCAAATGTTATTTTCTAACATGTCATAACGAACCACGTGTTTTTGTAGGTCAGTCATGTGGATGTTAATTCTTATCCATGCTATAGGATACGTGGCAGCACAATCTTTCCTAAGACGTGAGAGGTTTTAACATAATATATGAGAAATCATAGTACAAGTCGGGCCAATAAAATGCCCCTTTAGTTGAAAACGTTTAGTACTAATTAATTTACTATAATATTATAAGTGGAAAGAGAATTTAGTAAATCCCTACCCACAAGGGAAATTGTGTCAAGAAATTCAAGAAAGTATGACCCAATATTGATAATCTAAGCCAATTTTTAAATTGAACCCATTTCAATGTACTGAAACTATTTTATTTAGCCCTTTTAGTCCTATAAATATGTCGTTTTACTTCATAATACATATTTTATCCTGTTATTATGTTTCTAACGGCATGGTATGTTTAATTGATTTCTTTTTAATTCTAGCTGAGAAAATACCAGAACTATCCGCAGCACAGATAGGTGAGTAGTATGAGTGATATGATAATTGTTTAATTGTGTAATACAAGTATACCTTTAGAGAGTGGTATGGTCTTTCTAATTATTGTCGATTAATGCAAAGCAATGGTAGATGACTATGCCACATTTCAATACCAGTGAATCAATATCTGCCACTTCTAGCTTCTTGCCAACTGACCGGACTCATTTCCGCTGATGACAGTTGCTGTCACTTTATCAAGTGTGATTTGAATCAAAATGTTGGCTGGAAGTTCCCATGTCTCGGAAAAACAGTCTGGAATTCGCAACTGTGTTCATGTGTTCCTGAAAAGACATATCGATCTTGTGATAGGAGCCAATGCCCAAGTAGGTATCCCCTTCATTTGGTCGATAGAAATCAAAATAACCAATAATCAATTTCAACTTTCGATTATTAGATATAAAAGGGATGAACGTCGACCTCGCAAACTATAAAATCCGTACCAATCGTTGTTGTAATTCTCTAATTTCTTCTCCTACTTACTGGTATTACTGTTATCAGGAATAATTTCGTCTTGTTATATTTCAGCCATTTCATTACCTGGGACCACTGCCCCTTGCCCCATCGACCTTGGTTCAGGTATTTGCAAAATTACACCAACAGCAGAAATATTTTTGAAATATATTTGCCTCAATAAATTCATGTGTAAGAAAAGTGAAAATATGCAAATAACCTAACATCTTGTATAGAATGATCTTATATATAATTAACACAAAATTAGAACAAGGCTACGAGGTACGCCACCTATTGGCGTTATTCAAAACCATATTTCTGCATTGATTACACTTGCCTCATCAATTCTTATAATGAGCTCTTTAGATTGAATTATGATTCCCTTGTCAGCGTTGTCACGAAGAGCATCAATTCAAACCGGCTTTATTTTTCAATTCTCGAAATTAGTCTGCGATTGGTTGTAGGTATATTTCCTTTTTTAATGTATTCTTAAATTCATCTGCCACGTTCTCCTAATTCCATAAGATATGGCGACCTCTATATTGGAATAACTTTTCTTATCGAATGGGTAAATTCGGCGAGTATTTTCAAAATACAGTCAATTTCATTGAAACCAATGACTTAAAATTAAATTTACATTGTGTTATTATGAAGTATTTTTATAGATGAATGCTGTCTAAAAGGGACAGGCCAAATATTTAGAGGAGACGAAAGCAACTCAAGTGTGTACTATTACCAAGGAGAGTTGGACTTCCAAATCTGTCCCGAAGGTCAAATATTTGAGCTTGATTCATGCTGCTGTGAGGGACCAGTAGGAGGTTTGTTGGATTACGTTCATTATGTCACCACCAAGAAGTGGTAACGTCACAGCTTTTGTGACCGGCTCTCGGTTGGCGTCTGCAAAAATGTCATTCTTTTGTAATCGTGTACTTTGTCCTAAGTTTTTAGACTAGTTGACATGTAATGTCTCGTATATTAATGTATATCGCCCAATATAAAGAATATGAATGGCAAGTATTTATATGTTACCAAGTAAATCCAAGGAAAAATATCCTAAACACCAGCTGGACGCTGGGCATGACATACATTATATTCACATTACTTATTACCTAAATCAACGTCCAGGTATTCCAAAACCATGCATCACTTATGAATATAACGGAAATTTCGTGGACAGTGATCAGAATGTGCATGGTGACCCCGATGGTGTAGTTATAACGAGACCAGGTTTCAAAGGTGCTGGTTCTGCATCATTTGGTGAAGGAGCGAGCTTAGAAGTCCCATATTTCAGCAACGCCTACATGGGCATCCGATTTGCCGCCGCCACTTATTTCAGTCTGGATAGCTTAGATGAAGAGAGTGACGGGCTTCTCTTTCACAACGGAGAAGAAGATGGTGTAGCCGCCACTGTCAAGATGGAGATAATGTCATGTAAAGGTGTACAGTATTTAGTCGCTGGTGTGTCAGCATGTGACCGGGTAGAAGACATATTGATCACACTTACTGGAGTAAGTAAATGAGAAACATAACAAAAAGCTATTATATATCAAGTTAATGGAAATTCGCACATTACTTAGAACATACGAGGTCATTCAATAAGTTTACGGAGAAATACTCTCATTTCAAAGGTTTTCAATATTTTTCATGAAATTTTCGCATAACATCCAAAAGATATCTATCTGGTTGTTGATCCTTAAAACATTAGCATATCTTGTCTAATTGGTACAAAATATCGGTTAATATCATGGTAACTTGACTTTTAGGTAGGCGGGACACTTTTTACGTCACACTATTCCTTAGAAAGACAACAGAATAGTATGCAAAGCTATGATTGATTCGACCGCGTTTCCCCTTATCTACTTACTATGTATATCTGCTATATTACTTCTCATAGTCCCATGTATTGTACCGTGAGGTGTACTCTGCCCTCGCTTCTGTTAAATGCACAATCAATTCTGTTTAACCCCTTGGTGATACAGTGCTCTGTTGTCTTCATGATCAGGGAAACTTGTTCGCAATCTGGATTGCAGTTGAAAGTTATCGCATTGTTCCATACCGTACATGTCATAACGTATCCTTCATCTTGTTCAAAACAGTAAAATCAATGATTGCCGCATCATAACATCTTAACCATACACTTTCCAAATCGAATGCATCATTTCTTGTTTGGTCTGCCCTCCAAGGACACAGAATCTAATGACAGTTCTAATCTTTGAAAGGTCATTTTTAAAATTAAGTCATCTTTGAATCTCTCAAGTGTGAATATATAAGCACAAATGTCAAAGGGAAGGGTGACTAAAAACTTTAAAGAAACCCAACAAGAAAAGCAAACTGTAAGTGTAAATCTGTCATAAGAAAAGTAGACCCTATATATCCCAAAACCATGATCTAACGTGAAAAGAAACAATGTTTAACATCCCCCTCCCCCCTCCAATCGAGAACCAATATCACAATCCAGGACCAGAACACCAAGGCACATTTCATTCATACTGAAGTCATTACAATACATGTTGAAGAAAAATTGAAAAAATTGATAGCCAATACTCATAACATCAAAAATAGTTGTAGATACTAGTTTTACAAGTTACCAGATAAATGACATTTATGGTGGAACATGTCAAATCTACAACAGAGTCAATGGGATATTGTTTTCCATTGAATGATGATTTAAATATTTTTGACATTGCCATGAGCAATTATTGGTGATATAAAGTTTACTGGAACTGTGTGACTTTGGTGTCATTCACTTGTTCCACATTAACCATTATAGTAATTTAAACGGGAAAAATAGAAAATAGTAGGGAAATTCCATTGAAATAACTTACCCTAAAGTCAAGTTACCGTAATAACAATTATCTTTGATCAATTCTATAAGAGATGCTGATATTTTACTAAGCATGCCAGATATTCTTTGAATGTTATGTGAAAATTTCATGAAAAATATTAAAGCCCTTTGAAATGAAAGCATTTTCCGTAGACTTATTGAACGATCTGGTACAAGACTGCATTTTCATTTTCTGCTGTATTTTATTTAGATTAGTACGAATACATGGTATAGAGCTTTTTTGACATTCAACGAAGGCAACATGGAAATTGGATATAGTGATGCTGACGGTATAGTTATCGCGTCTGAAGAAATATTCGAACCAGGTACTTTCCAGTTTCAATCAATTCATGTTTAGTACATGCATTGTTCAAAGAATACTATATTCTCGGTTCATATTGCGGTTATTAAAATAACAGAACATAACACAAAGGAATATTTTGGCTCGTTTAAATATGTTAATATATTGTCACTTCATATAAAGACTTCTACAGTCTGTTATTAATAGCAATATTTTCATAGTTTGAAAATTGTCTACAAAGTTGTCTAATCAACTATTCCATCACCAGGATGTGAAATTGGTGAATTTTAGGGTGGTAAAAACGAAAACCCTGCATTTTCCTCATATCTTCGTCATTTTAGAAAATGATTCCCTGATATTTATCATATTTGTATGTAACAACCCGACGTAGGCAGTCGTAAGGGGTTGGATTAATTAAAGTGTGTTGGAGAAGATTAATAGTCGGGAAATGAATTTTGAAAGTAAATAAGGGAGTTTGCCTCAAATATGATGGAATAAAATAACAAAATAAATATATAAGATTATATAAATCAAAGTATTTTAATGCATACTAAAATTACTAATGCAGAGATGTGCACAAAAACTTACAATTAGACAATACCAGTCATTTAATTCACATGTACTCAGCTAATTACTATACCGTCCGATGCAATGTGGGAATATCAGAACATATAAACAATATAATGAATCAATACAATTAAAGACAATCAATCAATCGATAACTCACCAAAACGTTTCTGAGGGTGGGAACACTTATATACTTCCCGAGACATAGAGCAATTGAGCATTACATACATACAATAAAATATACGTTTGCCACTGACTCAAAGCCACCGGTCTCTGTAAGAATAAGAACTGGGAACTAAATACACAATGTTGATTGGTTGACAATGGTACAATACTCTGAAACTTGATCAAAATAAATAAAAGACATAAACGTGTAACATATAAGGACCCAAGTCCGTCACATGTATATCATTCAATTCCTACGAGCCTACCATATACCATGACCATTTGACTGATTCAGACTGGTTTTGGACGACGTGTGCAGGATTGCCTATAATGCAATAGTGGCCAGTGGGGCCTGTGTTGTAACATTGTGACTATCAGTGTGATGGTCATGGAATATAGAGTAATTTCCTAAAATAACAAAGATTTGAGGAAAATAGCATCAGGATTTCTTCATGGTATAGGGCTGGTATAAAATTGAATGATGTACAAATGTGTAAAATATCAGGGAGTAATTTCCTAAAATAACAAAGATTTGTGGAAAATAGCGTCAGAATTTCTTTTTTTGACCACCCTGTACAATTTTATTTTAAAACATTATTTTCTTGAAGAATAACAAGATGGCCACGTTCACACTTTATATAGATACTCCAACGAAGGACAACATTCAATTTTTGTTCTGATTTCTACAGCATACATTGCTTGTAAGAAATGAATATCGTCTATTATTTATTTGAACAAGGCTCCCAAAGACGCAAATTTATATTTTCCAATGAGAATGTCAGAAATTCGTTATTTTCTGACATTATAACTCACAATAAATTTATATTAATCAACGGTCCGAAAATTCGAACCAATATCTTGATACCTCGTGTGTGTTTTGGAATTTTTGTTTGGAAATAAGACCAAAATTTGCGATTCAAATTCTGAAGTGAACAAAATGGCGGCTGTTCGAATTCGATTTTTAATTACGACATTTTCGTATATGGCAGAATATCGAGTTGGAACCCTGGGAGCCAATCCTCCTGTATTTGAGAAAAAGCATATCATAGTACTGCTTAAAATTCCTATTCTAATGGGATAAAAAGTTTTAAAGTCAGTGTCATGGTCACATCATTGATATGTCATATTTTAATATCTTTATCAGCATGATAAACCGACCAAGAAAAAACTGGCTAAAAACCCTTTTCCATTGAGATACATATATTTTGAAATTGGTATCTGTCTGATAGTTAAACTCTAACATTTTAAGAAGGTTACAAATCAATGTCAATCTTGTAGATCCTATTCCTACACCCGAGATAATGACATTCTTGGACTGCCTGAACGAAAGAACTAAGAAGTCACTGGACAGGACTCTAACTGCAATGAATGATGTGGAAACCGATACTGCAGAGGAACGGAATTTAGTGGACGAGGCAAAGGTATTATGGTTTAATTGATCTCTCGATCCAATCAATTTTTAAATAAGTTTATTTTTCATAGCACATTTGATGTCCTGTTGTGGGGAGAATTAGACTCATTAGTAGTTGTCTATCCACTGCGGATTAAGAATATATCGTGTACCTTTGGCTTTATCCAGTTCATGTTTTCCGTTTACCCACTTTGCTATATGTTTTCTCTATTCGAATGTTTTGAGGACTGTTTGGACGAGATTAAAACATATCTTGATGCATTAGATGACTTCACGACGAAGCCAGAGGATGCGATTGGTTTGACTGCTCTACGAAAAACAACAAAGGCATTGAAGCCCATTGTTAGACGATGCAGACGAGGAAAAACTATAGATGTGAATGAATTGAATACTTTAACAAAGGTCATGGAGGATACAATTGAAAAGTGAGGATGATTATACCCAGCATTATCAATCATATTAATCAGCCCATACTTGTAAAACAAGTAATAAAACCTTTTAATTTTGACAGGAAAGCATTTTAAAAGTTGTTAACACTATTGAGATTGATATAGATATAAAAATATATCGAAAAGCTTATCACTTAACAAAAGTTGATCTTTCTGATTATCAATTACCATTTTGTTAAAATTACAATTTAGGGTAAATGAAATCATAACAAATGTCAAGGCTGGACTTGTCAAGTTGTGCGAGCTGAAAGAAAACAAAAAACTGTACAGGGATATTCTAGAAAGTCCTCAGAGGAAAGAGTTGAATGTTCTAAAGAGAAAGCTGAGAAGGGTAAGGATTTCAACTTAAAAACAATATGAGACCTATAACAAATACTTACAAATAGTCATCGGTCACCTTATATGTGAAATCATACTGTACATCATGTTATTGTTCTTTATTCCATGTTGTTGCACAATGCAGATCCCTTTCATAGGAATTCTTTGTTGTTTTATTAGGCAGCCGATGCGATTGACAAGGAAAATCCCGTAGTTACTGGAGGTAATAACCCGGGAAAGTTCGATATACTTTTAGAAGAGGCTCAAGCATGCCAGGCTAAGCAAGGCAGGAAAAAGAGAGGTAACACTACACATATATTACTGAAAAACTGAAAATGTTATTACATCCTTCCAAATAGATTGAGCTGTCATAATGAAGATGAAGGACTAGAAACGAAAAAGGTTCTCATACACTCCAAGTTTACCCTACTATCACACCAAACTAGTTCTCACTACGTTCTCGGAAACGGGCTTCAACTGTGTACGAACGGACTGGACCTACTAAGAACCGTTTGGGATCTATTTACAAACTGCGATCTTCAAAACTGGCTTTAAACTGTGTGCGAACGGAATAAACGTAGCTGCAACTTTCTAAAGTCTATTTACGAACTTTATGAACGTTCTCAGACGGGAATGTGATTTTAGAATTTTGAATCGATTCAAAATTCGATGGCGATCGTTCCGTTCTGTAATCAGGTCATGTTGACCTTCTAGACTAAGGGACGCGTTCTACGACGTTGCACACCGACGTGGTGCGACCTGAACGAACTGCGAACGAGATGGACGTATTGAAGACTGTTCAAGAACGAAGAAGCTAATTATTTCAGATATATTTCCCGACCACAGCCAGATTGAGCACGTTTTACGACGTTTTTGTAGGACTGGCAAGAACGGGTAAGAACTAGTTTGGTGTGATAGGGGGGTTACGCGCGTTTTCAATATGTTTTAGACAATGAATAATCGATAATAAAAACTTGACATACAATCGGAAATGTATGACTATGAGATAAGCCATACTTCGTAGTTAAACTCATAATTACATTTTCTGCGTACTAAAATCGTTTGTCCCAAAGTACCCACCATCTATAACATTCATTTAACGCAATGATGAGATGGTTTGACATCTTAACATCCTTTTGTTCGAAGCATGAATTTGTAACCATCATCTTGTTTTTCTGTTAGCCATGCAATCAATAAATGTATTATGACCAAACAGGGATGATGACTTGACCAATGAAACAGCGGTCCATCTTAACATAAAATCATGATGACAGCTAAAAAAAATATACAAATTTGTTAATAGCCCCGTACCTGCAAACAAACGTTGATACATTGTATCTTTTTTCCGGGACACCCCTGGATTCTGAAACTTTGCAATCTTATGTAACTTTCTTTAAAGAACATAGTGATATATATAACATAATAGAGTAGCTATGATACATGTATGAGTTTATGGGAGGGTGCATACATATGAAACACCCTGTATTCTACATTGTATCGTCTCTACACCACACTAACACTAGAATGTAGTATCTGTTCAGTAATTATGAATCTTCGTTTTACACATGCTTGTTTTAATAGATATCGAGAATGATCAGATTCCTTCAATCGCGACAAGTAAACACCCACTTGTGATTGGACCAGATTTCCTTGGAACGTTAGACCACGTAAGTCATTTGAAATGATCTGTATTGTATAAATCTATGATAGGTTTTAAGCTAAATGTATCAACCTATTTTAAATTAGACTTATGTATAGAAAGATGGATGTGATTCTTTAAACGTTATTATTTTTGAAGAACTGATTATACTTGACAATTTGAGCATATTGTTTAACTCTGACTAAAATAAACATATATTTTGAAGTCAAGTGGGGGAAAAAGTATTGATTATTGTTAACCCTACTATCAAATCAAACTAGTTCTCACAACGTTCTCGAAAACGGGCTTAAACTGTGCACGGGCGGATTTGACGTACTAAGATACCCACTAAAAACCGTTTGGGATCTGTTTACAAACTTCATGAAACTACTCGAACGAGTAGGTCCTCCAGAACTTAGAGCATGCTCAAAATTTTCTGGTGATCGTCACGTTCTGCAATCAGAACGAGTGACAATAAATATATTAGACAGGTTCCAATTTCAGAATATCTCAAGGGATAGGGTTTTTGAGGCATTTTTTAGAAAAAGCAACAGACCTATTTTTTCTGGATCAGTTTTTCATGCTGATAAAGATATTAAAAGATGACAGCTCAACGGGGTGGTCACGACACTGAATTTTAGCGTTTTTACCCCCCTGTGAAATTATTTTAGGGGGTACTATAATATTAGTTCATAACTCAAAGGATATATAAACCATTGTTCTAAGTTCTACAGCATACATTGTTAGTACAGAGATGAATACTACCCTAAAGTTATAGGTTGATATCTTTGTTGGTTTCGGAAAAATACAATTAATTAGAAAGAAATATGCAATTTTTGTCATTTTTTCTTGCTTATTTTATATTTGTAGCTTCAAGCAAAATATGATAACTTAAACAGCTCAAAGTAGTATTCTAACAACATTCCCAAGGTATGTGTGATATTGTAATACATCTATTATAGTGATGAAGTACTATTTTGTAATTTTAATATGACTTTATAGTGCCCTACCCCTGGTAAATAGAAGAAAGTTGGTGTGGTTTTCTTCTGGTTTTAACATTTTATTGTCTTCTTAGTTGAAGATACAATCAATTCTGTCAGTTAACCATGAGTAGCTTTACAATGGTTAACTATTCCCATGAATAGAGGGTTGGGACCTCAAAAATACCAGAACTGTTAAGTGGCATCCTTGGGCAACCCTCTTCAGAGCATTTTCCTTATATAATCCGATAAAATCTGCAGGGGACACTATAATAAACCTATATATCTAAGATACTAATGAAGATACTGAATTCAAATTTTCAGGATTTGGTCCTGGTATGATAGGTAATCTGTATGACAAAAATGACAAAAAGAAAAAACTCTGTTGCCAACTGCAAATGAAGCCAAGATTTTAATAATGAACATTCATATATTTCAACAAACATGGCATACGATTTGGACAATGATGATGAAACTCTGAGGGAAAATTAGACGAAACATTAATGTGAGTGGTCCAAAAATAACACTTATATGTTTTGAAAAAGTTATGCTCTCGGGTGAATCAGTGCTCATTTAAGGATAGTCTGAATCAGGTGAATTTTTTAACCTAATTGTACCCCTCCCCAAAACCCCCAAATTTTGACAATTGTCGAAAAGTGGCAAACAACAATTAAACAAACATCATTAAAATTAAATATGGCTATTTCGCTTCTATGTCATAAAGATATGGTACGATCTCAGGTCAATCAATAAATTTCACAAGTGACACTCTATCTTATGAAGAAAATATTATCGTATTTGAAGACATGTCAAAAATTTGGTGGAAATAATTTTGTCACTCCTGATTTGACCTGGAAAGGTTCAGGTAAGTTATCACAAACAATTTCAGACAGTTATATCTTTGATTATGACTATTTTCTGACCATGAAGTCAGGGTATACAGGGATAATAAAGTCAATCGGACTCGGAGATATTTCACTAGCAATCAACCCATCAATATATTTTTTCAAAGTTGTTGACCTCATTTTCACCAAAAATGCTATCATTTTATTAATGTTTAATGCATTACTTTTCTTTATTTTAATGTATCAAATAGCTCTTGAAAAGAAAACTGAATTCCCCTAAGATTAGTGTTCCCCATGTTATTTCCCCTTTGAAATAATTCATGCTATCCATTGGTTTCAGTTCATTTTGGTCATCCAAATTCAGTGTCTTTAAAGTCCCAGGAGCAATCCACTTTTCCTCTTAGGAAATAGAACATGTCTCAAAGCATATTCTAATTATGCATTCAACAATATAATTAAAGGTTGCATCTTTGGTGAAAATTAGGTCACCATTTTTAGTAAAAAGTATGTTGATTGGGCCATTCCCTTTAATATCACTTAGGTTTGATTAATCATTATATTTACTTTTCTTGAAGATAATGAATAGATCTAAAAGATATACCCATGTTCATGGTCAGAAAATATTCATAATTCAAGTTAGAATTGTCTGAAGTTGTTTGCGATAACCTACATGCTCCTTTATAACATTATTATGTAAATACAGTAGAACCTGTGTAAGTGGAACACTCCATTCTGCCACAAAGCGTTCCACTTAGAAGGTGTTCCACTTACGGAGGTTTTGGGTTCGCAGGGAACATACAAGATCAAATATAGGATTTATATGTATCATTGGAAATATGATTCTCCCTTCATTACAGGGCAGGTATATACCATTAATAATCCATTTATTTTACTCAAAAAGGTATCTGACATTCTTAATCCTCCTCATTCTGCCAAAAATGTTTTCTGACATTCTTAATCCTCCTAATTGTGCCAGTCTCAGGAACAAGGATTAGGCAATTAAGTTTTAAAGACTTGTTCCTACTGCTAATAATTCAATTGTTTTTAAATGACATTTTTCATCTTACTTATTAAGTTTGAAACAAACAGCAAGGGATATTAATTAGTGGTAGCATCACGTGTCCAGTTCTACAGGAGGTTAATCCAATTTTCTGAATGAAAATCTTATGAAATCCTAATTTGCTGATTATCAAATTAATTGTTGGTTGCATCACATGTTGACCTCTACAGGAGGTTAATCCATTAAAATCCTAATTTGCCAATTATCACAGTATTACCTGTTTTCATACCCAGATATCATTGAGGGAGATTAATTCTGTTTACATATATCAATATTGAAATCTATGGAAATTGACTGTTCCACTTAGCAGGTTAATTTTTCAATATGGAGTGTTCACTGTTCAAGTTTGGAGGTGTTCCACTTACAGAGGTTCAATTAACATTAAGTCAATGGGTTTTTAAAATGGGACTTTGAAAAGGCGTTCCACTTGGGAGGTGTTCCACTTACAGAGGTGTTCCACTTAGCAGGTTCTACTGTACATTACTTGTGCATGATGACCACCATAGTCTAGTTGCTCAAATGAGATCAATTGATGATTATAATGTTTAGACTTTATGTCAATGTCAAGACTGTATGCCAACCTCTCTAGTATGTGATTACACTAGATTTCATTATGATACATGTACTTAATTGAAAACTTACATATAAAATATCTTAAGTCCTATATTCTAGTAATAAATGAATTAGAATGTCACCTAACATTTGATGATGGTATGAATTTATTGATTTGGTGTCTATCAATACATGTTTCTAACTTAATGCTGCAAAATGATAAAATTCACCACATTCACTTTCTTCAATTTTCCAGGGGTAGGGCACTATAAAGTCATATTAAAATTACAAAATAGTACTTCATAACTAAAATAGATGTATTACAATACCACACATAGCTTGGAAATGTTTTTAAAATACTACTTTGAGCTGTTAAAGCTCTCATATTGTGCTTGAAGCTACAAATATAAAATTGGCAAGACAAAAATTGCGTATCTTTTTCCTGTTTTTTATATTTTTCTGAGACCAATAAGGGTATCAACCCATAACTTTAGGATAGTATTCATATTTGTACTAGCAATGTATGGTGTACAACTCAGAACAATAGCTCACATATCCTTTGAGTTATGAACTAGTTTCATAGTACCCCCTAGAATATTTTCCTAGGGGGGTAAAAATGCCAAAATTTAGTGTCGTGACCACCCCGTTGAGCTGTCATCTTTTAATATCTTTATCAGCATGAAAAACTGATCTAGTAAAAATAGGTCTGTTGCTTTTTCTAAAAAATGCCTCAAAAACTTGAATTATTTGAATTGGAACCTGTCTATATAAGCACTAGTGCCAAAGGGAAAAAATTAAAAGTTGAAATGGGTCTTAGCAAGAAAAAGCAAACTCTAAGTGCATACCAGTCAAGAAAAACAAACCCCATATAGCCCAAAACCATGATCTAACGTGAAAAGAAACAATGTCTAATACCCCCCCCCCCCCCTTCCCCCACCATTCAAGAACCAATATCACAATCCAAGACCAGAAGACCAAGGGACATTTCATTCATACTGAAGTCATTACAATACATGTTGAAGAAAAAATTAGAAGTTGATATCCAATACTCATAACCTTAAAAATAGTTGTAGATACAAGTACTCATACAAGATGGAGCATTCAGTCTCAAATGATGTGGGATAGATAAAATCCAGTCTCCAAGTCCATAAGCGTTTCAAAGGGTCAACATCTATTCACAAAAGCCGTCGCCATAATCCATAAAACACAATAATTCACAATGGTCATCAGGAGAAAACTATGGCTGGTTTCGATCCCTATTTCTCAACCATAGATTCGTTAATTGTAGACCTAATACATGAAGTATGTTTTAATGATAAGACCTGTTATAGATGGTTCACATCTAGGTCCAGAAAACCTAGCTTTATCAAACCCATGTGCTCTGAAACAATAGTAGGTACCAATATACGCTTAGCCTGAAAATAAAATGGGTATTCAAATCGTCAACCTTAATATTTTCATTTTAAATCTTTAATTGTATCGTCAGTTTTAGACCTTTACAATGGTTATACCTATCTTGTATATTATATTGGTAAGAGAGTCTAGCCAGAAAAGGTCATACGTCAAACCACTAATCTATGAAATCATAGTTGGTAAAATGAGAGGGGCCTTCTAATCGTATACCTTAATTTAGTCAAAATCAGACCTTATATTTTGAGAACTCTCAATGATAGCACATTTAAGATTGTTCAAATCACCAGAAAATATACACATTTTTCCCCTACGGTAGAAAACTAGAAAACATCATATTTCATGTATACATAAAGAACATGCAAAAATCCCTAAAATTTAGCTAATTTAATTAGATTGAAAATTGATGACAAAAGTCCATGTGCGTTATGGCAAGTGATTTTAGACCGTCATATCTTTCACCATGGGAACTGTGTGTGGTCATATATAGAGTGATTTCTATTGAAATAATTTGTTTATACCCCATGTCAACAATTTAAAAATGTTGAACCTATATTTACTCAAAAGAGAATTTTCTTTTTCTGATTGTTATTGCATGAAAGGATTGTCCAACAAGGGGTCTAAAACTTCTTCAAGAGTAGAATGGTATTGAAAGTCACGTTTTGAAGATACCATTTTTGATGACCAAAACTGCTGAAAACAATGGATAGCATGAGTTTTCCCTATGGTTTTCCTATGGTTTTTAACTTAAGCGCATTTCAATGCCAATCCCCATATATGACCAAAATGTACTCATGGTGAAAGATATGACCGTCTAAAATCACTTGCCATACCTTAGATGGTCTTTTGTTGAATTTTAAAAAATCGACATTCCCATGTAAACCAATGGGAAGGGCAAGTTTGCCGCAAGTCATATGATAAAATATCTATCCGTCTAAGTTCTCTCAAAACACAAGTTAAGTAGACAATTGGATTTACTCACTTTAACATAAAATTGTGTTGTTGTGTTTCTCTAGGTTTAAAAAAGTTATAGGTCTCCGAAGTCAAAATAATTTTTCAAGAAACCTTTCTCATTGAAAGAACACGCTATAAATGGGATCGTTAGACCAGAATAAGTGGCGGATCGTCTTACCTTTCGGTCTTTATTTACTCGAATATAAATATGAAACAATGAATGAACCACCATGTAACCTCAAAAACAGAATGCGCTTAAATATACAAAATGAAACAACTATACTAGGAACATCAATATTGTAACATAATATGAAAAAGATGTACGTTCTCTTGCAGACGCAGTTTTGTTTTGACGGGGAATTACCTGAATGATGACATCATAGCTTGGACTACAAGTTACAGGAAATATTTTCTAGTCTTATGTCACAAGTGAATCTACACTGCTATAGAAATAAAGATGATTTTTATGAAAAAACTTGTCATGTTGACGTTTTCTTGTGAAAAATAAAATACAGTTAGACCAATATCCTTAGTCTTGCTTAAAAGACCCTGTACTCCCCCCCCCCTTATCATTCTCTCTATATTGCCAGGTAAAGAGAGTGAAGGTGACGGGGGGGGGGTGGATACAGTCTTTGAGCAAGACTAAATATCCTCAGCCCTAATTGATTTAATGATCCATGCTTTACCAAGTACAATAGGTGGATGCACTAACAGCTCGGATGTTATAATTACTGCGTCATATTGCAATGCTATTTACTGTTCCATTTGATCGGTATAGTTAAGCCTACTCTTTCGTTTTTGTCCATGCAATAAATATTCAAGGAAATTAAAATATTATTGTTCATACTAAAGTGCCTTCAAAGAAATGTGTTACCCTCAAACATGAGTATTGTGACGAAATCTCCGTTAATATGCCGAAAGCTTATTACTGTTCGGAGTTCGTAGTTTGTAATAAATGGCAGGTCGTGACATTATCCACACCAATGCCTTGTTAGTTCCTCGAAGAAGCTCTGTTGAATAAGAACACCGTGGATGTTGACACTAAACTATTTGTTATGACTTTCAAATATTCTAAAATCAAATCATTTTAAAGGCTTGTTTGCTTGCTTTGATTCTGTCGTGAAATAAAAAAAATTCAGCGTCCTACTTAAGCATATTTAGAATATTATTTGAAATCTCGAGACGGAAACCAAAAAAAGGCAAAAACAATTTGACAATACATCAAAATCTGCTGGACTTGTGGTCACAAATGTTATCGACCTTTTGTATACACACTATAAGACGCAGTAATTAAGAGACAGAATTAACATATTAAACGCCATTTAATGACTCAGTTTCTCTAAGGGTATAATATATATAGGACTTTGAAACAGTTTGAATTGATTAAATGAAGTCAGTAATTGTCCAATAAATTCGCCTAAAGCTACTGGTTAAAGTTATAGGGATTGACTGGATTACAAGAATAAAGTACACATCCACTGTGGTCAGAAATTATTAGTAAGTAACCGATCTATTTGAATAATATCTTATAATTTAATTGAAGTATTTTCTATAAATAGTACTAAAATATTAACTGAAACGAAATAATTAACCATTCTGAACAGTCTTCGATACATTGGATTCGTTTAAAAGGTATGTTATGGCACGTTTAAGGTGTAGAATAAAAAAATGATGTTTACTGTTTAGATGTTTTTGAGTTTGTGACCCGATATATAAAGGGTATCTTTATAATTAGTTGGTATGATATTATTTTTGTCCTAAATATCATTAATACTTGGAACATTCAAGTACTTTGTGACAGTATCGTCAGCTTAGAGGCAGAATCAAATCTATAGAGATTGACAAAATGCAAGCAACATGAACAGTTGACCTACAGATCTATTACTTAAAATCTCAACTATAATATCTCCCGTATGATCCACGATGTGTTATCAATTGGAAGTTTTAAAGTGCAAAAATTGGGCATTTTTTTAATTCTCCCGAATAATAAATATTATAACAATATTTATAGAAAACTGAATGCATTATTATAAAATTAGTTCTCCTTAAATATATATTTAGATATACATTTTGGGGATTTTTATAAGAGAGATACGGCAATGAATGATATGAGCCAAAAATATTCTAAAGAAACAATTTGGTCAAGAGTGCTCTGACTACTAGTCAGTGCCATCTTGCTAGATCTGATACCTTTACTTTAAAAATTACATTGCATCTTCAATCACGTGTCCCCATATTCCTTATTTGATTTCACTAAAACTGGATCCATTCTTGAGGAAATTTTTGATATGGATGTTTGTATTTAACCCTAATACGGGCAACGTAGTTTTCAAAACACTAACTAGCAAGGGGTCAGATGACCCCCCTACCTGGTGTTTTCAGAGTTAGAGAGGTACATTAAAAACTGAGGTGTCATATAATAGGTCATTCAAAGCTCTTGAGGAAGGTCCATTTAATTCCCAAAAAAGTAGGTCAAGTGAGGTCAAAATTAGGTTAAAGTAACATAAGGGGTCTTCACTAGATTTCCCACTACGGCAACATCTTTTAAAATGCCCGAATTTTAAACATCCGTTACACTGCTCATTAGCCGCAGGACACGTGCCTCCTCTATGTATCAGTCCACAGTTGTCACACCTTTGTGACTGCGACTTCTTTACAATACTGACTTCCTCATGTCCACTTTCTGTGCGGGAATTTAGAGAGTTCTTATGGACGTTACTCTGCTCATATAAGCGTGCTGTCTTTAGAGCATGGTCTAATGTGAGGTCCTCCTCGTATCTTAGTAGCTTCTCTTGGATTTGTGTTGAATGGCAATGTGTCAATATCATGTCGGCGATCATCTCATCAAGATCGGGGAATTTACAGTCTCTGCCAATAAGTCTAAGTTTTGTAACAAACTCGTCAATAGACTCATCCTTCGACTGGTAGCATTCATAGAACATTTTCCTCTGGATTGACCTGTTTTTCAAAACAGCAAGAGTACAGGAACGCGACCTCGAATGACCCTGTACTGCAACGCATTATGGAATATTGCAGAATTGGATGGCCTGAAAAGACTGATGTACATGAATCAGTCATGCCATATTACACCTTTCATGATGAACTCAGATTTTCTTGTGTTTTTTTGAATTTTTCAATAAAAAACAACATATAATATTTGTTAGCCAGAAAAGGATAATACATGTGATTGATATACAAGTATATAGTATCTACCTTCTAGGGCAAAAACGCTTGTAAATATCTTTCCTAGATCCGGAGATATATAGGTAACTTGGTTGAACATTTGAAGAAATAAAAATGGGGTGTAGGGGAGACAAACAGTCTAGGTCCTAGAATAGATAATAATTCAAAATTTTTAGTGCCTCTCAGCCAGCAAAAACGCTATCTCACAACTGGCCGCTTGTCGATAATAGCATATTTGAGCCAGAAGTTGCAGCACACTTACCAATTTTCATGGTTTGTTTTGCTTCTAACGACAAATGCTATATGGTTCTATAGGTACATAATTAAAATATTACATAGCATCACGGTTTTTGTTCTATATTTACTGATTGGTGACAATTTTCCAAAATAAATAAAGCCATCCGAGATGACAGTCGAGAACATTTTTCTCAAAAACTAGCAATTGTATTGCAATTTACTCTTAGCAACTTATTTTTTCATACTTCTAATTATTGTGGTCCAAAAGTGTGAACACCTGCAACCGGCTATATTTACTTAATACTTGCATGAATAGACTCATATTTTCTCATGTTGTAGAAAAAGGTCTAAAATTTTGGTTGATGCCATAATTTAATCTCAGTCTTAAATTTTGAAGAAATTGCAAGAGTTTAGCAAACATGCCTGAAAATTAGATATTGTGCAAAAGTTTACCAATATGATTCACAGAAATTGTTGAAACACATTGGATGATCTTAAACAGTTTTCAGTTAGAGATATAAGTTTAAAACCTTACCATATGACAAAAAGGACACTATTAAGCAGAAAACACATTTCACTCTTGTGGAAGGAAGTTGCCCCTGTGACCAGGAGTCTGAGAAACCCTTCATCAAATATCTTTAAAAATCAAAAGAAAATCCAATATTCAATGTTTTGAGCCATATTTCATTAGAATCGGTCCATGATTTATGAAGATATTGACATTTCAAGATCATATAGGGGTATGTTAGCTATTTTACTGGAAATCGTCTATGGAAGCTTAGAACATTTCTTTGGATCACAACAACTTTGCAACTAACAAAGGTACGATGCTAGTTTTAAGCCATAATGTGTTGGATTCAAGATTGAACAAAGTGAGAAAACATTAGTTCTTTAAGACTGCAGCTTAAAAAATACTAGAAAATGGCAACTCCACGGAGTAGCAAATCCCAACGAACACTATATAAATCATCAATCTGTACAGTCACAATGTAATATCTACTCTTACCATCTACTCTTACCTTCAATAAATATTTTAAATCATTGTAGTATCTGTAATGGTGAAATTTCTGCTCTCGTCAGCCATTTTGAATTTTCAGAGGCGCAAATCAAAAAACAATGCCATAATTGTGATCTACTCTGAAATTCCTTCAATTTGAGTATAATATAGCCATACTTTTAAGAGATCAGAAAATAATTGCGAAATCCCGCATTAGGCGGCCATTTTGAATTTTTTGAGGCCTGAATCAGAAAACGCTACAATATCTGCAATCTACTCTAAATTGCCTTTCATTTGAGTATAATAAAGCTATACTTCAAAAACATCTCAAAATTAACGCAAATTCCCATTTACGGCCCCTGGGGGTCAGGGTGAAAAACCCGGGATATATGTGAAAAAGATAGAATTTCAAATAAAAATATTTATTATTTTGGTTTAAAATGAAAAACATAAGATTTTTGCGAAAAATTCCCGCCATTTTTAAACTGGCGGCCATCTTGAAAAAAAAACTATTCACCAATATACATCTTTCTACCAAATATGAAGAAAAGCTGTCCACTAGTATTCGAGTTATCTTCCTGACAGACGGACGGACTGACTGACTGACTGACGGACTGACGGACAGACGGACGGAGGGCTTCACTATATCCCTACAGAACTTCGTTCGTTGGGATAATTAGGGGAAGGTTGTTGAAGGGTTGAAGAATCGCTGATATTGAAAATCACATTTTATCCATATTCAGTAATATTTGGTTAAGGCTTATAATTTCGCAAATTTCAAGACTAAGAAAAATGTATGGTGCCAACATGAATTTTAGACCTTCCTCTACAACATGTAAATATAAAAGAATTCCTGCAAATAATAAAGGAAATATGGCCCGTTGCAGGGGTTCACTTTTTTGGACCACCCTGTGTATTCACTATTTTGTAAATCACATGCATATTTAGATGCTAAAAGAATAAGAATAGCTGAGAAATTCAAAGATTCTTCGGGGAGGGGAGACAAATAAATTTATTTCTACAAAAGTAATAAAGATATGGTTTTGTAGACATCTGACCAACATGTTCAGGACCTCCCAAAATAATTTCACGGATATGTAACCAGTTTTTGAAAAATCATTTTTTACTCAAATTATTTGGATCAAAACGCGAGTCGCAGACAATTGTGCGCAACGATAGGATACTGAAAATATTGTAAGAGATTGGGGTCGAATATAGAAAACAGCATGACACATGATGACTCAACCAGTCGGGGATATCATGGTACAAAAATAATTGTATTTGAAGTGCTGGGATACAGTGACTTTTCTGCAAAGATCATTGAATTCTCCTTTCCAATAGTTTCACCCAAAACTAAAGATACCACTGGAATAAACATTTCAGTGTCACTCTATTTAAATGGATATGATAATACCTTGATGGCAATCACATTGTTTCAAACATCAAAAGATCTGAAATTGCCTGTAGTTTGAAAGTCTGGAAACATGTTGAAAAATACGGCATGCCGATTGTAACAGTCGACTGATTTCAAGTGATTTGTCTTTTACTGTAAAATCAAGAATTTCACGATTCTTTATTAGTTACAACTCATGACACGCTATATGACTGTGAACAAATAAATCGAACTATTTCTATTTGTCAGGTCTACTATGTGGACGGTTCTCCTCATCCAGGCCCTCGTCGGGTATGCGGCATCACAATCTTTTATTAGACGTAAGTGCCATGCAATGGTTATTTGTTCCAAATAACAAAATACCCATGACATTTTGTAAATATGCTTTGAAATACATGTAGGCCTACTCGAGAATTCTAACGTACCTTCTCCTTTATGTTGCAGCTGAAAAGGTTCAATTGGATCCAGCTCAAGAAGGTAAGAACTTTATTAAATTGAATGGAAAAACATCCATGATTCAGAAAAATGCGGATGTCGGGACTATTGGAACATGCTCACCTGATGAAAATACTAAATTATGATAAAAAAAAATGCGTAGCCAGTATGTTTCAAGTTTAACCTATCATAAATTAATACATTAATAAATTATTTAATGACTTCTGTAGTTGCTTGTGAACTGACCGGGCTCATCTCTGATCCCATTGACTGCTGCCATTTCATCAAATGTGACCTAAGACAGGTTGGCTGGAGGTTCCCATGTTTGGGTAAGACCGTATGGAACCCAGTCCTCTGCTCGTGTGTGCCAGAGAAGACCTTCAGAGAGTGTAACCGTAGCGCATGCCCACGTATGTATGTTATAGGGTGACCAAAATGCACCACATTCAAAGTGTCCTCCATGATACTCTAATGATATATTAGAGTCAGTGCCGATTCGCAAATGATGTATCGATCAATACTCTTCTATGCCTAAGGCACGACTTGAAGTGTGCTGTACGTTTTAAAATTAGTGTAACTTTGTTTGATTCTTACCTAACAGTTATGTATGACATCTACCAGTCCTGGTGGGTTTAGATTGAGTTTTACATATATCATAACTAATAGATATTTTTATCCATGGGTTGAGGTTACCCAATATGTATTAAGGGAATGAGGATCTACCTTACTAAATTATAATTTAGGGATAGTTTAAGAACAAAAATCATTTTCCAGTCTGTTTGGCTATCGTAAGTTTCACATGGGACCTTCATGCTCGATAGATATTATGTTGTCATTCTATGTCAAATTATCACATTAATTTTTCAATTATTTTTACACTTTTTAGCTCTCCCAACCCCCGGAACGACAGCACCTTGCCCTATTGATCTCGGAACAGGTAGAGTTTTTAATATGAAACATCAATTCAAGTGTGAATTTTATGCATTCATCTTAGAACTCGCTTTCTGTGCATTGTATATTAACACACTTAGTAATTTTGTGTCAAATTCATTTAATAATCTTATTTCCTTTAAATCTTTGGTTCCATGACCTTCTATCTCAATTTTGAATCTAAACTGAGGTACCTCGTGACCTGCGCTTTACATCTGGTGCGCATCACCACGTGGTATCTCAAGTTTCCATATCAGATGAGACATCGCTACATAACAGTATACCTGTTCAATAATAGTCCAGTATGATTCGGTAATGTATTTGATCTTATATTCTAGAGGAATGTTGCCTGGAGGGAACTGGTCAGATCTTCCGAAGAGATGCCACTAACGACACCAGATATTTCTTCAAGGGAGAAGCTGATCCCCAAGATTGCCCACCAGGCCAGACCTTCATCTTGAGCTCCTGTTGTTGTGAAGGGCCACTTGATAGTAAGACCAGTTGCATAATAGTCTATTTAACATAAACTTTGATCAATTGGAATATTGAGATTTTCTTAGTTTGAATACTGATCATGATTATCACAATGAAGAATTTAAAATAAAGTAATATTTCATTATAAGTATTATTATTATTATGAGTATAATGTAAGATCGGTGTAAATTTTGGGTGACATTCAATTTCGTATGATTCTATTCGTTTTTAGAAAATAACTAACACCTGTCATAATCATACATTCATATTTTTATCTTGAACATTTTCACAAATAATCATTTTACCATAATCTGAATTTTCATGGGATTGAACTGCAAAAATAAAGACAACTGAATAAAAAGAAAAATGTTCCAATTTTTATTGGCCCACCCTGTATGTTCGGAAGAGATTTGGCAATTTACATTTTGATTTTCGGCGGGAATAGAATGCAGGCCATCCCTACATTTAGCAATTGTTACACTGGTGATTATCATACGAGAGTTTACATAAATTATCTATGACTAGTATACCGTTGTATTGAGTGTTTTTTCTTGATATATAAAATAAACTATAAAAAGCAATTCAAAGTGCAAATCAAGTACTTTTCACTTATTTATACTCTAAAGTCGTATTCTACATTTGTTTTCCTCTAGCTCCAAAATGTATTTTACTCTTATTTGAATAAAGTAGAGCCTTTTGGTGTTTTTAACTTAAAGATCATAGATTAAAATTCCAATTTCAAAGACTGTCTATTGTCCATGGAATAACAAGTAATTCTATTTGATTCATGGAATATCAGTGGCGTAGACAGCATTTGCCACGGGGTGTAAATTTTTGGGTTTGTATGGCTGCGAACGAAGCGGCCCCAAAAAGATTTTAAATTTACTAAATGAATATGGTGCACTCTAGGCTTTTTAAACTATAATTTGTTAATGTTTTGGGGGTGTCCCTTGGATACGCCCGTGACTATTATAATTAATTCGTCTAATTGTTCTTTACTAACATCCATGTATGTAGCTATGAGCTATGTAACTGGGCATTAAGGAAGCTGGAAACCCCTACTTGAAGGTGTCTCTATTTAAGGTGCACTCCTGAATTTCTTTTTGTGTGCACCTCTTAATTTCTTCAAATTGGTTTTGCCTGAACCAAGGATCGAACCCAGGGCCACTGCGTTATATAGGTGTACTGGTAAAGCCACAACGGTTGAGCCATAATGCTACGTCCGTACCCGACCTACCTCTCGGAAGTACTAGTACCATCGCCCATCTACTATTAATACAGGCTGCTCCATTAAAAATTGCAAAATAAAATACTTCCTGATAACGCATACCTTTTTTCAGTCGTTGACAGTCCCTGCATCCAGTTCGACTTCGAAGGGAACTACGTAGACACTTTCCAGAGCGTTCACGGAACCCCCATTGGTACAACAATCGCCAGACCTGGTCAGTCTTCTTTTCATTAACATCATCTTTTAAAGTTCTTGGCAGTTTATCTTGTTTTTATACATCATTAATAACAGTAATAGTTTTCGTGTTTCATATATAGTCTTCTTTTTTAGCTTTTGAAAATTAGAAACAATTGCCCTCATGCCATATATTATCTTATTAGTCTTAATATAATAACCACTCCAGTTCTCCTATATTTACTCATTAAGATGACATAAACGGCCAAAATATGTAATGGGTATGATCAATTATTTTCTATAGGTCATGCTGGTAATGGCGCTGCCCAATTTGGAACCGGAACCAGCGTAGAGATACCTTATTTCAGCAATGCCTATTATGGAATCCGATTCTCTGCCTCGGCATATGTTAGATTTGATGAACAAAGTGACGGGTATAAAACTCACATCAATCACACATTGATATAAATATTGAAGTTACATTTAAATACTAAGTTGATTTATTCTGTTTCGCCCTATCGTGAATATTTATAGATCTATTGTTACGTGTAGTAATAACGATGGGAAAACTAATTACTAATTTGGTTTCCTAAATCTATTCCAATAATGCAAAATAGTTGAATGAAAAAAAATTAAAATCGCCATAAACTATGCGATGTTAGAAAAATATTCGAGTAAGATTTAATTTATCTCAACTATTTTGTAAGTGGTTGAAATTTATTTTATTTAAACATACTTAAAAATAAATAAGTAATAAATAAATAAGTAGAATCAATGGATTACATTGCTTCGCTAGGCTAGTCATTCATAATGGAAAAGAGGAAGGTGTTGCAGCTACAGTCAAAATGGAGATCCTGCAATGCCCAGGTCAAACTGTCCTCGTTGCTGGAGTGAAAGCTTGCGATAGAATAGAAGATGTTGTCCTTCCAATTACGGTATGTATAAAAGAGATTGTGAGCTTGGTATATCAAAAAAATTATATAGGCGTTGTTAGAGCAATTAAATCAGATAAAATATGACGACATAAACGACAAAAATCAGACAGAGCAAATAAATCAGGAAGATTTACTTTCTCACCAGTTTTAAATTTAATATGTTCAGGCAAATAATGGCGAATGGATAAAAGTGTACATGTCATTCAACGAAGGAAACATGGTGGTAGGATATGAAGACTCTAATGGAGTACCAACTGAGGTCGAAAGATTTGAACCAGGTAAACAGATTTACCATTTAACACCACAATTGTAGACGTGATTTTTTCCTATTGCACTTGATGTATATTATTCCTGTTTATATGTAGCAGTTTCCAATATTTCAATATCCTAGATACTGTTTAGTGTAGAGCTCTTCAACTAGATGTATTTCCCAGTTTACTTTGTTGAAAATGTTGACAGTCTGGTTGAAATACAGTGCGGATTTGTCAAATGTAGTTGTCCTCTTGTTACGTAATTTGCAATTTTTTTAGAACCAATGCCAACCGAAGAAATTAAAAAGTTCGTCACGCAGGTCAACAATGTTGCAAGGAGAAGAGTGAATGTAGCTATGGATGCTATTCAGAGTATCCCCACGCCCGTGGAAAGTGCAGACCAGGCCATTTTAAGAGACGTTGAAGTAAGAATGTTAATGGTCATGAATATGCTATTACTAATATGGTCATATTAGTAATAGCTGAAATATGCTGGGTAAATTTCTTTGTCGATTCTCTGTGAATTTCAGGTACAACATTTGTACAACGCCGTATGTGGTGAATTATTTTAGACATGTTTGGACGAAGTCAACAGTATTCTTGAAGACTTGGGTGATTTCACAGAAAACCCCGCTGGAGCCGTAGGTCTTACAGATCTGAGACAATGTGTCAAGGACTTGAAGCCATTCTTGAGAAGGTGCAAGAAGGGAAAATCTATCGATACAACAGAATTGGAACAATTGGTGACAGGGTGCAAGGAACAGCTTGCAAAGTTTGTATATCTTACTTTTATTTATAATTAGTGTCTACATAGTATTAGTATAGTAACAGTATGAGTTCCGATGAATGTGTAGTACGATGTACGTACATGGACTTATATACAACACATGGTCTAAAATGCTCTTGCTTCTAAATAAACAGCATGAGTTCCGATGTATGATACAACACATGGTCTGAAATGCTCTTGTTATTACTAAATTCAAATTAAAACCATTTATATTTTTACATATTTTGATAAAATCAGAAAATATTATCCAGTCGTAATATACTCAGAATTCAATCGCTAATGATAAACGATGCTGTACATATTGACTTATTTTTTCGAAATGTATAATATTATATGACCACAGTGTTATAAATCAAAGCCTTATACAGAGTGACCCAAAAACATTCAACCTTGTATTTAAATAACTCATGATAGTAATGAGAGTCTTATATTGTGATGAAAGTGCGTTCAATATGGAGAATTGTCTTGTTTTCATGACAGCAATCCAGAAGTGATTATTTGGAGAATCATTACAATTACAATACCCGTGTAGCTCAGCGGTAGCGCAGGTACCTCTTACGCAATAGGTCCCGGATTCGATCCCCGGTTCAGGCAAGACTAAATTTGCTTGTTTGCGTGAAGTGCTTCAGGGTGTTTGACTGAGTGGTCCGCAACTCGTACAAAAGGCTGTGGTGTGTACTTGTATGTCTATGTATAAGTGCACATAAAAGAACACAAGGCTCCTTCAAGGAGGGGTTTCTGGGTCTATCTTCCATGTTAATTACGTAAATTACGACCGTACATATACGGGACATACGCAAGAGGTATTGCTCACCTTCATTGGTGGTAAACAAAATACAATACAATAAATAGCTTGACCAAAAGATGGCACGGCTGTGGGCCAAAAAGCAAGCTACAGAACTTCTCCATATCATATATTCATTAACTCTATTTCATTACTGGTGTTGTTCTATTGCAGAATGAACTCAATCATCTCAGAAGTTAAAAGAGCCCTTGCAAAGATCTGTGAAATCAAAGAGGATCGTCACACATTCAGAGACGTTTTAAACAAGGAAACAAGATCGAGCATCAATACACTCAAGAGAAAACTTAACAAGGTTTGGCGCATCGATCTTACTGAGCTCTATATCAATCAAATTTTGCAGGTGTATAATATACAGGGTGGGCCAAAAAACAATGCCCAAGTTTAAAGATGAATAGTTCATATGATATATGTTAATCCATGAAATGTAGTATATGTCATTTTAAAGATAAATTATTTTTTAACAAAATGACACCATCCAATTGAAAAACCGTTGTTTTCTCGTTGAGTTAGAGACTAAAATTGACACCAGGGGTGCCGTGAGCGACCAAAAATCAAAATATAAGAATACCCAAATTTCCCTCCATATTGCAGTCGCAGCTGAACTCAATATTTGACTGAATCATGATAAATCTATTTGAGAGTAATACACAATTGATAACTAATTAAAAATATATAAGTATAATTGCTGAATTTTGCACTATACTTGTATAAATGTGCCTCTTTTGAAGGTGTCAAAGATCATATTTCCCTCCATTTTCCAAGATTGTATCAGAATGGAATGCAATAAATACAGTATATTATTCATTTTATATATATTTTTGCATGTACACAAAAACAATTACAACTGATAATACATGCTTATTTCAGCAAAATTATAAAGCACAAAATGACTGTTTTCAATTGAAGGATTGAATTCTCGGAAAGATGAATCGGTTTATACAGGGTGGGCCAAAAAACGCCACTTTTTTCAAAATGCTATAACTTTTTTATTTTTTGATATTAAATCATAATTTGCATACCAAAAGAAGCTTGAGGTTGTTATCTAGCCATGGATCATAAATTATATACTTTTACTTGAATAAAATATGTCACCAGCGTCTCACTTAAACATGTGGTGTACCATAAGAAATAAGCATAATATGCAAAATGTTCCTGAACTGATACGGCCTGATGATCGCTAAGCTAATAGCCCTGATGCAAACCCCAGTGAGTATAGGGTATGGGAAGGTCTCCAGGAGATTGTATGAAGGCACCCAATCTAGAAAATTGCTCAACTAAAGCTGGCAATTAAGACAGGTTGAAAAAAAACTTAGCTACATTTCATTGATACCGCAATATCAGCAAGACGACTAAAACTAAAATATATCATTAATTAGGGTGGCGGACCAATTGAACTCCCCTTTTAGATCAAATATAATCCAAGTTGAAGGACTTGTTACATTATATTATTACTAAGAACCCTTGACACTATATAACTGCAAAATTTGGGGTATGTAGGTTGGAAAATAAAAAAGTTGTAGTGTCTTGAAAAAAAGTGGCGTTTTTTGGCCCACCCTGTATACCCAATGGAACTAAATACTAAATTACCTGCTATCGTTACTACCTTGATCAAGTTAAGCATCATAGATTAATACATGTATGGGATATCTGTTCATAGGTAGCTGACGCAGTCTCTGAAGAGAATCCAGATAGTGGTAGAGGTATAGGTGAACTTGATGAAAATGTAGAATTGGCCGAAGAATGTGTCAACAAACAAAACAGCAACAGAAGGAAGAGAAGTGAGTTATACAGAATTTATACAGTAAAAGATGAACCCATAATAAAAAATCTATTCAAAATACCGAGGAATGGATGTACAACTAGTTATATCTCACACGAAACTACATACATTTAACTTTTGTAAACTACAATACAAACTCCAGTACACCAAACAAGCTCTCACTACGTGAAATGTTTTCACCGTTTTCTGGCGACAATCGCGTTCGAAAATTGACCATCAAATCTGTTCAATAGCTCATCATTGTGACATGGCCTTGTAAATCATATATTTTTAGACGTCGATAATGACGAGATTCCTTCCATCAAGAGCACAAAATATCCACTTACGTTCGGAGATGGTTTCCCAGGAGCCCTCGATGAGGTATGTGTATATAGACTATTTTATAAAATATACATGGTTCTTGGATTACACTTTTAACAAATACTCGCTATGCATATATTTGAATAATAAAAAGGTATAAACATTTAGCTTAGCTTGTATTCGCTAATGTAACTAACGGCTAGCGGCTACCGGATTAACTTACTATGTTATGACCAACTCATTTAAATGTGAATGGAATAGTGGCCGGTACTATTCATATTTAAAAGAGATGCCCATAAAGTAGTAGGTTAATCCGGTAACCGACAGGCGTTAGTTGCATTCGCGAATACAAACTTAGATAGAATCATATTCAAAGTCTGATTGAATGGTTTATACATATATTGTATGCATTATATGTTTGTTAATCTAATTTCAAGTTCATTAAAGAGATATTGTTGATTAGTAAGGACAATGCCTTTTACACTGACTTATTTACACTTGAAATATCAAAGCTTGAGAATTGCTGGTCCGAATTTATGGATTTTTGTATTGCTTGCTTGAAAAAAAGATTTGCTAGTGGTCCAGATATTATTTTTAGATAGCTCATGATGATTATTCTTTGTAGTCTTTGACTGGATTTAAATAATGTCATTTTAAGTTTAAATAATAATGCAAACTGATATGTCGATACAAATGATAATCACGTATTGTTATTGTCTTTTTCTTTTCTAGGTCGAGTTGTGCTTCACCTTGTAGTTAATACATGGATTGTAAAAATGATTTGAGAAATAAATGTAATAAACAATATTTTTGTACTTTTAGTATCGTTATCTAATTTTTAGGACAATTTGTAACTACTATCTTAGCTCTCCAGTTAATTTCCAATAAATACCTGGTAAAATGATTTTTACGTTTTGCTAGAAACTAGATAAAGTATTTAAATTCACATCTACCTAACAAGTCCCTGCCAATTTTAGAGAAAGTGCCAACAACGCCCCTACTTTTGGTAGAAACGATAGCATGCACAGTTAAAGTTTTATTAATAAATATTGTTAACACAGTGTACTAGATCAGGAAAATTGTATTAGGACAGGAAAATTGTTTCTTGACACCAGGATTTTAATTTTTAGACCAGCCAGTCATTCATATTTCCTTTTTCCTTGTAACAGAGCTGGTCGACTTTTTTCTGAGAATTTGTGCCATCAGCCATCTTACCAGAAACACATTGTTGATTTTATAAACATAAAGAATTAAACGCTCAACTCCTTAATCGTAAGAATAGTAAAATAGGTCGATCATTGTTTATTTGTCGATGATTAACTACTCTCTCACTGACTTTTGATTAAGTGGAGCACTACTAAGATTTAGGCCACTTAAGTTAAAATTAAATATTCAAGTAGCTCATTTTATAGACTTTGATCAGAGTTACAATACTGGGACAACTAGCACGTTTTAAATAGGTAACTTCAATGGGCTCTTATGTTACCACCCTGTGCATTTTCTACTTAAAAAGGGATCATCGTTGGGGATTATTACCGATATTGGTGCATTTTGACACTTTTGGGTCAATTTTGAAAAGGAATCTGACAAATGAATATAAGCCTCGCCAGTAATTGTATTTAAGTTGAATGTGGTTTTGACCAAAGACACCCCAATATGTTTTACCTCGTTGTGATCGACGGGCCACAAGTTGTTTCCTTCAACTGAAACTAACTAGCAGAGAATGAATTTTACATACAATTTAGCCAATTTAGCCTTTTTATCTCGTATTTGGTTTGTAAACTATTGATTCAATGTTTACTTTGATAACTCGACAGATTAAATGCTTATCAAATATATGTTATCTCGAATCTTGATTGAATGTAAAATGTGCATCTTGACTCCAATTCTTCGAGTATCCTTCCTATATATGTAGTTGCAATATAAGAATCTAATCAGAGGTGTTGTCAGGTGTATTTAAACTCAATCAGAGTGTATACCAGGAATACTATTTCATATGACGCAATATGACGTTGGAATCGAAGCCTGGTTTCTATGTGACCAAACGGAATGCTGTGATCATTATTGTACTATTTGCCTTGATAATAACTGGAGTCGGTTTACTAGCTGGTTTGACACGAGCACCATGTCCAAAAATAGTCCAAGTGACTCCCGCACCTGGAGGCGGAGGAATACAATCTACCACAACAGCACCATCATCGACAACTATTACAATTTCTCAGACGACCATAGGCCCCGAACCATGGTATCAATTCAGGCTCCCAAAGAATATAATCCCTCTACATTACAATCTCCTTGTCAGACCTGATTTCGAGGCTTCAGAAGCCTGGTTTTGGGGGAATGTATCCATTCAAGCGACAGTTACCTTGGAAACGAAATATATCATCATGCATTGTAAGGAATTGAATATAACAAGTGCTAGAGTTACTAATAATGCCAACACAGATGATATACCTATAAGTAAGCGTTTTGAACACAAACCAATGGAGTTCTGTGTTATTGAGACAACGACACTCATCCCTGGAGATACTAATATCACAGTAGATGTTGAATTCAATGGATCGTTGGATAAGGGGAATAGTGGTATTTACAAGTCAGAATATTTTAACACTGACTTGAATTCAACTAGGTAGGTTTTGTTATTCGCTTTCATAAGATTTAAGATTGAGTGTACACAGTGATATGCTGCAATCTTCTTGAGAACAAAGTTAACAATAGATTTATCAAAATAAATGGTAATAATGGTAATATATCACATTTTAATGATCCTTTATCTCACTCTCTTCATTTGTTAAGTATACATGTATGCTGTGAACACAAGACCAAAAAGTGTACGAGTACATACATTTAAAAGTGGACTTCGTAGCTTTACTCTCAAAGTTCACGAAAATATACTTTATTAATTTATCAAAAACTGTTCATTTTTCATAGCTAATGTTGTTCCAAATATAGTGTTAGCTTCTAGAATTGATATATTGGCATTGCTGGTGTGTTTAAACCAGGGCCATTGGTGACTCCTTTGCTATTTGTTTTTGGCTTTTCCAAAGTTTGGTCATTCATTTTGTATTCATGTTTGGCGTTCACATGCCCTAAATCAATAGATACATTTAGCAGTGCTAAAAGGCCATCATAAAATTTTGCATCGTAAGCATACATTAAAGTTTCTTCATTGATAAAAGCTGCAAAATGCTTGGCCTCCCACTTGAAATAGAGCCTCACTCTGAAACTTTCATATCAATAGTCCCTCTTTGTGTCCGACAGGAACGACCTTCAGTATCTAAAATTTACTTAAAGTTTACATGTACATTTCAGCTAGTAAACAAATTATTGTAAGATCATAATAACATAATTATTTTATTTTAGATCTCTAGCTATGACTCAATTTGCCTCGACTGATGCGAGGAAGGGATTCCCTTGTTTCGACGAGCCTCAACTTAAGGCGACATTCACGGTTTCACTACAATATCCCACTGGATATGTTGCATTAGGAAATATGCCTAATAAGGTATCATCGAGAAATATACATCTAATCGTTATATTGGCACAATCCATGAACCTTAACCTGAGAAATTATATTTCAATACCACGTGATTATATGATATATCCATTTTACATTAGTCCAAATTACTTAGAACATGAAGCCAATAATATTGTAGCATGCCCAAGATGCGTACATGTATCATATAGTCTTATTTTTTAGCATATTTTATCAAATACCAATTTTGGGTTGTGAAGTCAAAAGCTCACTTTTTACTGACACATTTTATTTTTTCTTCTTTCTTAATATCTGCATCAAAATCTCCAGACAAGCAGAATACTTGCTGACAATATGATGGAGACAACATTCGAAAGGACTCCTAGTATGAGTACATACCTAGTCTGTTTCGTTATTAGTGATTTCCACTATAAAGAGGCAACGTTGAAGAGTGGAAAACCAGTAGGTCTTTTTTCATTAAACATTAGTCATCTTCCGAACACAGGCCTTCAGAACTGGTACCTCGCTCTTGGAAGAAGGAAGGAACGCAGTTAATGATTTCTGGAGCCCTGCGTTCGGGGATGTTAAGACTTTCATAGATTAGGAAATGCTATGTTTGGTAAATTTAATCCTTAATTGATTTTTGTTTTTATACCTTCTTAAGCTTTTGGGGGTCCAAGCACATATTTTACAATAACTCTGTGACGCTTTTTTCATTCTGATTTCAATAGGTTTAAATAGGTTATTCAATTACCTTCCATAATATGTATGCATTATTTTTGGATGCAAGAACATATGAGTAAATCTAATCACACGGGATCAGGTGTTTTAGCATTTTGTAGCATTTCGTAGCGTTTATATATAACAATGTATTATTTGAATATATGTTTGGTAACAGTGATGTTCTTTGACCTCGGGTAGTGCAAAAAGTAACCATTCAATTTACATCTACTTTGTTTTATCTGAAAGGAAATGAAAATGATTAGATGGGATTTCATGTAGATTTAATGAATTTTTTAATATAATTAATTTATCCTGGGGTCCTAACCCCAAAAACCATTTAAGGGTTAATGTATCATTTCTGTTGTTTAGATAAGAGTTTGGGCTCCCAGTGATCGCATCCGAGAAGTCGACCTATCATTGGAAACTGGGAAGAATATTACCGATTGGTATGAGTCCTACTTCAATATGTCCTACCACCTGCCTAAAATAGGTAATGTAACCTATGCTGAACACCTCATTTTATCTACATTGATAATACTTGATGGTGTATAACAGAAGTGTTCAAACATATTTATCAATGAAATTGTCTAGGAAAGGTCGTGTTTTAAACTTTTAAGTTTATTTTTACAGACATGATTGGAATTCCCGATCTTCCATTTGGAGCTATGGAGAATTGGGGACTTATAACATACCGGGTAACCAGGTTGCTTTATAACGAGGAACAGAATACAGCACGGGACAAACAGAGTACTCTGGCTGTAGTAGCACATGAGCTTGCACACAATGTAAGTAAATTACTCGAGAGTTTGGAACACAATCATGTGAAGAACATATATTTGAATATTTGAACATAAGAATGTACAGATTCACGAAAAGTATAAAAATCTAAGTGTTTAAAAGTATCGCCCTCGTGTGAAATAAGATATAATAGTGTTGCTAAGCTTCATACTAAACTGATATTTCTAATGATGAAGCCCCGACTCCATCACACTTTGACCACATAATATATTACTGCCGATTTATAAACTATGTTTAATTTTGTTCTGTAGTATGTTGGGAACGTGGTGACAGCAGCCTGGTGGGAAGATATATGGTTAAATGAGGGATTCGCCACTTTCTTTGAAAACAAAGGAGTTTTGTCCGTTTTCCCCGAGTGGGAAATGGTAAGAAACAATTCTGCAATAATGAGTAATCGAATCACAAAATAAATTATAATCTTTAAAGAACTGGCGCCCGAAGGTTATACGAGAGCGATTAATTTGGTAAAGCCATACTCAGACTATTTTGGGATTTCTCGCTTCAAAGGTGGTTGGCAATTCACAATTAAATACATGCCCCCTAGTTTATCATGTACAGGACGAATGATGAATGATGCCATTCTGTTTAGTTGGAGCAGTTTGTGCCAAGGAGTCTTCACACTATAATGGAGAGTGATTCGTTTGATGGTGTCAGGATGATTGCAAAACCGGTCACTGACCCAGCAGGCTTGAGGGACGTATACAGTGGAATTGTCTACAGAAAGGTAATTTTTACCCCCATAAATGTGGGGTTATTTTCAAAATTGAGAAACAAATGTCCTAAATATAAAAAAAACTCAAAATAACCCAACATTTAAGGGGTAGTAATTTTATAGTCCGAATTTTTCATCGTTGTTCCACGCTGTGACTCATAGCTTCAAAAGCACGATGATATTTACTTTGAAAACAGAATTTTTAGACTTACAATACCAAATTTTAAATAGGAATGGTCTCACATGCGTGTATATATTCCAAGAACAGTTCAACATATTTACAAGTTCCTATTATGGTCTGCAAGTACCTATTATTGGAACTGCTGAACAGCAAGCTGTGACGAATAGTTTTGGAACAGTTGCAAAGAATCATAGGCTAGAGAGTTTTCATTTTCCATAGTTGAACTTATGAATTAAAAATTGCTATTTCACTATATCTTATGATATCACGATTAGGGAGGATCTATGATGCGTCTCCTTGAACAGCTCATGGGTGAAACTGACTTCATAAGAGGGATGCAGAACTATCTAAAGAAGTTTGAATATGGTAACCCTACAACTGATCAGTTCATCTCGGAAATGCAACAGGTACTATACTCTAGACAGTGTGACACGTGGAATAATAACTTCAGTTTTCAGAATCATGGTACCTTGTACAAGGCTAGAGTCAGAGACAATAACACATTGTCTATTTTATCATTTTAGCATAATTATAGCTAAATCATTCATCTAATGTTAATGTTTCATAAAAGATTTACTATGTATGTTTTAAACGTTGTTGCTTTCCCATTGAAATGCTAAAACCTCCTTTAGGTGTACAACGGAAATATTGAGATTAAGACAATGTTGGACACTTGGCTTAGACAGAGTGGACACCCTTTAGTTACAATAACAACCAAAGACAATATGATTTCTGCTTCACAAAGACGTTTTGTGAAGAATTCAAATGATACTTTTAGGTACGTAAATGGTATCTCGCTTTAATAACATGCATTTCAGAAAGGAACAATTGAGAAAATCTTTACGTCTAGCATTTGCAACTTGTCATAATAAGAAGAAAAGGTATATAGCATACACTTGTATTATCAATATGAATGTTACAGTGAGAAATGGTATGTGCCCCTTTCTTACACCTACGTTGGAGGGTCAACCACACATACAGTATGGATGAACATAACTGATGGTACGATAAGCATAAAATGCAATTTGGTATAGAAAAAACTAAATGTGTAAAAGTTGGACTATTATTTATTCTTCGATTCCATGATGCAGCCAATATTCATAATCTAGTCACTTACCCTGTTTGCAAGGAACATCCAATGCATTATACTGATGGCTTGATTCCTATCGGGCTTTGTCTAATCTACTCACAATTTATCCTAAATGGGAGACCACAGGACAGTGTACACTCCTCCTTTGTACTTTATATTACAATTTGCTTTTTTACCGGTTACAATTCCAGGGTTCCTTTTTCTAACTCTGTAAATACTTCTTCTCGCTTCCTCTTTGGTATTTGTGCCTTTAGATATAATTTTGCTCTGTATTTCAGTTTCATTCCCATCCCCTGTGACAGACCAAGCAATTAAGTTTAATTCACAAAATTTGGGATTTTATCGTGTAGATTACACGTCATTGTGGCAGCGTCTTGCAACTACGCTTCAAAACAACATCAATGTAAGTGGCTTGTATAAACTTTCAATAAGCTTCCAAACAGTCCATCCATTTGAAATATTGGAGACTCGGTACAACCATCTTAAATTGTGCAGACCTGCTATCAAAGTAAAACATATAATTATTGTAGATTGGAAAACGAGGCATGACACGGGAGAAAATTGTATCTAAAGAAGTAGTTTGTAAAATGTTTCAAATAATTTTAACATTTATCCAGAAATATTTTCCTCAGCTATGTATCAGATACAGCATTTTTGCAAGAATGAATAAGCTTGGAATATTTTCAAGGAAAGTATTACCATCCCCTCATTTAATTTATCATGAGTAAGATAGTGCTGTCTTATTGATTTCAGTTTGTCCCTGCCACAGATAGATCCAACTTGTTAGATGACGTCTTCGTGCTTGCACTAGACAACAGACTATCATATAACGTGGCCTTGGAAATGACGAAGTTTTTGAGGAATGAAGTACATTATGTTCCATGGTTGAGTGCAATCAAAGGACTCAATCAAGTAGAAAGTAAACTGTGGAATAGAAAGTCGTATGGTAACTGGAGGGTATGTAATGTTTTGATAATGAGAAACTACTACTGTTGCTTCTATTCGTTGAAAAAATATTGGAAACGATAGCTTAAAAGAAATTAAAGTCTAGAATGATGATGTGCTCATAAAAAAAACTGGGGTTCGGTTAACATTGAATTGCATGATTTATTCATCTTGTTTAGACTCATTTGCGTGGTTTATCGAGAGAAGCTATGACTCCTTTACAAGTTACTGACACTGGCAGCCACTTAAACAGGTAACTGTTTATCTATGTTAGACTGGTAGTATTGTTTGGGATGGTTGGGTTTGTTTCCCTACACCCGGATGTGTTTTTATCAAGTTGGTTTTTCTCTCTGGATTTGAGCATTGTGTATATTTTCAATTATTTTGTTATGAGATATGTAATATTTTATTAATGTATGCATTTCATACTATCTGCAGCTTACTTTACTAAAATGTATTCTCCCATATAAATGAGGCAATAAATATACAATACAATTCTCTGGAGGCTGGTTGCAATACATATAAGTTACTATACGTATTCTTATGAATGAGCAATGGTGACAACTGTTCGTTCTTGCAGGTTACTGCGGCCGCTGGTGATTCAGCAATCCTGCTGGGTCGGTGATCCTGATTGTCTCACTAATTCAACAAGGTTGTTCCTTGATTTTATAAACCAGAACATAAGGTTTGTACAGCTCATGGTCAATGTCTAAAGAAATGTAAGAAAGAAAGAAAGAAAGAAAGAAAGAGAGAGAGAAAGAGAGAAAGGGAGAAAGAAAGAAAGAAAGAAAGAAAAAGATAATCATATTATTTTTAAAGTTGCAACAATGAAGACTAACATATATTTTAATTATCTCCAAAGAAACCCCCTAGATGAACATTATTTCACCTGATATGCCTCTTGAAATGTGGTGGACCCTAAAAATATATAAGTGGGGCTCCCTTTATAGAAGCTTTGAACTGAATTTTAACTTCTAAATGCTGGAATTGATAGTTTGTCCATACATTTTGAGAAAATAGGTATGTCAAAGGAGATGTTAAGCCAAATGTTGCCTGATAGCTCAGAAAAAGTTAGAATTGTCCTATTTTCTCTCTACAGGCCTTGTTGCCCCTATTCATTGTTACTTTAGATAACAACATATTTCAAGTTCAAATACTGTTAAAATCCATATACCGTTTTAAACAAATAGTTTTCACTTTCGAGTTGTGACAATTTTGAAATAAAATTTGGCAAAACAATTAAAATAGATGACAGTGAAGATCAGAATGTGAATATGTACTTGTTGTACTGTTTTTCAGTATACCGGCAAATGTTCGTGCTGAAGTGTTAAAGTTTGGCATGCAACAAGTCGGTGGAGAAAAGGAATGGGATCAAGTGTTTCATCTTTACAAAACAACTTCATCCTTCCTAAATGACAAACTCAGATATCTAGAGTCTTTGGCATATGTGCGGGAGAGATGGCTGAAATCAAGGTATACAATTTACACAAAGATAAGATAGAAGGTTAAGTAGGCGCGGCGATGTCAGTATGAAGGACTGTGCAAGATTCAAATTGTTTAAAACATTTTTTTCTTTTTTAAATTATAGATTCTTGGATTACACATTGGATGACTCGAAGCTTCCGATTGGTGAGTTTACTCGTGTCGTGAGATATGTGAGTGCCACTCATGCTGGTAGACGCATGGCATGGGACTGGGTCAGACAAAACTGGGACGCCCTTATTGATAGGTAAAATAATGGCGACAATAAAATCATCATCCTCTATTCAAGTATATTTTATTGTCCAATGGTTAAAATGCATATCTCCTAAACGACATGATTAATGTTACATTCTACCGGGTTCCAGATTATTTGCTACATTCACTTAGTTAGCATGATGTTTTGCGTCTGGTTTCAGATTTTCTTCCTCTACGTTGTTGACCGCTGTATCTTACATATCGGCAACATATAATAATCAGCTGATCCACGACGAGGTATGTTTTAATCAATGGTTCAGTAGAGAGGTTCGAACACAGAGACAATTACATTACCTGTGTACTATTCACTGGGTATAACTGTACTATTCATTGGAGTTCCTCGATCATTCCAGGGTTGGATTTGGGAACCAACAAGGGCTGGGCCATATCCCATATTTCAAGTCTGAAAAAGAATTTAGGGCCCCTAAAACCAAAAATGGGTCCAAAGAAATGTTATGGGCTCGATCTTTTTCTGGGCCCACTATAAATACCCAACTACTTAAACCGTTCTGTTCTGGTATATAATATAATAGCGTGTACATGAAAGTTATTATCTTTTTCTTTCCAGGTTGTGTCCTTTCTGCAAGATAAGTTTAATGACGTTGATATGTCGTCCAGGATACAGTCGATTAGTAACACAATACAGTCTAATATACAGTGGCTTGAGAGACACGAAAACACTGTACAAAACTGGCTTGAGAATAACTGAATCAACAAATAAATATTGTTATTTACAATTTCTATGGGATGTTTCATCAATAAACTTAAAATAGTCGAATTAAATTATTAATACTATACCACTTATTAATATTCCAAACCATGAATTGTTCAAAAGATTTTGTTGTAAATTGTCAAATGTTGACTGGGAGGTGATCAGCACGCGTACTAGTAGTCCATTTGTCACTCCTATGCATCCTATAGTGAACCTATGAATTGTTAAAAACACGATGTTTTTTGGCTAATTCATGACGATAAGGGTTGCCTGAAGAGATTTAGCTGGGTTGGACAAAAAGTTAGTTTGGGGAAAAAATAATATAGGCTAATTAGTTAGGCCATTATTGAAATATTGATTGTTTTCTATATCCTGAAATGTAAAAATGAAAGCAGCATAATTAATTTGTCTAAACTTGTGTTTTCAGGGTTAATGAATAAGATATTGTTAAACTATACAAGAATAATCAAGGCCGTCAGATGGGGGGGGGGGGTTGCGACGCACCCCCCTCTGACAACCCCCCCCCCCCCCCCCAAAAAAAAAAATTGGGGAATTTTTTTTTGAAAAATATTTTTCTCTCTAATTTTTTTCCCATTGACTCATACACTTTGAAAATGCCCAGAAAGCACCAAATAGCATCTTAAAATTGTAAAATTTTCTAGGGGGAGTGGGCCACCCCTCACACCCCCACACAGACAATTGAAAAGTTCTGAATTTATTATGTATTGTCTCAGACACTTTTAAAGTGCCCAGACATCATCAAATAGCTCCTTGATATAGTCAATGTTTCTTGGGGACAAACACTTGCTCCCGCTCTGGTATCCTCACCCCACCTCCCCCGGATCCCCCGTTGGACAACCCCCCCAACAAAAAAAATTTAAAAAATTATGATTTTTTCTAATCTTTATTATTGACTCATACCGTTTTAAAGTGTCCAAAAAGCACCAAATAGCATCTTAAAATTGTAAAATTTTCTAGGGGGAGTGGGCCACGCCTCACACCCCCACACTAACAATTGAAATTTTGTGAATTTATTTTATGTATTGTCTCAGACACTTTTAAAGTGCCCAGACATCATCAAATAGCTCCTTGATATAGTCAATGTTTCTGGGGGACTAACACTTGCTCCCCCTCTGGCATCCTCACCCAACCTCCCCTTCGCCCCCCCCCCCCCCCTAAAAAAATTATGATTTAATCTTTTTTATTGACTCATACACTTAAAAAGTGCCCAGAAAGAACCAAATAGCATCTTAAAATTATAAAATTTTCTAAGGAAGTAGGCAAACCCTAACATCTCCTACAAAACAAAATTGACAAAAATTCTGAATTTATTTCATGTATTGTCTCAGACACATTTCAGGTGCCCAGACTTCATCAAATAGCACTTTCATATGGTCAATGTTTCTAGGGGACAGATATGGGGGGCAAACACTTGCTCCCCCTTCGACACCCCAATCTTACCTCCCCTTTGGCAACCCCCCCCCCCCCTTTGGCACCCCCACAATTTGAAAAAATTGTGATTGTTGTTCATTTCCTTTATTGACTCATACACTTTAAAAGTGAACAGAAAGCACCAAATATCATCTTAAAATTGTAAAATTTTCTAGGAGAGTTGGTCAGCCATCACACCCCCACAAAACAATTGAAAAAATATGAATTTCATGTATTATCTCAGACACTTTTAAAGTGCTCAGACATCATCAAATAGCACCTTGAAATGGTCAATGTTTCTGAGGGAAAACCCCTTGCTCCCCCTCTGGTATCCCCACCCCACCTCACCCTTTTATCCTCTTTGACACCTCCCAAAATACACATTTTCTATTGACTCATACACTTTGAAAGTGAAAGTAGGGGGGGGATCTCAGAATTAATCAGACAGCATGTTGAATTAGTAACATTTTCCTGTGCTGCCCACTCGCTCCCCTAAGAAGAAAATGATTAAAAATCAGAATTTCTTTAAATTGATTCTATTGCCTTCTAGCACATCTCCCCCTATTCCAATGTTTCTCCAAATTGCTCATACAATATTTAGTCTAAAATAATATGACGACAATAAAATACTACAAAATAGGCTGCGTGACCTTAATATAGAGAGTAACTGACCCCCTCCCTTTGACTTACGCGCTTTGATTTACGCGGAAAAATGACAATTTCGTTTTCTCTTAAAAATTGCACCCCCTTGGAGAAAAGTGTCTTACGGGCCTGATAACTTATAAGATAGAGTGCATAATTGCAACTTAGCATATTTTATGATTGAAATATCGCATTTATTCAGATATTTTACATATTAAGCATGTAATACATTGAAAATTACTGACTAATTAACTAATTAAGGGTTTCTTTATTGATTTAATTGGGTTGCCAAAAAATAACTCATTCAGGGGAAATGATATATGTAAATAAGGGCAGCCATTATTAATGATAGCATCAAAATTGTTGTGCCTTTACTATACCCATGTTTTCAGGCTCAATGAATAAGATAATGTAAAAAGATACAAGAATTATTCATTATATTTTAATGTACTGCATTATATGCAAATTAGCCAAAATGTTTCAGGGTCAGTCAGATATACGGTAATGTTAAAAGATACAATGATAACTTTTTAGACATTGTGCATATATGCAAATTAGCATATTTATTATTGGTATTTCGCATTTATTCAAAATATTTTGTTTATCAAGCTTGCAGTACAAAGGAGTGACTAATTGGTGGTTTCCTTAAATTCTTAGTAATTTAATTGGGTTGCCAATAATTGAATTTCTAACATATCTTAGAAAGGAAAAATGATAGCCCTGGGACCTGGAGACCCATGTTTTTAGCTTCAATAAATAAGATAATGTTAAAATATACAAAAATAACTTATCACACAGTGTACATATTATATAGTATGCATGTTAAGCATATTTCGAGATATCAAACGTTTTGTATGATGAAAGATGTGTGTCATCACCAATAGTGACAAAGAAATCAATAAATTACTTGATTTATGCAGGTGTTTGATGTATAGAAAAATAATATAACATGAAACAGATCCCTGAATCACACCATGTGTAATTAATGAAGTATGGTTGGATGAGACAATGTGTTGGTGTTCTTAGCTATTATGCCATGTTACCACTATTCCACAGTTGATTTCATCGTTTGTAAGTTTATTACAAAAAATTATGGTCAATTGAGTCAAAGGCTTTCAAAAATCGCTTTTATATCATGGCCATCTTCATTTGCATATATTATTTTTTCCCCAAGGTTGCCCTTTGTCCAACCCAGCTAAATCACTTCATAAAACCCTTATGATAGTGATTCCACAATAAAACATCGTGTTTTTACAGATTCAAAGGTGCAGAAAATGACACATCGACTATAGGGGGATTGAACAATTAAAGATGTCATCTCCCAAATCATCGTATCAGTTACTACAGTACCTAAATATGATAAGAAATATATATTATTCATTCAATTGATATCACAGAATAGTAAATTAATATATCAAATGAAAACCAAGATTAGGTTTATGCAAAGAAAGTGGTAAAATGATTTTGTAAAATATTTTAAACATAAAGACAAAGGAAAACAGTGTATTAGTCGAATGTGACTCACTCAAACCGACAGACTGTTCCGAACCAGAGGTACCTCATCCTTCATATCATCAGGACTTCATTTATTCCCCAATTCAGGTGGAAAGAAGTGAAATACCCTTGGACCGAGGATGAGGCAACCTCAACAAAATCTGGAGAAGATATTGCATACAAAAACTGAAAATAAAAGAATTAACACCAGGTTACTGAACGTTTTTGTTCTCAAATTCTAAAGAATGGGTATCGATATGGCGAAATTTTTGAACACACGTTTCTCTTGAACCAGTCAACAAAAATTTCTGAAAATCTTACAAATTGTCATTTTAATGGCCATCTTTTGAATGGTAACAATATAATTTGAAATAGATATACATACTTTCATCTATATTGTTTTAAAAAACACATCCAACACTTGTTTTGTTCTTGGTATCATGTTTCCAGAGTGAAATGAAACATCTTTCCGAACCTCATAGGAACAAAACGACATAGATCTCTTAATATTGTAATTGTACAAAGGAAATTTTGGTTGATTTTAAAAAAAGTATCTTGTTAATGAAATAAAAGGTTTTTCTTGATTTTTATCTATTTTTGGGGATTTTGTTTTAATTTTTTGAATACTTTTTTAATTTTTTTTTTAGTGAAGATGGATTTCCTAAAATATTTTGCTAGAGATATAGCAGGCAATACAATTGTTTCCAAAACAGCAAAAGTACGAGGGGTTATAATAAAGTTCCCAAAACATGTCTGTAAAATAAACAAATCAAAACGATGTTCATTTGTTTTTACACTCATGTTGTATTATCCACTTACCTTACTAGTGTACAAATAACATTTAGGTAGGAGTGTTTAAGACCTTGTGTTTTCCACTCTACTCTCGAAATGCATTCTTCGAAGTAACTGTTTCAAGGCTGGAAGCACACTAAACTGCTAAAGGCACAGACTGCTAGAACATACGATACATAGACACTTGCTTTTGTTGACCTCTTCCTCATATATTATAAGTGCCTTCAAATCATTTCAAGTCTAAGAAACTGACTTTTTAGAAAAAGTGTAGAAACTGGCTTTCCTGGACGGGAATCTGAAGTAGACAAATTAGCGCTTGTTTTGTATGATCCGTTCACGGTTGCGTTGTGAAAAACATTGCTAGCTTAAACTCTCCATTGTTTCAAGTTTTCACCATGTGGGAATTAATCAAATATTGTTTATTTAATTATTTATTTTGATTATTTATTTCTTACAATCAAGGATACTCAATAATGATTGCGCGATTGTAAACAATATATTGAACGCGAGACTAATCATAATTGCTCGCGTGATCGGTCGCGCGATTCTTGCAGGATACCGCGTAATACTGAAGTACCGTTGCATTGTGGCGTTCATGTTATGTGTATAGTTTATTCATGGGCTTTCAATATCTCTTGAAAGCCCATGGTTTATTCTAATACGGAGTTTCCAAGTCGTATAAGCTTAGTGTGGTCGAAGTTTCAAAGCCGAATGTCCAAGGCAAACGAATTTAGCATTATTTAGAATTATTAAAATCGACACCTCCGCCATTTTGAAAGAAAATGTAACGTCCGTCACGTGCACTGACCAGTGATACTGACCAGTGAATATCAGGTGCGTGAATGCAAATACAACAGCAATCTTTGACCTTACAATGCTAATGAGTATAGATTTTCGAAATGTCATTGATATTATTGTACTTTACACGCCTAACCATCGACAACGTACAGTGGCAAAACACGCCGTCGTACACTTTAGATGTACGATGTCACTATTAACCGATTCGAAGCAAAGACAATGATGTAGATTTGATGTAGGTTTTAAAAAATTATCTGAAGAATACATTAAGGATTTTAAGTTTGATTTCGTGTATATTCGTTTGGGAAGACAGTTAACTTTCTAATAACAGTGCTCCATTTTTGTGGTTAATCTACCCATATAATTGATCGGTTGAAAAATGTTGTTTTTTACACATTTCTTCTGATCATTTCCTCGCCTATCGTCTAAGAGTGTCGAATATTTTTATGAGAATATGTTTCTCTAAACTACACAATTTAGGACGGGTCTTCCTAAACGAATACACACAAAAGCAAACATGAAACCCTTAATGTATTCCTCAGATTATTTTTTTAAAACCTACATCAAACCAACATCATTGTCTTTGTTTCAAATCGGTTAAATAATGACACAGTACATCTAAATTGTACGACGGTATATTTTGTCACTGTACGTTGTCGATAGTTAGGCGTGTTGTATAGAGACCAACAAGGATATCCATAACTGGGTGAAAAATGAATCGGACTCAAAGTTTATTGGTCTAGTTCGACAATTTAAAGTCAAATAAATATTTATTGTCGGAAGATTCAAAACACTAAATGTTCGTTAACTTTTTGGTGGTTTTGACAGTTATCGGCAGAAGTTGACAAGACCACGAAACATATTTTAAATCAATTAGAAAGTATCCGTTTAATTAACAACACTCGCATCAGAACCCCGTGGCGGGGTACTGTAGATTTTTTGTACGGGTGTGCTGCAGAGTCCACCCGTACAAAGAATCTACAGTACCCCGCCAGTTTGCCCACCCGCATGATTATAGATCTAAGTTTTTTCTTCTAAATTGGACCCACATCTAGCATTTTTCTTTCAAAAGTGGACCCCCACGTGCAGGGGTTTCTTTCAAACATAGACCTACTTCTATGGATCTTCTTCAGAGACCAGACCCAGAGGTATAAAATAAATTCATTCAAAAAAGTAGACCCATATTTTTACGTCAAAATGGGACCCACATCTCGGGATTTTTTAGTGAAAGAGCCCCGGGGAAAGAGCGAACCACTTTAGCGGAGTCTCATTATGGCCAATATACACTCCCCTCCATTGGCAACTACATAACCTGTGAAGTAAATACGTATAATTCCTCAATTACAATAGCTCGAAAATTGATGATAAATTTTTGAAAATCAACAATCCCATGTAAACCAATGGAAATGGTAGATTTGCCCAAAGTCATATGACAGAATATTCATCCATCCGAGTTCTTGCAAAAAAATACAAGTTAGGTAGTCAATTGAATTTTCTAACTTGGCTTTATCTAATAAAAAATTAATAAGTCTCTTCAAGTTTAAAAGAGTTATTGGTCTTCAAAGTCATATTTATTTTTCAAAAAACTCCTCCCATTGAAATAACAAGAGGAGAAAAATGATTTTCAAAAATGACTTTGAAGCTCTGTAACTTTAGTATTCATATAGCAAAAAACTGAACACTTAGCGTCCAAAACTAGACCAATTTTCTACATGAAAATATTTTTTGGTTTTTGGTGAATCTTTTACTGGATAGATAACCTGAAATTAGATTTGCCACGAACCCACCATTTCCCATTGGTTTAATATGGCAATGACGATTTTCAAATATTGATCAAATTTACCATCAATTTCCGACCTATGGGGGAAAAAATTGGGAAAATTTGGAACATAAAGAGGATTTAACACGTAATGAGGGAGCTAAGGTTGCCAAACTCAGTCATCCGGGAGGGGAGCGTATACCACACATGGGGGTAGGCTACTCCCCCGGGACCCGTAGAACACGATGTGACCTGAAGCTTATGCTTTCTCTAAGTGAAAAAAGTGATGACCTCAGTTTGGGACCAACATTCACACGGGGGTAAAGCAGACCCGATGCGGCAATGAGCTTGCTCGGCGGTAGTCATGTCTGTGTAACGGGTCTTAATGTATAGGTGTGTTCGGCGGTAGGTTCAAACAACGCGGATCCTTAAAGCATGTGCTCATGGTATATTCGTGTTTTAACACCCGTGATTCAGGGATTTTTCAGTAGCCCGGTTAGCGGCCATTAGCCAATGGGTAGCCCCCCCCCCCCCCCCACCCCGAACTCTCCTAGGCGACGCAATTTGCACTGCGTTTGGTGCAATTGCGTAAATGCGTTTCGGACTGTCGTTGATGAGGCGCCCGTCGCCGTCAACGCACACATTACAATCTGATTCAAGTTGAATCGAGCATCCGAAAAGAGTTATGCGAACAAACTTCATGTTTTGGCTGTTCGCAAAATTAGTGTAACTCTATTTGTACGTCACGTGACAAGTGTTATGGTGACTATTAGAACATCCGGGAACTTCAGTTAAGTAAATTCCTACAAAAATCGATGTGGTGAAGAAGATATGTTATGGAATTTAAGTTCCTTTAGATCATTTGTACATTTGGATACATATTGGAACACTTACTACTAACAATGATATAGTGAGGGTACTCGTGGATCTCATATTAACGGAATAAAACCCAAAATGGGCTGAAAATAAGTGTTGACTGTGGGCCTAAAAATTCTGGATGAAAATGGCGAAATTTTAAGCTGGATTCCGACGATTCGACCTCGAACTTTCGAGGTTTTTACGTAGGGATGGAGCTCTTTATAGAGACAATGATGGGGACTGCCTTTGAGCTACGGGTTTCACCATTTGAGACCATAATGTCTGTCAAGGCAAAAATACAAAGGCTAGAAGGTAGGCCTGTCTATAGACTATTTGATCAAATCTTCCATTCAAACATTGACAATGTGATTGTTTGTTAGGCTAGGTATAGTTCTCCTAGCCTATAAGCTGAATACAGGCCGTCCAACTGTCCCGCAATTTGCGTATTTGTCACGCATTTGCTGGAAAATTTGAAGTCACGCCAGTTATTTTTGCGTGAGAGAATGTCACGCAAATACGCATTTTACCTGATTATTGTCAAGCAAAAATATTCCTGTAGAAAAACTTGCAGTAGAAAAAAGTGATTGCTGATCCAGCACAAAACCGGATGTCGAAAAAAAAAAAAACGCATTTAGTTCTGACTTTTCACTCGGATACCGTATATGTTTATCACATCCTATGACCCCTTTAGATTGTGGTCGTACGCCTGTATCATTTGTAAGCCTGTCTTTCTACAATGTCGGAGAATGAACTACGCATTGCACTATTAAATGACCTACCTCGATACATTCCAGAGTATTTTAGAATTCTTTTTATGTTGTTAGATCGCCAATTGTATGGGTTTATCGGCAGAACGAAGATATTTTCGTTTTTGATAGCAATATTTGCGTTTAATATTTTTAACTTATTTCAACCGTCAAATTCCTCCACTCAGTTCCCGGCATGCACCAGTCATAAGGGAAATCCCTGGGGAATTCCCCTTCCGACATTTTGAAAATTGCTGACATATTTCCGATGTAAAAACTAAAATCTATTTGTTCTGCCGATAAACCCATACAATTGGCAATCTAACAACATAAAAAGAATTCTAAAATACTCTGGAATGTATCGAGGAAGGTCATTTAATAGTGCAATGCGTAGTTCATTCTCCGACATTGTAGAAAGACAGGCTTACAAATGATACGAGCGTACGACCACAATCTAAAGGGGTCGTAGGATGCGATAACGTATATGGCACCCATTTTTCTCAAAATATTTGGTCACCATGGTATTAACATGCGCAAGGCTCCTGCCATGACTGTGGTAATGTTAAAATATATTGCTATGACCGTGACAATTACTGTTATATTCTATGACGATGAGTATAACCATGACAATGCTATATTATACTGCAAGGCCTGCCGTGACTGTAGTAATGTTGAAATATATTACAGTGCCTGCTATAGACCATGGTATAACCCTGATAATATTCAATAAATGCTTTGCCTGGTAGAGACATTGACAATTAAACAGTTTAATACCACAATCACAGTGTTTAACTACCTTTAACCATGTAAAAATGTCTATTGTATATTAAAATTCACATTAATTTTCGCATATTTTAAACTCATAACATTAATCATTTCCAAGAAATAAAACACATACTTTCTATCATAATAATAAAGGGTTTCGAGGGGCAACCCTTCAAAATAGAAAAATAATGAAAGCAGGATAAAAAGCATTCGATTTAAAATTCATCTAGAATAATGTAATGCATGAATTATGTTTGCAGGCATCCCCATCTCCCAACAAAATCTGATCTGGCACGACACTGTACTGGAGGATGAGTGGTGTCTTCATGACTACAGCATTCATGATGGGGCTACTCTGAGACTGGTTCTAGGAATGCGTGGGGGGCCCATCAATACAAGAAGAAGTAAGTTATAAAAATTCATACATGTGTATGTAATCTTAACAGCCCATCCTCGTTCACTTAGCTCTAGTCATTTAGAGTTAAGGGTTAGTTTGAACACAGTGAAAACTGAGCGTGTGAAGATGGCCATTGTTGAGGCGAATTAAATCAGGGCTGCCTGGGAATGAGATTACTTTTCAGATCTCCAAAACTCTGAACTCATTTCAAGACCATTCATTCCATTGTTCCATTGTTATCCCATCGAACGAAGTTCGAAGGGATATAGGGAACGCCTCCGTCCGTCCGTCCGTACGTACGTCCGTACGTCCGTCCGTCCGTCTGTCCGTCCGTCCGTCCGGGCAATAACTCAAATACCGTTGGCCCGATTTTGTTCATATATTGTACACATATACCCTATGGGGGTAAAAGTTCTGCTCGAAAGCCGATTTTCAAAATGGCCGCTCATTTCAAAATGGCGGCCATTTTAGTGCCGATGTTACAGTAATTTAGGTGCAATATGTAAAACTGTAATAGCAATATGTTTTAAATGTAAAAAAATTATAAAGGACATTAATAATGCTACAAATGTAGATATTAAAGAAGCAAATGGCAGCCATCTTGAAAAATGGCGGCCTTTACTAGTCATTTTACGATTTTTGCTATAACTCAAAAAATAGTGGAGCGATTTTGTTCATATTTGGTATGTGAATACTATAAGCATTGCACACTGTCTAAAGACACTTTTGGTAGAAGGTGGCCATTTTGAAAAAAATTTTGAAAAATGGCCGCCATTTTAACGTATTTTACTATAACTCGAAAAGTAGTGGAGCGATTTTGTTCATATTTGGTATGTGAATACTATAAGCATGGCACACTGTCTATTTCTAATGACACTTTTGGTAGAAGGTGGCCATTTTGAAAAATGGCCGCCATTTTAACGTATTTTACTATAACTCGAAAAGTAGTGAAGCGGTTTTGTTCATATTTGATATGTGAATACTTTAAGCATGGCACATTGTCTAATAAAACTTTGGGGAGTAGTCGGCCATTTTGAAAAATGGCCACCATTTTTATGTGTGTTATTTTATTTCACAAGTACGTGTGCGATTTTTCAAAAATTTTAGAGGTTGCTACTTAAAAGCATATTATTTCTTCTGATGACAACTTGGCTAGTGAGCAACCATTTTGAAAATGGTGGCCTTTCTGGTGTGTTGTTTTATGATATTTGCTATTCGTTTGTAAAAATGCCAGCTATTTCTGTTCGATGGGATTCGCTACGCTTTGGCGTTGCCGTTGTTCTGGTTTTTCATATGCATGGAGTAATATTTGTAGCCATATAAGACATTACATACATATGATTTTTAAAGGTATTCTTTAATGAGAGTGTAATAAAATTATTTCAATGCTGGCCGTTATATATTTCAGTTCCTATGGAAGACCCAGGTCTGAGAGAAATGGCTGAATACATGGAAGCCAACAAGGATGAAATAATGGATAAAATCCCAGGCAACCGCCAAGTCACACTGCTAGTCTTTCGAGATGGTGATCAACTGAACTTTTTCCGTGTGGTAGACCGAGGGGACGGCACCCTCACCCCACTGTCTGAGTCCCTATCTGGGGCATCCATGTACAACATGTGTGATGAGGAGGAAGAAGTTGAAGCTGAACCCACTCATGAAAAAGTTGAAGAAAATACAAAAATGCAAGAAAAATTAGACCTTCTTCGCATGAAAATGAAAGATTTAAATTTGAATAAAAAGGTGAGGTCTTGTTATATATATGGAGGTTGCGGTTACCATTACTAAAATTAATACCAGTGATACCGTGAAAGGTTGAGGACTTAATTAAGGAATATCTGAAAGGCAGCATCACCACCTGTAAATGGCTAATTCAGAATTGTTATGTTTTAAGTCAGAATATCAATAGTTTAAGGTTTTAAATTAACAGTTCAATGTCATCCATCATTTGATTCAAGAAACTTTAAATGCCATTACAAAACGCTATATTTTGATCAAACTGATTTGCTCCGAAAAATCAATAACAAATAGTGGTATAGGTCTTGCCATGTTTTAACAGTTTCTTGTATGTCAGCTCATTTTAATTAAATTCATGCATTTCAGGGGTTTCATTAGCAGCATTTTGCCTGTTGTTTTCATTTATTTAGCCTGTTGTGAGAAATTCTAGTGAAACCCCTGCATTTATTTCTGATAATAATGTTAGCACGTGAATGTTAGACCAACTGTCAAGATATCTGTCTTAACAGTAAGAACTGTTAAGACACATGTAAGATCTCAGTTTTAACCCTGTGCTTATTTGAATTATTATCTCACCACCAAGAAATATTGTTATCCGTCATTTTTCATGTTTAGGGCTTGTAGTAACTTTAAGGTTATGTGTTGTCTAGTTATTCAGCTTTTACTACTTTTACTTATTTATTTCAATAAACCAGAATGACTGTTCTATTGAACTGTTTTTTTCTCAAATTTTAGCTCAAATCTTCATTTTTAAGTCTCAAAGTCCCTTTTAACAAATTAAAGTGACATATTTATTATTTGATATATATTAGGGTACTTATCATTGAAGGACTTAAAAATTGACATACAAAATAGAGAGACATTGACGCCTACTTAAAAAACAATCAGGCACCACAGATTAAGTACTTATACCATATTCCATTAGGTTTGTTTAAATAATAAATCTATAGTTAAACTTTTAAACTTTAAACTCATGTTCAAGCACTTATAATCATGAAAATTCTAATTTTTATTGTGAGGGCAAAGTTTTGATCCCTCCCTACATACTTCAGTACCAATTGCTCTTTGGAATATAAAAATACCTTTAAATGTGAATAAGTCATTCTAAAAATCAATTCTTAATTCTACCCCTTGCCTAGTTTCTAATGCTATAGTACTTGTGTGTCTTTATGCTAGTAAGTGACAATTCAGTATTCATAGAAGTCATATAATTTCCCTTATACTTTCTTAATACCGGTCTTTTAATAATGATAAAAAGAACTGAATCGAACTCAATAAAGCCACATAGGTAGCTTTGTGTGGGGCTTTTTATATTGATTTTAGGTCATTTTAACCGATAAGAGACTTGTATAAGTACATGTATGTTATAGAGATTATAAAGATTATCTCCAGGCGCATATTATATTGAATTGAACTTCATAATAACTGTGTATTGACTACAAATTGTTTAAAACAGATTACAATAAATGTTGCTAAGTAGCTAAGGAACCAATGACTTTTTAATGTCATTACAAAATACATATGTAACAATGAATACATTTACATTGAGATCAAGAAACCCTTTATATTAGGTTAAAAGTGTTATTCATGGTTAAATGTATCTGAATTAAACTCGTACCTTTAAGCTGCCAAGGGGACTTATGGTTTCTATTTTCCCTGTTGGGACACATTGGCCTTTTCATGTGAAATTAACAAAGTACAGTGCACACTCCAGGCCTGTCAACTGTCCCGCAATTTGCGTATTTGTCACGCATTTGCTGAAGAATTTGAAGTCACCCCAGTTATTTTTGCGTGACAGAAAATGTCACGCAAATACGCATTTTACCTGGTAATTGTCAAGCAAAAATATTTCTGTTGTAAAATTTCTAAAAAAGTTCGTCTACACAGCAAAAATACGAACGCCGAAAAAAAACGTACGCATTTCGTTCCGACTTTTCACGCGAATCACTAATATGTCACGCATTCCGTTCGAGAAATTTCGTACCTACAAAAATTTGAGGTGTTCAAAATTTGACAAGATGTCATAAAATTTAAACCAAGGTGTTCAAAATTTGGATCAAGGTGTTCAGATTTGGACCAAGGTGTCCACATTTAGAGGGGAGGTGTTCAACATTTCCAAGTCACTCATGTTAGGTGTTCCCAAGTTGACAGGCCTGACACTCTTTGTCATAAAGTCATTCCAGTATCTTATTTCTTATACTGATCTTTTCAATGATGTAGTATTAATACCATCTTTACATGATCTATCATAGATTTAGTTGGGTCATAGTAGATAAGGGTAATAACAGTTGTCAGATTATCTACAAGGTAATTTGGTATATGCAATATTAAGTCTCACCCCCCCCCCCCCCCATCACAAAGAAAAAATATCATTAATAAATGAAACATTGGAAGTTTTTTTAAATCTGTTCAGAATTTTAAAAATGATGCCATATGACTCTTAACATCTCTGCTCTCTTGAATGATTAATCAAAGTTATTAAGGAAAAATATTTTTGTTTTCAGCCGAAGAAGAAGCCACGTCCACCTTCAGGAGGACGACCAGGTAGTAAGACCCGGGTCAGGTACAGAGTACACAGTGCTAAGTCAAAGAAGCATGCTCTCAATAAAAACACTTGCCTGCCACCAGTGGGTCAGTCTGTTGTTGGAGCAGGGGTGGTAGATGATTCCTCCAATGCTGACATCCCTGTCATATTAGACCCAACCACAGCAGGAGCTGTTGGGACTGTGCCTCTTGCACCATCATTTAAGAAACATATTGAGAAGTTTGACTCTAGTGGTGGGAGTGGTGTTGCTACAGAGATGAGCTACATGCTACCCAGCCATCCTCCTCTTTCCGCTTCCCGCAGGAAGCTAGATGCAATCAGTGAAAGTGCCAAACTACGGAGATCTCTATCACGTGTTCATGAGTCTGGTACTGAGTCACCCTCTGTGCCTTCTACCTCAACGCAAAAGTCAAGCGGCAATGAAAAATATAGAGAATTAGCTCAAATTGATGAAAGACCCCCTTCGTCATCTAGAAGAGCTTTGAAAACTGTAGATCAATTACCAGACCAGTACAAATTACATAGTCCAAGGCCGCCAAACTCACCCAGGAAAAAGGAAGTGACTCTAGATAGTCTTAAAGAATCTCTACGGCCACCTACATCTAGCAAACCTATGTCAGGAAAATCAATAGACTACAAAGAGTCCATAGGACGTCCAACGACCTCTAGTCGTAAAGGAGAAGTGACCTTAGAAAGTCTTAAAGAATCTCTTGGTCGGCCAAATACCAGTTCACGATATGGGCTGAAGAAGGACTTAGTATTGGAAAGTTTATCTCAAAGTGAGGCACGTGCAATGTCAGGACTTTTACGCCAGGCTTCCATTGAGCGTCTAGGCTCATCAAAAATTGGACCATTTTCTCGTAGTTCTAGTCGAGTGAATGGGGAGGGTAGGATCCCGACTCCAGAGGGCAGACTAGTGGTAAGTGAAAGTTTATATATTATTTACAAACAAATTAAATAATTAGCCCATTTTTATTCTGCAATACTTATTGCCATTGCCCTCTTAGACTACAATGCAATTTACAATGCATAATAATTCATGTAGTATTGTAGTAGTGGTACTTCACTGTATTTGCACTTATGAAAATACTGCTCTTTTACTATTGATATAACACTATCATATGGCTAATCAGCTGTTCTACATTTTGCAGTCTGCCCGCTTACAGAGGCTATCAGCAAGTCGTGATGGTCGTTTGCTGTCCCCCACACATCGATTGCCACCAGTCAAAGCCAAAAAGAAGTCAGGAAAGCGTTGTTTTGTCTGTGCCAAGAAAACTGGGTTGGCTACTAGTTATCAATGCAGGTGAGTGTTGGATAAACATGGCAACTAATGCTCCCTGATATTAGGGTTAATTTGGTGGTGTGTGGGTTATTTTGGCAAATTGAATCTGTTGAATTTTGTTTAATTAATATACAGTTGCTTAAAGTCATGTTTTTGCTCTTTATTTATTTGTGGTAACCTGAATCACTAAGAGAAACATTTGAAAAACCTTAAAAATACAAAACTATATAAATCACCACAAATACTGTAAATCCCCTTCAAAAAATAAGTACATTTTTCTTGCAGATGTGGGAACAATTTCTGTGCTACTCATCGCTACGCAGAGTCACACGACTGTTCCTTTGACTACAAAACTGAAGGCCGCAAACTTCTAGAGCAAAGCAATCCTGTGGTACAGGCCCCAAAATTGCCAAAAATATAATCCTAATAAATTTACAGTAAAACATTAATAATATAATTTATTTGCCAATAGAGTTTTTTTAAAGATACAATCATTGCATACATGAATTAAAATAAAACAAAATAAGATGAAGGAAATTTTAAAAAAATTATGAATTTAAAATGAATTGTGTAACATTGAAATATTTTAGATTATTTGAAAAATGCTAGGCTATCATTATTTTTAATACAATGTGTCAGAATGTAAGCCAAAAAACATTGATTTATTCATCAATGTCTGTGAATTCAAACAAAGTCTCATATGATTCCCGAGAACAACTTGGATTGATTTCCATAGTAATGAAGCTAATTTGAAAAAGCAAGATAGGATTATTCCAAAATATTGATAAAATGAAAAACAGTCCTTGTCTCAGCCCACAAAGGTGGAACTGGGGGTAACCAAGAAATTCTAGGATTATATGAATTCAGCAACAACTCATCTGGAATGATCTAAACATATATGCCAAGATTGATGTAAGCTTGAATCGTTCGAATTAACGCTCCTTAAGAGTTTACATTGTCAAAAATGTCAACATGATGCTGATCAATGTGAATGTCTTGAAAGACTATGTTTTGAAGATATGCACTTGTTTGCTTTGCAGTCTTATAAAGTATTTATATTTATTGTTACATTGAATGCTGCATTCTGGAACTAAATATGCCAACAACTTAAAGTCACGCATTGTTCTGTTGTTTAGGCTATCACATAAAACATTGCAAAGATGCTATTGAATATCAATATCTCATTCATATAGAACTCTGTAGAAATTGTTTTGTCCATTGTTATCAAGAAATTGCTTAATTTGTGTGTATTTTGCAAACTTTGATTTTGCTTTGTACATTATGTTGATTTTTAAATTGTTTCTTTATGATAGCTTCTACTATTGTTATTACTGAGTTGAGGTTGCTTATTTGTGATCAGTATTTATTTGTTTACATACACATTTTAATGAATATGTACAGTATGTCTAGCAGGTTTACATATTTTCAAGATCACATACATGTATACCATGTACAGCGATATGTATGGACATGTTTTGTTTGCACACATATTGTATGCATATATATGTGTATATTTGTACTTATAAATGATTATGTATGTTCATGTAAAGTTATTTATTGTTATTGTGACTTTAAAGGCAGAATCAGATCTCTAGGGAGTGACAAAATTACAAGCAATACTAGTATGTACAATTGATCTTCCAAACTATGCCTTACAATAGCAAATGCAATATCTTCCAAAAGATCAGTGATATGTTATAAATTGGTGAAGTTGTAACGGATTCAAAGTGCAAAAATCCCAAATGATAAAAATGGCAACCATAATTATTGAAAAATAACACATTATTGTAAAAATCTTTAGTTTTCTTGAAGTAAAGATGCACTTTGTTGATTTTTAGAAAATAGACATGACAAGGATTTATATGAGCCAGAAATATTCTAAAATTGAAACAATTCTTTGTTTAGCTTGCTAGCTAGATCTGATTCTCTCTTTAAATATCCATTTCATAATGAAAGTACATATTTTAAAAATTATGTAACATGGCTTTGATTTGTTGTGAATTGATGAATTTCATAGACTGAGTTAGGCATTTAGACATTTGTATAATTTTCAAACTGTTTCAAATTGTTTACTTTTGTATATTTAAATTACAAACTGAAAAAGATTCCAATAATTTTGCACACAAACACCAGGTAACTATTTTTTGTTAATCCACAATACTTTCTAGATGTTGGCATCTGATAAATATCTTATTTAAAGGAGCAGTATTCCCAAACATTTTCTGTGTAAGTATAACTTAAACAGCTCATTAATTTGATATCAATTGTTTTATACATTTTTGGTACAGTAATTATAAGTTGTTCAAAAAACTACTCGGAGCTGCCATTTTGAATGGAAGTTCCCCGATGGTTGTCACAACAGCCTATTTTAACATTGCATTGTAGGATAAAATATATAAAGTTCAACCTAATGTATTGTTAAGAATCTCTTGAAAACCATGACTAAAACATACATACCATCGTTGGATGCATATCTTGACCTGAATATGATATTTGACATCATTCCCTAAATAGTACCTGTAATGCTAAAGTAGGCTGTTGAAATGGTCATTTTGAATAAAACTAGATCTTACAATTTTCATTTTAATCATCATATGGGGTGTTTAAGCTATACCAGCACTAAAACTCTTTGGGCATAGTATCCCTTTAAAGACAGTGGCTCATTCAAAGACCAATAGAGACTTCATTTTCAATTTATTTTTAAGAATGTACTGTAGTGATAATAGCCTATGGAACAAATGTGATATTTAAAAGCAATCAACAATAAAATCATGTTAATGTAACATTAAGATTTATATTAAATCAATCAATCAGAATTGTTTTTATGTTAAGATGAGAATTATGCTAATGAGTTTATCATGTTCATTTGTGTGTTTGGCAATTTTGATGTTCTTTGTGCCTGCTTTATATACACACTTAAGTTATGCATGAGTATAACCCTGGATTGCATTTAACATTGAATATCTCTCTCACTTGTTAGATTTGTATGTGATTATTCATTATCTATACAACACTTAGGGGTTCGAGTTAGATGTGGAAATGGTTTATTTTATTGTGAACCTCTAAAAGTATAAAGCCCATGAAGAAGAACAGTGTTTGTAATTTCTATACAAAGAATGTTTGTGAATTAATATTACTTTTTTCAGTGTTATAAATTACAGTTTCATCTTATCAGCATTAGAATGTCTACTAAATGTATGATATAAATTCCACCTTATCTGCAATTTTTGTGATTTTATTTCAAATAAACAAAGTATATTTGCATCTCAACATTTTGTCATGTTATTTTCTATATGTACTATACATCATTGTGTCTTTGCCAATAAGTGGTGACATATTGTTACAGACATTTTTGTGACTGACATTGATTTAGTGTCTGTTACAATTAGAAGGTGTTAAACTTTGGTGGTCATATGCAATACCATACAAGGTAATGACATTTTGTCACATTAATGGCTTGTTTATAATTCACCCATATACCAGTTTATGAAGATATGGTAACAACTGCAAAAGCACATTTCAAAATGAAAATTGATTATTTTTTCCTATCAAAAGCAAGGATTTTATGTGACCAGGATGCAGTTAAGGGAACAGATTCTGATCCTAATTCTGATCTTAAGTTACCTCCAAAACTAAAAACATATTTTTCAGAAGAATCTGCATTCTTCTGCTCTTTCAACGGACTTTGTAATGAGGCTATCAACAATCTTAGAGCACCTAGATATTAAAGTCCAACCACAATTTTTTTTATTTGACCACATTATTTAAAAGTAAAAAAAGTTGTTCCAAGTGTCCAGATATTCACGAATGTGTTGGAATCAGATCATATCATACCATGTTATTTCACCTCAATTGCTCTATGATCCATTCCATACATGGTCTATATATTTCTCAGATTTCCACAAAGAGTGCATAAACATACCTAGATTATTATTAGTTGAGGGATAATAAATATTCAATTCAGTGACCTACATTTTTATACATTCAAAAAGTAGGTCACTGAATTTTCTAAATTTTTATATATTATAGAAAATTACCATTTACCCTCAACTATTAATCCTTTGGGTGCATATATGTACCTTGTGTAAAACTGAAAGGAGTTGTGTGTTTCAGAAAATAAACATGGGCCACCAGAAGAAGCCAAGCTGAAAGCCATTACATGAATTTGTGAACATACATAAGTACCTACACATAAAAGAAAAAATTATCATCGCCCCTGCATATTACTGCATAAAGTATTTTTACTCCAAAGTGCTTGTGTCTATGGGTTAGAGTGGGTCTTGACTCTTGAACCCCCTCCATTATGTGCCACGCCCACTTTCTTTGAGAACTGCTCCCCTACTATTTATTGATGGAAAAAGCTATTCAAATAGTACTATCTATATTATTCCGTTTGCAGACACTTTGTCTCTTGAAAGCTCATGCTTAGTTCGGACCTATAAGTTTCACGAGCGTTCGGTGATGGTCTAAATTAAAAGTTAAAACGTAAAAGTTAAGCGTTCGTATTTTTAGCGACTATGAGTGAAAATAAATTTGCACATCTGTTGTAGAAATTGGTTACTAACCAAGAATCCTGGTGAAAATAGCGGTAAGAGAGTTCGATTATAATGAAGGAGTATGCCTTGTACTTTGTAGAGAGCATAATTCTTGCACATCCTGACGATTATTTAAAAAAATTGTATCTAAATGTTTTTGGTGGGTGATAATTGAGTCTATTTTATTACAAAATATGTTGAATATACACCATATCACCTTCTCTTCCACCACAATGTAACAACTCAATACTACACTTTTACGTCACATGTATTATAGTTAATCAAACATGATAATTCTGGATTAGGTTTGTTGAATCCATGTTGACTCATCTCAAGACTGTAAAGACTGTGAATTCATGCTTGAGTATAAACACAGGTACAGGTTACTCAATCTCTCCTGGAAGTGATAAGTGTGCATTAGTTATATACCAAATATCCGACCCGTCAGCTGAAATAATGAATACCCAATTAGCATTTGAATAGATTTTATTGCCCACTGCTGAGAAGTCCGATAGCCACCAGCTACCGAGTGGGGGTCCACTTTTGACTCAACTATCCATCTTATCTGTTTACCTAATCTTTCAAATGAGGGTTATCATTCATAATATCAATAGGATCTCCTGGACCCTGTTGCTTTAATAGCTTTATTGCATGATAAATATCTCAAACTAACACCAAATGACAACATGTTCGCTAGAATCTTCATAAAACAGGTTATATAATGTTACTTCCTTGCTACATGTACTTCATGCCTATGTAGTATGTAGCCTTCAGTGAGGGCTTATTATATTTGTTATGGGTATTGTACTGACATTAGGTAAAATTGGAGGGGGGCTTGAACTTGTGTTTTTCATAAAGAAAACAGCTACTGTAGCTACACATTCAACACACCATTAGAAAGCACATTTTATCTTCTTAGGTCCTTTGTACTAGTGTTGTCGCATTGTGCCATATTCGTACATTGATGCATCGGCAATTTTCAATAGTAAACATCGATGCTCGTTACAATGTACATTGGGAAAAGTCTTACAAATTTACTGCCATTATAAAATTTGAATGCAACAAATAAATAATAGTATGATACCTCTGGGTGGTCACATGCGTAAACAAATGATAAGTTAAAACATTTTAAAAGTGAAAGCATATCAGAGAATATTTGAAGATGAACTAAAGAATGAAAAAGGTATTTGCACGAAAACAATGCATCGCCAGAGTCACTTTTGGTTATGTATCAATTAATCACCACTTTATACTAGAATCAAATCAAACATTCAGGGACACAATATCTCAAAAGAAACAACATTTTTAATCAATATAGTGAGATATACAATGTCGCTGAAGAAATAAATAATAATTTGTAAAAATTACCAAACTTTAACCGCAAAAGAAACAAAAAGATCCAATCAAGATACACAATGTCACAATACAAACAAAGAAAATATTGACATAAATATCCAAATCAAACTTGGAATATGCTGCATATGAAACACCTTCGTTAACCAATAGACAACTGTACTACATGATACAACTGAGTGATCAAGTCATTTCTCTGCCATTGTAGGCATTCCACGATATCTCGACAGAGTTTGTTGCTTTCATATAGTTTTTCCTTTGTGTACACTTCCTAACACTCCATAAAAGGCTGCATATGGAGACTGCAGGTGACAGGGAATACAAAATCATTTTTTTAATCATGTGATTGGTTCTTATTCCATGAGAAAGCAAGAATTTTTCCAATGGTATACAGAAAAAAGATACACTTGGGGTACATCTCATAATCAAGAATTATCAAATTTAAATGCAAGTGAGATGAGGTTGGTTGAAAAGATGTGCATTGTATTCCTCCGTGCATTCTGTAAGAGGCAGATAATATGTCTCTTGATTATGAGATGTACCAGAATCTTTTTTCTGAGTAGTATAATTATGTACAATATACATTTTCGTATATTTATTCTTGTAGTGACTTGTTCCCCTGCCATTATTCCAGAGATGGACAAAACTGATGCCAATATAGATCAAAGTGATGCCAATATTTACCAATCTGAGGGCAAAGTAGACCAAAGTGATGCCAATATGGACAAAAGTGATGCTAATATGGACCGATCTGTTGGCAGTTTAGAACAAACTGATGGCAATATGGACCAAACAGATGCCAATATGGACCAAACAGATGTCAATATGGACCAAACAGATGCCAATATTGACCAAACAGATGCCAATATTGACCAAATTGATGCCAATATTGACCAAATTGATGCCAATGTGGAGCAAACTGATGTCAATATGGACCAATTATATGCACAGGTAAGTAACAAGGTCATAGCTGAATTATTGAGAATATAAATGTACATGTTTCATACTATATCTAACTACATACATGACATTTGAACATGACTATTATTATAAATATGACTACCTGAACACTTATTTTATCAGCGTAGTGGGCATTCTCGGCCATGGGGCAATTGTTGGACAAACCCTTGGCATGAGGTGAAAATCTGGGACATTGTTGTTATGTTGGACCCTTTACAATAACACAATGTGTCTTATTTGAAGCTTCAATAAAGAAATCATATAAAACAAAAGATTATTAAAGATTGTTTAACAATGCCCTGTGTCTGAAAATACCCCTATGTTCTCTAATGATGCATGAATAAAACTTTATTTGCAGGCAACTGCATTGGCTAGAACTATAAGTGAGTTTCCAGAAGATGGTCTCAATGTCACATTGGACAAAGTGGTTCAAATCATCAACACAGCGGTTCTAAATACAACTAGTGGAAGGTAATTTTCTTTTCTTAATGGAAAGGCTAGCTTAACTGTACTGTTGTACCATAATCTAGAGTCTCCCATTTGTAGCCAGTTTTGCTTCAAAGAAATATCCTCTTTAAATGATAAAAATTCTTTTGTATACTGTAGCCTTAAACACAACAAAAAACTCCTTTTTGACATCATAATAGCAATTCATTTTAGAACAAAATGAAATTGTTTGATAATGAGATGTACAATTTCATTTTTTCAGATTATCACTTGTTGTCCAACCCTCCAACTGCCCAGGGTCCCCAGAAACTACTGTTGAGGTTAAGCAAGAACCAGAATCTGAACATGAGGATGAATTTGAAACTATATTTAATGAAGTGATTAAAAATCAAAACACTATTGAAACCACAAATATAAAAAGGCCAAAGAAATCAAGAAAAGTTAAATCTAAGAGCAAGAAAAAAGAGGTATCAAAAGCAACTCCCAAATCGTACCAACGCAAAATGAAGTCTGTGATTAAAAAGGAGAAAATACAAGATGTTGTGTCTGACCTTAACGAGGATCACCTTGAACTTTTCGACAAGGTTAAGGGTAAAGATGAAAATAGTAATAGTGACAATGATACTGATGCTTATGATCCAAATGAGATGTATGAAGAGATAATAACCAAACCTGCTAAGAAGAGAAAATTGGAAAAAACTCGAAAAAAGACTAAGCCCATTTCTAGCACCTCGGATGATAAAATAACTAACATAGGTGACTATGCAATAGAAAAGCAAATGGATCCTCTACCCTGTGTTGTTTGTATTGATGAACCTTTCAAAAGTATCCAATACACCAGGATGAAAGATCTTATGGATCATATTATGGATACACATACATCTATACCCGAGGGTAAACAGAGACCTCATCTTAAATGTTACTTTCAAGGCTGTGATAAAGATTGGCCTTATTACAGGAAGAAGCTTGCAATCCAAGGTGTGTGCGGTTATTACCAGTACATAGCTCATCTTGAAAAGGAGCATAATGTACCAAAACCAGCAAATATAAAAGTGCTTGAATGTAAAGAGTGTAACTATTCCACTATTGTACCAAGAAACTACAAAGCTCATATGTATAATAAGAAACATGCTTACAACTGTATCCCATGTTCTGCATGTGGCAAATTAATCCACAGACGCAATATGCGACAACACATGAGTTTTATCCATAATACGGGGCCCCCTAAAACCTGCCCACACTGCTTCAAGATTTACAAATCTGAGGAGACATTGAATAACCACATTAAAAGTATCCATGAAGATTCGAAGCCTTATCTGTGTAGCGAGTGCCCTATGAAATTTCTTAACTCATATTCTTTCAACGATCATATGCTAATGAAACATGGTACAAATCCAACCAATCGTGAACCATTAAAATGTGATCATTGTGAGTGGAAGACATTGAATCGTGGTCACATGAAGCGACATCTAAAGGACCATCATGAGGGTTCAGTGAATGGATTTATTTGTCAAAAGTGTGGCAGAAAACTCAGGAATTCAGGTAAATTACATATTTCGCATTCTAGTATCAATCACTTTTGCTATGAAATAAAAAGTTGAAAAAACAATTAGAAGCAAAAAAGAAGGATCTGCTAACGTGTAACTTTAAGAAATAAACTAAATTTAAATAAGATATTTCCAATCGATATTGACCTGAATTTTTATTACTTTTACCAAACTCAGGTGTAAAATAGCCCATCGCATTTAATTTTAGCCCTTTATACCTTGATAGATGCCCCCTCTCCATTTCCCTCCTTAATTATACAAACCATTACTTGTGTTTGCAGGTAGTTTGAGACGTCACACCACAATGTATCACAGTGCCAAGAAGGACCCCCTCAAGGTGATAAAGTGTGAACACTGCAGCTACACCTGTAGACACCCTGAATACATGAAGAAACACATCAGAATCCATAGTGGCAAGAGATACCAATGTGATCTATGTACTTATAGTACACCATATAGGGAAAACCTGCCAAAACATAGACGGACACATACCAATAATGAACCAGTAGAAAAACGGGTAAAATCAGCCGTGGTGAGCCATTCCGCACCAGCTGGGTTTTTGGATTTAAATCTACAGCCATCCACGAAACATGAGAAATCGACCATGAATAGCCATATTATACCAGGGTTTTTGAATCAAAACCTGGAGCCTCACAAGGATTTTACATCTGGTAGTGTACATCACGAGAAGTTTGATTTCAACAGTCCATTCTCATCAGGTTTTATGCAGCCTCCCATCATGAAGAACTCTAGTGGATCGTATGCTCAATTAGGAGCAGAGTCACTGACTTTGGAACAGAGCAGCTCTGATGCACTTTCACATATTATTAACCAATAGCTGCAATTGATAACTCATAGCACAAGGGGTAACATTTGAAACATCTGTAATATGATACATCATAAGATGTATTCACACCCCATAGTTGTTCTTACAGCCGCCAGGTGTTCCAGCTTCTGTTACTTAGTCTACAATATTTTACTAAATTCAGTTAACATAATATGAAGTTGGTTTGCTCTTCTAAAATTTGAACCATGGTTGGTATGACATAAAATCATGCTTGCATTTTATCACAGCAGATTTACAAGACCATGACCAAGATTCAGATGTTCTGAATATATAAAACCTTTATTAAAAACACTAAATGCAGGCGTTTCACTATAATTTCTCACACAGGCTCAATAAATGAAAACAACATGCAAAATTAACAGAAATCATAAATTTAGAATGGAAACGTTGAAAGGTCTCTAAAAACAACATAAGATATTGTGAAAACAACCGGTGAAAATTGCCTGTTGCCTGCTGCTAATGAAACCCCTGTTATGTGTGTCAGATTTGACCATATTTGATAATGAATGTCTATGGAGAAACCAAGCTGTATCCAACAGTACATAAACTAGGACTTACTGTAACTGTAAACCTTTAAATTGGATATGAAAAAAGAGAGCATGGCTTTAAAATTAGACAATAGTATTGTAGTAACCATATCAAGAGGTGTTGGGTGGACTGTTGTAGGCCTATTTGTGTAATAATGTATTATGTATGTTATGATTGGTCCCACATACATCAGCCTGTATGCTATGTATTGGATACCACTGTGGTGCTAACAATATTTTTTTTTCATTTGATGTGTACTTATGAATATAGTTCGGACTATGGATACTAGCGGTTACCATAAATGTCTTGTCCCTTTCCTGCACTGGTGGAGCCCAGTACAAGGCCAATTTGCATTTGGTGGATGAAATAAGGATCATTTTTATGGTATAGGTGCTGATCTATCTGAAATTTTTTCATGGGAATACTGCAACAGTAAGCTAGATAAGTCTCTCCCAATCATAGTGGTATGTTGCACTACGCTTGGATACTGGTCTTTAATAGGATATACATGTAGGGTAAAACATTATAATGGCCATCTATAGGAATCTCTTCTCAACTCTAACCTAAGTTTTCCAGGTAATAACCGTATTAGGGTTAAAATGAAATCCTGTAGATCCTAGATGTTATGGTTTTAAATATATATTCTAATTTAACTGTGCTCATATTTGATAGTTTCACAATCTGTATATAAATGATACACTTATGCCTCAGTCACATTTGACCTACGGCAACCATACGGGGGCAGTAGTTAAAGCTGTACGATGTAGATTTCTATATCGATTTGGTGAAGCTCCGACCACCATAGGGCAAATGTGACTGAGGTTTTAATGAACCATATTTGAGTATTTGTACTATAAGCAGCGCATGATCTTGACAGAATATGTCTTGTTTGGTGGGATTTGCTATGGAGATACTATTTTTATCACACTTTGAAGAAGTGCTACATTGTCGTCATCGAGTGCTGATTGGAGCACATGCATTTCATTTTGGGAAGGACCACATAAATCTTGTCATCAAAATACCAGTTCTGTTCAACTTCAAAATTTTACAGATGCAAGCGCAGACTAGTGCCAACATCTGATTCGGTTTTGGGCATGCTGGGTGGTTTTGGGCATGCTTGGAAATTAAATGGTGGAATTATGCTCTTTAAGTGCAATGTTTATCACTGCAAGTATTGTTCTAGTTTCTGATCAAGAAAACATGAGAAAATTTATTTTATATATATGATATTACCAAATTTTTATTACATTTAAATCAAAATGCGTCCATCTCTGGATAGCAGTTTACATGCAATTCATATTAATCCTGCAGTTTCTTCGCTTTACAATGTAAAATGTTTTTGATTATTGTAAACTTTAGCTCTCTAAGCTTGTTTAAAAATAATGCAATGAATTGATAGTTTAATTTTCAAGCAATACACTTAGATGCAATACAAATGCAACATTATTATTAAATTTATTAATATTATATTGCAATATCATTGTAAATTGTGGTTTACGTTCTAATCATGAAATAAATACTTATATAACAAACATAATTTAATGGGACTTGTTCTGAGTAATATATGTGTTAACAATTCACAATAAAATACTGGTATTCATTTATAAAGCTTACCAAACTAGACTTCGGTCTAGTATTAAAATTGAGGTATTGGTACAATATCAATTACATATATGACAAACGGCTAAAATGACACAATATTTTTGCAAATATGGTTTAAACTCTGTATGGGACCTTTAATCACACACTACACATTAACAATACCAAGGGGTTATTTCTTCTCCATTTTATACATTTTAGCATGATTTGAATTCAAATGTGATAATACAATAGAGAACTAAATGAAGAATGTAAGCTAGTGCAGAAAGCATTAGAATACAAACTAACTACAAACACGCTTGTTAAGGTAGAATCAGAAAGCATTTTCTTTCAAAAATTGCTTTTTTTCAAAAAACTGTTTGGTTATTTGTAAATATGGCATTTTGGACAAAAGGTATGACTGATTCTACCACTTCACAAACTATAAAACAAAATCAATAAAACAAAACAAAGACATCTCTACAACTAAAACTGAAGTGTCACAATATGTATGATCAAGTAATGCCTGGGTCCCATTTGCTGCGATTCATCGGCCGGTGCCTGGCCGATTGAGTATTTTGTTCAAAACTGAATACATTTCACAACAAAATACTCAATCGGATGGGCGCCATAGTGAAAATCGGAGCAAATGTGGCCAAGGCATTAATCATACTCTGGAACTGATGGATTTCTTATGTTTAGATTACCACACTGATTCAACAGTAATCTGAAGACAACTATTTCCAGGTGCAGAATATGATTAACTGCATCAAATGTAAAGCTCTGTTATGAGATACATGGATTCTGGATCCTATAGTCCATAATGGATGTGATACTGTCATGCCACCACAAACATGCCACAACCACCGTGACATGCCACCACTGATGACTTGCACCTAGATAGTCAAATCTTCCTGCAATAAATCACACAGATTTTTACATTTTATGTTTAGTCTAATGTGCAGCCCTCTAAAAACCATGTAGGTAACTGAAACTGATAGAGGTATTTTTTGAGCTATGTCTGAGAAACTGGGGTCTGTTTGTTTTTAATACCATTGTACATGTAATTTCTTTGGTTGCAAGAAACTAAATACTTTTTGAAAATACTTTTCTTCGAATCATCAATTCCAGATATGGACCCAAGAAGCCGATATAAAACTGCTGATCTTCTAAGAATACACTTGTTCATGATATTGTGAAAAATAACTTGAATTTAATAAGTCATTCATTTGAATACTTTTGCCAAACAAGACCAGAATACAGTTCAGCAATGTGCATAGGACAAACAACTAATGATCACAATATTGTACCCAAGGGTGCCATAAAAATACTAATAGTTCTACATTGTATAAGGTATACACTAACAATAGGAATAAACTAAAATACTAAAACATGATCAACATGAGATCAATTTGTGCAACATTTAATGAGGAAAATAGAAGGGTATGTGTTCTATAGAGAATCTATAAAAGTAGATGTTTACATATTTAACGTTCCCTGCACTAAAAGAAATGTGCATAAAAAGTATAATCTTGTATATAGCAATATTAAATACTCATAAAAGGTACAAAACAAAGTATATATTAAATATTTATACTTAATACAAAGTGCTGGGAAAATATTTGTACCAACACCACATAAACTTTCAAAAAAAACTTTCAAAAGTAGATGTACGAAACTCCATTAATGACCATATACATGTATTAATGTCATCTGTCAAAAGTACAGAATGATGACACACCTCTTAACAGCAGCTATATATTAGTATCGCCTGTCACAACAAGCATTACAATGAAGCTGACAAATGCATTAAATAATCACCTGCAGGACTATTCTGCACATAAATTTTTATTGTAATGGACCCTAAGTTTGGGTCAAATAAGGGTGGGTCAAATAAGGTTACAAAAGTGCAAATGCAAGCACCCTTATTTAACAAGTTTGCACATTACAAGGACCCTAATTTACAACTACTTTAATGATTCATGTACATTACAAGTGCAGTATTAAAGACCCTAATTTAACAAAGTTTCACATAATAAGTCCAATATAAAAAGACTTGACACAATATTGCACATAAGTGCATTCTTGATTAAGGACTCCAATAATACAAGGATGTACATAACTGTATTATTCAATGACCAACAGTGTTTACAGCACAGAAGTGCAATATTTAAGGCAGTTAGGCATTTTCACCAAAAAGTTATAAATTAAAAATGGAGAAATGTAAATTCAACATTTCAACTTAATATTTTGATTTTGAAGTACAGTGAAACCTGTAAAGTGGAACACCTCCAGAAGTGGAACACCTCTGTTAGTGGAACATTTTTCAGAGTCCTGAGACCTACTGACTTTATGTTAAATGAAGCTCTATATGTGAAACACCTCCAAAGTGGAACACTTGTTAGAGGTACCAAAGGTGTTGCACTTCATAGCTAGGTCTGTAACTCACTATAATGTGAAAATATCTACATAATTAAAAGCAAAATATTCTCAATGTGCAGATTTAACTTAAGGACCTTATTTTGTATTGTATTACATTTTCTTTACCACCAATGAAGGTGAGCAATACCTCTTGGGTATATCCTGTATATATACGGTCATAGTTAGCCTGGAAGATAGACCCAGAAACTCCTCCTCAAAGGAGCCCAGTGTTCTTTTATGTACACCCATACATAGACATACAAGTACACACCACAGCCTTTTGTAAGAGTTGTGGGCCACTCAGTCAAACACCCTGAAGTACTTTACGCAAACAAGCAAATTACATCTTGCCTGAACAGGAGATCGAATCCGACACCTATTGTGTAAGAGGTACCTGTGCTACCGCTGAGCTATACGGGTGGACTATACACTAGTGCAATTATTGCATTATTTAAGGTCCCTCCGTGCAAGGGTGTGTAGTCCTATACATAAGAATGTCCTCCCCTGAGTTATGCCAGTATACAAATGCTATTACTACCACTAAGTGCCAGATCTGGTGACTTGAACCTAAGTAATCAAATTTACCTGAAAACAGAATGAAACATTTGAATAATTTCATACATTAAACATTTTTCATCAACACATTTTTCTTTCAAAAAGTCGTTAAACTATAACAGATTTAGCTTCAGTATGTGTTAACAATGAATATCCAAATACTGCATCTCCATGATATCCCAAAATTTAAAAACTAATATGATTCCATGATTTTGTCAAATCTTATTGTAGAATTTTCTTGATTATCAGTATTTTAAATCCACATAATATGATCATTAATCCAGTAAATATTGCCAAAGTATTTTCATTTTTACCTGGGCAACACCTTTCAGGAAATTTAGACAGGTAGAACACAAATGCAATCACCCCGAGTATGTACATCACAGTCACCTTTGGAAGGAACAACTGAAACAAATGAATTATGTGTAATAGTAAGTCACTCATTGCTTAAATTAGTCTGAGAAGCCAAGGTCATCAATGGAAAAAGTGAACTGGTGATTTATATGGTCCCATGTTTCCAAAAGACATACTAAGGTATCTTGGACGTAATCTAAGATTAAATAACTTCATCCTCACCTTGACTAGTTCTGTATGTAAGCCCCCACTTAGTAGCACCCAGTGTACAGTTGGAATGATACCATAGCCAACCAATGAACAATACAGTAAGATACGCGTCCTTGCCCATGAGTGGTGGAAAAAATGGGGGTGCAGTTGCAAGACTAGAACAGCCACTGACAACAGTGAGATTATAATCAGGTAAATATCTCTCCAAATCTAAAAAATCAATAAAAAGATGTTCAATAATTATAATAATTCCTCAATATTGTATTTCATTGTTGAATTCAGATGTATGGTCAATTTGACCCTTTTCTATATAAATGAAAAAAAAGATGGCATCGTGGGCATTGGTAGAGCTAGAATACATGTACATGTAAATGTATTGCCAGAGTCACCTTTTTCTTGATCTAACAAGTAATTCCATTTGGATCAACTTAAAACACCACTGGAATGTAACTATGAACTTATTGACATGTGGATTGTGATTTCACATTAAAATTGTGATCCTTATAAGAGTAAATGAACTTTTAAAGTTTTTTCAAAATTGTGTCAATGGGGATTTAGCCTGACCTTTCAGAATTTGAATCAGGTAAATAACTGCAAATTAATTTTTTTTGATAGAAAATTACAATTCAAATCAAATAGAAGAAAATGTTTTTCTCTTTAAGGTTAAAAATGCAGATCTCCTAAAATCTCATTAAAAACAAGACTTTAACAAGATTTCACAAGCTACATGTATATGGAAAAAGGACCATTGAATGTAATTTCACTAGATTCCACACATTAACTGTTAAAAATCAAGATCAGTATACTTACGGAGAGACAGTAGAAAGCATAATGTACAGCTGGCAGGTAGCACCCTATAATTCCTATTGAGATTCCTGTTAAATCTACAGCCAGCCATCTTTTACTGGCACGCTCTGAGTGACACACAAACACATGGTAGCCTGCTGAACACACCATACAAAACTGGAAACAAATGCAAATAATTCAATTTTAAAGTAAAAGTTGCTACATGTTTTTACGAGGGTTGTTCAAAAGGTCTTGAAATTTTTGCTCGTAATATAAAATAATTTATACTCATTAATTATGACAACAAAACTACCTCACATAAATTTTATTTCGAGTGGAATTTCTCAAATTATAATTTGATACCCACAACAAAAATCAGTTCTATATTTATAAAAAAGGATACTAAAACAAGCTTGAATCCTAGAAAACAATAGAGAATAGAAATAAATCTAGCCCAAAAAGTCTAGAGCAGCATATTTGATAATGTAGAGATATTGTACTTATGACAAAAATGATGATAAAGTTATCATACAAACAACTTTGTTTACCTGATAGCACAGAACACCAAGGGTGACAATGATGTGATCAGACCAACTGCCATTATGGTTAGGCACCCCTATAGCATTATCATAGATCATCAACACAACAAAGATCATGAATCCTAGAAGGTGAGACCAGATGTTGATACTCTCATTGCTCCAGACAAATAAACTGAAAAAAACAAGGAATTCTTGAGTTTTCTGGATTTTGAACAATACACAATGATCCTCCCAGTAGTAAGGCAGGTGGGCGCCCATCTGATATTTGAAATGCCTTGCACTTACCTGAATATCCATTTGCAACCACCACTTGCAAATGAGGGAATTGTCATGAAAAATAGGCATGGTCATTGTACACCATACACATATTTTTACTTATTTTGGAATTATAATCTTATATTTAATCTTATATTAAAAGTTGAATGATATACATGTACATTTATTTCATACCTTTTTAAACAAAGACTGCCTGGTAGCAAAGACCTATATCCGGACACTACATATGGATTGTGTTGCAGCCACATCGGGACCTCATTAAACTCATACAGTGGTATATTCTCTGTACTACTTCCAGCTATGCATAGATTGTTCGGCTTCAACTGATGACATCCACGGTCAATCTCTACATCCAGCACAGAATATGACCAGCCTGGATTGCCATTGGTCTTACCGGCTCTACTGACAAGGTTCTGGTTCTCATGGTGATATTGCCCCATTATGAAATATCTAGAGGTCTATTAAGGACCCACTGTTAATACGAGCCAGATACTGAAAATATAAAATGAACTCTTCATATCGTTAAACCCGTCTAATCCAAACATCACTAGCATGTGTTCAGATGTACATATGGGCTTTTCAGAGGGGCCATCTACACATAATTTACTCATCCATGTCCCAGTATATTAGGTATATTAGGCCAAGTTGAGCCAAAAAAGGTAACTCAAACAATGTTATTAACTTAAAGTTAGTCACTCAACATGGGTTTAGAGTCATATTGTGGCATAATTAAACCTTGTTCAGTTTTCTTTCATCCTACAGAGTTTCAATGGTCCAATCCAAATAGTCATGACTTTGGTTATTTTACAAAACATGCTCCAAATGCTGGCCTCAGCTCATACCCCCCCCCCATCTTTGGGGCTATCTCAAAGATAATGTCTACACTAACAACCCTAAAAGCATTAGAGAATTGAAACAAGAGAAGAGGAGAGCTATTACACAAAATGTTTGTGAGCATGTGAACAACTTTGTCTGACAAGTCAAGTCTACCTCAAGAGACAAGGCTGGCATTTGGAGCATGTTTTATAATAAAAGGCCATAAAAATGACTTATTAGGAATAAACCAACAAAATTTGGTAGAATAGAAGGACACTGAACAAGGTTTAATTGTGCCAAAATTTAATTTTTAAATTGATAAAATGATGTTTTGAATGACCCCCTAATGTATGACTTAGTATTTACCAAAGAAGATATTCTCTGTGACTATTTTGACTAATAACTCAGTTCTAACTACATGTAGTTAGAATCCATATAACTGAGCCTTGAACCTACTTAAATATAATATTCATGTCATATAGAGCAAGATGAGCATTATATTTTAAACAATAAGTTAACGTTTACAGATATAAAAGAGATATGAAGAAGAAAATCAAAGTTACCTAAATATTGACCTCATATCCCCATGTGCAAAATATTAACTTTGCCTTTCTCATGGACATACAGTATTTATCAAATAGAAGACCTTTGGAATAATCTTATTCTATTCTAACAGTAGATAACAGCCTGAATGTCCAAGGATAACTGAAATAATACCACACTATCTAGTGTCCTAGCCTAGCTTGTAATTGACTCGTCACATGACCTTTATTTTAGATGCCCCAGGAACTAGTTTTCAATTTAAAAAAATAAAATAAGTTTTCATTTATATACTAGTATCTTAGTTTTTCTAAATAAGCTGGATTTGCAAACATTTAAACAAACTCCAGGGATTGAACAGCGAGATAATGTGGTAATGGGGCACTGAATTTAGCACACTTTCTTTCAACTTCTTTATCTGGCTTGTTACACTATACTCATTAGTTTAGTTAGTCCTTCCCCTGGGATGCCCTAGGGTCATTATATTGGTGTCAGACGTGGGATCAAAGCATTGGCTGTATCCTTTGTGCCCATGTCACGAAGCGGTAGCCAAACTGAAAATGGTTTGAAATATTCTATGGGGTCCCCCACCCTCCTTTGTAAGTCCTGATGCAGTCTTTTTCCCATAAACACCAATGCCATACTTTTTATCACTCTCCAACATTGAGAACGCTTCTTTGATTATTCCTTGCTTCAGTTTTCAGGGATTATAAGATCAAGGCCATTGAAGTTAATAACCAAACCCGTCTGGCCCAGTTATCTACTCTCGATATCGTAGATCTACGAGGTCGGGAGTAGATAACTGGGCCAGACGGGTTTGGTTAATGTAAGACACAGTTAAGAGACCAAAAGTAAGTCGCGGATCGACTTAATTCAATTTCAAAGGTCACAATCATTCAGCTGTCCAAATGCTCCGTGGGAAAGCTATTATATCAAAATCCAAATAGCTTTCGCAGGAAGTAAGTCTGGCCCAGATCTACGACTTCGGGAGTAGATAACTGGACCAGACGGGTTTGGTTAGTTAGAGTCTAGACTAGTGCAACTGCAAACCGAGGCTAGAGTCCATTTCACTGCTTCATTTCGTCAGTAGAACGGCAAAAATAAGAAATTGGGAGACCATTGTGCAATAATATATGGAAAAGTATATTCATAATGTACATGAATGACATTTGTATATTTCAGATTTTTTAGTTTTTTGTGCAATAAGCCTGTGCCGTCTTGTAATTTGAAGAATTTCAGCCATGTTAATTTTATTGAAAATAACATGGCAAACATCCAAATATAAGAGGCCACACACTTTATAAGCCACTCGGAGGGTGATAACAGTGGCGTAGCGTGGGTATTTTTGAGTGTACGCCACGAGGGAGCGAAGCGAACGATCTTTGAGGGGGGTTCGGGGGTGGGTCCTCCCCCAAGAAAATTTGAAAATGAGATTGCAGTTGAAGCGTTCTGGAGCGTTTTAAAATACGAAATTCCGACGAAATAGACTAATGACATTTAAATTATTGGTCATTTTATCCATTTTTAAAGTGTGAGGCAATTCAATCTAAAAATCAACTTTTCTCTTAATTTTGAGAGTACGCCATGGCGTTTTATGCGTATATGACGCTACGCCATTGGATAAGATGCCAAAAACAGAGACATAAAGATGATTAATTTATTCTCCAATTTACTCTTGTAGAATCAAACTATTACCTTCAAATACCTTTATGGTTCTTCATGATTTCTGCTACTAGCGACCAAAAAAAGTTTCATTTGTTTTTATTTGACCTACTTAACTACGCGCATGCGTATCTATATGAAACCGGAAGCGATTATACGAACGATTATTTTCCCTTTTTGATCGTTCGTATATTTTTCGTAGATTTCTGCACTGAACGAAACGAATTGTAGAAATAAATATGGCGACCACCGGAGTTCTTCCATTCGTCAGAGGAGTTGATTTCACTAAAAATGATTTTACTGTAAGTGTTATTGCATCAAAAACATCAATATGATATAAATTATTATATATTTTATCATTAGGTCCACATTGAAAACTTCCAATCTGAAAGATTAGGGTGAAATAATGCGGGAAGTTTTGCAAATTTTAAAATTCAAACCCGGAAATAAGCTACAGTGGGGATCATAAAGAATTGCAAAAGCTATGAAAATTACATGCTGTCGCACATGTAATAAATTCTTACCTCAGTGTATTCAGTGCTTTATTTTCTCCGTCTTAGTAAGTCCAAATATAGTGGAATTTGTGTCCCTAATGACAAATAAGAACTTCAAAAGTTGAATTGGATATTCACATGTTATGTCGACTCTTCAAATGTTGAGGTGATTTTGTCGCCCGATTGCGCCGGAATGGAGGATTGGCTCCCAGAATGCAACATGACACGTGCCAGCTTTCAAAATGCTGTTCCGCCATTTTTAAACCTGTCATGAGTAAATACGGTTAACTGATGTTGCATTCTGGGAGTCAACCGTCCTTGGATACAAACATGGCGATTCATGAAAACATTCATTCGATTTGGTAGGGATTTATCCATTATTTGCAGGTATGAAGCTTTGGATTCATTTATTGTGCTACTTTAGTGAACGGGAATTATTTTTCTACCGCTTGGGAGAGTTTGAGACACGAAACTTGGAAATTAGCTCATTGTGACAACTTGTGAACGTTGAGTTTTATTTTTGTCCCCCACTGTAGAATCTCTACATGCAGCACAGAGTATGACCAGCCTGGATTAAGAATTACAAAAGCTATGGAAATTACATGCTGTCGCACATGTAATAAATTTTTACCTCAGTGTATTCATTGCTCTATTTTCTCCATCCTAGTAAATCCAGATATAGTGGAACTTTAAAATTTGAAGTGGACATTCACATGTTAATGCCGACTCTTCAAATGTTGAGGTGATTTTGGAGCCCGATTACGTCGCCAATGTGGATTGGCTCCCAGAATGCAACATGACACGTGTCAGCTTTCAAAATGCCGTTCCGCCATTTTGAAATCTGTCACGAGTAAGGTTACCCGATGTTGCATTCTGGGAGTCAATCCTCTTTGGGTCACAAACATGGCGATTCACGAAAACATTCATTCGATGTGGTAGGGATTTATCCATCATTTGCAGGTATGAAGCTTTGGATTCATTTATTGTGCTACTTAAAGTGAATGGGAATTATTTTTCTACAGCTTGGGAGAGTTTGAGACATGAAATTTAGAATTTAGCTCATTGTGACAACTTTTGAGGGTTGAGTTTTATTTTTTGTCCACACTGTAGTCTACTATTTTTATCACTTAGTTTGCACTAAGCGATCTCCTGAGAGATAGCTTTGCATATCTTGATATTCCCAGCCCATGTTAAAGGTCTTTTACAAAAATGTAAGAAATCTTAGAAACATTTACCCTACTTCAATCGATGCATAACATTCTAAAGTATCGTTTTTCTAACCATATTGGGCTAGCTGGAGTTGGTAGACAGTGTAATTGACGAAAAATGTATTTGGAACTTGTTATTTTCCATGTCGTCTGACCAGGAAGTTTTGCCAATGCGCATGTGTGTTACCGGAAGCAGAAATCTCAAGGCATGGAAGCGCATGCGCATTACCCAACTTCCTGAGAAGAATCCCACCATGTACCTTAAGGTACCATGGTAGTTAACAGGAAATGAGAAAACCATGCTCGATTTTTTGAACAAAGATACCAGAGTTCTGTTTTGACCTCCAGTCAGTTTAACTAATTCCACATATCATTTACATGACAAGGATCACAATGTCCATGGTCAGAATGACCCTAAACATGATGAAATAAGTTTTCAGCCCTCTGAAAAGTAGAAGCTTAGGAAAGGTCACTGAACAGAATCTTTTGAATTTTTCAGATAATGTGCCTTGTATATTGCTCTAAATGATACAATATTTGAAAATTTGATATCATTAGTTGAAAAAGAAAAAATGAAAAAAATGAATTGAAAACCGATGTGTTTTCCTTCTTATGACCGCCATTTTTGTTTCAGACAATTTTCTAAAATTTCAAAGATTGTATCATTTAGAGAAATATATTGAGCACATTTTCTGTAAATTCAAAAGATTCTGTTCATTGACCTTTTCTATGCTCCTACTTTTAGTTTTTTTTCAGTGACCTTTCCAGAGAGCTGAAAAAGTTACATGTTAAACTGACTGGAGGTCAAAACAGAACTCTGATATCTTGGTTCAAAAATGTTTGAAATCAAGCATGGTTTTGTCACTTCCTGTTTTGTCATTTCCTGTTAAGTATCATGAGACCTTATATTAAAAAAATAAACAATGGCAAGATCACAGTATCATATGGAAAAATACATTCATACTTTATTACAAAATGTTTGTTTATCTTGGTTTGGCTATCAAACCATTTTCTGTTTTGATTCTTCTGAGCTGTGACATGTAATATTCAAAGAAATTACTGTGTGTGAAACTCTCTAAACTACAAGAACCCACAGGTTTATCTAGATATAAAACTAATTTGCATCGAGAATATGATTGTACTTTTCCAATAGATTATTAGTCTGTTATTGCTTATTTTAATTTTTAGGTTTTATTGCAAACAGCCGAATTGAAATTGACTACAGATTTATGTTGACTTTATCTGCAAGTGACAATAATTGACCCATTATCAATTTTGGGAAGTCTAAAATTGAGAAAAAATATGAAAGCAATAAAACTTAATATGACTGATGAAAGTGATGGCATGCATGCACATAACGTAAAACTGAGATGATTTGTACCACAAATGCAGCTGTGGTATTCTCCAGAACAATTTTCAAATAATGACAGTCTAAATTTACTTTAAGTTAATATATAAAACTACTATAAGCCTCTTAAATCTTCTGCAGGATGGCAAGTTTCCAGAGAATGTTGCTGGAATGTCAGGGTTGCGCTGGTTGCGACTCAACAAAACTGGACTCTCAGAAATTCCCAAAGAAATCTCACAACTTAGAAAATTAGTAAGTGATCCCTTGCGACAATATGTATGCAAAATGGATTAAACTATTATTCTGGTTTGTTTGGTCACATTTAAAAGTACAATTTGTAAAAGTTTAATTAAATGAAGTAATTGAAAAGATATTTGAATTATTTTTGATGACAACTATAACTGTCAACATCTTATACACAAGCAGACATACTGTATTCACCAAATTTCATAATAAATTTCTTATTTGATTTTCAGGAGCACCTGTCCTTAGTACACAATGGACTCAATAGTTTACATGGAGAACTGTCTGATCTAGAGAACCTCCGGGCCTTAAACTGTCGCTACAATAACCTAAAGACATCTGCCATTCCTGCAGATCTCTTCAAATTAGAGGATCTCTCAATAGTGGTATGTAAATCTGTTAAATCAATTTTTGTAAAATTGAGATTTAAGTTTGCTCAAAAAGCTTAACTGAAATAACTGACCAAGACTGGATATAAATCCAACGAGGTCAGGTACAATCTCCTCTGAAGGCAGGCAAAAGTATTTCTCCCATTGCAAATACACAAGGGATAAAAATGTGGAATAGGTATAAACCAGGCTTTATATTCTGACCAATATTTTGGGGTTTTTAATATAGCTTTATTTTTGACTCATTTTTGAATTTGCAAGTCGCGCATATTATCTCAAACTAAGCACAGTATTATTACATCATAATGTCACTAGTAGCTCTACCAACCTCCAAATTTAGAATATTTTATGTTTTCAGGACTTTAGTCACAACAGTTTGAAGGAAGTTCCCCCAGAACTAGCTGAGGCTACTGGTATTATAGTCCTCAATCTTAGTCATAACAGGTGAATATGAATCTTCACAAGTTTAACATTGATGTCTATGTCAATAATCTGCAAAATAAAGGCTAATAAGCCCATTTAAAGCAGATAAGTAATTTAATGGTGATAGAATTTGAATAGAATAAAATTTAGAACCTTAACATTTAAAAATAGATCTATGGTTTGGTTTCAACTAATTTAAAAATTGAATAGATATAGATACACAAATGACGACCATCGGCTACATTGACATTGTCACTGTTTTCCAGTAGTACAGGCTTGTTGTTGTGCATATTTCATTTCTGTTCTACATTTTATACTACACTATTTTAAAATTATTATTAAAATAGATTATTTTAAATAACCCATAATTGATTGTATTATTAATCTCCAAATTTAATTAGAATATCAAAACAACAAAGTTGAAAACATGATTGCCTGATTGGCAACCAGTGTTTTCAAGGCCATTTGCATTGAGGCAATTGTAACTTATGGAAATAATCTGACATTGATTGTAGTATCGAGTCAATCCCAAATCAGTTGTTCCTGAACCTACTTGAAATGATGCACCTGGATGTTAGTAACAATGCATTGGAGACTGTCCCCCCACAGCTGAGGCGATGCACAAACCTACAGACCCTTAATCTTATGAATAATCCTCTACTACATGCTCAGTTTAGGTGAGTTCAGTTGAGCAGACCCATGCTGTTTTGTTTCATCCAAAGGCATAAATGAAAAAGTCTGTAGATTTTATCATTTGTATATTGTATTATAAAGGGAAGGGAATGAAAAACTCATTTACTGTCTACAAATAAAAAATGCGAAAAATTTGTGGAAAAGTGGAAAATCTAAAGTCCCTGTTTTTACTGGAAGTTGTTTTTTCTATTTCAAAAATCTATCCCTGTTTTTACCAAAGACAATATTGGACATTGATGAAAGACAGGTTTCATAACACCCCTATCCACACCAGCAAGAAGTGAATGTTATTCTAAATCTGTTTTAGAGTACTGCATTGTCATTATTTTTTTTTTTAAATATTCGGGATCAATAATAACTTGATTGCAAAAGGTTGAGGTAGACATGTAGAGTACATACCATCCCATTGGAATAAATTTTATGAATTTGATCAGAACATTCATATAATTTCTATTCTCATTCTCTGCTTTTTAGACAACTGCCTGCATTGACTTTGCTAGAGACCTTGAATATGAGAAACACACAGAGAACACTCAGTAACTTTCCAGCTGGACTGGACACCCTCACAAACCTAGCAGGTAAGACATCTCTGTTTTTGTATGTCCATTATCATTACATATTAGACCTCCAGTACATTATATTTCCTACACACGCCTCACAATCCTTAGTCTTTCTACCCTTTCTGTAAATCTGTAAATTCCGTTTTCAGAAAATAAAATTACATTGTAAGGGAAGATTTGGCATGTTTTTTGAAAAGATTGCCTCCAAAGGTTTACTCTTTCTATCCCTCTAATTTTTTTGTAAGGAATGGTGTCTCATTGTCAACAGCTTTGTAAGAACAATGTTATATTTTTAGAGAGGGGAGTAAATGGAGATTTCAGATGTGAATATGTTAATTTTTTTCAAATGAAATTATAGTTACACGCTAATTAAAGATTTATCTTTGGTTTTTACTCCTACAGATGTTTATATTTGGACACTATCGCTAAACATTTGTAATTGACCCTTTGGTGAAAAATATATTTGAGATCATTTCATTCTTTCAAAAGAAACTTTGAGACTTGATGATACAAAAACATGTTGATTGTAGATTGTTCTGTTTTCATTCACTGCAAACCTTGAACTATATATAATAGTTTAGAGTAATTTTTCAAGAGACCACTTGAAAATGCAATAATTGTATACTGTTGAGTTCAACATCCAATTTCACAAAAGATGGTGTATTTTAACATTTTAAGATTTATTGATTAATATATCAGTTAAAAATATAACACAATCAGTCATATGAAGTATTAAAAATCAGTAACAATAATGTACATAAATAATAATGTTCATATAAATATTCTAGATATTTCGGCAGCAGTTAAAATGAGTCAAATCCACTGAAAACTGCACTTATAATGAGTTATTATAGACTGGAAACATCAGTTATAATGAGTTATACACTGAAAATAGCAGTTTTTAGTAATAATCTACTAAAAATATAAGTTATAATGAGTTATACACTGAAAACAGCATTTTTAGTAATGTAATCTACTGAAAACAGCAGTTTTTAGTAGAGCTGGCATCAAATGTTGGAATGGTCGATTGTCAGTCGAATGCTCTCTGCGACACCCATGTCGACACAACGCCTCTTGATCGACAGTCGGAACTCACAACATAAAAAGCTATTTCCCTATGAATTAAAATCTTTGTTACTACCTGCTGTATGGTGTATTTTAGTGAAGTTTTACCGCCTACATTTTCAAATTTTCTTTTTTGTTTTGATCGACTTCCTGCTCTCGAATTAGGTCTCGGGGCCCCTCGAGATTTACCCTCGAGATTTATTTTCAATGGCTGCCCGGAAATAACAACAGAAATCGTAGTTTTATGTCTATTTATTGCTTTTTCTTCAAAGTCTGATACTTGAACATGGTTTACCTGTAAGTTAAATAAATATAAAACAATACAACTGAGGATGACTATTGTGCATCGTATTGCTAATTACAAGCCTAGAAAATCTAAAATTCAGACGGATTTTTTTCAAATTTGTTTTCATTTTTCGAATATTATTGGACCCGACAATGTTGATATCGTTGTCGATCGAGAGCTCCGACATGTCGACATTAAAATCCTATTCGATGCCAGCTCTAGTTTTTAGTAATAATCTATTGAAAACACCAGTTATGATGAGTTACACACTGAAAACAGCATTTTTAGTAATGTAATCTACTGAAAACAGCAGTTTTTAGTAATAATCTACTGAAAACATCAGTTATGATGAGATATACACTGAAAACAGCATTTTTAGTAATGTAATCTACTGAAAACAGCTGTTTTAGTAATTATACACTGAAAACATCAGTTATAATGAGTTATACACTGAAAACAGCACTTTTAGTAATGTAATCCACTGAAAACTGCTGTTTTAGAAATTATCCACTAAAAACAGCTATTCTGATATATAAAATAATCCTTAATGAAGTAGAAAAAGCAATGAGAATGTATATGAGTATATATGTAATTTAAAAGATTTTATATTACAGTATGAGGTTAGTATTTTTGTAAATCGTTCAGTTTATTTGAGTAAACTTTTAATATCAGGACGTTATTGTACATTTCAGTGAATGTTTCAGTTTTGCAGGTCTTAATATCATAAATTCGTTGCATCTACTCTAAAATCCTGTGAACATGTAAACTTTGCTGTAGCTGCTAGTAAAAAATGCACTTCAGTAAACATATCAGTTTCTTTGTACTTATACAATCACGAAGTACTTTGTTTCAGTGAACATAATAATCACAAATCAAACAATTGTTTAAAAAACTTCGACAAGCCCCATCCACTTAATGTGTTATTCTTTTGGATGCTGGATTTTTCCATACTTTTTGTCAGCATCAACACTTTGGAGAGAAAGTTGAAGCCGTTGAGATTTTTCTCACAGTAAAGTCCTGTAAAGTTAGTTGGACAGATGCATTTCTGTGTTTTGAATATAGGGATGCATATTCCGTTATTTTGGCATCCACTTCTTCTGCAGTTGAATGCTGGAAGAATAGAGTACAATCTTATTTTCCAGGATTTTATCTTGGATAGGGAATGCACATGTATGTCTTATTTTGTCTATGGTGTTTTTATACTTGGTAGATCGCTGGTGTTGACTTGGAATTACAGATGCACAAAATTATTTGAAACAGGTTCACAAACATATTCAGTACTGAACATCAATCATTATTCTTCTTAATGACATAACTTATACTTATGACTATCACAATTTGATGCCTTCTAGCATGGTCTAAATTCAAGTTAAAAAGTTACCTCTGTATTTAGCTGTTCTGTTCGCATTGTATAGTGATGCAACACTATCATTCTGCATGGATTCTCCAGTTGTTAGAGCTGTAGTGACATTACATAGCATGGCCACTCCAGCCATCATCAGTGTCATCAAAGCAACATTCTACAAATAAGATACAAGACATTTAGCTCTGTGCTCATCGGGTTTGTTCTTAAACTGAGTGCACAACTCTACACATGCAAATTACATTGGGCCTCGTACGAGCTTGTACGAGGCGGTCAAGTACGGGGGTCGAAAATTACGGACTATTACGGGCTCTTACAAGGCTGAAAATTATAAGCAATTTTGAGACTCTTAACGTGGCCCGTATGAGGTTGTACAGGGACCATTGACTCAACGAGCTCCGTACGGGCTTGTACAGGGTCTGATGCAATTTGCCTGTGTACCAATTCTGAGTAAAAATATTGTTTTCCCAGAATATCCAATTTTTATGGCTTTTAAATTCTTTCTCTAGTTAGATAGGGATTTCAGTTGGGATGCATGCATGATGATTTTCAGTTTCATAACTTTGTTGCTTCAATGCTTTTCATACTGCTTGAGGTATTTACAGGTATATTGATTGTTTATCAGCAATTGTTATGAAAAATGACTAGGGTTTACTTTAAAATGGTAGACAAGTCAACTTTCCAAACAGAATTCCTAAAATCCTTAAAGGGCAAGATTTTGTTTGACCGGGTAGGTTTTAAGAAAATAAAGTTGGTGTTGTTATAACCATCATTTTTTCTAACTGGCATTAGAAGTATATTGAAACAACTGTTACACTTTTGTAATGTACTGAGGGAGGTGGTGAAATTTCATAATGCTTTTTTCATATTATTTTTTGATTGAAGTGCCTTTATTATTGCATCAACGTACAAGGAGGTTGTGAAATGCTTTGATCACATTTATATAATTATTTGAATAAAGTGTCATTTTTGCATCATGACACAGATTACCCTGCGTGCAGAGTCTAGTTAAACTACACTCTGCCTAGTAGAGACCATATTACAGTTTAATAGCCCCACCCCCTCGACGGGTACCGGTGACAGTTTGGGTAAAACACTTTTGACCTACGCGCTGCCCTTCCACCAATCAGCGAGCTTCAAGAAACATACGCCAAATGCGTTCTAATTAAATATTCGCATGGCATTGGTCAATTCCGGGCTCAATGATGACGTCAGAAGGAATGACCATATAAAGAACGTCGGTCAAATTTGGCCGACGAAAACTGATTGGCGCGGTGAGTTCACAGGTTTATTTTAGTTTGAAAGAGTGAAGACGAAGCTCTCTTTTAAGAAGTGAAGTCAAACGAATGCAAAGGGTAGACACAGATTGCACTTTGTTGAAGTTTGATTAACAATTATCCTCAGAATATTGTTACTCATGATATGATGAATAAATCAGTTCTGTTTAATTACAATAAATTATAAAATAAAGGAGGTTATAAGTACAGCTAACTACATTAAAAATTCACAAAAAATGATCATCGTTTGCATTTGTTAAACAATTCAAAATTATTACAATAATTAACAAAAATGATTATCATTTGCATTTGTTAGACAATTGACAATCATGAATAATAGTTGACAAAAATAAAGGATATTTATAAAAATGATTATCATTTGCATCTGTTAAACAATTCAAGCTAATGATATACTCACCATTTTCAATGTGTAATAAAATGTCTGTAGTTGTTATAGCTGTCAGTTTATTTACTTGTTCCTTGTAAGCAAACAACCGCAATATAATTTATAGTTACAAATGATCCCCACTTATATACTAGATATAGTAGATACTTCCACGATTCGACACTTTCAAACAGTTATTACTCATGACAAAAATGATGAATGAGTCTAAAAAATATAATGGAAGAACAGATATAGAAACTGAAACTGAAACAAGGGGGAACTTGGTAACAAGCCCCTCAAAGTAAATATCTTCTGTTATCATTTTACAGGTAATTTTCTAAAAACAAAAAAGTAAGAAAATTGTACCATTATTTGATACCAGAATGTATTGAATTAACAAGCATAATTACAGAAATATAAATCATTCATATGATTTTATTTACCATTGAGGATGTCTTGAATTGTTACAGAACACCTTTTTGTAAGGGCAGACATTGAGTTGGCAGAAGCTTAATTCTTAGAATTAGGTTAATCAATTTTTGCTGCCAGTTTCCAATAATTCAGTTCTTTTTCTGGAAATTTACTTTTCAGTTTTGGTGATATCACGCAGTAGTAGTTTTCAAAACCATATTTTTCCAATTTGTTTATTTTTGTTATCAAATATGCTTGTCAGTCAGTCAGTCAGTCATGCTGTAATGATGTTGTGTTTTCTCCTACCATTAATGTCAGAAGTCTGCTGCAAAGAACTTTGGTATTTAAGGAGTGTTTGCATTAAGATACATATGTAGTCAGTCAGACCATAAACTTTCTCAATTATATCTTTATTTTACCTCATATCAGTGACATTTTTTGATTTTTTGTAAGATCTATGGAGAATCGTATAATTAAACATTTTAATGTGAACACCTATAGAAATTGAACACCTCAAAACGTGAACACCGTTTCTGTTCAAATCTGGAATATCCAATGACCTCCCTATTACAAAACAAAAAACTCCTCTGTTGTCTCCTTCTCTCAATGTGAATATCTTTCTCAATGTGAACACTTTGAACAGTTCAAGAAGTGTTCACTTTAGACAGGTTTTGATGGATAACAGTCCTACCTAATCAATACAAGCATTACCATCCCAAAGTGAAGTCAATACCTTGTGTTTTATGTTGATTGGTTTCTGTTTCGCTTCTTTGTTTATATACAAACAGTTATGGAACATTGCGAATTATTTTGTAAGATTTCTAAACATGATTTATATCTCTGTGATGATTGTTGAATGTCATGTTGCTCTTTTAGATAAAGTTATTGCAGTTCACGTTAGGATTTTTCAGCAATGGTTTTCCCAGCATTGGAGCAACATATACAAGGCCATGGCAACCTTATCTCTAAATTAATTAAGATACACCTATAATATTTTAGCATTGTATGTGTAATTACATAATCTATATGTTCTGAAAAAAATGAGAGGGATATGTGAAAAAATCACAAAATGAGAGCATTTTTATCAGAATTTATTGATTGCCCCTTGTATTAGTGCAAAGCTTGCTCAGTCAGTTTAAATATCGAAAAATGTTTTATACCCAGTCCGGATATTTTGGTCACTTACTTTAATTCTTAGTCAGAATGGGTAGAACCAGTAAAAAGAATACTGAGAATACATTGTTTTTATGGTTTAATATAATCTTTGTAATAAGTTAATATCAAATAATAATTAAAACTTTTCAGAAAGAAAGAAACTAAATTTTTTCCATCTCAATTAGATGCAAATATATTTAAGTTAGTCCTGAATTAGATGTACCCCTTGAATTTTATGAGTTCATGTAGTTGGAAGATTCTGTTACTATCTGAAACTGACCTTGGGGTTTCTAAAGCCTAAATAGGCTCATACAGCATATTTTGCTTGTGGCTATCTATTTTCATGATGTAGTGCTCTCCATCTATTTATGATTATTTATATGCTTATAATCTGCTGATTTTGATAACATGTACATGTAGTTGGTGTATTAATATCCAGGACCATTGGGTTGGGGGGGGGGTGATTGAGTGTTGGATGTTGCACCTCTCTTTTTCATTATAGAAGAAAATAATTTCTTGGGAGGATCCCTCTGGGGGACTCAGAAGTATTGGCTTAATATTGGTATTTAACATATATATACTGTATATATCAGAGAGACAGAATTGTTAAGATTCGGTATAGTAAAGGCAAAAGGAACACCCGTTTATATCCAATCAAATATTTAGCTTTGTAGATGTTTGGAAATTGAAGTACATTCATTAAATGCTACAGTCCAGAATTTTGTGCAAATCCACCCTCCTCTCATGTACCACAATAATCCTATTGTTGTATGACTAATGTTTTAATAGGATGGGATTTTCTCTTCTCTTTTTGTGTGCTATCTTTTACCTTCCTCTTGTGATGATATTTGGACTTGTTTTACATGCAGTTGATGATTTGTACTTGCAGATTTGGACCTATCTTATAATGATCTCCCACGTGTGCCTGAAGCAGTCTACAAAATGAAGTCTCTGAAAAGACTCAACCTTAGCAGTAACGCTATCACAGAACTATCATCTCTCATAGGTATGGCATACCTTTTATATATTTTGATTTATATAATGCTTAGTCCAAAGTAGCTGTTATGGCCTTTAAAGGGATTATTTTAGACATGAAGTAAAGGCCAGGAACTTATGGTGGCATAAAATTCAGCTATTTTGATTGGGTAGCTGGATTTTTATTGACCATATTTTTAGAATTCTGATTCATAGAGTCTAGATGAAAGCTTTATCTCTAACTGAAAGAATATAGCTGAGCTATAGAGTTAAGTAAAACTATTGGAAAGAATGCCTTATTAACCTGTCAACTGCTAGTAAAATTCCGGAATTAGTTCTCAAGTTCACGCCCATTTTATATGATTTTTTCTTATAAAATTGTTATTTTAGATACCTGGGAGAAGCTAGAGACTTTAAACCTATCAAGAAATAAATTAACAGAATTACCAGTAAGTTTATCATCATCATAGAATACCCTCAAGGAGAGAAACTTCTACATGGGAATCTCCCTTAGGCTAGTTGTGCTCTATGTGTGTTTCAATTGTACATTTTTCATGTGAAAATAATTCATATGTTACGTTAGTATCGTATTAGCCTTGCCCAAGTCAGTATTTTTTACTTATCTGATCTTGAATTAGTAATAGAAATCAAGATAAGTAAGAGAGACCGACTTGGGCAAGGCTTGTATCATATATGTTTCAAATTTATTGAATTTTCCATTGTAATATTATGAAATAACTATTTTTAATTATATTCTGGGATGACCACACAATCTTTTCAAAATAATACTTAATTCATTTTAATTCCCTTTTCAGAGTTCTTTATGCAAATTGACAAATCTGAAGAAATTGTACTTAAACAGTAACCAGTTGGACTTTGAGGGCATTCCTAAAGGTATAGGAAAGCTTCATGACCTCGAAGTATTCAGTGCTACTAACAACAACCTTGAGATGATCCCTGAAGGAGTATGTAGGTTAGTAGTTTGACATGATCCCTGTAATATTGTTGTATTACCTTTTCAACTGCCATGGAAAACAATTACAATAGACAATATTTGAAGTAAGAAGAGAAAAAGAAAATGTCAGCAAATGTACACTTTTGATTTGATCTAAGAAGTTATTAACATTCAAGCATAGATAAAAATAAAACAGAACAGATTATACATTGCAGGTTATACAAGCCCTTTTATTGTTTCAATCATCTCATTGCACTTAATATCATTGGGAATGTATATAATTAACTTGGTAGTTGTGCCCTCCAGCCTGCATGTAGTGTCTTGCTGAGTTGTGCCTTCACGCTAGCATATGCCTGAACTCCTGCACGGTTAACATTCTCATCTGGATCAACATAATGGTCGTATAACTCGGATGCAAACAGCAGGAACCAGTTTGGTGTAAAGTCAGGCTTGCCGTTGAATTTCACCCATTCTGTGTAGCGATACCTCTCAGTTCTCATGCTGTAGCCCATGATGGTACCTATTCTTGGGCCTCGGTTACGAGGGTACTGCATGAAAACGCTTTGTTTGCCTGGAAGGTTTGGGTTCTTCATGACTGGAACCAGACTAGTGCCTTCAGTACAAGCTTTTACCTTTGAAGAGTCTTTGGGGCATGTAGGTAAGGCAGGAAGGCCTGCTAGCTCAACTAGTGTTGAGTAAACATCTGTGTATTCAACAAGGTGGTCAGACATAACGCCTTTGTCAGTCACACCAGGAGCTCGGATCATCAGAGGCGTCCTTGTGGCGATCTCAAAGTTAGTGTGTTTACACCATGCACTATGTTCATAGAGCTCGTAACCATGGTCACTTCCAAACATAACAATTGTGTCATCTCTGAGGCCTAATCTGTCTAACTCTGCCATTATCTTACCAAACAAAGAGTCCACATAGCTGACTGAGGCATAGTATGCCCTTCGTAGGTTCTTAACTAGGTACTCTGGCCATTTTGTGTTAGGTTCTTTGGAAAATCCACGAAGCGTAATATCTGCATAGCCATTACGTATTTCACCATTTCCATGCCAGGCATATTCAGGCATATCTTTAGGAGCATAGGGATTGGAAGGCATTTTCATTGTCTCTTTGGGGTAGTACTTCAGGAAACGTCCTGGGAAGACAAATGGCAAATGAGGGAGTCTGAATCCAACAGCCATAAAGAAATTTTCAAGTCCAAGTTTAGCCGTTGGTGCAAGACGTCTCAGAGATTTGATAGCATGGTCAGTGATCTCTTGATCTCCAAGGGGGTGTTCCTCTTCCATGGTTTTGTTGACAACAGCCCAGGAGCGCATCTTGAATCGTTTACGCCAGTATTTCTTATCACTTGGCGATGTGAAAAATTCCTCATCGTCTGACCAAGAGACTTTATCGTAGTTGCCACCACTGGCTGACCCTCCATGGAATATCTTGCCCATACCTAGTGTACGATAGCCCTGTTGTTTGAAATACTGAGGAATTGTGGTGAAGTCACCACCAACTGTTCTGAAGTAATCATCAAGGTTGTACACGTGGGTCGTATCTGGGCGACGTCCCGTCATAAATGATGCACGACTTGGACCGCAGATTGCTTGCTGCACGTAGGCCTTTCGGAAAACTGCACTCCGTTCAGCAAAAGCGTCCAAATGTGGCGTGTACATTTTGTCATGCATCTGGTATGGATTTCCCTTGTCGTACATGGCTGCAATTTCTGGTCGTAGATCATCTGACACGATGAACAGAACATTTTTCCTTGATTCACAACTCAACACACAAATCACTAGTGTGAGAAATATGTAAGTCAATTGTCTCATGCTTGAAGTTGTTCAGTTGACCATCAATATGGTCCATAGAATTAATGTCAAGTTATGGCTTGGGTTTTAGTAATATATGATCACTATCTTTGTATCTGATGCTATCATTTGTGGGAAGAACCATTTGGTTACTATCTGTTGTTACTTAAGGTTTTCTTTATCTTATCTTTCATTATAAAGGTTGGTTTAGAGTCCTGATTGAACATGTGTGTCTATGAATGCTGCATTTCCTTCTTGAATGTTGCCGTTGTGTCTTGTTTACATATTCTGTATGAATGTCATATCAGTGAAAAGTTGAATTTGGGGATATGTAAATGTTTCATATTTAAATCTCACTGTCGATGAGAATGTATTCATTTAATATTATGGTTTTTGGAAAATGACATGAAGTGATTCTATCTCCCATGATTTACTGTTACTAATATAAATATTAAAGAAGCATTTTATGATTCATCCCGTGTCAATTTTTGAGCACTTGTAAATTTTTGATGTAAACAGTTTTAGCCATTGTCAACCATATGCATGTACAGGTGTTGTGAACATGTCACCATAAAACTTGTGAATTTGTAATCATCAATTTTTGTTGAATGAAAACAATTAAGCACTTTTTCAAATATTAGTGGAAACTTTCATTTTGGATACAAATTGTCTCAAGTTTTAATTGATGAACATGTACTTTAATGTTGTTTTCCAGCTGGAAACTTCTCAGATAAACTTCCTTTCCAGATAAATTACAGCATTATAATACTTGAGTGCAATTTAAAAACTTTCATGTTGAATTCATGTTGAAATCTTAGCTGTCTACAAACTTTTTCAACTTGGTTGAAAGTAATTGTCTAATTCCATCCTAAGTGGAGCACTTGGTTCTTTCATTGTTTGAGAGACCACTCTGTTCATATACTGTAACTTTATTTCCCTTGCAGATGCGGTAAATTGAAGAAACTTCTCTTGAATACAAACAGACTGATCACTCTACCTGATGCCATACATCTGCTCTGCGACCTAGAGGTATACATTTTCTTAGTTTGTCATCATTAGATTTTGATCTTTTTTATTTTAGCTTCAACATCTAAAGGGTTGTGAAGTTCTTTTATCGTATTTCTGAAATGTATTGCTTGTATTAATTTCATCTGCTTTTGCATCAGGCAAATTAACTGTTCATGTCCTTGGATTTCTATTTGAATCAGTCCATGCTAAAATAACATTAGTGAGAATTTCATCAGGATTACCAGAAGCCCTACATATATTACAAGCCCTGTGTTTGTGAATCAGAAGCCCTATGTTTATATAAAGAGAGTCCTGTGTTCAGAGGATTTCAGAAGAAGTATTGAGAAAATTGGAAACTTTACTACATATGCATGCATTTTAGCATATTGAATATGCTTTTCTTCATATTAATATCTGTATGTATATGTTATGCCTGTATATTTCACATCAAGCATAATCCTAAGGCTACTCTAGTGGTAAGTGGTTGCTATGACAATGCTTGCTGTTGTGATTTAGCACCAGTTGTTATGCTGTGTAAGAAAATTAAACTAAAATTAATTTGACATCCTAAAAGGTTGACCATTTGGGATCTTTGACCATTTTGTGATCTATGACCATTTGGGTTCTGTATCCATTCAGGAAATCTCAGGGCTACTTTACCAAATAGATGTATAGGAGTTCAAATTGCTAAGATCTTCTTGTAATGCACCCCTGGGATGTTGAGAACAACTTAGGGTACATGTACATGGCAATTTGGGATATTAAATGTTCAATACCTTATTGAATGTATCAGATCGTTATGGATAAAAAATGTGATAGAAATTAACATTGTTCTTTTATGGTATTATAAATGTAGAACACTGAGTGTGATTTTCTCATGAGCCTAATATATATGATTGAATTTTCAATTATCTAATTATGATTACAAATTATGTTATTTTACATAATATACAACAATTATTATATTTATTTGTTTATTTTTTATTTATTTATTGTTGCTTTTTATGTTGTGATTCTGTTTAGTTGATTAATGTAGCTGTGATGTGATAATTGTTTCCATAACAACAGTGATATTGCAAGATAATAATTAGTATATTGAGTTTTTTGATAATCACAAATTCGATTTTTATCAAAAAGCATGACATAATATTATGAATTTAAAATGTTTTAAATATGAAATGAATTGAACACATTGAATGCCTTTCGGTTTCATTGCACTCTGAACAATCGGAATCGGCACTTAGCACCAGAAAATAATAGATAATTTTCCCTATTTGATCTCAAATGGATGCTTCATTTATATCATGAACAAATCAACAATTCTGCACCCTGTTGAGAAATAATTAAAAAACAAATGGTTGTTTTCATCTTTAACATTTACTACTGAGTATTAAAGTGAAACCAAAGGGTAGAGAGAAGTGTAAAATTTTAACTTTACAATTGATTCTTCTAACACATACTATTGTATGTCCCTTACAATCCCCCTTTAATTTCTGAAAACATATTTTATGAAAACAGCAGCAGATTTTAGACGCAGAGATATCCAAACCCATTGAAACTATTTTCAAATAAATAAAACAAAACAGTTCAAACTCTGTTTTTATTCGAAAATAGTTTTGACAGGAAACCTAACAGCATAAAACGTATTTTTGTATAAATCTGTCATAATATATCATTTCAAACATCTACCTTCATCACATCTCTATTCTGCGATGCCTCTTTTGATTGACTGATGGATATTTTAGGATTTGGATATTCGTGAGAACCCAGATTTGATCATGCCTCCCAAACCACCTGAGATGTTACATGGGTCTGGGGCAGAGTACTATAACATAGACTTCTCACTGAACAACCAGCTAAGACTAGCTGGTGCTGCACCTGTACCTGGAGCTGACCAGTCTCCCAGTAAGTAACTAGTGCATATTGTTGTACTATGACAGTCATACAACCATATTGTGAATTATATTTCATATTGTGAAGTATGCCCATTGTTAACTTTTTAAGATTTCTAAACTGCAAATTTGTGCATGTGCTCCAAGATAATATTTTAATTAGTGAAAAAAAGTTAATTAGTGAAACAGAATGCTTTTAATTTAAAGAGCTTATAACTGTATTTCTCATTAATCCTTAAATATTTTTTTAGTTTAGAATTGTTCACCTTTAAGTGTAGAAAATAGTAAGAATGCAGAGTTTTCATTATGACACATAACCTTGAACTTTGTTTCAGAGCAGAAAAGTGACCCAGTTGCACGCAAGATGAGGTTAAGAAGAAGACATGATACACAAAACGGAGAGGGCGAGAGTGAGAAGAAAGTTCTAAAAGTAAGAAGCAGTGATATTTCTCCTTTTGATCTATCAGTAGTGAACTTTAAGGAACACATGTTCAGAAAAACCCTTCCATCTATCTTTAATTCCAATTAAAATATATCATGGCTTTTCACTAAAGAAGTCACCAAACTGATATTTTGTGCATAATAGAAAGCTATGTTAATTGTTCCTCTCCCAGCGCCTGTATAATAGTAATCATATATTTGTAGGGAATGAGGGATATAGCCAAGAATAAAGCCAAAGCATCCAAAGATGATGAAGAACAGAAGGAACTGAAGTGAGTTGATTATTCTCTACCTATACATCTTCACATAAATGTCAGTGTAAAAAAGATCAAAGATCTCAATGGTTTTTGTTGGATTAGTCATGAAGATAAAAATATATGTAACATTGAATTTTTTTTAAATTACTGATACTTTTCAACTTTCAAGATTTTATGTATTGTATTGCAGCATACTTTAACAAGTACTGTATATGTACATTTGTACAACTGATACTATAGAGTGCATGGTTTAAATGAATAGGACCATTAGTGTTGATATGACGTGCAGAATTTCCGAAGCATGCCATTAGAAAGTTGAAAGATTTGAAGAAATCGTATTTTAAATAAATGTATAAATATATGACCTTTGCTTTTCATTGCCACCAGACAAGCAGTGATAAGGTATATGTGTGCACTTAAATTAAACCACTCTCTGATATGGGCAGGAATTCAGACAATTCAGGGCAAATCAACCATAAAATTATATGCCCTGGTTGTCCCTCTAGTCCTCTATATTTACACCTAGTATATACTATGTTGTTGTTATTGTTATTGTTGTTGCCTCAGACCAATCTAAGTATCTCTAATTGGCAGAGTTTCATTTAATATTGTTAGAACTAACCCACTTCTCAACATTTGAGAACCTGCACAAGGGTGTTGATCTTTGTGTCTTTTAGGTGAATAAACATCTTTTTAAGAGACCTATATAATGTTCTATGTCACCAACAGAACGGCATTTGTAACAAATCTGTTCGGAGGTCAGCATCTGTAACAAATGGCAGGTGGTGACATTTTGCTGTCTTGATTTTGAGAGGCTTGTATGATCTTGTATATCCATGTTGTATACTTGTAATACACCACTAGTAATCAGCTCACCTCATACACAATATTCTAACAAAGAAACCATATGAAACTTAAAAGACTATTACAGTAAAAGAAATAAAATCTTTTCAATATACTGTATCAAATATCAAATGAAAAGATTATAGTAGCACTGGACATATGTATGTCCACATAAGCACTGGAGACGTATGTTCATAAAAGAACTGGACATTATATATCAAATATATGCACTGGACACATGTATGTCACAGCATGGTATTACTATTATTGCAGTTAAAATTAAAGTCACTCTGTTTAACCCTTCAATTAACATCTTTGTTCTATTCTAAATATCCATCTGAACAAGGTGCTTAAAATACTTGGCTAACATAAACTAATATTTTATGAATAGAGATTTGTTTGATCCCTATGGAAAACTGTTTTATATTTTTATGATTTTTCAATGTTGATACTAACACTGAATAACATTGATTTTGTTTTCGAATTTTAGTTATTTATTCCTTGAAGACTAGTATCTATATATTTAGTCAGGAGCTGGTAGTACTTTTTCTACCATCACACAATGCTTATAGAACTTCAGAATTCAACCTTCAACATAATGTAGTAAAGAGGAGGCTATTATTATACCTTTGAATCAGTCTGCATCTTTAATGTTCAAGTGTTCATTATGTCACCACCAAAAGTGGTGACATATTGTTATGGTCTCCGTTTTTTTTTGCGACGGCGGTTGGTGGTTGGCGTCCGGCGGTTGGCGTCCGGCGTCTGTAACAATTTCTTACAACTTCCTATAACTTAACAAATACTGTTTAGACTGACTTCAATTTTTTTCTAAATCATCTACATGTTCTCAGAAGTTCAAATCTGACTTTAGATTTGACATTTGACCTTCAATGACCTTCTCAAGGTCAAAAAGGTCTTTTTTTAACTTGCTTCAAATTGACTAATTTTTTTTCAAAATCATCTACATGTTCTCAGAAATTCAAATCTGACTTTAGATTTGACATTTGACCTTCAAATCTGACTTTAGATTTGACATTTGACCTTCAATGACCTTCTCAAGGTCAAAAAAGGTCAAAAAGGTCTGTTTTCAACTTGCTTCAAATTGACTAAATTTTTTTTTCAAAATCATCTACGTGTTCTCAGAAATTTAAATCTGACTTAAGATTTGACTTAAGATTTGACATTTGACCTTCTCAAGGTCAAAAAAGGTCAAAAAGGTCTGTTTTCAACTTGCTTCAAATTGACTAAAAAAAAATTTCAAAATCATCTACGTGTTCTCAGAAATTCAAATCTGACTTTAGATTTGACTTAAGATTTGACATTTGACCTTCAATGACCTTCTCAAAGTCAAAAAAGGTCAAAAAGGTCTTTTTTCAACTTGCTTCAAATTGACTAAATTTTTTTTCAAAATCATCTACATGTTCTCAGAAATTCAAATCTGACTTTAGATTTGACATTTGACCTTCAATGACCTTCTCAAGGTCAAAAAAGGTCTGTTTTCAACTTGCTTCAAATTGACTAAATTTTTTTTTCAAAATCATCTACGTGTTCTCAGAAATTCAAATCTGACTTAAGATTTGACTTAAGATTTGACATTTGACCTTCAATGACCTTCTCAAGGTCAAAAAGGTCTGTTTTCAACTTGCTTCAAATTGACTAAAAAAAAATTTCAAAATCATCTTCGTGTTCTCAGAAATTCAAATCTGACTTTAGATTTGACTTAAGATTTGACATTTGACCTTCAATGACCTTCTCAAAGTCAAAAAAGGTCAAAAAGGTCTTTTTTCAACTTGCTTCAAATTGACTAAAAAAATTTTTCAAAATCATCTACATGGTTCTCAGAAATTCAAATCTGACTTTAGATTTGACATTTGACCTTCTCAAGGTCAAAAAAGGTCTGTTTTCAACTTGCTTCAAATTGACTAAAAAAAATTTTCAAAATCATCTACATGTTCTCAGAAATTCAAATCTGACTTTAGATTTGACATTTGACCTTCAATGACCTTCTCAAAGTCAAAAAAGGTCAAAAAGGTCTTTTTTCAACTTGCTTCAAATTGACTAAAAAAAATTTTCAAAATCATCTACATGTTCTCAGAAATTCAAATCTGACTTTAGATTTGACATTTGACCTTCTCAAGGTCAAAAAAGGTCTGTTTTCAACTTGCTTCAAATTGACTAAAAAAAATTTTCAAAATCATCTACATGTTCTCAGAAATTCAAATCTGACTTTAGATTTGACATTTGACCTTCAATGACCTTCTCAATGTCAAAAAAGGTCAAAAAGGTATTTTTTCATCTTGCTTCAAATTGACTAAATTTTTTTTCAAAATCATCTACATTCTACATGTTCTCAGAAATTCAAATATGACTTTAGATTTGACTTTAGATTTGACATTTGACCTTCTCAAGGTCAAAAAAGGTCAAAAAGGTCTTTTTTCAACTTGCTTCAAATTGACTAATTTTTTTTTTCAAAATCATCTACATGTTCTCAGAAATTCAAATCTGACTTTAGATTTGACATTTGACCTTTAATGACCTTCTCAAGGTCAAAAAAGGTCAAAAAGGTCTGTTTTCAACTTGCTTCAAATTGACCAAATTTTTTTTTCAAAATCATCTACATCTTTTCAGAAGTTCAAATTTGACTTTACAAGTTCTCAGAAATTCAAATCTGACTTATATTAAGTTTGAACTCATAATATTGTGAGCAACTAGGTGGTGACATTTTGTCATGTTAATGCCTTGTTTGTATAATTATGTAAATATTAGATCTGATTATCTTCATATCGTGTCTGATATATTTCATATTTTGAGCATGATCATGATTTCCAGTATAGTAAATTGAATGATTATACATTGCACGGTTGAGTGTAGTTTGATGTTACTTAGTCTGTAGACTGCATTATGGTGGATTAAAAACATTTGTGTTTGAGGAAATTTATATTCTTCAATTGATTTCTGTAATATGATTGTGTTACACACTGAGCAATCCATATACGAACCAATCAAATTACAGATATCTTAAAGTTATAAGTTATTGTTTTATTCTATGAAGTATAGTTGTTGACCTTGAGGTGAAATAGTTTGAATATTTGACAGTCAATCACAGAGTTCTGCAAACTGGGTGGTTGTCTCAAGAATTTTGCACTAATTTAGTGAATACTACCTACTCGCTAAAAAGATTGATGATGTCAATAATATAGTGCAAAATTTAGAGATGGTCCCTGACAAACATGAACTAAATAACATGAACTAAATGAATGGTGTCCTTTGTATTTCAGGGGCAAGAGATGGGATGAGACCTTGGAAAAACCTGACCTTGACTATAGTGAAATATTTGATTATGACGTGGGTGCTATACCGGGCGTAACATGTTGGGAAATAGAAAACTTTCTGCCAAACCAGGTTGATGATGGTACGTAATGGGGAGGTTTCGAAGTGAACTTGTACATTGTACTTGTCAAACTTGAGCTTGTTCGAATGATTTTAATAATGAAAAAGATTATTCAATGGCTCCATGCAAAACTGAATACCACTTTTTGTCTCTATCTACGGCCAAGCCCCAGAGGAGGAGATTTCCCGAAGCTGAGAGATGCCACTGTCACATTCAATTACCAAATTTAAAAACTGGAATCATTTGCCATTAAAATTGATCTCAGAATATGGCTGTTGTTTTTTGAGTATTCTCATGTGTTTGATTGGATGGTGTATAATGCTCATGAATAATTAATGAGTCGCAGAGAATGGCATCTCTTTATCGGATCTCCTTTTGGGAGCTAATCACTTTTTCTGGCCCAGCCCCCAGGAGGAGTGAGAAGCTCCCATAATTCTTTCATATTCTATCGTATTCGGGGATTCCCCATTACATCATCTCTTGCATCATCTCCAATCAAATTGCAGGATTCTATCACGTGAACAATCATGGGCACATGCTCTCTCAGTGCTGCGCATGCGCAGAGTTAAATTTTATATCGTGAGAATGGCGTTTACATCAGTTCAACATCGTCATTTCAAACCTACGGTAATACTATTGAAGTTACTCGATCCATACTTGTAGAGAATACTCATAAAACTACAGTGAACATTTGGAGATCCATTTCAACGGAAAATTGAGGCCTGTTTATAAAATTTGTTTTCGAACGTGCTAATATGATAGGGCATCTTTGGGAAATCTCCCCCCCTGCCCAGCCCCAGTAAATGTTTTAGTATGAGGTCATTCCTTGTTCATTTACATGTTAATCAGTGTCACAGTTGGATAGCTATTTAAGGCCGTTGTCTTGTTATAATAAACCACACCATAAAGCAAATTACAATGATGGGATAAATCATTTCAGAGAATATCTCCTATCTTAATTCTTTGTATGTTAATTACTATACAATGCATGTATTTTTGTGTCTTTGCATGCTACACATGTACTTGGATTAAATAGAATGTGAGTTAATGCAATTTGATAATTGTATATTAACAATTCATATTTTGACTTCTCTTCAAAAAGTAATTTCTCTTTTTTCCTTAAGCTCATGGACCAGAGAAATCTCAGTTTATCATACTATTACTACCCATTTCAAGTTTAACCTTTCCTCCAAACCATTAAGAAATAACGTTTGCATAAAGATGACACTTTAATATTTGACCCAGCTCTGCTAAAGCGTATACACTCACGGTAGTTCCACTGTCCCATTATATATTCCAGCACTTATTGGCAAGTTCTATGAGGCTGACTGTTACATAGTACTCCATACCTTCATAGATGACTCTCAAAGCTTAGACTGGCACATATATTTCTGGATAGGAGAAAAGGCTACTGTAAGTGTCGTAATATTTTCATTTCAAGTCTTTTTACTTTTTTGTACCTCTGATGTCTTACTTTGTACATGGTCATAATATGAAATGAATAAAAGACAGAGATTAGTTATGCATAGTAAATCTGCATAGGAATCATCTCTATGAAATATAAGATTTTTTTAAAAGAGAGTGTGATTTATGTAAATGTGAATTTCAACTTTGTAAATATAAATAAATAAAGAGTTAAAAAGAGGAATCAAAAAGGCCCAAATTATGGTCTTCACAGTGAATTTGGAGAGTACAGTACATGTAACAGACTGAATAATAATGGATATTAAATGATGTTCTAGCTTGATAAAAAAGCATGTTCAGCTATCCATGCAGTGAACCTCCGTAACATGCTTGGTGCTAATGGAAGGACCATACGTGAAGAGCAGAATGATGAAAGTGATGAGTTTATGGACCTGTTTGATAATGACATTGCTTACATCGAGGGTGGGAGGACCAGCAGTGGTTTCTATACTGTAGAAGAACTGGTAAGAAAAATATCAATATATCCTGACCTCTTTTGTTGAACCAATATACCTTTCCAATAAACTCTGCCACTATCATATATTGTGTTTCACTTTGTCTGATTAATGTGATTTTTTCCAAGATTTTCCATTTTACCATGAAAATCAATTTGAAAATTTAAGAAAATTTACTTCCAATCTGTTTATATTGTTGTGTATTTATAGGAGGTCCCAGCCAGATTGTATCGGGTCTACAAAGGCAAAATAACACCCCGAGTTGAAGCTGTAAGTTTAACCTGAACCATATAGCCTAGGACTGAATAGAATAATGATTCAGACTTAAAATCCTGTGAAATTCCTAAATTTGCCCACAACATTATCTGCTTGTTATAGGATGATTGTAACATGAAATCCTCATCGTATTTGTGTTTTAATTTGACCATTTAAATTTTGCAACCTTGACTCTGATGCTGAATCAGATAAACCCTTTCCAGTGCCCATTCATTGCTGCATTAGATCTTGGACATTTGTTTTGTCCTATTTTACAGCAAATACAATGCCTACTTGAATATATGTTCTACAATATACCCCCATTTTGTTTCAGATGCCAGCTGATATCAGGTCACTAGATGTCCGCTTTGTTTACCTGTTGGACCTTGGCAAGAAAATCTACATCTGGATGGGGAAGAAATCTCCCATTGTTATGAGGTCTAAGGCAAGGTACGATAAACACCTGAAATAGGCATGCACCAGGCATAATCACTCTAGGATTTAATAACATTTTTTCTCACCCCAAGTGGTGACCTATTGTTGTAGTCTCCAACTCTTTGTGGGCAGTTGTTGGTGTATGGCAGTTGGCGTCTGTAACATGGCATCTGTATCAGATGGACATTTTGCATGTAATGCCTGGTATAGTTGTTAACTTTTGTGAAAAAAGTTGAATGTTCTAGTGCAGTTAGCTGTAAAGACATAATTACTAACAGTATAAATTGGTTAAAAACAAAAAGCAGTCATTACCTTTCATCTACCTTACATTTGGTAGTCAAATTGGCCTCTAGCTCTATTACTATATTATAATGACCCTCCTTCATAATGATAAACCCCTCCCTTATAACGATAATATACTGTTTGTAGAAATTATTGATGTTATCATTATTCTTATTAGGTTGATAGCTGAGAAGATTAACAAGAATGAGAGGAAGAATAAATCTGAGATCATCTCCTGTATGCAGGGACAAGAAACTGAGGAGTTTTGGGATAAAACCAATGGTCCTCCAAACAGACCTATTTTGGTAACTCATTTATACTTATTGAACCTAAAACTGATTATTATGGTACATTACAACTTTAAAAAAAACATTTTTATTTTATCAAATAGGAAGAAAGATGAATTGGTTTGTATAAATATATATTTAGTACCTTGTATGTTTATTTATAATTTGTATATTTCAGCTCGTTATTCCCAATGACCACAGACCCCCAGTGGCAAAACTCTACAAGGTTACACTAGGTATGGGATACCTGGAATTGCCTCAAGGTATAGTGTAATGATATAATAATGTTATTGTAAAATTGATGCACATGGAAAAACTTTCACTTTCAGCATTTTTTAGAAGTTAATGATTAGTTGTATATTAATGCTATACTTTTGCTGTGTGAGTTGTCTTATTCTCAGTGTATCTTACGCTAATATCTGAGTGTAGCCAAATTTTGTCAATATTATTCACCACCTGTAGAATGCATTGACTTGGAATTAATGTATTTCTTCAATATGGTTACTGATTATTGAGAAATGTTGTGAATGCCAAGTAGTCACAGGCCAGTAGAAGGAGTAGCTAACCAAAAATTCTTCCAAAATCAAGCAGTTATTCTGAGCATTTTCAAGTGGTTTTGGCCCAAAGTTGTCAAATGTGAACCCCATCGAATTTTTTGAAAAGTAAACCCCCTTGGCAAAAGCTGGGTCAGCTGACTACAGGCCTGAGTAATTCAACCTAATACTGCAAGGTGCATTTCATTTACAGTTGAGATTCCACATGGAAAGCTTGTCAACACGCTGCTGAATACAAAAAGTGTTTATTTAGTGGACTGTCACACTGATGTGTTTGTATGGTAAGTACCTGTCTTTATTCTTGCAGAATATTAAAGCTCCCTATTTAATTGTTTCTTAATTGGGCAATTAATTTTAAGTAAAATTGATATTCATGCAGTAAAGGGGCGACCACTCATATGAATACTCTAACAAAGAACTTTTTACCATCACTGTATACCACACTGCTTTTAATTCATCTGATTATAACTATAATCTGCTCTTGTATTATATTATATTGTAGGATTGGCAAGAAGTCTACTAAGCTTGTGAGAGCTGCTGCATTAAAGCTTTCTACAGAGCTGCATGGAATGATCAATAGGCCTGCATACTCCATGGTCACTAGGTGCTTAGAGGGGTACGTTTCTTCAATATTTTTAACTTTTTTTTTTTTCTTTGATTGCAATGTTTTTCTCAGGGATCAAATGTTTTGCTCTAAAGAGGGATTTTTGAAAACCAGAATTGTTTATGTATTCAAACCAGTGGTTTAATTGAATATATTTCAAAAATTTGATTTAATTTCTCTCTGTACATAACTCAAATAATACCAGGATACTTTGTGAATTCAACCAAGGAGTTTCATTGAATATACTGTATTTTAAATAATTCATTTATTTTCTATAAATAATTTTTGATTTTTGTTGTAGAGTTGAACCACAGATATTCAAAACAAAGTTTGAAGGTTGGGATGATGTCATACCTGTAGATTATACCAGGACATCGGAGTCTGTACAGCGTAGGGGAGCTGATATTAAGGTATGTTTTCAGTCAATGTAATATTGTACATACCACTGCTAGAATGACACTGAGATTTCCGTGTTATTGTGAGCTGCATTTTCACTTATCGATAGACAAACTGTCAAATGACTAGGTCAAATCGTCAACATTGTTAAATTTTGCCAGTTGCTTTATCTGCCTTCTCAAAACTTAATGTTGTATTTTGCCAGTTGCTTTATCTGCTTTCTCAAAACTTAATGTTCTATTTTGCCAGTTGCTTTATCTGCCTTCTCAAAACTTAATGTTATATTTTGCCAGTTGCTTTATTTGCCTTCTCAAAACTTAATGTTATATTTTGCCAGTTGCTTTATCTGCCTTTTCAAAACTTAATGCATATTTTCTATATTTTGATATTCCAGAAAATACTTGAGCGTGACCAGATAAAGACGGACCTATCTGCATTGTTCATGCCTCGACAACCTGCCATGACTCTAGATGAAGCCGTAAGTCTGCTTGAAAACAGCATTACTGTAAAACTACAACAAAAACAATTTCTCTAATATTCACATGGCACTTGACCATTTTATTTAATGCAATTTTTTGGTGTATCATAGTGTCTAGTCCTTGTGAAAAATTGCAGCCATCTAAAATAAAAAGTTTTAATCTTTTTTTCAATGACGTTTAAAGAACTAGTTTCAATGATTTATTTTGATTTCTAATACAAATTATGTTATATTGCTGGTTTCAGGAATCTCTAATGTCTGAGTGGAATGAGGACCTTGATGGTATGGAGGCATTTGTCTTGGAAGGAAAGAAGTTTGTTCGTCTACCAGAAGATGAAATCGGTGAGTAGGCCTAATATTTTTTAACAGACTTTTGGTTGTAGAAATAAATTATGAAAAAATTTGCATGTGTTTATTTTCTCCAATGGATTTCTTGACAATAGTGACTGCCAATTTTATAAGAGAAATAATATCGCTGCATGATTTAGGGTTACTGTCACCAACAGTATGTTGTCAGATCTCTTCACAGATCATATGTGAGCTTATATATAAGGCAGCTTGGTTACAACTTTGGCAAAATGCTAATGGGGTTTCCGGCTTGTATACGCTGGACTAATATGTTACAAACTTGATCATTCTTACTATTGCAGGACACTTCTATAGTGAAGACTGCTATGTGTTCCTGTGTCGTTATTGGGTCCCCGTTGAACTACCTTCCGATGCTGAGGATGAAGATGAAGACGAGGAACCCCCGGAGGATGACTTTACATGTGTCGTGTATTTCTGGCAGGGTCGGGACGCTGGTAATATGGGCTGGTTGACATTCACATTCAGTTTGCAGAAAAAGTTTGAGTCGCTGTTTGGAGATAAATTGGAAGTTGTCCGAACACATCAGGTAAGTTTTAGGTTTTTTATTTTAATTTTCTCAATAAGACAAGACAATGATAGCATTTTTTTATTTGAGGTTACAACACCTTTACAGTTTCATGACTGACCCCATCTAAATAAAATAAAAATTTACAAAGTGCTTAGAAAAAAAGCACAAAACAATGAACCTTATAAATCCAGAAGTTCTGATCTTTTCCTTTGTATTTTATCTTTAACTATATGCTTCAAATAGAAATTGGAATTAATGTTTTTAGCTCATATACATGACATACAGAAATTTGCATGAGAACATATACATAATGATATGTGCGCCTGGAAATGTGAAAAGATATTTAACAGTACATTTACATACATATAATATAAACAATACAATTTGTGCATCATTAGTTTCAATATTCATCATTGCTTCAGTTATATATGTTAGGCCTGTGTGGAGTTTGGAGAAAAAATAAAATATCCCAAAAAATTATATGCCATTCAATACATTTCAGCAACAAGAGAACTTGAAATTTATGGCTCACTTTAAGAGGAAATTCATAATCTACCAGGGAAAGAGGCAAACAGACAGAGAGGGTACAGAACTGTTCCAAATGAGATCCAATGGCACTCCTATATCAACAAGGACGTTACAAGTACCATGTACTTCAACACAATTGTGCTCTGAATTCTGGTAAATCCATTTATAGCATTGCTTTGTCCAGATTTAAATTTGGAAATAGTACACAATACATGATATACATGATACAATACAGTAGAACCTATGTAAGTGGAACACCTTGGGACCACTAAAAAGTGTTCCACTTGTGAGGTGTTCCATTTACAGAGGTGTTCCACTTAGCAGGTTCTACTGTATATGTCCAGTTTATTTCTGATATGTATGCCAACTTTTAACTTAATTTATCCAGTCTGTCATTAGATTTAAGTTCAGTTAATATATCTTTTTTATAATATTTATTTCTAAAAGGTACATTTTACAACCACATATGTTGGTGCCTTGGTGGCTTGCCTTCCAATTTTCTTATAAGAACAGAACTTTTAATAATGACTTATTTGTATAAATGTATGTTGTGCCTATTTGTTCACAAATGAATTTTTAACAGTTAAGTACAAGCTTAGTCTAATAAACCAAAATAGACTACATGTATATTATATTATTCTTGTAGTTACATCTTGAAAGTTCCATTTGACTCTGATGACATGCCTGGTGTTGCATATGTGTGGGTGGGCAATTTGGCAGACTCTGAGGAAGCCAGGCTCTCTGAAGACATTGCCAATGACATGTTTGCTGAGGTAATGACACAAGGGTCCAATTGTAAAACTATAGTTTTGCCTGCGAATCATTGTTCAGATACAGAACCAATGTTAGGATCACGGAAAAATGAAAACCTTTATATTTCATATATTTTCGTATTTACAGATTATTTTTAATATAAGATTATAAAACAGTATTAAGAATAATTACTTTGAAGCTTGAATCAACAGATTACATAAGTGAGCCCTGAATAATATGTAGTAATAGATAACATTTTAAATGAGAGTCCATTTTGTATTATACTTTCCTTACTTCCAGGAAAACTACTCCATACAAATGATTAATGAGGGGGAGGAACCTGAAAACTTCTTCTGGGTTGGCATAGGTGGATATAAACCATATGATAAGGTGAGAGCATAGCTTATAAACTGGTTGATGATAAGTTGATAGTATACCAAACTTGGATTGATATGGTACCATTTTTATGTCACCACCATAAAGTGTGACACATTGTGTTATTTTTTGTCACTTGGTGTAAGTGTTGTTGCCAGTGTCAGTATTAGGGTTGCTTATAAATGCAGAACTTAAAGTGATTATTGATTAAAAATGAATTGGAATCAGACCACTAGAGATTGAGTGTGTCTCTTGTGCTTTAGAAATCAGATATATCTCAGAACAAAAGAAATTTGTATTTTTTCAGTAAACTGGATATGTATTCGGGGGCAAACAAATTTCAGGCAAATTCAACATTTTTCAATGTTTTGTTTTCAGGAAGCTGAATACATGAGATGTGCACGTTTATTCCGCTGTTCCAATGAAAAGGGTTATTTTACAGTGTCAGAAAAATGTTCAGACTTCTGCCAGGTATTATCATGTTTTACAATTATCATGTATTGGCATTTTCATGTATTTATCATGTGTTACCCAAGTGAATATGACCATATATTGTCATTTCAGTTCAGTATTATCATTATCATGTGGTAAGGTTAGGTACAACTTGAAATGCAGAGAACATAAAATTTTAGAAGAAAACTCGAGTTGACCTGTTGAAATGTAAATGTTAGATTAGTCTATTATCAAATTCACTATTGCACCACTCCATTCTATATATTAAAGAGACATTCCTGAAAATCTCACTTCTTGATGTGACAAACTGCAGGATTATAATTATTCTGTGTTTTGACTTTCTAGGATGATTTAGCGGATGATGATGTCATGATTCTTGACAATGGGGTAGAGGTCTTCTTATGGGTTGGTCGTAAAACAAGCGATGTAGAAATCAAACTAGCTTTCAAGAGTGCGCAGGTATGAGATACATGGATATTTCATGGAAGGTTTTGAATATAAGATGTATCCTGAGGAAAATACTTCAAAATAGGTGTATCAGTTCAAAATCCTGGTTGTATGCCGGTAATGTAGATCATGAATATGGGGTTTATCATTTAAGAAAAAATACTAAGAGTCTTATATTTCATCTTTTCCTAAAACTGGACTAAGTACATACTGAATAACTTTATCCCATTTAATTGTTTAGAATTGCCCAGCTCCATTGTTTTAATTGAATGACCATTGAAAATTTAGAATGTGGAAGTTAACACTTTTTAGTTAAAGCAGCATTAACTCAAGAGAATGAAAAACTTACTAGTATTCTAGTAATGTTACTTTAGAAACAATTGCTCTTTGAATTTCCCTTTTTCATTATCAATAGTGAGACCTGCATAAAGCGAGTGGTAACTGATTGGGTTTATATGAACATATCTTTCACTTATTCCAGGTTTACATCCAACACTTGAGGAATAAACAACCAGATAAACCTAGGAAACTATTACTATCTCTGAAATATAGAGAAAACAGACGATTTGTTAAATGCTTCCATGGCTGGGGAAAGCATAGGGAAGCAATGGAGTAGTGCATTAGTGGCACCAATTAGAGATGATTTAGTAATGGTTGGAAGATACAATGTGGCTTCTATGAAAAACATCCATCAACAGCAGGACCTCAACTAAGGATACCCCTGAACTTGATTTGGAAGACATTCTGGTCATGACATGCATGAGCAGATCTGGAAATAAACAAAATGGAGCCAAAAAGTTGTTCTGAAAGTCCCCTTTCCAAGATTTGAGGACCATATTTCTAAAGAATTTTCACAAGGATATTTTTGGGCCTCGAGTGGGCCCAGGTTTGCCAATACTGAATATATCAACAGTACACACTAGGAAAAAATTCTGATGATTTTATAAGACAGTTGAAAGCGTTAGTTATATGAGATATATGTGTGCTCTGATATCTGAGGTTTGAAGTGTGAAGTCTTTAGCAACTGCTATATCTAGTATCTGAGTTGCTTATTTGTGCAATATTTCAATTTGGGGAAATCCATCATAATTAATTGAGTTTTCCTTGTGTTTGTCTTTTTTGCTTCATTATTCCCTATCAAGTCAGTTTTAGATTGAGTTTATTCCTGCATATATGAACAACAATAAAACACGGGACTGTTTGTTATTGACTTTTTTTATTTAATTATGTATTTTACACATGGCCATGGTGAACCTATATAGACCATAATGTATATGCTTACATGCAAATAACTGACTAAATGTAAACTATGTACAGACATTTATAAACATGAACAAATTTTCAATAAATCTAAATTATAACAAAATGATATGCATCATTATGTTATGTGTTGAGGATTATCACATAATTAATAACTTGCTACTTAAAGCACAAAGTGTACATAAATAAAGATTAATAGTATAAGGTACATACAATCTCACAGAACACTGCATTTAAAATATTAATTTATAAAATACAAAAGTAAACCGACTGAAAATGACATAATTGCAAAGTATAATGTGGATCCCAAATAGATACGTTATTTTATCGAAAGTCATTTCTTTATCCTGCTTGTGAAATATTCAGTGTTTTTATCCAGTCCCTCAAGTTCAAAATTAACACAATTTAGGAAGTATCCCGTTGTTTAAACTTCCATTGGTTCTGAAAGAATCAAATGTCCAAATAGCTCAGGCTGACTATGAGGAAAATGTTATGATAGTCACATTTTAAGATGCAAAACAAAGTGGAAAAGGGTGGATTCAATTTTAAATAAAGCAAGCATATGACATAGTAGCATTCTAAATTGTATAGAAATGCAAGAAAATCAATCAATATATTAAAATTTGGAGAGAAAGAGTGAATAAAATGACCATTGACAAGTCCATCCTGACTGTTTCCTCATGGGTTTTGTTAAGGATATCTATAATGTATCATCAATATTCTTCATGGAGGAAAGCAGTGCGAACATAGACAATACTCCAGATGTAAGCTCATCTCCACAACAGCTATATGACATTGAGGTAGAACACACAAAGTCTGGATGGATTATACATAATGACGTAATCTTTGCCTCTTTTTAAATCCAAAAGGTCCGAAAGTATAGAAATGTTGCAAAGATACAGCACCTGGAAATAAAATAAAAGCATTTAAATATAAGAAGACAAATATGGATAATTGAAGAGATATGCGATTGATGCTAGTATTGAACATAAGACAAATATCATATCAGATCTATATGAACATGTCATACACTCCTCTTCATAAGTTTGGAAACCCAAATAAGATTTTATCATATCAGATATACATACATACATTTATCCTATGCCAAGTAGAGTTTTAGGGAGATAAGTTGGTAAGATATATACCGTATCCTGATTTTGAGGTTTCCATATCCAGAACCTCCATATCTCCCGCCATATCTCCCGCTTCGGTGCATATCTTCCCGCTTCCGGTAATTTCACTTCACATTTTTTTTTAAAAAAATTTAAAAATCTTTTATCAACATTTAAAAAAAAAAAAAATTCAAATTTTTTTCAACTTTTTTTCAAATTCTATTTTTTAATTTTACTTTTTTTACATTTTTTGAAAATCTCGCAAACTTTAAGACCAAGAAAACGCATCCCTTAAGTATGTTTTGGAATTTTGGATCTTTATAAGGTATGATGTACCTAGAACCTCAGTAGGTATGAAATACATCTGCTATGCACGGTCGGTTTTGGATGCATTTATCTTTTTGTTACATTGTTAAACAAGACTTTTGTATTTCAAAAAGTTATCAATGTATTTAAAATTTAAAAGTGGAAATGCAATAAAATGACTTTGCATGTGAATGATTTGTTTATTTTTACACCTTGTACTATTGAAATGGCCATATGCCCCTGAAAACTCTACTTGGTATAGGATAAAGCAGTTATGTACGGTCGGTTTGGATATTTGGTTCATCCCTCGTGAGATATGCACATCTACCTTCGGTCCCTACGGTCCCTCAGGTAGATATGCATATCTCCCTCTGGATAAACCCCATATCCAAAACCTCCCAGTACATAACCCTTATGTAAGTCCTATACTCCCCTTCATATTTGAAAACACAAATTATACTAAATAAGATGTTCATCACATCAGATAGGCAAGCACCTTCATAAGTGTGGAAACCGAAATTTGATTTTATCATATCAGATCGATCTACATATACATGTCATACACTGCTCTTCATAAGTTTGGAAACCCAAATAAGATTTTATCATATCAGACGTGAGACAGCAACCCGAGGTGGCATATACAGTTGGGGACAAAAATAAATGACAGGTCGATTTTCGATCACCATTTCCTAATTATGGTGGCCTGAAAGCCCATAATTTCCAATATTGTCTAGATATATATCCCTTAAAATTTGTATATTTTACATTTTGTATAATCTCATCCACTGATGTATGGCCTCTTGTAAATTCTCTTATTTTTAACATGGGAAATCCTCACTTCAGCAAATCCACCTGTCATTTATTTATGTCCCCAACTGTAATAACAGACTCGCCGTGAACTGTTTACTGCGGAATTGGTCACAAGAATTTACTCACAATAACAAATATTTATGATAACATCAACAATTGTAGTGTTCTTGTATATGGACATTAGTCGTCATCATCATCGTCACTTGGAACAAATAGTTCATTTTCTTCAAGAAATTCAGCACCCTCCTTTCCAATGGTTCCTCCCATGTAAATAAATGGAAAGGCAACTAGAACCACTTTTCCGAGCCCAAATCGAGTAATTTCAGGTTTGTTCAGTATTGCTCCCGTTTCTGTGAATACTGCCATACATCTTCTAGGAATTTGAGTTGCGTTGGAGACTTTCGGGGTATTATTTGAACGCCAAATAGATCGCAAAAACAATCCGGAAATTTTTGTTGCCATTTTCAAAGGGATCGATCTAAATGTAAACTGGAATATCAAAATCGAAATAAATATGAATTATAAAATGTTTACGTTTTGTATCTCCCTTACTACATAACATACTATAATATTTCAACATTCTTTTTAATTTTCATTATACAAAATCATTAATCATAATCAATTAGATCCACATGACAGCGACTTCCCGGAGCTGACAAATTTGATTGTCTAAGGGGTCTGCAAACTTTTCTGAAAAATGGAAAATAATGAAAATAACGATGGTATGAACTATAAAAGTGTTTTGCACTTACAGGCTGTCGTGGGAATAGTACTCACATACATATGTGTTGATAAGTAAATTTATATTTCATTGAAAGCCAGTAATTTGGCTAGTTTTTGCAAATATAACATAATATCGCCCACTTTCTATTTTTACTTATTATTTATTTTTAGATATTTCTTGTTCATCCATTCACGTTCATATTCTATGTATATTCATATACGCAAATCTTAATAACTGTTTTTTTTACTTCAAAGTACCCACAAAACCTTCACTTGACAGAGTTGAGTCTGCAGTTGAAGTGACCGAGCCTGTTCCTCCATCTGTAACTGAGCAATGCCGTGATATGTTTCATAAAACATCTGAATACCTTAGGGGAGAATTATCCGGTGTGTATATTTATTATAATGTACTGGAATGCATTGCAGAGTAACAAAAACCATTATGGTACGAGATCATCCTCTGGTTTACATATACATACACTCGGTTTCATGGTAAAAAAAGCAAGACCTTAACTTAGACATATAAGTGTTACCTGATGAATGGGGCCCTCACGTGCCTTCCAAATGGTAGTAGTGCAACTACATCAGCTCATCTTTCCGTCCGATCAACAATAAGTACAGTTATTCAAGAAATGTAAACGAACTGAAAATATTCCCAAAAATTTTCCTAAAGGCATGTCATTTCCGGAAGTTATGATACGTTAAATTACCGAACATGTGTGAAAATGTCATTCATGTTTATTGTTGTGTTATCACTGTAAATCAAACAATATTTTTACATTTTTGTATTGAATACTGTTAACACATATAAATTCATTTGTTTAACATTTTATATGTGATTTTGCAAAATGTTTATTCAGGATGATTATCATGTCATGATATGTTTCAGCCACTTCAGAGGATTATAAACTCCTGGAACAAATGAACAGAGCAACATTGATGAAATATGCCGAGTCAAAGCAAATAGCAGCAAATGTTGCAACAGCCATGAACGATTTAAATGAAAAATGTAAGTTTGTATTGGTAGATTAACAATAATTGCTTAATTTAGGCTGGGCCTAGATATTTATTTAACTGAGAGTCCAATTTAGACATAAATGCTATAATTTACATTCAGTAACATTGAGGAATCTGATATCAATATGTTATTTCTGGAAAAGTTTGGATGAGAGAATCATGTATGTGTAAGTTAATGAGTTTTTCTATTTTAAATATTATAAGGTGCATATGTCTGCATGCACATGTACAATGAATATAATTCCACTTTACTAGACTTCTTTACTCTTTGACATTTGATACTTAATATTGCAGATAAAGGTCTTCAGCCCTACCTTGAACAGATCGACCAGATAGAAGACAATGTGGCCAATCTAGAACAGGCAGCTTACAGACTGGATGCATACTCAAAACGCTTAGGTATACTGTACTTTCATTTTTATATTGTATGTATAGCCTACCGTATGTGTGTTATAAGCCCTCTCTTACTGATAATAAGTGCCTTGTTTTTTTTTGGTAAAGAGTCATAAGTGACATTGGCTTTGTACAACAAGTAGCCTAAATTAAATTGAGGTAATAATCATTCCGTGACAATTTGCACAAGTCTCTTTTGTCCAGTCAGTGAAAATGAAATTCAGTATCTTTAAAGTCCCTTGAGCAATCCAGTTTTCCTTTGAGAAAATAATAGTTATCTCAAAGCACATTCTACATGTAATTGTGCATTAAACATTATAATAAGAGGTTGCATTTTCAGTGAAAATCTCAGATCTCTTAGTCCGATCAACTTAATTATCATTGTTTATACTTTTCTTGGAAATAATGAATGGATCTAAAAGATACACCTGTCTTGATCAGAAAATATTCATAAGTGGAATTGTTTCGTCCATCAGATATCAAGTTAAATTGTCCTACGACACGTATGCCCTATGGTGTCTGTCTCTATGATAAAATTGTAACTCAAATGAAATGAAATATTCAAAACATAATCGTCTGAAAGTGTTTGCGATAACCTATGTGACTCTTTAGATTCAGTAAGGGTTACTGTACTCACTTACAGATCTATTTTTCACTTGCAAAACTTTTGTTTTTTCAAAAACATATACGGCCTACTACTTTTAAGGCATGGACGTGGGCTTATTCCCAGAATGGACTCTGTACAAAAAATCCAATAAAAGATCTGTTACAGTGTTAGAATTTCTCAGAAAATTTATCCAGAAAATAAATAAAAACTTAGTCTCAAAAAGGGAAAATGCTCAAATTACCCCAAATTGTACTCCATTTTCAAAATTTGTTGGGTGTATACATAGTTTGTCATGATATGATTTGTATTTGTAGAATCCAAGTTCAAGCAACTGGAGAAGAGGTAGTCATACAGCACCACAGTCTAGAACTTAATGCGGGGAAAGTGCAAATATATCGCTTGTTTGTATGTAATGAAATTAGAAATAGCGATGGCCATGGATGACATGAATGATTCTAACAGACTGACAATATACATCAGTGTGAAAATGTGATTTGAACACTTTTGAAAATCTGCATTCCATAGGACAAATAATGAAATAAACAATAGATTAGTTTTTATTTTAACATGTTTATTTTTTAATATTTGTGTTTGAGTGGTCTATGACATGATTATAGATAAATTGTTAAGAAAAGCTTCGATTTTACTCAGCTTAACAGGCTGAATTGTTAATTTGGCCCAATAGCAAATGCCATTCTTCTTCATTCAGTCATACAGTAGTTGTTATGGCAACTATGTCACAAGAACATGAATGGCGGAGTGCCTGCCTTACATATGTATGCAGCAGAGCCACTTCTTACTGAATCAATATTGCCTAGAGCAAACATACAATTTCAATCAGTAACCTCAAATAGTCAGTGTAACAAAAATAAGTGATAATATCCTACATGTAGGCTAATATGTACAAATGTATTTTGTAAATAAATTATAAATCTTTGATATTTTACAATATGTTCAGTGTTATGACTTATTTAGGTCTACCTGTATTTGTTTTTAATTTGGCACCTACTTTACTTACTTAAGTTCACAGATTTTAAAGATCCACCCATATAAATATTTCCAGAAATTGCCAAAATCTCCAGTTATAAAAAGCGTATGGCAGAAATTTTGATTTAGAATGTCTAAAAGTTCAGGTTTGATAAGGTACCAGTAGGTACTTACATGTACCAGTCTCAACACATGGCTAACTTGAATAAGATAGAAAGTTCATCTAATCTTTTTATTATTTCAATACTAGACAAGAAGAATAGAATTCACTTTTCTTGATTTTGAAAAATATTTTATATGGAATCTACTCTACAATACATTTTCGAAGAAAATACAAATGTGACCTCATTTCTTATAATTTTTTTTTTATCTTTTTAATTTTTTTTAGATTTACAATATGATATAACTTGACTTTAATAATTATTTGTATTCCACTATATCAACTAAAATTGACATGTAAAGTAAAAAAGATGTTCTGTCTCAATATATTTTTATTAGTCAGGCCATAATTGATCATTGGGACTGTATAGATAGAGTTTGTTATAAAATGAGCTCCTAATTAAAACATGTGAGTCTGTTACTTCAGTCTCAACAATCTGCATATATTTCATCATTAACACAATCCTTGGAATGGATACCTAGTACACACATTAGATGTTCCAATTGTACTTTCATGTTATATTCATACACCATCTAGTAAATAGCATATGTAGTTGGCAGTCATCTTGGCACTAAGTTCAGCTGCATACATACATTCCTACTACTAGGCCCTTGTTAGCTCTAGTAGATAGGAGATCTCAATGGACTTATATTGGCAGTTCATTGCCATATTTCAATAAGGTGCTGCTCTTGCGAAGGTCACTACTGAGATTACACCAAATATGAGTTCTAGTCCAAGAAATGCAAGTTGTATCGCTGAAAGGATTACCTCTATTCTCAACACGTATGTTTGCCATAGTAAGAAATATAGGGCCCCAAATAGTGAGGGGATACTGAGGGCAATACAAAGCACCACGGCTACCATACGTTCTGTTAGATTGCCTTTTTGTCCAAAGAATATCCTGATTGCCTCAATACCAGCTAAGATGAACAACAATGTTACTTCCCCTCCGAGAGCACTAGGAGGAAATGGTAATGTCTCTCCTTTGTAGATGAAGATTAGAATTTCAGCAATGAAGAACAGTCCATAATACCAGCCATTGCAGTAGAGAAGAATCTGGTAAGGTAGGGATGAACGTATTGCTTGTACCTTTCCTGCCGCCATTTTTTGCCTGGAGAACAAAGTAAAATATCATGAATGTGTGCTTAATTATTACAGGGAGCGGAGCTTTGAGTATCAATTTGACAATTGAATATTTCCCCAATGTATTGGGAATGTGATAAGCTTAGTAGGTGAGGAAGTATTAAAAGTACATTCACCAATGACAAAACTAGATAACGGCAACTCCGCGGAGTAGCAAATCCCAACGAACAAAATATCAATTACTGAATTCCAATCAATTATACTCATTACTTAAGGTTAAAATTGAAAAAATTAGATTTTAGAATTGCGAATTCCTGCAAAGCACCCATTTTGAATTTTTGGAGATACAAATCTGAAAAATAATACCATAATTGTGATCTACTCCAAAATTCCTTCAATTTGAGTATAATATAGCCATACTTTGAAGGGATCGGAAAATTATTGCGAAATCGTACATTAGACGGCAATTTTGAATTTTACGAGCCTCGAAACAGAAAAAAGATACAATATCTGCAATCTACTCTTAATTGCCTTTCATTTGAGTATAATAAAGCTATACTTCAGAAAGATCTAAAAATTATCGAAAATTTCTGTTTTCTTGTCCCCCCATACACGGCCCCTGGGGGTCAGGATGAAAAACACGGAATATATGTGAAATAGATAAATGTTGTGAATATACTACCAAAATTTCAAACAATAATATTAATTACTTTGGTTTAGAATGAAAAATTTATGATTCCCGTCATTTTTAAAGCGGCGGCCATCTTGAAAAAAATTTTTTTTGCGTAATACTATTCACCAATATACATCTTTCCACTAAATATGAAGAAAATCCATTTACTAGTATTTGAGTTATCTTCCGGACAGACGGACGGACGGACGGACGGAGGGCTTCACTATATCCCTACCGAACTTCGTTCGTTGGGATAATAAAAATAAACCTTTACTTCTTAATTTTCTAATAAAGATGATGATTTCTTTAATGCATTTTCTGTGTACTCCACAAAAATACTCTAACACGTTTAGTATACTCCTCAAAAAAAGTTAAGGACCAGTGGTTTTCCTCATAGGTTTACATGTTAACCCCAATATTTGTTTGAACGACTATTTTCTAAGCGTGGAACAAAAGAAATTTTTTTGCGTAAAACTATTCACCAATATACATCTTTCCACTAAATATGAAGAAAATCCATTTACTAGTATTTGAGTTATCTTCCGGACAGACGGACGGACTGACAGACGGACGGACGGAGGGCTTCACTATATCCCTACCGAACTTCGTTCGTTGGGATAATAAAAATAAACCTTTACTTCTTAATTTTCTAATAAAGATGATGATTTTTTTAATGCATTTTCTGTGTACTCCACAAAAATACTCTAACACGTTTAGTATACTCCTCAAAAAAAGTTAAGGACCAGTGGTCACTGGCATGTAGCGGCCCTGATATCGATAAATTCTACACGCAATATAACCCGATTTTAGATGCTTGGTTAAAACTTTACACGAAAAAGCCTCGATATCCGGGCATTTACTCTTACACTGAACTGAAAATAGCATCGTCTAAACGTGTATGTCTTGGCTTCCGGGTAAGTTTATCAACATTTATACTCAATTGAAAGAGCAGTCGTGCTTATATCGTGTACCAGTTTGATTGTTTTATATGTGTGTGTATTTATAATATGATAACCTAGTAATACCGTGTCGTTAGAACAAGTGCTAGATATCGAACTGATGACCTGAAATTAGATTATTGGACTGATCGCGCATCTGATATTAGATGATTAATTTGCATTGAATCTGATATTAACTTGCAACCCAATACCACAGTAAATACAATGACTTTACATTAGAATGATAACACGGCCTCATATTCTAATTCATTATACGTCCATTGCAGGCCAAAAATGCTTCAATGTGGATATTGTAATGCACACGAGAATACATTCGATTCGTATATATTGAACATGGAGATTTTCCTGTACACTTTTCCCAAACATGTGGAATAGACTAGATGCGAGTAGAAATTATCTTGATTTATCCTATGCCAAGTAGGGTTTTAGGGAGATAAGTTGGTAAGATATATCCCGTATCCTGATTTTGAGGTTTCCATATCAAGAACCTCCATATCTCCCGTCATATCTCCCGCTTCGGTGCATATCTTCCCGCTTCGGGGCGTATCTTCCCGCTTCTAAAAAAGTGGAAATGCAATAAAATGACTTTGCATATGAATGATTTGTTTATTTTTTACACCTTGTACTACTGAAAACTCTACTTGGTACAGGATAAAGCAGTTATGTACGGTCGGTTTGGATATTGGGTTCATCCCTCGTGAGATATGCACATCTACTTTCTGTCCCTACGGTCCCTCAGGTAGATATGCATATCTCCCTCTGGAAAAACCCCATATCCAAAACCTCCCAGTACATAACCCTTATTTATCCCATGGTTACAAGGATATAGATCGAATATCACGTGAAGATATAATTGATATGTGGATGAAGATATCATATTTTAGCAAACAATTCCCAAATCATCGAATATCACTTTTGAAACCATCGAATATCACTTTTTGAAAGGTGATATTCGATGGTTTCATGGATATCAATATCTTCACTCATTCGCTGCGCTCACTCGCGAAGATATCAATATCCACTCATGGATATAAGTGATATTTTTTCAGAGCCATAGGATATTCCTATATTATTCCATAGTTAGCATGATATCCATAGGATAACATGTCAAAAAAAATAAAAACGGTATTTTTTAAATCAGTGGTAAAATATGATATTTTTGGCAAATTTTCACTTAACCATAGCATACGGAGTTTTAGCCATGACATACATAGGGGTTATGCACTGGGAGGTTTTGGATACAGGGAATATCCCAAGGGTTATTTCCTGTATCCAAACCGACCGTGCATAACTGTAGGTATTCCATACCTGAAGAGGTTTGAAATAATAAGCATGTATCCCATATGCTCTGGTGTGTTTACTTGCAAAATATGTTATCATTTTCAAAAAAATTCAAATTGTTTCCATATTTGTTTTCAATTTTTTTCAAAAATGAAAAAAAAAAATCCCAAAATTTTTTTCACATTTTTTGCATAATTTTTTTCAGAATTATCACAATTTCTCAAAATCTTTTTACACAATTTTTTTTCAAATTTTTATTTTCCAATTTTTTTTCCCGAATTTTTTTTTTCAACATTTTTTTTGAGCGGGACATACGATTTATATGTCCCGGAGCTCCGTTGGAGCGGGACATACGAAAAATATTTGCCCGGATATGGAATATATTCCCGGTTGATATGTCCCTGAAACCTCATCAGGTATGGAATACGGCGTCGTATGCCATGGTTTATGGATTTTTGCTACTTCAGACTCAAAACGAGGCTAAGTGTCAATATCGCCGTATCGTTTGGAAAATTCGTTTTAAATCACTTAATTCCCGACGATTCTGATGATGACTTTAACTATGGAATATAAAAAACATCCTATGATTTACTCGTGATATGATTTTAATCCACTCATGGATGTTGATATCTGCACTCTCTCGCTACGCTCACTCGTGCAGATATCATATCCATTCGTGGATAAAAATCATATCACTCATAAATCATAGGATATCCTCTATTTAAGATGTGATATTCGATAGTTTAAAAGTGATATTCGATGGTTTGTAAATTGTTTGCTAAAATATGATATCTTGATCCACATATCAAATATATCATCATGTGATATTCGATCTATATCCTCCTTACAACCATGGGATAAAGCTTTACGTCCCGCTCCAAGCGGGCAGATATAGTATATCTGCCCGCTACGTCATAATCGCCGCTTGCATATTTGTTCATAATTTGTAAAGTTAAAAAAAGGGAAAGAGCATCCACTTAATCAATAAAAAATTCTAGAAAATAAATATGGGAATATTTGAGAGAACATGAAAATCCGCCCACGGCCAAGAAAACAAAACTGGACATGAATATTCTAAAATGTTTCCACGATTTAACAATGTGAACCAGATGACCAATATTGGTATGGGATAAACATATTATCCTATAGTCGGTTCAGGATATTGGGATTATCCCTTGGCCAATATATAGGGGTTATGCAATTGGAGGTTTTGGATACAGGGAATATCCCGAAGGATATACAATATATCTTCCCGAAGGACCAAGGGAAGATATATTTTATATCCCTCGGGATATTCCCTGTATCCAAAACCTCCAAGTGCATAACTGTTGTATATAGTTTAGCATGATATGTACTTCTTTCTGTAACTGGAATACGATTCTAATATACAAGCAGCACATACGTATTCCCGGGGAACCATAAATATTTTGTGTAGGGTGTGGACATTTTTCTTTTCATTTCTCTAAAATCAGATTATTCTCATAAAATTCATACAAAGTTGGGCCTAAGCCTCTATTTTCGTATTCTGCATGTTAAGATATTTATAATGTAAAACCTAAGAGATAAATTCAATGTCTTCAGTTGAGAATAAGTATAAGGTAAATGTGTGAATTCTGCTTGTTGTTGCACTATTTTTATAATAAACAAGGTTCGATACGCAACACTGAATAGACTGCAGTCATAGCTTAGTTGTAAAGAAAACAAAAGAAGTTGGGACGTGGTTATGCTTGAATACGATTTTGAATATATCGCCGTTTACATTTGTTGAAATCGGCCTGTATTAATTTCAACAGGTGATCGGTGTACAAGGGCATATATTTGAGTTATTGGTTTAACGATAAGTATGACCTATGAGTGGGTAATGTTTTACAAATGCATGAAACAAATACTCCAATGGCCTAATCTCAATTTTCCTGCATAAACTATTACATTGAAATGATGGTCATTTGCTCTCTAACTTCCGCACCGCATACGTAACTTCGTAACAATTCAATAAGCCAAGACAGGACCGCTATAATCGCTACATGCCAGTGAGTGGTTTTCCTCATAGGTTTACATGTTAACCCCAATATTTGTTTGAACGACTATTTTCTAAGCGTGGAACAAAAGAAATCC